ATTAGCTTTAAAATAAGTTAGGAAGGCTAGGAATTCTTTATAAATAGGGATAAGATAGTACTTATATAATAATAGTAGTAATTTTCTAGATTTTATAAGTAATTAATAATCTTATAATAATCTTATAATAAGGCCTTAAAATATATTAATAATTCTTAAAATTCTTAGTTAATAACTTATTCTAAAATTATAAATAAGATATCTTTATTTATATTTTTTTCTAATATAAGATATTAAAATTTAATAAAGAAAATATTAAATCTATAATAAATTTATTAAAAGTAAAATAAATTAATATAAGTATTAATTTTTAAATTTAGATTTTTAAAAACTTTCTCTAGAATTTCTAAAATCTTAATATAATTACTTAATTTATAGATTCTATCTTAAATATATAATAAGATTTAGATATATAAAGTTTCTTTAAGATAATTAATTATATAAATTATTTTATTATTTAGGATTAAAAAATAATTAAGATTTATAATTATTTTTTAGTAAATTTAAGAAATAAAGTATCTTAAGTTACTTTATTAGTTATTAAACTTATTAAGATTAAGAAATTATTTAAAGATTTAAGTAATAAAAATAAATATAATAAAAGTAATAATAATAGTAAAAAAAATATTATTATTAATATCTTTTTTAAATAAAAATAATAATTAAGAAAGTATATTATTTTAAATAAATATTTTAAATAACTCTTATTAATTTTTTTTAGCTTATATTTTCTAGTATTTAATTATACTATCTTTTTATTAAATATAATTAAAAAAATTAATAATAATAAAATATAAAATAAATAATTTATAAAAATTTTTTATAATAGTAATAAAGAACTAGTATATCTTAATAATATATTATTTTAATTTATTAGGGGTATTATATAAGAGGGTTTTTATATCTTTAAGTAGTATAAATAGCAAGGCAGGCATAATAATAGTAATTAACTCCTAGTAAAGAGGAGCTATATAATATTAGGGTATAGAGTTAGATTTAGATATTTATTAATTTGGAGCTAACTAGATAGAATAGTAGAATAATAGAATAGTAGGTATTAAGTAATAGATAGGACATAGCTTAAAGAGCTATAACAGGATCAGGAGTAACATGGCTTAAATACAGGGATAGAGGCAGACAGTCAGGGCAGAATCTAACTGGATGGGTACTATGGCTTCACACCGTGATAATAAGTCCCTAATTATATTATTTAATCTAATTAATACTCTAGTTATTTTCTAATATTTTATAAATAATATCTTATAATAATATATAGATATATTTTATAATATATTTTTAAATAATATCTTAATTTATAGTTATATAAGAAAAAAATATATTAAATATTTAAGATAAATATTATAAATTTTATAAAATAATAACTTATATATAAAAATATTTAAGTATAAATTTTATTAATTAGAAATTAAATTTTTAAATATTATTATTAGAAGAGAAGGTACTTATATAGATTTTAAGAAAATTAAGATTATAATAAATTAAAAATTATTTAAAATAATTACTAATATTAAGAATTTTATAAAATTTACTAGATTTTATTAATACTTTATTAAAAAATTTTATAAATTTTTATATTTATTATTACTTTAAAAAAAAAGAAACTCTATTCTTATAAATTTTAATTTATTAGACTACTTTTAAAATACTAAAAATAGAATTTATTAAGAAACTAATATTAAGATTTTTTAATTAAAATTAACTAATTATTTTAAAAACTAATATTTTAAATTTTATATTTACTAGAGTATTATTATAATATAATAATAATAAAATCTTATATTTAATAAGATTTTATTAAATATAAGATTTTAAGATTTTACTTAAAGAAAATAATTCTAATTAAATATAATTATAAGATATATAATAAGGAATTACTAGTAATTATTTATTATTTAGAAAAATAAATCTTAAAATTAGAAAAATATTAGTATTTAATTAAGATTATAATTAATTATAAAAATCTAAAATATTTTATAATAATTAAAATACTAAATTAAAGATAAGCTTAATAATTTATATTTATATTTTATTTTAACTTTATAATTAATTATTATTTAAATAAATATAGAATAAAACTAGATAACTTAATTAAGAGATTATAAGATCTTTTTAAAGAAAGGAATAAATACTTATTATATTAGAATTAAATAATATTAAAAAGAGAGAACTTAATAAATTTCTTATTTAAATATTTAAAAAAATTATAAAGCTAGTAAATATTATAATTAATCTAATTTTAAATTATTACTAGAAGAAAATTAATATATTTTTAATTACTTAAGTTTAAAAAAAAAAGACTATCTAGCTCTTTAAATAATTAATTAAGAGAATATTTAAATAAAGATTATAAATAAGATTTAGCTTCTAATAATATTCTAGAAAGTTTAAAAAAGAGTTATAATTATTATTTATTAATTATATTATTTAAATATATTTATTATTCTAGACTCTTATTTTATTATAATTAATTATATATTCTTAATATAAAAAAATTAAAAGTAAAATTAATATATAAATATTATAAAAATATAATTATTAATTATTAAAATAAATTAAAAATTTATAAATTATTATTTTAATTATAATATTAATTTAAAATATTATAATTTATAAAATAATAAATTTATAATTATTATATTTATAAATAATCTATATTTTATTAAAATAAATATTAAAATATTCTTTATTTCTTACTTATACTTAAGAATCTCTAAAAAATATTTTTATTAATTTTATTATATATTTATTTTAAAATCTAGACTTTAATATTATTATAGTAATAATTAATTAATTAATAAAGTTTTAATACTATATTTCTTATAATAATATTTATAATATTAAAGAAACTACCTACTTATTTTAAGATTATATTTACAGATTTTATAGATTTTTTAAATTTATTATATTTAATTAAGAATCCTAGTTTATATTAATATTCTAGATATATTTAAGTTATATTTTAAAGATAAGATCTTTTTTATCTATTATTTATTATCTTAAGATTAATAAATAAATTAAATATATAAATATTATTTTAAAATAATATTTATAAGTCTATATTAATTATTTATAGTAAAATTTATTATTAATAATATTAATTTTAAAATTACTAGATATTTTTTATTCTTTATTTTATATAATTTTAATTCTTATATAAGATTTAAACCTATTTTACTTAATTATTATTTATAAATTTATAATATTTATTAATTTACTTTAATTATAAAGTAAATATATAAATATTATTATATTATTATAATTATTATTTAAGTTTATTATAAATATTATATTAAGAATTTATTAATCTAATTAAATATTAAAAATATTATAATTCTATATTTTTAAAAAAAAATTAAATTAGAAAAATCTAGATCTTTTTCTTATTAAAAAAATTATTAATTTTTATATTTATAAACTAGACTTATTTAAAAATATAAAAATATATTTAGTATTTTATATTAAATTATTATATTTAATTATTAAAAATTTATTATTTAGATAAAAAGAAATTAAATCTTTATATATTAAAATTAATAATATTAAGAAATAAGAAATTAAAAAAATAATTAATTTTTATTAAAATTATTATAATTAAAGTAATTACTTATATTTAAAATATATTATTAAATAAATTAAATATCTTATTATTATTAAAATCTTTACTAATTATTTAAAAAATATTATTAAATATATTATTATTTTTTATTATTATTATTCTAAAAAGCTAGAACTCTAAAAATATTTTACTAAAATTTAATTTAAAAAAGAGAATATTATTATAATATAATTATATACTTATCTAATTAAATTTTACTCTAATTATTTATTTCTATTCCTATATTTAAACTATATTACTCCTAATCCTATTATAGCTCTTTAAGCTATATCCTTGTCCTGACCTGACCCCTACCTATTGGACCTGTACGCAGATAGCCTGAATATACACCCTGCTGTTAGCTACACCTACTGCCAGCCTGCCCGCCGTGACAATAAACTAGTAATTTAATTAAATATAAATAGTAATATAATAATCCTTAAAGTACTAGAGAGTAAGTACTTTATCTTGTTACTATTTATATTCTTGCAGCCTTCCTTATACTCTGTGTAGCTTAGCTTTACCTACCCAATTAATCCAAACCCCAGCATCTCGCCAGCGAGACGCTTACACTATATTTCGACATATCTAGGGATAAGAGTAGCTAGCATGCTTGGATAGTAATCCAATCAACAACTTACTTCAACACTAGTTTCCTTCTTCTTCTTTTTTTACCTGTGTAATACTTGGGATGGGCAGGTGGATATGTTTACGTACCTTTTGTCATGTTATAGTCCATAGTATGGTGGGAATGTATTGGAATTTCTGGCGATGACGTTCGTGATACTCGCTAGAATCCTAATATACACGCATATCCGATATCTATATAGGGGGTACTGCTTTTTTTTTGCACTGTCTCATCAAGTCTTGGGGATTTCATATTGTTTCTAACGCATAGTTGGGAGTCGCAGTTTTGTGAAGACCTATGTGTTCCTATTTTCCGGGCGTGTGGGCAATTTCGGCAGCTAGCCTCATTTATATTGAGGTTGATGTGTATGACATGATACATTTCTTCGTGTGGCTGGTATGGATTTGTTGTATGGTAGCCCAGTTGTATGTTGGCTACCTCAAATATATTTAACCACAGGGTTATATACAATGGATACTTGCGAATATATATATATATTCCATTGAAACGAATAACATACTACTACAAACAACAATACATAGCCAAATATGTCATATCATTACGCTACCAGCAAACAACACATATATAGAAAATAGGGTAGAGTCATAAACTGGTTGTTCGCATGTACCCATGTAGCCCAGTCTGTATCTATCACCAGGAAAGTTAGCACCCCCGTGACCTTTTCCGGTGACTCCACAGTCACCCATAGGTATCCGCTCCCCGCGTTATCATCTGACCACAGCCTCGAATTCCAGCGCCTGTAAACACCCTACCAAAAGCACGGAATTTCACCCGGCCGGAATTTCACTTGCCAAAGCAGAGAGTATGCCCTTGGCCTTTATACAAGAGCCAAAATCCGACTCATGTCCGTTACGCGGGGTCTACCTTAACTCCCTTCCCCTAGTCGCAAAGAAATCTACCCTGTGACATCATACCAGTGCTCCTATACGACCCAAGACACTGGATTAATAACGACATCCGCTACCAGCACCGCCCTACCTAAGATTCCCTAACGCAAGAAAAGCGAGTATGAACACCGCAGACATAGAGCGGTGCAGAAAACGGATTGTACAATATCTCTGGGACCCAGAACCCAAAAACGACGAGCCAGGCATGACTATATGGTGCCTGGGAATAGAGTATCCCTCTCTTCGTCTGGGGCAGACCGTGCGTGGGGACTCCAGTAAGGCCCAATAAATCACATCTACAAACCAGAGACTCACAAACATGCGCGACTGCACAAGCTAACGCCCACAATGCAAGTAGACAGCGAGGGTCACCAAGCACCACGCCCTTCCCATGATGCAAGAGTAGACATATGGCCCGAGGAATTTCTTCGAGATTTCGAGGCGAAGTTTTGGATGACTTACCGCTCGAACTTTCCCCCAATACCTCGGGACTACAACCATGATCGCAAGTCCTCAATGACGCTCGGTGTGCGCTTGCGAAGTCAACTTCTGGATCCCCATGGGTTCACATCCGACACGGGGTGGGGATGTATGATAAGATCTGGCCAAAGCCTATTGGCAAATGCCATGGCTACACTTCTACTGGGCCGCGGTAATGTCCCGCACCCATAGCGCATATATACTGTAATGTCGCCGAGGCCCACTAACACACATGTAGGATGGCGACGTAGTGACGGGATCTACGAGGAGACAAAACTGTTATCACTATTTGCCGACTCACCAGAAGCTCCATTCTCCATTCACCAATTTGTTGGCCACGGTGCGGAATTCTGCGGAAAGTGCCCTGGAGAATGGTTTGGACCGTCTGCAACGGCCAGGTGTATACAGTAAGACCCATGGCCGATTAGACACGTTGGACCAAGACTTACGCAGGCATCAGAGCCCTGTCCAAAAAATATAGCCCATCAAACCTCCGAGTATACGTCACAGATGACAACTCGGACGTCTATCAGGACAAGTTTATGAGTGTTTCTAGGAACGAGCAAGGCGTTGTTTGTCCGACACTCATACTCATTGGAACCAGGCTCGGAATCGATCATGTTACACCGGTCTACTGGGATGGATTAAAATCCGTACTGCAGTTTCCACAATCCGTCGGAATCGCCGGGTGAGTCTTGATAAAAAGCAAAGAATCTACACGACTCGAACTTTCGAGATGCTGACGTGTAATAGAGGACGTCCCTCGGCCTCTCATTATTTCATCGGCATTCAAGGAGCGCAATTTTTTTACCTTGATCCGCACCATACGCGCCCTGCATTGCCGTACCGCGGGGACGGCATGTATACGAGGGAGGAAGTTGATACGTATCACACTCGTCGCCTGAGGAGAATTCACATCCAAGATATGGATCCAAGCATGTTGATAGGCTTCCTCATAAAGAATGGAGAAGACTGGGAAGACTGGAAAACCCGCATCGCATCCACACAGGGAAAGCCGATTATCAACATCGTGCACGAAACAAATGCAGCCTTCAGCCAAGGCCGAAGGGAGGCTCTCGATGAGGTAGAGACATTCGATGACGATGAATAGTTTAGGATTGAACACTGTCCTAAAAAAGATAAAAGATGCGTACTATAGCTACTTGGATAGACAATTCATGAATTCATGAAAGCATTGGATTTCGAATCCTAGGAAGGGTAATTATACAACCAGTTCCAAATGACTCGAGTTATGTTACACCGCAACCATGTCTTAAAAACAATAGAAGGCGTTGAAAGAGAACATTTGATCCGAGGGGAAAAATAAGAAATTAAAAAGAACCATCCCATAACACGTTAGAAATCCCGTGAACACCCTTTAACCCGGCCTCAAACCGTTCGAGACCACGAGATAACAAAACAAAAACAAATCCCTGCAAATAAAACGAGAAAAGATTCAACAAAATGCCTATTTGGCAGAGGAAGAATACTTCGTAACAGCCTTAGTGCCTTCAGAGACAGCGTGCTTGGCCAATTCACCAGGAAGGATCAGTCTCACACTAATTTACCGTTAGTAACCCGCATATCTAAAAAGAAGACCGCAAACACTTACGAGGTCTGGATCTCCCGGGATGAGATGGTGGACTTCTTATTGTAAGCAGCAAGCTTGGAGGCTTCGGTAGCAACACGCTCGAAGATATCTGAAGACGCGCTAATTAGCAAAACGCGCGATTTGACGCCAAAACACGTGCGGTTCAACTTACCATTGACGAAAGAGTTCAGGATGGACATGGCACGAGTGGAGATACCAGTGTCAGGGTGCACTTGCTTAAGCACTGTACTGAATTAACGTGGGGATCCATTTTATAATTTCCAGGTAAAACATACCTTTGTAAATATAGGAAGAGTAGGTTTCTTTCCTGGTCTTTCCACGCTTCTTCTTATCTCCAGAGGCAGCGGCAGCAGTCTTCTTTCCAGCTTCCTTCTTCTCGGCGGGGGCCTTGCCAGCAGGGGCCTTGCCACCAGTGCTAGGCTTCTTCTCAGCGGCTTTGGGAGGCATTTTCAATTATATTGATTTCGGAGAATTGTAAGAACTAAGTGTTAGAAGATAGAGTATGAACTGTGATGAAGAAACAGTTTGACGGACGCGTAAATGTGGAGAGGTGGAATGAGTAGGAGGATGAAAGTTAGGAATACGCGGTGACGAGGGAGGCGCGCTACTTATACTAGGCCACAAACACCCGGTTGATCTCAGGAGTGCAAAGGAGGCAGAATTTCAATACGGTAATGCGGGTGTATGATTCGTATGATTAGATACTAAGAATTGCTACAAACACGGCAAAATTCGCGCTAAGATCACGCCAAGATTACCACATGGTAAATTACTTCGATTATTTACAGCGCTTTTCTAGATTTGGTATCGCAGCATGACGGCACCAAGATACGGGTACTCTGGAGCATGATCTCCTTAATGATTGGTTAACCCCGCTAAGCGAGAGGGTGATCCGAAACGCGTTTGGGTGGCTCAACGTCACCCTCATGGTGTCGTTATATATGTCCTCTACTTCTTGTTGGTGGCTATAGTCCCTTTCCCCTTTCAATCTACTATTTCGTGACCATAAATTCTTGCGCCCTTTCTTCGTACCTCGCACCTTTTCTATCAAACCGATTAGTATTTAGCAAATTTGCTTTTCAACTACAATCAAAATGACTGGAGGCAAATCTGGTGGCAAGGCTAGCGGCAGCAAGAACGCGCAGTCGTACGTACCCTCTTGGTATCAGGAAATGTGAGAACTGAAGCTGATTTCTTCTAGCCGCTCTTCCAAGGCCGGTTTGGCTTTCCCTGTCGGTCGTGTCCACCGTCTTCTGCGCAAGGGAAACTATGCCCAGCGTGTTGGTGCTGGTGAGTCTATGACGAGCTTCAAAGCTCGATTGCGCATTAATTCTAACAATCGAATCAATAGGTGCTCCCGTCTACCTCGCTGCTGTCCTCGAATACTTGGCCGCTGAAATCCTCGAGTTGGCCGGTAACGCTGCTCGCGATAACAAGAAGACCCGTATCATCCCTCGTCACCTGCAGCTCGCCATTAGAAACGATGAGGAATTGAACAAGCTTTTGGGTCACGTCACCATCGCTCAGGGCGGTGTTCTACCCAATATTCACCAGAGTGAGTATTACGTTTTGCGATTTTCATAGTTATCAAGTCTAACACCCATCTAGATCTCCTCCCTAAGAAGACCCCCAAGGCCGGAAAGGGTAGCCAGGAGCTGTGAACGTTTTTTTTTCTCTCTATTTTATTTGCTTGGGGTTTGTCATTCGGCGTGGTTTGGCTCTCTTACTGATATGATAACGGGGTTCTGGACTGGGCACGTTTATGGCTCTTTTTTAATTGTATGCGTTTTTGTTTTCCTGTTACTGTTGTAAATTATGTCTACGGGCATGGAATGATACCGACCATTTTTAAATGACTTCAACTATATTTTGCGTGGTTTGCTTTCGTATTGCTCTACGGATCTGGGCCTGAAAGGTACTTTTTCTCTTTTTTTCCCCTTCGCGCTGCTATCCTCGATATCGCCATTTGGACGATTTCAAACCAAGGTTATTCGCTGCGAGCTGCATAATAAACGTACTTGCAAGGACAATGTTTCTAATCGCGCCTATCAAATAAATACATGGTGTAGTTGCTACTTAATGGCCATCAGCACCCCCAGATGCGTCTGATACTGGGTTAGTCACCGAATTAGTTTCATCTGTTTTGTTCCAATTAGACTTACAAGGTAGTTGGCGAGCAGGTAGGTTCCTCTCATACTTGCTGCCTGTGACAAATGTTACCATAGAACTCCGACGCAAGCAAAATATATATAACAAACATACCACCTGGGGCTGTAGGCGCGCGGTAAGGATCCGGGTGTTTCCATGTTTCTAATAGCTTCTCTGTCTCTCGTAGAAGGACCTAGCAGTTTTCCAGTCAGGTAAGGGCCTACAGTACTCGATAAGGCACATAGACATACCTTCTGTTGCCGAGGATCGCGGACATCCTTGTTTGCGTCGAAAAGCGATCGAATATAGACAGCTTGTCCTCTCCACACCTGCCTGTGGACAGCCCAATCCAGAGCGAGTTTCAATGAACGTCGATAGAGTGACCTAGTAAGAAGAGATCAGAACATGTCTTGGAGTGTAGTTGGAGATCAACTCTGGAATGCTTACGTGACAGTATTCAAAGACATGGTGCAAAGAGCAAATGACCTGGGCTTATAAAGAGATACAATGAACACTGGCGCTGTTTTGGGTAATTGGCTTTTACATACCAGTTTGGAAGTCTGGTGTTGGCAGTTCGGGCGGGATAGAACCTGCTAAGTTGGTGTTACTAGGCAACTGAACAGGCGTAGTAATAATATTCCGTTAATTACCGCATGCGGGACCTGATGAGGGAATTTCCGGTACTCTCGGCCCGGCCTTGACTAGCTTGCTCGCTGTGCGCAAGCCCGGGAGTCTTTGAACCCTGCTATAGCTTTTGCCCGTTATCAACTTACAAAAACTCAGACATTTTGGGCGCGTTCGATCCTTTTGAAATTGTGCGTAACCTGTTATATTCATTCACCGCCTGTCTTATTTACTCTCACTCCAGACTCTGTTTTTGTCTTCTTGGTCACCATGTCTTCTCGATTACCTCTTCGTCAATTCTCCGCGCAGCGGTTGAGGACTGTCTCCCGCGTTTCCCGAGTCCCCCGTGAGGTATGCATGGGTGGACGTCGCGCTTTCACAACAGGAAAGGGCACAGAAAGTGTCCAAATTGGAGCTAAAAGTATTCATGGGTTGCAATCAAGCCTGACACTGCGGTAAGCCTCGAACCCTCTACCTAACTGGCACTATCTCGGTAGAGGCTGATCGGACTACAGGAAGGCCATTTCTCGGCTTGATGCTATTCCATTTGCCAGTCACCAGATCCGAACCTACGGTAACTCATTCCACCCGGTCTCTTGTGTACATTTTACTCACCATATATTTAGCGGACACTATTGTGAAGGTTCCACAGATGGCAGAATCCATCACCGAAGGAACGTTGAAACAGTTTTCCAAACGTACGATTTAACTACACCTTTACGCCGGGTGAATCTTACTAATTTCTTTTCCTTTTCAAGAGGTCGGAGATTATGTTGAACGAGACGAAGAAATCGCAACGATCGAGACCGATAAGGTGAGACTCTGCATTGCACCTATTATCCACTTTTTCATACCGTAGTCATGGCAGTCACTTACGGTCTCCAGATTGATGTGTCAGTCAATGCACCTGAGTCGGGAACAATCAAGGAGCTGCTTGTGAATGAAGAAGACACCGTCACAGTTGGTCAGGATCTCATAAAATTGGAACTTGGTGGCGCCCCGGAGAAGAAGTCGGACGCCAATGAAAAACCGGAGCCTGCTTCCACACCTGCACCTACACAGTCCGAGCAACCAAAGGCGCCCCAGCAAGCTGCGCCTTCCGCTCCTGCCGCAAAAGCGCCCTCCCCCGTAGCGGAGGCGCCCAAGAAGGCACAGCCAGTCGCATCTAAGCCGCAAGCTTCGGATGAACCCAAGCCTACACTGGGAGGTCGTGAAGAGCGCAGGGTGAGTTTCCTTAATTTTTCGCTTTTTCTTGTACTGCCCGGGGTTCAATGCTAATTGGCGCGTAGGTTAAAATGAACAGAATGAGACTGCGCATTGCTGAACGTCTGAAGCAATCTCAAAACACCGCTGCTTCCCTTACTACCTTCAACGAGGTGGACATGTCTTCTTTGATGGAATTCCGCAAGTTGTACAAGGAAGACGTGCTAAAGAAGACCGGAGTGAAGCTCGGTTTTATGAGCGCTTTCTCACGCGCCTGCGTTCTGGCTATGAGGGATGTTCCTGCCGTGAACGCCTCGATCGAGGGGCCCAACGGTGGTGACACAATCGTCTACCGTGACTATGTGGACATAAGCGTTGCAGTCGCGACTGAGAAAGGACTTGTCACACCTGTGGTTCGTAATGCTGAAAATATGGATCTAGTGGGAATTGAAAGGTCTATTGCGGACCTTGGAAAGAAGGTTAGGAGAAGAAGAGTGCCCCCTGTTCTAAAAATACTAACTTTTGACTTGGCAGGCACGCGACAACAAGTTGACAATTGAGGACATGGCTGGTGGCACTTTCACAATCAGCAATGTAAGTAGCGGATATCAGTACTAAAGATATCCATGTGCTAAACTAGTTTCTAGGGTGGTGTTTTTGGTTCCCTCATGGGAACTCCCATCATTAATCTCCCACAGACGGGTATGTTGTGATTCTTCACAGGTTCCGAATTGATTTCGATTATTAACCCCTCCTAGCTGTCCTTGGACTGCATGCGATTAAGGATAAACCTGTGGCTGTTAATGGCAAGGTTGAAATTCGCCCTGTATGTTATTTTATTGCTGGCCCTTTTTATAATAAGTTCAAGTTCTGATAATGTCGCCAGATGATGTATCTCGCTCTCACTTACGACCATCGACTTCTGGATGGTCGGGAAGCAGTTACTTTCCTTGTCAAGGTATGCTTTTCTTCGCGCCTGTCCACGGTCCTTTTGCAGTCTTTGCTAACCCCCGTTCTACAGGTCAAGGAGTACATTGAGGATCCCCGCCGCATGCTGCTCGGCTAGGCGTGATCTCGTTATTTTACCTTGTATTGTAGATTATTAAATTCACATGCTTGATATATAGCAGTTCTCATCCTTGGGTGTAAAACATTCACTAGCTCAACTATCGCCAAGGGCACATTATTCTTCTAGATCAACGAATGCGGTGTTTTCAAACAGTGTAGTGTTTTGGTAGCCTGCCACGGTTATCAGGCCGGGCACAGTGTATGGGAATGAACATGTTTTAGCTGAGTCCGATTTTCTCCCTCAATTGGTGTGTCTCGGCTCGACTTAGCTCACCAACCTTGCCCCTCTCGATCTGATTTAGTATCGGGGGATTCAGTAATTTCATAATATCCATTAGGGCGTTCAGGATGGCGGATCTAAGGTTATGTAGAACCATTGCTGGGCGAGTGGCCCCTGGATTATTACCCACGAGTCGCAATTCCACAGCCTTCAATATCTCCGTTGGATATTCGCTAAGCTTATCAGACGATCCATTTTGGGGGAATTGGTATTCTTCCAGCGCCGTGTAAGCACTCAGTAGTACAGCAATTCTTGCTCCGTGGGTTTTCAGTTTCTTTTTCTCGGCAGCATCGCATAGTGATATGAGGCTTGTCGCAACTGTGGAGAGCGCTGTGGGCAGTTCTTGGGGTACTTCCTCCTGTGTCGAGTTCGTCTGGGACCGAGGTTTGCTGAGGATATTTGCAAGTTGGAGTATCTGAGCCTTGATTCGTAGATCGACAGATGGTACCTCCGGTAGAGCAAGCACCTTCATAAGGGCTGCGTGGCAAATATTTTTGGTTAGTCTTGTTTTGATATAATGATGTTTTGAAGGCCATCGTGGTTGTAATGCTTACTCTCCAGCATGTTATTCAGCCAGCAGACGTCCGAGTTGCCGCTAGAGGAGGTCTCGCCTCCATCGTTGATTACTCTCTCGATTGTAAGACACAGGAGATAGTCGAAAATGAGGAGGTCTACCTCTTCCCGGGTATCCGGGTTTGCTTCCGTTCGATGATCCATTCGGTTCAGTCACGCGTCCATGGCATAGTAACGCGAAGGTTTGTCGCGTATGAAGGTGTGACACATTTGAGATACCACGCTGTATGTTTGATTGAGCAAAACTCCGCTGTGGCACTTGCCTTAGCCACCGTAGCTGGGCTTGGTTGGGTGAAACTATTCGAGGGGTATATACGGGAAGAAAACCGGGTGATTTGGATTGAGTGAAGCTAGGTGGGAATGTAGTGTGTTGCCGACCTTGGCCGATCAGGTAATGCCGGCATCTCTGGTATACCACTCTTTGCTGTGCAGTACTGGTGAATGGCCTACATCATGAATATGTATATGTATATTTTTCGTCCTCTCGTAATACACAACCTGTGGTTAATCAAGCGTTGCCTTTTTGCAGCACTTTTTGGGGGGACGTCAAGGGCTATCAAGAATGTACAGATATATATTTCTTAACTAGTAGTCACATCTACAGTTTAAAATCAACCATTCCACATTCAAGTATTGGCGCTTCTTACTCTAAAGGAATGAACCATAACACAATCAATTACGACGACGTACAATAACTAGAAAACAACTAGCATTTGATAGAATAACCACGTGATGTGTTGATGCGACAATGGCGTCATGCGGAGAAGTACTCGGCGCTTCGCAGCTTTAATATATCCTAAGCCTTACACAATTTAGCTAAAGTCGATGATAAAGCTACCACTGCGTCCCAAGACCTAATATTCACTGAATACTCGTCATCCCTTCAAGTCTACCGTTTTCTAGTCGCCGAGAGTGGTCGTGCCTTGCATGCTTCGGGGACTAAAGAGGATAGCAGCAAGACTACCGTCACTAAAACAGAATAATATAAAGCCTGCAACAATGGCATGGTACTGCTCCGGATCGACCAACCACGAGCTAGTCGAGAACCTGTATAGGACGGGACTGATAAAGAATGAAAGAGTCAAGAAAGCAATGCTAGGAGTGAGCAGATCTTCCCCCGCCAACCGCCCATACTTGATTGCATATGATACTCCGTTACCCCAACATGTGCTCTAGCTGTAGCACGTAAATGTGCCTGATTTGTTTTTGAACTGAGGCAAAGCACCATGCATTTACTGCTGCGAATTTCTAACTCGAAATGCAAGGTTGATCGTGCCCACTATGCCCCATCTAGACCCTACTCGGACTCACCGCAGCCCATCGGTCACGGAGCGACAATCTCTGCACCCCACATGCATGGACATGCGTGTGAGTACCTCATTGACTACCTGCGACCGGGCTCACGAGTGCTGGACATTGGCTCAGGCTCCGGATATTTGACCCATGTTATCGCCAACCTCGTAACAGATCCATCACTGTCAGCAGGAGAAAACGGCCAGGTTGTCGGGGTTGACCATATACAGGAGCTGGTTGATCTGGCCCACAACAACATGCGTAAGTCGGGGGATGGCCGAAAATTGCTTGAATCTGAAGTAGTGAAGTTCGTCAATGCCGATGGCCGCCAAGGATGGGCAGAAGGAGCACCATACGATGCTATTCATGTCGGCGCGGCTGCAGAAGAGCTTCACCCATTGCTAGTCGAACAACTAAAAGCCCCTGGCCGAATGTTCATCCCTGTCAACGCAGACGACGAACGAGGAGCGCTTGAAAGAGTTGCGTTTGGGGGTGGGCAGTATATATGGGTTGTTGATAAAAGAGCCGATGGGTCTGTCCACAAGGAGAAAGTATTTCAAGTCAGCTACGTTCCTCTTACTGATGCACCCAAAAAATGAACCGTGGTATCATCCATCCATTTACTATACCTAGGATTCACAAACTGTAGCCTGTGCTACATTGAAAAGTCAACGATTGATGTTTCGCCGCCCCCTGTTGTAATTTATCCATTATGTGGTTTATTATTGCAGTACCAAGCTTAAGTTCATGGAACTTCTTATATGTTATTACAAATAACGATGCAGACGACCAAGGAGTTATAAATTGTGGACCTGGCCATTATTTTAATGTTATCTGAGCCGTTAAAACGGAAATCCACCTGGGAAATTAAATCCCTGGCCAGAAGAAAACTTGAACTGCGGACCCCCTTGCTGGAAAAAGAACTGTTGACCACCTCCTGAACCGAATGGGCTTCCCTGGAATGGATTTTGCCTTTGAGAATCTGGGTCATTGGGGTCGTGACCGTTATCATAGCGTGCCCTAACCTCAGGGTCGGACAGAACCTCATAAGCCTCATTAATAGCAGCCATCTTCTTCTCCGCGTCCTCTTTGGTGACTCCCTGGGACTTGGCCTTATCAGGATGGTGTTGTTTTGTTAGTTGACGGTACGCCCGTTTAATGGTACGTTCGTCAGCGTCTCTGCTGACACCGAGGACCTTGTAGTAATCTTTCTGCTTAGAGCGCTTTTGCAAAACCGCGGCTTTTTGTAAAAGACTTTGCACTTCCTTAGAGCCGGGATGATGTTCCTTGGCAGTGTTAAGAAGATGTATGGCCTCATCGAACCGATCTTCGTTTAGAGCAACCTGACCCTTGAACAAAAGAGCCGGCAATGAATGGGGATTCATGTCCAGGGCGTCGGAACAGTAAATAGCAGCGCGTTTCGACATATGCACCTGGATATAAACATGCAATTAGCCTGGGTCTGTCTCTATTTAGGTGCTGGGAGGTGACGAACCTGACTGTAGGCCTCGCAAGCCTGCTCAATCAGCGACGCATGAAGCCGCTTTGGAGCCGAAGAGTGGATGTGACCTGCTTCCTTCGCTTGCTCCGTATCCTCTTTAACACTATCGATGAGACCGGCCTCGCCTTCGGTCCCCACCAAAATATTTATGGCATTGTTAAACTTCCGCGCCGCAATAGCGTCATCTAATTTCTGGAGTTTTTTCGCGAGTTGTTTTTCCTGCCGGTAAAGCCGATTGCATGGTTTTGAGTCTGGATCCGAATGTAAACACTTTCGAATTTGTGCGACGCCTCGTTCACGATCCGCGAGGGCATAAAAGAGCATTGAAGATATCTGCAAATGCGGCTCTATCAGGCCTGGCGATATGTATAAGCTGTGGACAAGGTCGCTGATTCCTTCTTCTATTTCCCCCTTTTCGAAACGGCAATGTGCACGGGTTTGCCGAAGATGAAGGGATGCGCTGGCCTTTGTGATTGCAGTACTCGCCTCACTTACGCAGGCATCCCAGGCGCTATGCTTCTCCGCATCCTGCGCTCGAGACGCCGCGCCAGATGCTTCATGAAGTTCTTTGTATTCGGGGGAAGACTTTTTGCCAGCCTTCTCCAGATCGTTCAGTGCGCCTGACCAATCTGCGGAGTTGGCTCTAAGGCGGGCTCTTTGCAGCAGCGCGCTTTCGAAATCCGGTTTTAACTCGAGGACTCGGTCGAAATCGTCGAGGGCCTGCGAGCGTTTCCCTAGGGAAAGATAGGCAGCACCTCGCTGGAAGACAGTGAGGTAGTTTGTAGGGTCTCTCGAGATGGCAGCATCGAGATAAATCAAAGCGTCGCGAGGGGAGCCGCCGGAAAGATGGGTCTTCGCGGACGCAATTAAAGACGAAAGAGGGGTATCTGGGGCTATTGGTGATTCGAGCCCATAGCTACCTGGCATACAGGCAAGCAGAATAGTAATTGCTCCGAGTGGAATCAGCATCTTGAGCCGCTGGGGAGGAGGATAAAAAGGACAGGTATGAAGCGATAAGAAGAGATTTAAGGAATGTGTCGCATAGTAAAATAAATGTAAGATAGGAAGAACAAACAGCAGGCAGATGTCCTGTTGGTATATGACCCGTGAGAGGCCGGAGTGCAAGTTACATGCTTCTCTCTTCTTCTGATTCTGTGGTGAATTGCAGGATCTCATATACTTCGATCTTCCAGTCTGGCCTTTACCGTCTGTTACGCCCGCGCCTCGTAACTTACAGCACGTGATCGCCAATGCCGGCGGGTCCAGAAGCAACTCTCATAATGCCAGCTCTCAACAATGATTGCATTTTGGATGGGTACAAGGGTCAAGGACGCGTGGTAATTACCGGAGGCCCATTGCCATTCTATCTGTTGCATATAAATCATGCTTGCGGTCCCGTGGGTGTGCTCTCGGTGTATTGCACGGTCTGCTCGAGTTGCCCCGAATCTCCGCCTCTTTTACCAACGACGGAATCTTCATATCGGTATGCGCCTGGTTTTTTTTTTTTTTAAGATCCATATCGTATTTACAGTACATATGTATAGCGGGATATATATATCTAGGAATAATTATACTGATGGTATTTTTTTTTTTTTTTTTTTTTGATCCGCAGATTCCGATATTTCCCCGGCTCTTCTATCGCGAGCTCGTTCCTTAGCGTCCGAACATGCACATCTATCTGAGCAGCTCGCGACCTCATTTGATCCGAAAGTCGCAAAGCGAATTGGCGAATTAGGACCGGTTGCGAAGACCTTGACGGAATGGAACAATGCTAACAAGGTATGATGATGCTTGCTGGCTATGCATCAATGGGGTGCCTCGTACTGATGCACTTTAGACCGTATCAGAACTCAAGTCATTGCTTGAGGATCCGGATACGGAGACAGAGCTGAGATCTCTCGCGGTTGAAGAATTGGAAAGCACACAAGCAAATCTGTCGGCTGTGTCTGATAATTTAAAGCGGGCTCTCGTTCCCCGACACCCTTTTGCGGATTTTCCATGTTTGCTCGAGATACGGCCTGGCGCCGGCGGAGACGAAGCTGGGATCTTTGCGTTTGACTTGCTCAGGATGTACATTGCATTTTGTTCTCGACGTGGGATGCGATCTACTGTAATAAAGCAGGAAGTTGGGGATGGCTCGGAAGATCGCCTGAGCGAGGCAGTATTGGAAATCGAAGCCGACGGTGCCTATGATCTTCTAAGAACCGAGTCGGGAGTACACAGAGTTCAGAGGGTTCCCGCTACAGAAACTAAGGGACGTACGCATACCAGTGCCGTTAGTGTGATGATTCTTCCAAGTTTCCCGGAAACAGGCGCCGATAGTGCCCTCAATTTCGACGATCCGAACAGCGACTATTATATCGATCCCCAGGAAGTCCGGACAGAGAAGATGCGAGCCAGTGGTGCCGGTGGCCAGCATGTGAATAAGACCGAATCGGCCATTCGTCTAACCCACATACCAACGGGTATTGTGGTTTCAATGCAGGATTCGCGGTCCCAACATGCGAACCGCAAGAAAGCGTGGCAGGTTCTGCGCGCAAAGTTGGCAGAGGCTCGCCAACAAGCACGAGAACAGGAAGTGGTCGAACTCAGAAGGGGGGCCATGGGTGGTGTTGCGCGGATGGGCCGAGGTGATAAAATCCGGACATACAATTACGGCCAGAGTCGCTGCACAGATCATCGAAGTGGTATAACTGTTCACAACCTGGATGATGTTATCCAAGGTGGTGAGGGTTTGGAGACGGTAATGGATAGCGTGCGATCCTGGCTTATCGACCGTGAAATACTGGCGATAAGCGCCGAGGAATCCGAGAAGAATGTATGAATAAACAACATCAATTGAGATAGTTTGTACAATAATAAATCTTTAGATCTAAAAATTCTGCTCTGGTTGGTGACACCTGTATCTACACACAAGTACACTCCTTTCCATAGGCAGAAGAACAAACAGGTCTATTATGGTATGGTAAGTTGCCTTGGTATGTTTTGAGTGTATTTTGATTGTCGTCATATAAATTTCCTTTCTGGGTCTAGCGAGTCGAGTGTTTCCATAGTTTTTTCATACCTGTTCGCAAGGTTAGTAGATCGCTCCCAAGAAATGCAGAATTTCAACCTGAACGAACATGGTAAACACGATGCCTCCGCTCAGGATCAGTCTTGCTAGTCGTGGAACAGCTCCAGACCATAAGGTAAAGACGCCCTCGTCCTTGAAAATCCGCACTGCGCAGGCGATGCTGTTTTTGTAATTCTTGCTAGCCTCAAGAGATTGCATTCTATGACATAGTTAGTGAGAAGCCAATTTGCTACTTGAGGGAGTGAAGACAAACCTAGTTTTGACGGTATCAAGAGGTTGAGTAACGTAACTAATTCCAGATTAGTACTTTCTTCTCAATTCGGACAGCGTGCAGGGGTGGAGAGTTGAGAGTAGGAGCTGTATTCCGCATACACTGTGATCAGGCCCGCAATTCCACCTAGGGCAAAAGTGCTCGCTGTTCCTAGCTTTTCACCGGGCGCAACATAGCCCTGTGCTATTTGCTTCAACATTGTATAGCTTGAAAACCTCGTGGCTGAATTGGCAGCTTGTCTTGCCGTGGTAGGGACAAAGCCTTGGAAAAAGCCCCGAATGCCTCGTTCTCGGAAGATCACACCACTGCCGTGCAAGAAGCCGCGCATACGGGGGTTTGCAGATTTCCGGTCATCAATCCTGCGCAAGTTAAAGACATAAAAATTGTATTAGTTCCTTATGCGTCGTTGATAGTAGGCATGGGGGAAGGAGTGAATGATAAGTTGGATATAACTAACAATTGAGTTTTGATACTTTCGAAAGGTGTGACCGCCAACAAGGATTCAGTGAATCCGGCTCCAAACCCAGCTATGACTGTTCTAGGACCAGATATTTTTCCATTTTCATCCTCGAGGATGGATTTGAAAGCATCAAAAGCCACGAAACCTAGAGGGCAGCGTTAACACCCGTAACACCCTGAATGAGAAACAATAGGTCAAACTAACGAATTCCGGCTTTTAGAGAGTTCCCTATGATCAATGTGGTACAGCCAGCATACCATTGCTTTCCAAAAGGTGGCCATGGCAGCTTCTTTGAGTCCGCGAGTCGACGGTTAAGCTGTGTGCGGGTCTTTGCGACTAGACATTTTTAGCCCTTTTTTTTTTTAAAAAAAAAAAAAAACCGATAGAAGGATGAAGGGAATAGATACATTCGGCTGGGTATGTAATTGCTAGAACGATATTAGTATGTCAAGGCAAGTACTGAATGGGATTTGTTCGTCAACGGTACCGATCTCGACTGCACCCGCAGTAGAGCCCGCAATAATGGACCGCAGGGCGCTCGGCTGGAGAGCATTTAGTAAAATTTGGCGGGGAAAGGGAGGAAGGACAAACCTTAGGCCGCTGGTCTTTCTCTGCAGAAGCCATTGCTTGGACGATATTGGTATCTTAGCTCTCTAGATACCTTGAGTGTGCCCCTGCACGCAAGGATCGCAGAAAGTAGGTGAATAACCAGTACCTCGGGTGTGACAGTGTGAAGAGGGGCCTCAGGCAGACTTGTCGCCGTTGGAGGCCAGGTACAGCACGTGACCATCGAACAGAATCTTAATGGCTTAGGATGCGTAGCTTTCTCCATACTTTCCCTAGGAGCCTGATTGCATGCCCTTGGATGACATCCAGGCACAGATTTGATTACACTTACAAGTTAGTTGGAGAATGTGGTTTTTTGGAGGAAGCAATTGACATTGGCTAAGTGCTGAGTAAAGTTACATCATAACGTCAGTAGCACCCAGGATTCCCCCAACTTTTTTTTGTATTTTTTTCCCATGAAATTTTGACTTTGCATTTGAGCAAAACCTTCGGAGGAAAGGAGAACCCATGTGCAATGAGTGTCTTCAGTCCAAGTATTGAAATAAACTCGAAAGGTAGCCGTAGGCTCCATCTTGAACCTGGTGCTTGGCCAGATTGATAAAACCGAGGATCAGGAAGGACTGGAACGATGAAAAGGAAAGGAGAACACATGACACAAAAAAACACAAAGCCATCCGTAAAACCACAGCGCCAAACACGATAACTCCCTCAAAACAGTGCAACGATTCATTGTGAGCCGGGGAAGCATGACCAAGGGAAAGTCAACCGCCGAAAACGCATCTCACCAACAGATAAGACCGTGAAACTCCGAATCCGTGTGTAAGAAAAACCCGGGATCGAGCAAGGAGAGGAAAAATGTATGTACAACTGGAGAAGAAAAGGAACACAAAAGTACAGCCGCTGTAGACACTATGTGCCAAATATTCTCGGACGAGTCAAGGTAGAGGACGACGGTGTATGTGTAAATAAGAGGTTAACTGAAAACGGCACCGGGATCAACAACCGTAAGAGACATAGAAACAGAGGGAAGAGCGGAATCGTTGTCATATGGTTGATGAATCTCAAGAATAAAACCAGTTCAAGGTAGGTCGTAAAAAACCGAGCAAAGAGGTGAAGCGCATAGAATCAAGGAGAGAAAATCGTTAGATCTGACCATTCCACATCAAATAAACAAGTATCAGAGGTGCAGAAGAATCGGGCGTGGCATGCAAATATCACTAGGATAAACAAACAGTTTCAATACTCCATTATGAAACTTGCGTTGCTGGTTGAGGTTTGCCGCTTGGTTGGCCTTGGGAGGCACTAAATCTACCTCCGTCGTTCTGAATATTGCGACGCTGGCCCTGTCCACGGCCCCCACGGTATGAGCCTCGTCCTCTGTTGGACTGGTATTGCCCACCATTGGGGTGGTTATGGTGGCGGCGGTCACCGGGGTTCATGTTTAGTGTTGCGGCCGGTGCTTGATGGGGTTGCGAGGGATTTGATATCGGCCGTGGAATGGTGTCCGGAGAGTCGTATACATAAAGTTTCTTGTCAATATTTTGTGGGATGGGTTGAATCTCGGTTCCCAGTTCTTGTTCGATTTTATACAAGTTGAATCGGTCATCCCAATTGATAAGGTTGATTGCCAGACCCAGATGCCCAAACCGACCGGAACGACCAATACGGTGGAGATATGTTTCCGCATTTTTCGGGAAGTCGAAATTTATGACAACGTTGACGGCCTGGATATCAATGCCTCGAGTCAACAAATCCGAGCAAACGAGATTGCGACAAACACCGTTTCGGAAATCATGGAAAACTCGATTGCGGTGCTGTTGTAGCATCCGAGCATGTGAGTAGAAGCATGAATAGCCTAATTCGGTGATCTTCTTCGCAAGGAGCTCAACTCGATTGGTTGAATTGCAGAAAATGATCGACTGGTTGATCTGAAGTTTGGAGAAGAGGGTATTAAGACAGTGGACCTTCTGCTTCTCCTCCACGAAGGCGTAATACTGTGTAATACCCCGAAGGGTCAGTTCGTCCATGAGGTTGATCTCGTAGGGGTTGCGCATATGTTTGTCCTAAAATTGAAATTAGGTACGAATTGTCTGACCTGGTTGAGGGACTTGAAACGTACCTTGAAAGACTTCACAATAAGTGGGAATGTGGCACTGAAGAGCATAACCTGGCGGTCTTTGGGGTGGAATGAAAGAAGTTGTTCAATGACTGGAGTGAACTCGGGAGAGAGCAACTTGTCGGCCTCGTCCATAACAAACGTAGGGCATTCTGACAAGTCCGCAACCCCCTTGCTAGCAAGATCGAGTACTCTACCTGGGGTTCCAACGAGAATGTGAACAGCGTCGTTCAATCTGATGATATCATCCATCAGACCAGTTCCTCCGGTGGTAACCATAACATTAATTCCAAGATGTTTTCCAAGGGTTTTGCAAACGTGAGAGGTCTGGAGTGCGAGTTCTCGGGTTGGAACAAGGATAAGTGCTTGTGTTTTGATACTTTTAGGATTGATGCGCTCTAGTGTGGGGATGACAAAGGCTGCGGTTTTTCCTGTGCCGTTCTTTGCTCTGGCTAGAATGTCTCTCCCAGTCAAGGCGACTGGGATAGTCTCCTCTTGGATGGGCGATGGCTTTTCGAATCCAGCCTCGAAAATGCCCATCATGAGTTCTCGTTTGATATAGAAGTCTTCAAATTCTAGACCTTTGGTGGCGGTCACATCCTAAACTTAGGTCAGAATTGAAAGGAGGCGGAAATTCTCTTGGAAAGAGCAAACCTCAGTTTGTGGTCTGGCATCTTTAGCGGGGAGTTTTAATTGTTCCTTCCACTTGGCATCTGAGTTTGCATCCCTATTAGAATGGTTAGGATAGGTCGGAAGCCTCGGAAAACGGAGTTCAAGAGCAATTTATATACCCCAAGCTTGTGTTATTCAGTTGTGCAGCGAGAGCGTCGGCCATTATGAACGGGTATAAGAGAGAGGTTATAGTTGACTAGGGCAGGTCGAGTCCTTTATGGGCAGAGTCAGAAACCGTAAAGAGAGATCGGATGGCAATGAAATTTGTTTGTTGAGTTGTAGTGAAAGCTGGATAGAGCTCTCAGCTAAATATTGTAGGAGTTTGAAGATAAGTTGGAGTTGTTTTCTTTGTCACCCGGATAATGTGATGGCGTTGTGTGGGAACTGGGAATCGGCGTTGGGATTGGAGTGTGTTATTTCTGCTTGGAGAGGTCAAGTATAAGAAAGACAGAGAAATCAAAGACAAAGTGTCTGTTGGTAATGTAGCGATGTGTTGCTAATTAGGGTGAATGTCAATAGAATTTTAGGTGAGAGTGAGAGAGGTTGAGAGATGAAGTGGTCCAGAGGCGGTAAAAATTCGAGATGGTGTCGGGCTGGAGAGTGGTGAATAATTATGTTGGCAGTAACTAACTACAAGTAGTTGGCGAGCACACCACCCCTTGTGGCTATTTTATAACAGCAATGCTGTCCTACCATATTCTTTGTAGTATTTGAGAGATTAGTGATAGAGTGGATTGGATTGTAAATAAACATAGATTAATTTAAACCTGGGATATTTAATGATGGATGTATTCAATACATAATGCTCAATTCAAAATTCCACCTCCTCCCAATTGCTATGTACTTTGAACAAGTGGATCCAATAAATTGAATTCCGAATTCTGTACTCATTGCTCTATTAATGCTGAAAACTCACAAGTGACACACTCATGTCGTAAATCGAAAACAAAGGGAGAGAGAGAGAGAAGGCGAAAAGGGAAGGCAAAGGGGGGTATCTAGGTGTCATTTACGGCGGAATGAGAGGCGAGGAGACATTGGTAGCTCTTTGAAATAAGCCATAAACTTAAGACTTAACTATCGAAATGATAGCCTTGCCTGTCCTCTTTCCGGTTCCGCCAACCTGGAGGATACTGTCAGTTATAATAATCCTAAATATCATACGATACTGCTTACTCCTTCACTCTCACGTCAGGGGCGAGGCTGATCTCGGCCCTTGAACCCGGCGTAATGAGTATAAACTGTCGTCCAATTGATCGTCGGGCAGCGAGCATCTATGAACGGACAAGTCAGAGAATCCCACACTTTTAATATGAGGAATAGTATGAGACGCACCAGCATATCAATTGCCATCTTTCGATTAACCTGATCCATGTACACATCGCTAAATTAGCTGTTAGCGAAGAACTGGTTGTAAGTTGTTGGTACTTACAATTCATCTAAACAGCGAATGGGCGATCCCATGGCCTCCCAGAGGGCTAGGAGAAGGCAAACCTGCGAGAAAGATTTTTCACCACCTGATAAAGTCCTCGCCCCTCGCCCCTCGCTGTCTTTTGTGATGTCGGGCTCAACCTGCGAAGACATATTAGGTCTTGTCCACCCAAACAATTAAACCATGGAGATATACCTGTAAGTCTAGAAGTTTGTTTTCATGATCCGTCAAAAGGCGGCCGCGGAAGCTTCGTTCACTCAAGAGGTATGTAAATTGTGCTTTGGCACGAGAAGAAATGTGAGACCGAAAGATTTGCCAGCGCTTCTTACGGTGTTTGAGAGTCGTTTTAAGAACCTGTGAGTATTGCCTATTAGCAAGAATAGCCCTGAACGGGCATAACGTGAGCTCACATCAACAAGCAACCGGAACTCCTCGATCTGTTTCAATGCCTGTTCATAATCTTTATTTGTTTTGGCTGCCTCCGCGGCAATTTCCTCTCGAGAAGCTCCCAGCCTGTTTTCTTGATTAGTATTAGAATGACCAAATAGGCATCTCAAACGCACTCTCTGTTATATCGCTGTATGTCTCTATGCAGCCTGTCGAGTTTCTTGTCTAGGCTAGCAGCAGTTTCCCCTTCGTCGATTGCAACACGCGGCGAGACAAGGCTCGCTTTCTCACTGTAATCGAGAATGCGAGTTATAGTTTCCGCCTTCTTCTGATCCAGTCTTGCCCTATCTCGCTTCATGAGGTCAATTTGCTCCACCGCAGTGTTTTTCTCGCCGATCTTCTTTCGCTTCTTGTCCGCAATCAAGAGTTGCTCACTCTCAGCAACCTTGAGCTCTTCTCCCAATTTAGAAACCTCAGTTTCTTTGGCTGAGAGTTCCCGCTGGATATCTTTTAAGGTCCGCATCATATAAGCCATGGCATCTACGCTATCTTTTAACGAGCCTTCATTTAGACGTTTCTCTTCTTCAACTTCCCGGAGAGACGTCTGGAGCACCTCGAGATTGCCATCTTCCAGAGTTTCTCTCTCAAGTGCCTCTGAAAGCTCATCTGCACGATCTTCTTTTTGTTGGATTTCGACACGAAGCTCACTTGTCCTCCTTTCATATTGCACACGTGTTTGCTTGCAGCGCTCCAAATGAGCATGAGCCGAGTGCACTTCTTGCTCTCGGTCGTTCAACTGCTTTCTAAGGTGTGCAACAACACCTTGCTGTACCCTGGATGGAGAGAAATTTTATTTAGCGAAAATATATGACTGCCGAAACACATGGTTCCTACCTAATCTGGGATGCTTGATCAGATTTCATCCGTGGATTCCCAGTATAGACCGAGACGGGTGCCTGGCTTGGTTCACCAGTGCGGCTGTAGGACAAATGAATACCTCGACGTCTGTCAGCTTGGTTAATACAATAGCAGCGTTTCACATTTTTAGGTCTCTCGCCATCGAAAAGAACAGAAGATGCCTCTTCTAGGTTCTCTATAAGGAGCATTTGTTCTATTCCGTGGTTAATGACCAAATGTCGGCGAACTAGTTCACTTTCGATCTGAATTATCGGCATTAGCAACGCATTAGTTCCTGGACAAATGCAACTAACCTGAAGGACCCGTAGAGCTGTGTCAAACTGGAGGTCCGGTTCGTGTTGAGATGTGTCTATGTGGCCGTCACTTCCAATGAAAATGGGGACCACACTGTCATTCTTGTCAGAAGGAAAACAAAACAAAAAGCGTATACAGTAGATGAATGGGTTGCATTGGGGTTTACCAGTTGACTCTTTGCATAAGTCTAGACAGAATATTTGAATCTCTTTTCGAGGTAACGATGAAACTGTTCAGTGTTGCCCCAAGCGAGCTTTCCAAGATAGACGACCATTCGGGTTTTAGCAAGGTCACAAAGTTACCAATGGGCCCAACGGGCGCCTTGGTGAATGACCGCTCTTGCTGAATTGCCTTGAGAAGAGCCGGCATCTTCTCATGAAAACCTGAAATTTTGCTTCCGCCTTCTTTGCGAAGGTTCCGTAATAAGGCCTCGGCCTGTTCAACCTCCTGCTTCGCCTGACTGGCCGGTTGTTTTGCTGCCTCTATATTCTTTCCAGCCTCTTTTAGATTCGCATTTATGCGGTCCGCATTGCGTTCGTGCTCCTTGTATTGTGCGACGGCTTCGACAACGTCTTGTCGCGCTTGCCTGAGTTCCTCTTGCCTGCGCGCAAATCCACCACCACTGATTTCAGACAACCGTTGATTCTCCTGGCTAACCTTTTGCTCTATATCCTTTTGTCTGTCTTCTGCTGCTTTCAAATGCTCTTTTATCTGGCGTTGTTGAGCCTGGCGTGATAGTTAGAGGAGGGTACAGAGCATGGGGTAGGGTTGGAGGCACCTGGAGGTTGTGTCGTTCGTTCATGCTTTCATCCAGTTTATTTTTGACATCTCTTCTTTCACTCTCGGCGTTTTCAACTTTGACAGTAGCTTGTTGGACGTATTCTGCGGCTGCTTCGTGTTCAGCCTCAGCTTCCTGAATTGTTACATCGTATCTTCCGAGTTCTGATTCAGCTTCGGCTATTTCGCTGTCTGCTCTTGAAATTTCACCTCCGTGGAAATCCCTCATCTGAGCCTGTAAGTATTGGATTTGATAGGGTAGGTCGTAGTCCATACCTGCTCTTGTTCTTCGACCTGGGCCCAAGCCATTTGATTTCGGAGATTTCTGATTCGGCTTCTCAGGGATTCATGCTGATCAGATATTTCTAATTTTCGCTTTGCAGCGTCCCTGCGGTTCTTTAAAATGCCGATATCCTGTTCTTTGCTTCCGAGCTTTTCCTCAATTTGATCCGCAGATTCCTCGATTAGTCGGTAATCCTGGTCAAGCTGTTCCAGCTGAACTCCCTTCACGAAAAACTTGTACTTCTCAGCGGGGCTTGATGAGCTAAGAAACTGACGAGCCATGTCCTGTGAAAGAACATTCATGGGATTCTCAAACTGCAGGGTGAAGTAGTCGATTATGGCATCTAGTTCGGCCTTCTTGGTAGATATGATGCGCCCGCTTTCTGACTTAATTTTGAAGCCGCTTGTGCCATTCTTAGAAAAGTGACGCTCCACAATAATTGACTTCCCATAATCATCGGGCATGTAAGCACCCTCGCCTTGGTTTTTGATTCGTACAACAATCGTGGCCGCCCTGAAGATGACAATTAAAAATCAAAGTCTTTGTAGCGAGACCTATCACTTACTCTTTTCCTTCCTTGATAAAGCTTTTGAGGCTTTGCCCACGGTTAGTAGCTGACGCTTTCCCACCCAAGCAGAGAGTTATTGCTGTGAGAACCGCGCTCTTTCCACTACCATTTTTGCCAACAATGAAGTTGATTAAAGGTCCAAGCTCAACCTGAAAGTGATCATGGCACATGAAATTGTAGCATTCAACACGCTCGAGAATTCCGTGCTCGGCGGGTATATTTGGCTCGTCGCTAGTAAACGAGTATTTGTCCTGAATCACTTGAGTCGCTCGTAATTCCAACTCTTCTTCATCCTCGTTCAGGGCAAGTGTGATAGACCTAGGACTACTTTCTTCATCGCTTTGTTCGCTAGCTTCGGAAGAGGGTGAATCGGATACTCGACGTCGTTTTCTCTTTATCTATGTATTAGTTTCTGGAGGACATACGCTGCAAGGAACACGCACTGAATCTGAATGAGGGGATATCGAAGAAAGACTACCATCCTCATCATTAACATCCGAGTCAGTGGGCTCACTAGACTCCTGCGAACGTTTTCGGGTTGACATTGTAAATGGGAGACTAGATTAAATAAGAACACAATCGCGAAACATGTCCATATTCCCAAGTGGGTGCAGGATGAAGAAAGACAAGAATGAGTTCCTTTTGAATAATGCCTATCGTATCGTCTTCTTGCCAGATAAAGGCTGATGAGATCTTCAAGTAAGCTGGGCTATATTTGTCAGTTCTTTCACAGGTTGCTTTATTCGTGAGCGGTACACTGATTACATTGATATGTCGCGTCGCGTTCCCATGTCGCCTGGTCACGTGAATCCTCGATGTATTTTGAATTACTACGGTGCCAATTCATGATTTTCTACACTATTCTGCTGCTGAAATTAAAAATAAATATTTAAGGCGATCCGTTGTTATTTCGGTATTTATTGTTTATTGAGCAGGAGAGGACACTTGGGACCTAGGTATCTGGCGAACCGCGAGAGAAACGCCACTAGATAGTTTGAGAAGAACCGGGACTCCAGAATATACAATTCGGAAGACGGTGGTAATAAAACATGGTATTTCCTTATAGTATACCAGAAAAGATGTACTAAATAGCAAAGGTATAGGGAATAGGGGATAGTACAATATGGGAAATCGAAATAAGGAGAAGAGAAAGTTGTATATCTCAGTCATTGTTACCTGTCATACTCGTAACCTGACTCCTAGAAACTACTAGGTCTCTACTGCCAGTTCGTCGAAGTGCCTGTCTCATGGTCTCTATATTCAGCTCACCAGTGAGGCTAGGAGAGACCGGTCTCTGGACAGTTAAAAGCGGACTTTCAGTACCGCGTGCTCCACGATTCGGGGAGAGTTCTAGGCCCTTGAAAGATGCAGATATGCTAGTTGGTGGAGAAGTTCCGAATCCATGAGAAGATATTGGCGAATGCAAGGGCGACAGAGAGATGTTCTGATACACCATTCCAGATGGATTGGCAAGAGTTGGGCTTCCTTGCGCAGAATCATGGCCAAATGAATATTCACTTGTTTCTGCATTTTCGGCATTTACGACATCGGCAAATGAAATGAAGCTCAACCGTCGAACATCAGCCATATCTGACCCCCTGTTGCTGGATGAAAGTTCTTCGGAATCGTTCATATCTCCTCCACTTTCGGACCAGGACGATTGCAACGAGTGCTCACCTGGGACGACACTGCTCGCTGCAGGGTGATGTATACTATGAGTAACAATTTCCACGGAGTCAGGGTCAAGTTGGCTATCGGTAATCGCTGCAGAGGAAGCCTCCAAAACTGGCGGAATATAGTTTTCTGTTCTAATGTGTGAAGGAATTGACGGAGAGGCTTGAGGCAACAAGATATCTTCTTGCACATTGCGCTCAAAGATCAAAGACGCAGGCGAGTGGCTTTGTAGCGGTGACCTCTGAGGCGTAAATTCCGGCGATGATGGAGACTTATGGGGATTCTTTCCTTGCTGGGACGAAAGGGAGGTATTGTCCGGGGAAAGCGTCAATGGTTTTGGACGGACGACATCAGCAGGAAGTATTGGAGTGACGTCGTCCTTTATATTTCTAACCGGGGGATGACCTCGTTCGTTACCATCTCGTTCCAGGTGGTCAAAGTCCTGTAGGGCCTTCATTGGCTCTACGCGATCGGTAGTTGTAAGGCTTTGCGCAATGGCGCTTGATGTTCCCTCCATATCTGAAATTTGCACAGCGGCTGCAAACAAAGTGAGAAAAGCACAAGGTTCGCGCCTCGAAGAAAGAAACCGGATGGATAAGAACACACAGCAATTGGTTGGGAGGCACAAAGAGCCAGAATAAGACTATCGAGTACCAGCTCAGACTGAGTAGTAGAGGGGTAAAGTTATATATGGTTGTCAGAAGGTGACTGGGATCGAGAACTAGCTATAAGCATAAATTATGTATAAGACCGGTAAATAGAACATAACTTGCACTAGAATATGACGATATCATAGCATTATTCCCAAGAGACAGCATAAAGATTCATGCTGGTAGGGTATAGAAGAGAAGTATGTTCCTCATCAAACAAGCTGTGAACAGCTCACTATCTGTCAATTCATTTGTTGGTGTCTCGTCATGCATCGGACTCTTGCCGTCACTAAGTAATTGATTATGTAAAGAACGACTAATACAGCCCGTCCCAAGTCGACTAATCCATTTTGGTAACCCATGTCACGGGACAAGATACCCGGGAAAAAAGTTGACTTTGGGATGCTCCCGGAGATTTGGCCGTATGAGAACGAAATCAACACAGCAGTTTTCTACCATTATATGCTACTGTCTGAAACAACACCTTTACATGCCATTGTGCGTCATCCCATAACCCTGTTATATGTGGTTTCTCATCCGTGGCCTCTGCATCTCAGCTCCTATCTGAATTGTTGACACTAATTTCGAGTACCAACAGGTGGTCAACTTCAATTGAACCTTGTGCCCTTCACTGTCGACGCACGATTATTGCCAGTTAAAGCAAGTATAAATGGCTGTTTTTATTCCCGCCTCCAAACGGCCAATCCTGGGTCTGCCGTTTCTTCTTCCATCGTGCGAGTTGGTTTCTCTCGAGTTACGACGAAGTCAATCTTCATACAGACGTACAAAGCAACGCCTACGTGTGAAGCCAGATGCTTCTTTTGGTTCTTCCTCCGATACCACTCAAGATCACATCATCTACAACCCCCCATCGAGCGCTCCGTCCGTTTATCATACACCGATAAAGTTTCTCCCTGCAAACGATATCCGGAAAGCCCTGCGCCCTAGCAACTCTACAACCCCCGAGAAACCCCAAGAGCTCCCCTCGGTATTCAAGACACCAATTGCTGAGAAAAGATACCACTTGAGCCCTTCGGATATAGAGGAAATCCGCAAACTCAGGTTGAGCGACCCAATGACCTGGAGCCGGTGGAAGCTGGCTAAGCGGTTTGAGTGCTCTCCTATGTTTGTGGCTATGGTGTGCGAAGCAAGTCCGCAGAAGAAGGAGATCCAAAAGCAAGTTTTGGAAGCAGTGCAATCAAGATGGGGCGCGAAGCGTCGGATGGCGAGAGAAGACCGACAATTGCGGAAAGAGACCTGGGGAAGGGACGAATAAGTCCGAACCTGATGTGTCAACATACCTTGTTTCCATGCAATCACTCTATCCCCCATCTGGCCCTTTCATTCAATCTTCTAGGAGACTTCAAGTTGTGAAGTTGCATTTGCCATGTACAGTAACTGGGACCTATTTTGCACTATGTATTCTAGCATTATTCATTACCCAATTTAAATAGTAAAGTACCATTGTAATGGAGCCTTTAAATAAATAAATAAATAAATAAAAAATCTTGGTGCCATCAATCTGTGCAATTATCTTCATCGCAACCGAGACCCAGTGCGCTTAGATACGGCAAAATACATGTTGTAAACCCTCTGGACCAGGTTCCCGTTATGTAACCCAACCACAAGTGAGTGATTAAGAACTGAATCCTGCATCTACATCGCCCCGAATGCCCCTCCCCCTCCTTCGCCGCGTCACAACTTCCCTCTTCGAGTCCAAATCATACCTCATACCATCCTCACCTTTTGCGAGGAGATCCTGGGTATCACAGCCTTCTTATTGGAACATATCTCAACTATCATCTCGCCGTTCATTCTACGGACATATCAGTGATCACAAAATGGCGCCGGTGCTTGAGCCTTTCTTCAAGCAGTACGTGTTTTTTGGTCTCCCTTCTCTTTGCTGCACGAAGGAGGCGGTTACATCCTAACATCGGATATTTCGTTTTTACAGGGTCGACAGTCTGTCCGAGTCATTCATTGACCGTATGTCTATAATCCAGCCAGACGTTTCTTGAATCTTACTGATAGGGTTAAAGGGTTGCGAAAGGCTGTGGCGATTCCCTCCATTTCTGCGCAGGATGAGAATCGAAAGGATGTTTTTCGGGTATGCGCATAAACTCTCATTTATTTTCTAATAACCCATAAGCTGATTTGCCCCGTCTTCTGATTAGATGGCGCAATTCCTTGCCTCAGAACTCGAAGCCCTCGGAGCTGAGGTGCACCAAAGACCCCTAGGCAAGCAGCCTGGAAAGGAACATCTTGACCTCCCCCCGGTTGTCATCGCTCGGTATGGTAACGACAAGAATAAGCGTACTATTCTGGTCTACGGCCACTATGATGTGCAGCCTGCCTTGAAGGAAGATGGTTGGGCCACGGAACCATTTGAATTGTCCATTGATAGCCAAGGTAGAATGTTTGGTCGCGGAAGCACCGACGACAAGGGGCCAGTTTTGGGCTGGTTGAATGTTATTCAGGCCCATAGGGAGGCTGGCGTTGAGCTGCCGGTCAATCTTCTTTGCTGTTTCGAAGGCATGGAAGAATATGGCTCGGAGGGTTTGGAAGAGTTCATCCACTCCGAAAGCAAAGGGTTTTTCAAAGACGCAGACGCTGTATGCATCTCTGATAACTACTGGCTGGGAACAGAGAAGCCTTGCCTGACATACGGACTACGAGGATGCAACTACTACTCTATCAGCGTATCGGGCCCCGCCCAGGACCTACACAGCGGTGTTTTCGGAGGTTCTGCCCATGAACCGATGACAGACCTGGTCAACGTTCTGTCCAAGCTTGTTGATGCTCAAGGAAATATCTTAATTCCCGGCATTATGGACCTTGTTGAGCCGGTGACAGAGGAAGAGAAGTCCCTGTACACTAATATTAGTTACACGATGGATAACCTGCACGAGTCATTGGGCAGTGAGACCGGTATTCACCCAACAAAGGAAAGAACTCTTATGGCTAGGTGGAGATTCCCCTCCTTGTCTATCCACGGCATTGAGGGAGCATACTCCGCCCCTGGAGCCAAAACCGTCATTCCTGCGAAGGTTATCGGCAAGTTCTCCATTCGGACTGTCCCCAACATGGAAAGCGAGGATGTCAACAAGCTTGTTTTCGACCACATCAAGGCCGAGTTCGCCAAATTGAACAGCAAGAATAAATTAGATGTTTGGCTGCAGCACGATGGAAAGTGGTGGGTTGCCAGCCCGAAGCACTGGAACTTTTCTGCTGCAAGCAAGGCTGTGAAGCAGGTCTTCGGAGTCGAGCCAGATATGACCCGTGAGGGTGGCAGGTATTTCCCCCCTCAGGAAAATTAAGTTTCGTGCTCCAGTCCATGCTAACTCAGATAAAAGTATTCCAATTACCTTGACCTTTGAACAGGCAACCGGAAAGAATGTCCTACTCCTTCCAATGGGCAGCTCCACTGATGCCGCCCACTCCATCAATGAAAAGCTCGACAAGAGAAATTACATCGAGGGTATTAAGTTGCTGGGTGCTTATCTGCATTACGTTGCAGAGGAGCCTTTGCCGTCTTCCTAAATTCTTATTCCTCCCGAAAAGGTGGTTAATTCTAGAATGATCTCAAACAGCCAATGACATATGGCGGAAGTTCAGTTTTGGGATAGTAAATAAGAACCAAGCATTTGCCAACTTAACACTCTACTCGGTCTTCTATCAAGTAAGATACAACGATGCGTCAGGCTAGTTGCCAGATCTTTGCGTAGCTTAAGCGCCATACAACTTTGAAGTCGAGCCACCTTGGGTTTAAAGCTCTGAACTCCGCCTTCATCTGTCCTTGTGTATCTCTTTGAGATCCACCTTCTATGTTTTACGGACTGCAGCGGCTGCGTCGAGCGCCTGTTGCACCCGACCCCGGAGGTCTGAGACATCCTCCAAACCTACACTTATTCTTACTAGATCGAATTCAATACCGAAAGAAGCCGCCCAATCCAATTCACCGTAGTGGGCGAGTAAAGTATACGGGCAACTGAAACAGTTGGTAAACGCGAATTACTAGTGTACTGGGTAAAAGAGAACTTACCTCAAAGTAAAGTTCGTCCCAAGACTAGGACCTTTGAGAACCTCCAGGACATCAAAGAAGGCAATTGCCTCCTCTGTAGAGTGGAACGTGACAGAGAAGAGACCGCCGTACCCACCATTTGGAGTGCGGAATGCCTCATACAGTGACCGTGAAGGGTTATACTTCGGATAATACACATTTTTGACTATGAGAATAGTTAGCATGGAGTCTCCAAGATCAAATCGAAGGAGAGCCTACTGAGGGGAGAATCTTTAAGCATTGCTGTTATGTCCTCGGTAGTATTGTTTATCTTCTCAATTCTCGCCACGAAGTCGCGACTGTTTCTTTCCAGGAAGACAGCGTCTTCCGTCCAGAGAATGTCTTCGTACTCGCGGGTAAAGGTATCCTTGAGCAATTTGTAGTATTGTCCGTGCGGATTGAGTACTGCACTTCCTCCCATAACATTGCTGTCGCCGCTGAATATTTTGGTCAAACTGCTGACCACGATATCTGCATGAGGGAGTACATTGATATTGAGGAAGTTTCCGACTGTTTCGTCCACAACCACCGCGAAGTCATATTTCTCAGACAGCTCTCCGATCCGCTTAAGATCGGGGGCTTTGAGAAGAGGATTTCCTGGAAATTCTGTGAAAAGCCCAAGAAATCTCTCACCGTTGGCTAGTCGGGACTCCAAATCATCCAACTCTTCAGAAGATCCGTGGCCGTAGAACAAACACCCAGGACCCCATTTTTGAAGAATTTTTAGAGTATCGATGTAAGGAAAACCAAAACAGATGCTCTTCATAGCACCCCTAGCATTTAGCAGCATCTGATGCGCATTGAAGATCGAGCTCATACCAGTTGGGTATAGGTAAACATCGGACTCAGATAATCCCGCGACTCTCGCCTCCCGTGATGTCTCCTCTAGAGCTTCACTCAGCTCTACATCTGCAGTCAAGACACCCGCAATCCGCCTGCGCACAGCGATCTTTGCTTGATCGGCCAGCGAAGTACTCAAGTTTCGACCGAAGCGTTCCTCAATGAACTGGGCGGATTCTCGGCCCTCTTGCGGCTGGATGGGGTTCGAGGTCGAGGTCGCGCCGTGTGGTCCACCCTTATTTATTCCGCTTATCGAGCCTCGTCCTCGATATCTCCGGGGGCCCTTGCAGAATTTTGGTGATGATGTATCGACAGCGGCGGATTTCTTTTCCACGAGAAGCCCATCCTTCAGGGCGGATAGACAGAATTCACCCCTTCGACTTGACACACCATTGCCAGAATGCTGCCACACTTGTTTCGCAACCGATGCATACTCGCTTGGGTACATAACACATGACAAAAATGATGTGACGGTGGGCGAATCGGTTTCGGGCTGCTGAGAGGGAACGAAGTCCAAAACACGGATCTTATGTGATTCGTCGGAGGGAATTTTGGACTGGAGGAAGGAGTGACATAAACGCGCGGTATTTGGAGATGGGAACAGAATGGCAATATCGGTTTGCGTGTTTCCAAATCGGGATACGATCTCTTTAGAGAGCTCTTGAATAATGGGATGTATGAAGAAACGGGGGTAGCCGCATTGCATCTTATTTATAACCCATGCTTCCCCTTCTTCGTATGCCACATTTGCTTTCCACGTAGGTAGTGATACACTAACTGCCTATATATCGTAAGTCGCGTTGCATTTGAAAGTTAACTGCGTTTCCATGGGCTTTGTATGTGGAAGTTATTGCTGGGAAAAAGGTATATATAGGTGGGGTACGCGGGGCTCAACACACATACATGGTCAGTGTTTGGAGGAACAGGACCTCCGATGTCCTGAAGCATTATGTCTCTGAGGATAACCTGATGTCAACGTGGAGATTCCAGGTTCAATGGACCGTAAAGAGGGTGATTTATGGTATAAAAAAGAAAAGGAGAGGTTGAGAGTAGATGTACGGAGTAATACACTGATGACTCCGAGGCGAGCGATTTCGGCGATGAGCTGGGAAATTTCGACCAATTATTCAAGCCCTGTTCAAGAGCCATACTACGATGTAGGATCTTAACTATTTTGTTGATTGCGTCGGATAGTATATTGATTGATCTTTGGTTGGCCTAAATTCTGAATTTATTTTCCCCGACGTCAACGATTCTACATAACTAATAGCTATAGGTACATATCTTGTAAAGTCCTCTCTTGTCCTGTCGCGGATCTCGGCTTACATGCCTTCTTAGGACAAACCACGTGATTTTAAACATCCTAATCACGTGACCTGGCGATCGGAGATCGGAGTTTAGATTACCGCTAAATAAAAAAAGTTTCGAGACTTTTTGCTCGGACACAATTGATGGTGAGCGTCGCTAGGCTCTTTCACCCATTATACCTCCACAATGTCTGGTCATACGGCAAAGAGAAGGAGATTGAGTCCCTCTCCAGAGGACATATCATCCAATTCCAGCGCAAATCGGTCCCATAACAAGAGCTCGTCCCATAGCTCAAAGCACGCGGATATCTCGACTTCCGGGGCCATGGCCAAACAAGTTAAGAATGCCCGTTCAGCGGAAGTCGCACTGGCAAATGGATTCTACAAATCTAGTTTCTTCAAACTGCAAATGGATGAGTTGTTGTCCGAATCGAGGCCGAATTACGACAAGCAACTCGCGAAACTCAAAGATGTCCTCCACAACCTCAAGGATACGATTGAACGAATACCTGAGAGATCTCCTAAATTACCACTAGACGCCGGCAAGGAACTGCAAAACTTACATAGCATCTTTGTTCCATACCCGGATCCCCGCCCAGGAAGGGATACCAAGTATTCAGTCGCCTATTCTTCCCCAACGAACATCAATGTGGTTGGGAGTTTTGCCCTTAGGACAGGTGCCAGATCCGGCGAACTCTCTACTATTGATATGGCGGTGACGATGCCGAGTTCGATTTTCCAGGAGAAGGACTACACCAACTATCGCTATTTCCATAAAAGGGCATACTATATTGCTTGCATCGCCGCCGGAATTAAGGATGCCGGGGAACTAAGTCTCGACGTCAAATTTGGACTTCAAGATGGAGATGGCCTTCGTCCCATTATCATGGTTCAGCCTAAAGGCGCTGCATTTTCAAGATATCAAATTCGCATTATCACCGCGATTGAAGATTGCCTGTTTCCGATATCCCGAACTTTGCCAATGAAGAACAACATACGCCATGGATCAAAGGAAGGTACTGATAGCCAGGAACCCACTCCCCTTTACAACTCCTCTCTCCGCTCGGAAGCCACTGTTTCTCTCTACCACAAGTTGCTATCCATGGCTGCTCAGAGCTGTGAGTCTTTCAGAGATGCATGCCTGCTTGGACGGATATGGCTCCGGCAACGTGGGTTTGGATCAACATTTCAAACTGGCGGTTTCGGAAGCTTCGAATGGGCTGTTCTAATGTCGCTTCTATTCGAGGGTGGGGGTCCGAATGGGAAGCAGGTTCTCCTGAAATCTTATAGTAGCTATCAGCTGTTCAAAGCAACTTTGCAGTATCTTGCGGGGAAGAATTTCATGGATACTGTATCGTTTTTCGCCCCCGAAGTTTCCTTCCCAAGGGGTACCCCTGTTGTCTATGACGGGAAGAGAGGCCTCAATGTTATCTACAAGATGACACCTTGGTCGTATGCCTTCCTTCGCCACGAGGCAAATACTACTCTTAAAATGTTGAATGAGTCTCGCGATGACAATTTTGAGAGGGTTTTCATCTTCAAGGTGAATGAACCGCTGCTTAGGTTTGATCGGCTGGTGACACTCCCAGTTGCAGAAAATGGGGACGCCCTCGGCGCTATTCGAAATGAGCATGCCGTTTATGAAGTGCTTGTGAAGGCTCTTGGGGATAGAGCTGATCTCATTCATATTGTTAGCGACAGTATCACTTCTTGGTCGGCAGAGGTAAAGCAACCCCACCGAAAAGCTGGACGTCGCAGCCTGACTGTGGGCTTACTTTTGAATTCTGAAAATGCTACCCGGGTTGTTGATCACGGCCCTGCTGCGGAAGAAAAGGAAGAAGCAGCATCGTTTCGATCCTTTTGGGGCGAAAAGGCCGAACTGAGGCGTTTCAAGGATGGAAGTATTCGAGAGAGCTTGGTGTGGTCGGATCAACTGTCCTCGTCAATTGTGCATCAAATTCTTATGTATATCCTGAAGCGTCATTTTAATTACGTGGAAAGCGATATTGGCTATATTGGTGACGAATTTGATCGACAGCTTCACCGCAATGGCGACGGCATACTGTCCTACTCCAGCCCATCGTTTCAGCTGCTTACCGATGCTTTCAATTCCCTGGAAAAGTCAATTCAGGATATGGATGGAGTGCCTTTGACTGTTCGACAGCTTGCCCCCGCCAGTTCCCTCCTTCGATACACGGCACTCCATGTCAACAAAACTCCCAGCGGTCCTCGCGATCCCGTGGATGTTATTCTTCGATTTGAAAGCTCTGCGCGGTGGCCAGATGATCTTGTCGCAATCCAGATGACGAAGGTGGCCTTCCTTGTAAAGATGGGAGATGCGTTGACCGAGTCCAGCGAGTTCTCGTCGGGCATGGTTGGATTGGAGAATGAGCAGAGCAAGATACTGAACAATGCTTTCCTAGATATCATTCATGTTTCAGGTGTTGTCTTCCGCATCAGAATTCATCATGACCGAGAGCAAACGCTGCTGGAACGCCGAGTGAAAGAATCAGGACTCAACCCACAGACAAAGCAAGAAATAGCATATGCGCTTGCTGCATATAAGCGGGTCTTTATTCATTCACCCCGTCTCACACAAGCTATTCGCACTCTATGTACCCGCCTTCCGCTTCTCTCTCCTACAATTCGCCTGGTCAAATACTGGTTCAGCTGCCATTTGTTTGATGGGCATGTCAATGAGGAATTGATCGAGTTAATGGTGGTACGGGTCTTCACTCAGCCGTATCCCTGGGAAACTCCCTCAAGTATCATGGTAGGCTTTCTTCGAACCCTCCACTTCCTTTCAAGATGGGAGTGGCAGCAAGAGCCGATGGTTCTCGATCTCGGCGGCGAATTAGACCAGAACGCAATCGAGACGATCCGGACACGTTTCTCTGCTTGGCGGAGCATCGATCCAGCCATGAACAGCGTGTCCATGTTCGTTGGTTCTGACATTGACCCCGATGGCGTGACCTGGACCCAATACGAATTTCCCTCTAAGGTTGTGGCAGCCCGGATATGCACCCTTGCAAAGGCAGTCATGAAGCTGGTCCGAGAACAAGGTTCCACACTCGACGTACCCCAAATTTTCCTTCCCTCCCTTGAGCCCTACGACTTTGTTATCCGTCTGCACTCTAAGCTGCTCCACGATCGCTCTGCCTCGCTAGCAAAGTACAAGAACCTAGGCGAACAGGATGATCGGACTCGCGCCGGGAAACTTACAGTTATCAAATCTTTCGTCCATGACTTGCAGGCTTGTTTCAGCCCCAACATCCTCTTCTTTTATGGAAACGAGCAGAGCGATATAGTTGCTGGGCTTTGGAACCCGCAAGCCCTAAAACCCAAGAGCTGGAGTTTGGGCATGACATATTCAACATTGCCTGGTTCAGAAGACGGGGAAGATAACAAAGTCGTGATTAACCGCACGGCCATGCTGAACGAGATTTCCAGGTTAGGCACGGGGATGGTTACCGGGATTGACGTCTGCAATTAATGTTCTATAGTCGGAAGACAACGCAAAATCTTATTTTATTGTTTTACTACTTGACATCTTGATTATTAAAACCTCAAACTACGTACTAACCAACTGTCCTTGATCTTGGGGACTGAAGGGCATCATCATTCCTGAGGATTGAAACTTTGTGTAATGTCTTGGATGTCATATGAAGTGAATACCTGGTAGCGCCTGCAATGCTATATACTGGAATCCAAATGAAATGGATAGATAGATCAAAAGAGAGGGAAGATAAAGGAGGGAGGGGGGGGGGAGGGGAAACAAGTAGCAATTAAAATTAGATCACATTAGACTCCTTCAACCGTTTAAGATCCCGCTGTTACCCTCTCAGGCTTGTCTATTGACGCCTGGGCGGAAAAAGAGCAGAACTTGTCTTTAATCGCTACAACTTCGTAAGTACCTTCGTCAGATGTCTTGATAATCTTCTTATGTTCGTAAGAAACGTCATGTTTAATGTCGAGGATTTCAGGTTTCTTCCCCTTTCGAGTGTTCGAGCTCCGGATATACCTAGAATAGCCAATTAGATTTTGCTTCACTATTTGGAGGGCACCAAGAGAGAAGGGAAGGAAGGGGGGGGGAATACGTGAATTCGAATGGCGGTGTTCCCCAGAACTCGAACTGGAGCTCTGCTTCACCACCTTCGTGGATATCTACAATGGACACTTGACCATTGCTAATTCTAACGCTAGGCATCTGGTGAATGGTTTTGGTGATATTCTTGTGTGCTTTGCACCTCCCGCTGGCACCGTCACTGACGGCTGTGATGCTGAAAACGCCTGGTCTTTCGGCAATACGACGGAAGTTGTTCGTACTAGAGGAAGCCTTTCTAGCAACATCGTCGAAGGTGTAGAATACTTCGAATGGGGCGTGTCCAGAAAGAGAGAACGACAGTCGCTCGCCAACACAGTAGTCGGATTTGGATTCGAGTGGGATAATTGTAGGCACATCCGAAACCGCAACTCTTACAGACGAGGGTTCTGCAGTATAGGTTCGCCGACAGCCGCGTGAATCTCGCACTTTATGAATGCTGACAACATGCTGGCCCAAATCGAGATGACGTCGGGGGATAGGGAGATTATGTCGGTTGGAACTGATGTTTGGGATCGACACTATCTCTGGCTTTGCTTTTGCATAGTGCTTAATTGAGATCTCAAGCGCAAAGGGTGGAACACCTTCGAGTGTGAGTGGTATCAACTCCTCACCACTGTCGTCTTCCTTGCAGAAGCCATAGATGCGTCCTGGAGCGTCAAACCGGGCTAACGGCAGTGGGTTCACTCTCTGGGATACTACTACCTCGTTGCCCAGTGGGTCATTGTTGTACAAGCTATCACCAACTTCTCTGAACTTGTATGTGTAGTCACCCGGTTCAACCGTATCCATTTCCATTGAGAGCGCGTGCAAGGCTGTTTTCAAAGTTCGGACGCGAGTTGAAGAAGAACCACGGGATCCTTTCCTCTGTTGTTCGCACTGGATAGCGTATGGTGGATTTCCTGTGAGTCGAAGCTCAATGCTATCCCCATCCCCTTGACAAACATCACCCTTGGCAACCCGACCATCTCTGCCCACAGGAGAGCCATTAACCTCGGTGATTCGGGGTCGGGGTATCCAAGCAACTTCGAATTTATTGGCTGTCTGATCGACGGATCCTGGGCACGAACCGTCAGTTACTCCAACAAGTTCGTACGTTCCCTCTTCGGCTACAGTCAAAACGCTGTTTTCTTCAAAGAGGGTCTTCTCAACCACTGAAGAACCTCGATTCAGATTCTTATACTGTACAGTCCAAGGGCGTTCGCCACTGAGTCTCATGGGGATGTCGACCTTGGAACCTTGCAAAGCGGAGTATTTTCTGCTCTTCTCGATCTGGCCGAAGGACGCATGTGGTGGTTTGGACCGTGCGTCGATTTTAATGCTTTCACTGAGAGTTCGTTTGCATTTCGATCGATCCTTCACGCTTGTCAGAACAAGAGTATACTCCCCACCGCTCACAAGCTTCTCAGTCACAATGGTGGAAGTTGCACTGTCAGACTCCAAGACGTGTTTTGTTTTCTTGCCATTATGGATAAGCTCATACTGTAGCGTCCAGGGTGTTTCTCCCAAGAAAGCAACATCTACAGAGATAGGTTCACCAAAGCAAGCCTTGCGCACTGCTTTGGACCCAACCAAGTGCGCAGAGGCGGGCGGTTTCACGTCCTGCTCGAGAACCGGAACCCTATCGTCTATCGGGCGGGCCGCGTAGACAGTGTCCGAAATATCCAAAAAGCGATACCGGTAGTGGCCGGCCTCTAAGGGTGTGAAGTCCAGCTGAGCACGCAAACCTTCGATGGTCTGTAACCTGGTTTCAACGCCCTTGGAGTGTTCAATAGAATATCGAAGCCTGAACGGCGGGGAGCCTGTAAGATCCAGATCGACAAGCAATCCGACGGGGCTGTTGGCACATTTGTCGTAAACTTTCTCGTACTTGACCGACAACTCCGGCTCTGGAGGGTTACGCAAGTAGCAAGATGAGGGTTCTAGGACTTCTCCGGAGCAAAATTGACTGGCAACTGACTTCAGGTTATACCAGCCCGGGTCTTTAACCAACGGTTTCTGGTCGATAGTCTTGAGCGAAAGCTGGCGAACTGTGCTTGCCGGATCATCCATATTTACTTGGCTATCTGTGCCGAACGAGTAGATGAGGGAGAATGGCCCATCCTTCGCATATCCCTTACCGGAATCATGGAATTTGACGGGAAGAGGTACGTTCTCTCCCCGCGCAACTTCAATAAACTGCTGATCACTGCAGCCTGACAAGGATAATCGGGGTATTTCGTGAACTGAGAACTGATGCCATTGCGACAATGACTTCGTCGACTGTCGGTCAGTATCTTCTAGAAGCATTGAATAATTGGCTACATTGCCGCAGCCATCATGCACCTCTTCGATCATGTAAAGCCAGTCCCCTCCCACATTCAAAGACTCGTTCAGCGGAATTTCAATGGTTTGGCTTTGGGCCCACGCAATGTCGGGTTCCTGGGCATCGAACAATCGTCCAAGGGCCCTCTGGCCCAGGAGGGGAGTCCGCAAATGATCAGGTTGAATATTTTGGAAAGAAAACCCTCGATCAAGATGGTTCACTTGTCTGCTGTACTTGATTTTTAGCGGCGGAGTACCCTCGACTGACAGCAAAAAGTCTGATAGTTCTCCCCGGCATTTATGGGTGTGCGAATTTTTAATCAGGGCACGAGGGCAAGAGACAACAAGAGTATCGGAGCTTCGCACACGGACTTCCAGGCTCGATTCATCGACCACTCGCTGTAGACGGTATATACCAGGTTGGCGAACCGGGAAAAGGAGGTCACGATGAAGAATGGGGCTTGAGGCGGGAAGGCTCTTGTCTGCCTGGCGCTTCAACTGCTTCAATTGTTTGGAAGGAATTGAAATCGTTTCATTCTCGCCAGTGTTAAAATCGAGACGCAACAGTTCAATCACGATGGGATCGGTTTGATTAACTCGGATAGGCAGGTTCACGGTGGTCTTTTGAGCATCTAGACAAAGCGGGGCCAGGTCTGGGTTCAAAACTGCGGAACTATGTGGGCGTTAGCAACCAAAGAAAATGTAGGATTAGAGCCTGGGAAATCTTACCCCTCGGGGAGGATGTGAACAATTTGCTTTCCCAAAATGAGGGACGCGTTGTTGATAATGTCGCCTGGCTTGACGCTATGGCCGGATATTGAAAGCTCTCGATCGTAGGCCAATTTCACCATTCCCGAGAACCATATGCTGACGGGAATCTATTTACTTGTTAGTTGATACCCACACCATTTAAAAGGATAATCAACACCTACCGGAATGCGGAACATCAAGAAGATATTGCCCACCACATGGATCAGGAACAGTGCTAATGTTGTAGGGAAAGCCCATTCCAACCAGGGTATGCGCAATGCCTGGAGACCGAAGAGGAAGAACCCGTCGATAGCGGCCCATTTGAGGAACAACCAAGTGGAGTCCAAGTCATCAGAAGCTGTCCAGGATTCGTAGACCCTCCAAGCATTGAGTGCGAGGTAGAATGCCACCACATACAACCTTTGTGATGGAGCATCAAGGATCCGTACTGGGACGAGCGGCGAAGGGCCATCTTGGTTGGCGGAGGGGGGTGCCGTTGAAAGAGATTTCGGAGGCGGAACATCGCGGGGCTTAAACTTCAAAGGCGAATGGTTCAAATTCCTCGTTTTCTGCGTTGTCCGGGGCGTTTGAGGAAACGCAGAGCGAAGCCGGGGAGTGTCGCTCATGGCATGCTGTGGTCGCGGAGTTGCCCACGGGGTGATGATACACTTGTCCTGGGCTGTAAACAGGCAGGTGAATGAGCTTTGCGCGTCAAATAATCGGAAGAATGAAATTGAGTGGAAGATACCTGGTCGGACCAAAAGCTCTCAGTGGGTGTTGTGAGTCAGATTTGGAGATGAGAGCGGAGTGGCTTGCAGCTTGATCTTTGAAGGTATTTTATTTTTTTTCTTGGGCGAGACGCGCCGCCATGGATGCTGTGAAGGTGGAAGAGTTTCCATGCCTGATTGGGACTAGTGAGGAAAGCTTTCCATCCCCACTTGAGCTTTCTCTCTTTTCTTGCCTAGAGATATCTGATTCCATAGCTGTGTTTATATGAGATCATTCATTATAGATATCCATATTGCATATAAAGAGGAGCACCAATTTGAAGAACATAATAATACTGATTGATGGACTGGAAGTTGTACATAGAGGGGGTGTGCTTTCGGTAGCTCATTTAAGACCCTGCTTGCTTTGCCTCTTTGCTTGATCAAGTAATAAATAAAAGACGGAATATATGCTGTTAAATATTCAAATACTTTTATATAACTCTGTATGCATCCTTTCTAGCTTTCGTCTTTCTGATCAAATATGATGTGGATTTGTCCAGGCGCAGGGGTTATTCTGACGGGGGAGAGGCTAAGGCAAGCTTAATAGTTTTCTCTTACTTTAAACACACCTTACCTTACCCTTCATCTTTACACGCACCTTTTTCATCTTGAACTACTTTGGCTTCCTTTGCTTCTTTGTTTTATTTATTGGTTTATTTTCTTATTCCTTTTTTTTTCGAATTGGACCCCGTACTATCAATTCCCACATATCTCAATTGGAGAACATTCCATTATCTTATCCAGTCGCGGTAAACCGGGTCCTACGTATCTTTACTGCTTTATCCGTTTTCAACCAGTCAACCAGAGCCAGCTTATTATGAGTGAACGTGTTAAACGACGGCGGTTGATTACCCCCCTCGAAAACCCAGATGAGAACCATGATCCCTGTTGTCCAGCATCAGAAGAGGAGAAGAAGAGCTGGAATGGTTTCTGCGAGCTTGAATCGGAACCAGTGAGTTCAAACGAACCTCCCATGTCCCGTCTTACGAATTTCTATTCTTTACAATACTAGCTCATCTCTCATAGGCTATTTTTAATGTGATGCTTCGGGAATTCGGCGTGAAAGGGGTCAAAGTCCAGGAAGTTGTCTCGCTAGATGAAGAGCTACTGGCTTTCTTAAAGTGAGAGCTGCCAAGAGTCTCTCGTATGATCTTCTCTTTACTGAAGGAAACAGCAAGCCTATCTACGGATTGATTTTCTTGTTTCGCTGGCGGGAAGATGACCCAGAGAAACAGGAGGCGAGTTGCCCAGAGGGGCTTTGGTTTGCAAATCAGGTCAGCCCATTTTTGGTCTAAAATGATCATATTACTGACTTGTGATTTCACTCGATCAGACAGCTGGAAATGCCTGCGCCAGTGTTGCTCTTCTCAACATTGTCAATAACGTCCAAGGACTCGAGTTGGGAGACAACCTAGAGCAGTTTAAAGCGTTTACCATGCCGTTTACTCCTGCTTTAAGGGGAGATGCGATCAACAACTTCGAGTTCGTCAAAAATATACACAACTCCTTTGCAAGGTGCGTCATACATGAAAAAAAAAAAAAAAAAAAAAAACTTTTTTTCACATCTCTTCGTTTTCTGTTCGTTCATTTTGTCTGACACTGATATCAGGAAGATGGACATACTAAATTCAGACCTACAACTCAAGTATGAGGCCACATCCAAGCGCAAGGGCTCGAATAAACGTGGGAATGAGGAAAATGAGGCAGATGCAGGCTTTCATTTCATCGCATTTGTTCCTGCCCTAGGAAAAGTCTGGAAATTCGATGGGTTGGAACGCCAGCCGCAGGCTCTTGGTATGTGGTATTTCTCACGAGGGTGGCGTAATTGCCGCTGACATTTAGTCCAGGTGACTGCGATCCAGACCGGGACTGGATAGATCTGGTAAAACCCAATATACTTACCCGAATGGAAGAATACGAAGAAGGACAGATTGAATTCTCAGTTTTGAGTCTGGCCCGAGACCCGTTACTAGATCTGGTGGACAGACTGGCAGTGAATATCAAATGTCTGGAAACTGCTACCAAGGCCATCGATGCCTATGTAGGAGACAGGGTCACCGTAGGGGCACCTAGTCTGGTATCGGCTCTGGAGGGATCACTTTTAGGTCCCGATGATTCTTATGGGCTAACGAGAGATGCGATTGACCGGGCAAAGATCCCCACAGAGGAAGAAAAGCGGTGTGCAGATTATTCAATGAGCCAGCTCATACAGTATTGCATTGAGCTGTGTAATGCACAGCTACAGCTGAGGGCGACGATTCGAGAAGAACAACAATCCCAACAGAGCGATGACGACTATGCGGAGGGACGCAGGTATGATTACGGACCAGCAGTGAGGACCTGGCTTCGCTTTTTGGCGCGCAAGAGAGTGATCGAGGACCTCATCCCCAAGTCCAAAGGGTTCAGGGAAGTCAGAGAGAAAAGGAACGATGGAGCAGTTGATCCATAATAGTACCCCCAGGTAACGGGAAATAATATTCTACCCAAGGGTCAAACCCCCGTGAAAATTCCAAAGAAAAAAAAAGAGCAATTTCGTAAAAAGTGTCCGAGTATTTTCAAACCCTCCAAGGCGTCACCTCCGGGGCCAGGGAAGAGGGTTGGGGAGCCCTCGTGATGTGCCGATTGGACGACAGTTTCTGGATACTTGAGATTAGAAACTTCATCTTGACTTGAACGTGACTGTGAGCTTTCCCCCTCCTTTCTTTCCCGGTATTTCTCCCTCTGACTTTCTCTAATTAAGATTCATCTCTCCCTTCACCTCTCAGCTTACTCCGATCGTCCTTGAGTATAGTATCGGAGAACGGACCGACGACGACCCCCAGGACGTCACCGTCACCGCCTGCAGTCCACACCTACCGACCGCTTTGCTGAACAGTCCTCCTCTTCTTCTTCCTCCTTCTCTCTTCTGTGTCCCTGGGAAGGGTGCTTGTTATCGTCCTGCTGGATTCAATATCTTCTTACTAATAATAATATCTCCTTTCTTGCCACCTGCCTGTCGCCCACTTTGCTTTTGTTCTATATCTTTGAGTGTCAGGACACCAAAGTATTCGACCGGTCTCTTTTCTCTTTCTCTTTTGGGACTACTCGATTTCTTCTCTTCTCCTTTCCCTCCCACAGCTGGTCTACCCTCAGACTATCCCTCTGTTTTTCGACGTTCTATTCGCTGAATTCCACTTTAAAATCTATCTAATCCGCCATGGCAACCACCGCAACCGTAGACGTCCCCGAAAAGGCCCACGATGACTCGTCCAAGCTAAAAACTTTCCTATCTATTCTTCGGAAGTGCGTGTTACAGGTGCCTGGTTTGCTGATGTGGTCAATATGTGCTGATTGAGCCGTTTACTCCGATTAGGTTCGTAGGGGTGACCGATATTGCGTCCGTTCGGTTTTCATTGCCTGCACATCTTCTCGAGCCAACACCGAACTTGGGTAAGTTATGGGGACTTTGATATCATTATTAGAAGGATATCGCTGACTGGCTCTGTTTGTGCTAGAATACTGGAACTACCTGGACAGACCGGAGACCTTTGCCAGGTCAGCAAGATAGCCTGCCCATCATTTCCAGGGCTTGTTTACTGATGCGGAAATTGCAGTATTGGAATCTCAGATGATCCGCTGGGACGGACGCTGGAAGTTTTGAGATTCTGGTTCACAAAAGATCTGGTATTCCTCTCCTTCGTGGATCTCCACTTTGGTAGCAGAGAGCGTCGCTAAAATGTCTGGCAGAAATATATCAAAAGCAAGCCCTGCAAACCATATAACTCCACGCTCGGCGAATTCTTCAGGGTGAGGCCGACCTCGCGATTCCACCGCAATAATCGTCCTCCAACCGCTGACCCTCTCGGAACATATAGTGTACCTGGGATGTTAGTTCCACCCTTCCGGAAGTAACCCTTTCTTCCAACGGAACGGTGAATGGCGTTTCGACCGTGAAGGATGGCAACGGCAAAGCAGCAAAGGTATGCTATTTGACCGAGCAAACTTCTCATCATCCGCCAGTATCTGCCTTTTTCATCGATTGCCCTGAGACTGGAGTTTCCGCTCGCGGATTCGATCAAATTAGTGCCAAATTTACCGGCACAAGCATCCGTGTTGCTCCTGGCCAGCATAACCTAGGAATTTTCGTGACTCTTGCGAAAAGAGATAATGAGGAGTACCAGCTAACCCATCCTGCTGCCCATCTTGGTGGTCTTTTGCGGGGAGCGCTTGCTATCAGTGTTTCGGATTCATGCTACATCACCTGTCCCAGAACTGGGATAAAAGTGATTCTGCAGTACCTGGAGGAGGGCTGGATTGGTCGAGCTCAGAATAGACTCGAAGGCGTGATTTTCCGATACGATCCCGAGAAGGATACAACTAGTCGGATAAAGGACGTCCCAGAGAGCAACGTCTTAGCCAAAATCAGCGGATCATGGCACGGTCAGATATTCTTCACCTTACCTGGAACTAGTGAACCTCAGCTCTTGATCGATATTGGTCCTCTTTTCCCTGCTGTGAAGACCCTCCCCCCAGATGAAAAGCAATTGTCCAACGAGTCTCGCAAGTTCTGGGGCGGTGTTACCAACGCGATTATCGAGAAGAAGTACAACCAAGCCACCAAGCTCAAACAGGAGATTGAGGAACGGCAGCGACAAAGGGCTGCAGAACGACATGCAAACAATGAAGAGTGGCAGCCCCGTTTTTTCACAGGTGCCGTCACGCCTCTGGGTAAGCCCGCATTGAGTGAGGAGGGGACTAAGGCCCTCGAGGGCCTCCGCACTGGAAACTATGACCTGAAAGAGAGTGAGAAACAAGGCGCCTAGAGAGATATATCTATACATATATACAAACTTTTACACATGTGTTCCTCTTGTACATGGGCTTGATTTCTGGCGCTTGTGGCAATTCTTTTTGTGACGTGTTAGCGAAGATGTTACACTATTCTCTTGGACCCTTGCCCTCTTGAGGTTCGTTTTCGTCCTGCCTTTACATCTTTGAAACCCCCCCCCCGATACACTCCAGATATTTGCAGTTGTTATTTCTTTTGTTGTGTTGAACCTATTGCCGTTTAATATATTTAGACTTCTTCTTCTTCTTTCTGGAAATGAGTGGCAGGCCCTCCTGGTTTCTAATTGGAGTGGGTGTGATATTGTGCTTGGGTTAATTTTATCTATTGGGCCTTAGTGGTAGTGGTGGTTATGGTTGATGATGATGGTGATAATGATTTCTTTTCATTTACCATGCTAGATGGTACATATGGGACTGATCCATGAAATGACTTGATAAAGATATACAACTAGAAGAGAACTAATCTGAAGAAAGGGTAAAGTTATAAACAGAAGAAAAGATCATTCATCAAATCATATCCAATTAACAAAGAACACCATCCATTTGCAAGCCAGTACTCCACCATCCATGTCACTAATATAAAATTCTAATCGTCATGAAGAAAAGCACAAGCCGGGAGAAAAAAAAAAAAAAAAAGACCAGAGGCAGCCATTGACGTTCGTTGACTAAATTTATCAACTGGCAGCCACCGCGGCTGGGTTGATAACCTTATTAAAACCCGCAGCCACAGTCTTTGCGATTTCTTCATTCTTATGAGGAAGAAGAGAGAGCGCGTAGGCGACATCGTTCCATTGGCGCTCTGTTTCGCATCTTGGGAGACGAGCAGCGAGTTTGTCTGCTAACTGTCTGGCGTGTTTTTCCTACAAGGGACACAAAATTAGTCTTGACTACGGACATAAGTGGGTTGAGGAAATGCAGCTCACCTTTTCTACGAAGCCAATAAGGAACTTGACAATACGTCGAAGTGGACCTTCTTCCAGGTTGCGCTCTGCGCTTAGGAGACTGAACATATCTACAAAGTGATTGTAGACAGCATTATCCTTGCCGGCGAGTTCTGTGAAGAACATGCGTGCCAGGTCCGCGATCCTCTTATCGTCATCTTCGAGACACTTAGCCATCTCACCCAGTTGTCCTTTGACCTTGACCTGGCCGGCTAGGATAAGGAATGTGAGTGTCATCAGACATGTGCGTTTGACGGAGGCGTCGTCATCGTTGAGTCGACGATAGAGGAAGTCAGTGTTTTCGTCGATCAGATGATTGAAGCAAACTGCCATATCGCCGAGGGCAATAACGGCATTGCTTCTCACAATTGGATTTTCCGAGCGTTCCATGATGGTGATCAAGAGTGGAAGATTCTTTTCACAATACTCTGCTGATACACACATTAACTTGGCCATACAAATAGTTGCTGCAGCTTGAAGGTTGCGGTCGGAGTACGTGTTGCTATTGGAGCAAATCTCTGCTACCAGTGGCCCGAAATTTGACAGCAGGGAGCTCTCTCCATATAGCAGCTCCCGTTCACGAATGTGGGCCATGGCATCAGTGAAATCGTCCTCAGTTGTGCCGCCAATGAGATCCAGCTCATCGTCTTCGCCTGGGTCGCTTTTCTGAGCCGCGTTGTTCGCAGGCTTATTCTTCTCTTGTTCCGCCTTGCGACGCTTGAAGTCAAGCTCGCATAATTCCAAGTGAACGATCTGCTTGATTGCAATATGACCAACAACGAAAAGAAGTTGAGATAATGCAGCAGAGGAAGCCTTCTCTCTAGGAAGAGGACTGTCGGTAGACGCTGTCCCGGGACGTTCCTCTCCGTGACCTGAGCCACTGGAGGATGGGCGCTGAAGTTGTGGTTGGAAGACAAATCTTGTCTTTCGCCTCACAATGTCGGAGCAAAGAACATCTGGATGCTTGGACAAGGCATAGATGGCGCTAACAGCTTGCTCTGCTACTCCGTACCATTCCTTACTGTCTGAAACTATCTCAACAATCGCGGCAAGCTTCATCAATACCGGATGATCGTTGGTGAGTTTAGGGATGCCAGAATCCTTGGACTTAGCCTGACGACCGGGAACCATCCGTCGCAGTGCAATACACGTATATTTGGAGAGAACAAGATCGGATCTTCCAAGACTTCCAAGGCCAATGCGGAGCATAATCTCAAGTTCTTTGATTACAACCTCGGGATCGGCCAGCGCGATCATACCAAGAACAATGATTGCACCGCGTCTCTGGGTCCTGGAAATCTCCTTCTTCTGCACACCATAAACTTGCCACAGTTTGGCAATAACGGCTTCCGATATATGTCCAGCCTTCATCATAGTGCTGAGCAATTGTTCGAGACACGTGAGTTCGGCTGGGGTAGAGCCAAAGGTCAAACTTATCATATTCCGAGCGATATAGTTGGCCGCATCGTTGGGGCTAAAGGAGTCTGGGGCTTCGAAGAAGAGTCCCTTATAACAGTCAATCAGGTGTGTCTGGACGCCCTTGCCTTCGTCACTGTTGCCCTTTGTCCAGATAAGCCTGAGCATGCGTCGAATACCACTGCGAGCAGTCTCAACCTTGTAGGCATCAAGAACGACGAAGAAATCCATCGCTTCGATGGCCTCACTCTTATTTCTGGAGGACAGAAGCTGGGAGACGGAGCCAGATGCTGTGTGAAGAACTTCAATAAAGCGAATAGCCTCGTTGTAGTATTTCCTGGTTAGCTGCAGGCGTGTAAGCAACTCGGAAGTAGCTGCTTGTTCGGCGGCTTTCTTTATCGCGATGGATTTTTCCTCCTCAGTCATACGAGGAGCCTTAGACGGGGAATCATCAGGCAATTGTGTTGCATCATCCAACAATTCGCTGTCGACATGCGGCATATCCCCGGCATCAAATCCGGGAGTCTCTGGAGGTCTCAACGCGTTGAGTTCAGCATCCACATTGTCGAGACGATCCGTCCATTCTTTCAATGACAGCTGTCCGCCGTGCATAACGCTGAACGGATGAGAGGAAACTAGCTTTGCAAGCAACTTGATGGCGTTACGTCGTACATTGCTGCTCCTGTCTTCGAGGCTTCTGGCGGTTAGCTCCGCGACTGCCTGCCGGCGCTTGGGGAATTTCTGTTCCAAATCACAAATCTTCATATACACCTGGATAGCACGGCATCGGCAATAAGGGTTGATATCCAGGAACCGCTCTTCCAGCACATCGAAGAATGCATTGATTTGCGTTTTGTAGTTATCACTCCGCTCCTCCTGTTTACTAAGATCGGCTATAAGGTTTCCGCAGACTTCAATCACAGCACAACGAAGAGTGTAAGACTATGAGGAAGTTAGACCATTTTTCAGACAAGCAAACATGAGGGTAGGTTACTTCGCTGTCAAGTTGTTTTGCCAGGAGGGTCATTTGCTTAATGATAAGCCTGGGAGCAAGCTCGGAGAGCTTCACGATAAATGCAGATACTGATTTCGGTCCACGCGTGTCATTCGAGTTGAATTCTTTGTTTCCGAGTTCCCTGCGGTATATTAGTAATGTCCAATTCCTATGAAGCAAATTTTGCGAATCTGTACTTGAGAATCTCGTCTGAAAGCTGCGGGTAGTCGTATTGTTCCGCCAGGATATGTAGGAACTCCGCCATCGGCTCCGACAGGTGTTCAAAGTAAGTCAAGCTTTGGACAATAGACGTTTGCGCGCCTAATTCCGAGGTTAATTTGTTTTAGTCTATGATGAATATTCCAAAATGCTTACCAAATCCGTGACCATGGTGTTTCACTGCAATACACAGGACCTTAAAGGCATGCATTCGAATTGCCATACTCTTCACACGCTGCTCACTCTCGAGAATGAGATAAATCGAGCGCGTAAAGAGGTTAATAAATGTGTCGCGATCTGAAGTAGTCAAAAAGATCCTGCTGAGCTTGAGTTTCATAACTTTGCACATAGTTTCCATGGATATTTGAATCTGGGCTGTTCCATCCCAGTTGCCGTCCTTGGTACTTTTAGACCTCCCTGATTTTCCGGTGCCACGGCGGACTGGCGCAGACTCGGCAGGCTTTTCAGCTGCTTTTGATTCGACAGCAGAGAGAGCCCATTGAAGGAGAAACCCATACATTTCCAGCAATTCTTTATGGTGCTGAATACTGTCCTGCTCGTCGGACTCAAGATCTCCATGGATAATATCTGCCTCGACCGAGAGGCCGGACACAACAAGATCGAGAAGTTTGCTGAGGGCCTTTGTGGGAAGGAAAGAGGAATATCTGTAGAAATTCAAAAGTTCAGAATTGGGACCAAAAGGGCCGATAATGGCCTCGGGGGATGGGTTAGGGACCAAGGCGCACTTTAGAAGAAACTGTAAGGAATCGAAGAAGGGAGCCCGGGAGATCCCTTCAGGGCTTTCGGCGACCGCATCGACGATGGGGTTAAGGATATTATCGATTAATGTGCTGGATAACTGATCTGGTTCTGCTTCAAAATCGAGCAGTTCGGGGTCGGCATCGTGGGTCGGAACAGAGGTCGGATCGCTCAAGTAATACTTAAGCGACTCGTTAATATTGAATTGGATCCTGTCCTCCATAGTGGGAGACAACGAGGAAGATCCTCGTAGTGTGAATAGGGTGGGTGATGAATGCTGAGGTTGTCGCGGGGCTGAGGATAAAGAAGAGTAGATGGGGAAGAAGTGAAGCCAGAAACAAAACCACCACCACTTGTTGGTGCGGGCATGATTTGTTTGTATTTTTCCCTTTCAGTCCTTCCCAGCAACCTGATTGATCACGCTGAAGGTGGGTGGGTGTAATATTACAGGCTCTTTTCACCAAACTGTGTAATATTACATCATCACAATCAAAATACAAACACGCGATTGGTTCAAATGGCCTGGAGGCTTACAACTTAGTACAAAACATAACAAGGACCTGAAATACATGGTATGGTTATTACACAGCTCAATGCTGTATAAAAGCCATCCATGGGCATGTACTGTAAGAGTATTTCAGTTTTATGTATTATATCTGTGTATTAGTTTTTGTATTCTTTTGACCAAATACCTAGGTATACAAGACCACCTGAATTTACAGGTAAATAAACAAGCCCATACCGTATTTAGATAATTTGCACGCTGCCTGGAAGGATATCAAGATTCACTTTGAGGTCTCCCATGACAATGTTACTCTGACCAGGCTTTTCGACTCACGCCTCGAGAGATACCCCTCTACTACAACCCGTCAACAACTAGACACACTAGAGTCTCTTCTTCACCTTTACTACTAATTTCTCGGAACCAATCTCGCGCGATTGTCTTGATCCTACTCCTCCCCTCGAGTTCCTCTTTCCACAAGCACCTGGCGACATGGCGATGCTCCGCGCGGCCTCCGTTAGTGTCTCCGACTTGCAACATCCTCGATCAACGATCCTAACTTCCAAATATGATGAGGATGCCGGTACACTCACGGATAGTGACCCTCGAATAGAACAGGCTTTCGAGGAACACGGGCAAGATGAGGATGGTGAGGAAGAAGAGGTGGACGATGCTGTCAAGGAGGATATGAAGAAGCTTGAAGATACTTTCCCGGGGATTTCAGATCGATTTCGTCTGGTAAACAGAATTGGAGAAGGTATATTTAACTAAAGTCTCGCATCGCAATCCGTGCTTCCCTTGCGGGATTACTTAGCTAACCACGCATATGCGACTACCAGGCACATTTTCGACCGTTTACAAAGCGGAAGACCTTTTGTATGATCACTATAACAACGACTGGGACGTGTTTCAGAACAATCAAAGCGATGGTTGGGGAAATCCGCCATCGAAAAGACGCCGAATCGAAACGGGAAACGCCCATTCGGGACCAACGAGACAGAGAAAACCAAGATATGTCGCGCTGAAGAAAATCTACGTGACAAGCAGTCCACTACGTATTCAAAATGAGCTAGAGTTACTCCATGATCTTCGGGGATGCCGATCCGTATGCCCTCTGATCACTGCCTTCCGTTACCAAGATCAAGTTGTGGCGGTCTTGCCCTACTTCCCTCACACAGACTTTCGACTACAATACCGCACATTTATGGTTGCGGATATGCGACATTACTTCCGTTCTTTATTCACTGCATTGCATTCGGTCCATAAGCATGAGATACTACATCGTGATATTAAGCCAACGTAAGAACATTGCGTTCTCACCCTACACAATGTGTCTGGCTATCCGGGAATACTAATCTACAAATTTCTTGCGCAGTAATTTCCTCTACAACCCCGACCTTCGAGAGGGTGTCTTGGTCGATTTTGGTCTCGCAGAGGTAAGCCAAAAATTACCCCAACCCCATCTACGCGCCACTATTCCCTAACCTTTCTATAATAGCGCGAGGGCTCTGAATATACCGGCACCTGTCTATGCGCGAATGCGAACTATATGCGTCGCAATCGATTCGTACAGAGCTACTACTACACCCACTGTTCAGCATCAGGCCTCTCCGTGGGTTATCCGAAAAGCGATTCGCGGCCCTCAAGGCGGGCTAATCGCGCAGGCACGCGAGGGTTCCGTGCGCCGGAAGTTCTCTTCAAATGTACCTCTCAGACAACGAAGATCGACATGTGGTCTGCGGGGGTTATTCTACTGACACTCCTCGGTCGTCGATTCCCATTCTTCAACTCCGCGGACGATGTTGATGCGCTGATAGAAATGGCGAGTATCTTTGGTACGCGACGCATGAAAAACGCAGCGGCCATGCATGGACAGGTATTCGAAACCAACCTTCCTACAATTGGAGAAAAGGGATATGGTTGGGAGAAGTTGGTGAAATGGTCTAGCTGCGTGGAAGAGCTGACGGATAGCGAGAAGCAAGCCACGCGTCTGCTGGCCGGGCTCATGGAATTAGATCCATACAAACGGCTCAGTGCGAAGGAGGCTCTGCAGCATGAATTCTTCACTACTCCGATGGACCATGATGTGGAATGGGGAGGACCTGAAGATAGCGCGGATAGCATTGCGGAGGATGAAGGGGACAAGGAAGAGGATGAAGCTGATGAAGTAGAGATGGTATAGAGCTCTCGTAATAATGTATAATGATGATACCTGATCCCGAATTGTTTTTTTGAGCCGTATATAAAAGCCGGTCTGGGATCTACAGCAAACCATCGCCATTGGTCATGCTATTGGGAGGCGAAGTTTTTCCCAGAAAAAGACAATTATGTACAGAGAAGTATATATTATAGGCGCATTTTATATATATCCGTCTGGACAACTACCCATTCATGCTCATGCTTCACCAAAATCAACATGCCCCGTTTGCTCTGCATGTTGAGTCGCACCCTTCTCACCAATAAATGTCCCACCACACACATTGCATCGGAGACGGAAACCGGCCGTATCAGTATAATAATGTTTCTCCTGTAACTTCTTACAGAGAACCAGCGCCCGGTCCAGAGCCAGTTCATCTGCTGCATCGAATACTTTCTGGTCAAATTCGGGAGGTGCATATGCATGGGTAAAGGGAGGATCGGAGGGAGACAAAGCAATCGTATCATAGTGGATTCCCGAGTACACCAGGATACATCGTTTGCTTTGGCCTTCATTGAAACGATCTATGCGAAGCGTCTTGACATCGACGGAGCAGATCTCGATGTCGAAATGTTGACTTAAAATGCTCAGCTCGATACCTCCGCCCCAAGAATCCTCGTTCTGAATCCAGCGGCAATACGCATCCCGGGGTTTTTCTAGAACCGCGTCGCTATACTCCAGGGGCTTTTCCTGGATCGTCTGCGCCACGATAGAACGGAGCTCGGTCATGGTATCCATGTCGCCCATGACTGCGGAGCTCACCGCGCGAAACAAACATGAGTTGTCATCAGGCATAATTCGTAGAACAAAGGTTCCTCCATGGTCTGGCGACGGCACTTCTGGCGGATCATTCGAAATGCTCTCGTTCGGCTTGCGCGACAACGACAGCTTCGGGGATGGTGGGGTAACGGTAGAGGAGGTAGGCGGCGGCACTTCCTTCTTGATCGTGTCTTGGTGGTCTTGCGCCCGGCCTTCTCGCCCTGTAATGATGAGCTGTTCGCCATTTAGATTGACTCCGAGCTCTGTGAGCTTCTGGTGCGATTCAAACTCGTTCAGCGACAGTGTCTTCACATTTGGGAACCCATATTTCACATCAAATACAGTCAACCCTGTCTTGTCGATGATCTGTGCTTGGAGGTCGCTGACAGTAGCATCGTCACTGAGGGTAACGGCGAACTGACCCGAAGGTCCACGGATTCGGATTCTCATCTTACAATGTATGTTGTGAAGGAAGGTTATAGACAGGATAAATGAAATCAAGGGAAAGGGGAGAAATTCAAGGGAGCGAGATCAGCATTAGCATTGGGCAAGGAAGGCGACCGACACATGATGCGGGATGGAGATCAGGGATACATTTGTACAGCTTGGACTCGTGTGGGGCAAGTGGTACAATCAATGATCAGGTTGAACAACAACGACCTATCTTCAGAGGCCGTGAGGGTTAACTGAAGAATCATAGAGAATATTCTGGATAGTTAACTAGTTATAGTTAACTAACTAATCATTGGGAGGATGACAAATTAATTTTGGGTCAGTTCCAACCTGCTGTATGGAGTATATGGTGGTATATTCATCTCCTCTTCAGGGATCATAATATATATATACCTAGGTATTATATCAAGAATTAGCCCATTACCTGCAGATAACTACCAATACAGAATTGATACTGCTTTTTGCAAGCTATTTCCAGTGGGTTGGGCGATATACTTACTAGGTACAAAAATCTCAATCCTTTATAAGTAGAGAGGTATATTCCCATCCTTGTGTTGCTATTGGTGCGGTCAATGTTGATTTCAGGGCCAATCTCACTGCTCTTAAATTACTAGGTAGGTACATAGCTCCAAATATCCGATACTTTGAATATTGACGCAGAGATATCATATCATAGTCCACTTTCATACTGTAGATGAGTTGATCTATTGTCCATTGCCATGGAATCCTGCTTGATTCCTGGAAATGAGAACGGCGGTTGTCTCGATTATTAATCAAAACAACCGTAATTACAATATATTACAATATATTACAATATATTACAATGTATTACAATGTATTACAATGTATTACAATGTATGACCACTGTATTACAATGTATGACCACTGTACCAGTGTAATCAGTATTGGTGACCGTATCGATGTAAGAAAAGCTGAGTCAGCATTGTTCCTGCTTGAACCTCTCGTCTGCTGCGACTCTGCGCACTCTCTCAGACGGTTTTGCTCTGTGTGCCTTAATTCAACTGACAAAAGACCCCCAGAAGTTCCAGCCAATCTGTTCTGGTCTGCGCTGCTTTCTCCCCGGTCTCGTGGTTGTCAACAGCATGGAGAAGGACTCGGAGCCGTCGCAAGCGCAACCGACTCCTGAGGAGCCCGTCCAGTCGATCGAGGGCGATGGCAAAGAGGATGGCCCCGCAAGCAGTGTTACCGATGAACAATATCGGTATATGATGGATGTTGTCATGGCAATTTATGAATTCAGAGAAGAAGAGTAAGTATCCGCCTTTTCTCTCCCTGGCTGCAATGCGTGGTGGTGTAGACGCAAAATCCCCTACATTGGGAGTGCGGAATTGATCGCAAATGGACGTTTACTCACACCCACGTTTCTGGATCGCAGTGGCCATGATCCTTCGAGACTCTTTCATCGCAGTGTCAACAAGCGCAATGTGCCGGACTACTATGATATTATCAAGGAGCCAATGGCGCTTAGCATCCTGAAACAAAGGATCAACAAAAAAGAATACAAGAAGTTCACGGATTTTGTGCGAGACTGCGCTTTGGTAAGATGGTCTTTCGAATACATGCATTTACCACTTCTGCTTGCTTATTTCTAACCTGGAATCGTCGCGACATAGATCCCCCATAATGCGCAAACCTATAACCGTCCCAAATCACAGGCATATGAGGATGCGCTCGTGATCAAGGTTCAAACCCCCCTCCCGCCTACCTAGGATGCGCACAGGCTGATAGTGTCTCAACTGAACAGGATGTTTTCATTGCGGAGTTCGAGAAGCTGGTCCAGCAGGGAATCATAACGGCTGAGGAAGCGCAACTCCCGGACCTCGGCGAGATCCCAGAGGCAGACCCTCTGCCGGAGGAGGAGGAAGAAGACGAAGAAGACGACGAAGATGACGAAGAGGAGGATGAATCCGATGATGATGGTCGTCGCAAGAAGAAACGAGGACCGCGCCCCGGGTTCAAGCGAGATAGCGCAAAGGACGACGGACACAAGTCTGCTGACCCTGAACAAAGAAAGAAACGAGGTCGCCCTCCACGTGTTGATACCCCGATGGAGGCGAGGATAAAGGCAGTTCTGAAGGGAATTCGAAAACTGAAAGCGCCTGGAAGTCAGCTCAAGGTGCGACATTTCGAGCGCTTGCCTGACAAAGGCACCTATCCCGACTACTACATCGAGACCAAAGACCCGATTGCTATCGACATCATCAAACGGAAGTCGAAACGCAAGAAGTACAATTCAGTGGACCATTTCATGAGGGATATGGACCTCATGTTCAACAATGCCAAGGCCTATAACCAGCCCGAGAGCCAGATCTACAAAGACGCCGTTGATTTGCAAATTGAAGCAAGAAGGCTCGCTGAGATTGAGAAGAAGAAACCCGACAGCGAATACCTAATGGAAGACGGGCGCCTTCCCCTCCCAGATGGAATTCTGTACAAGGGTGAGCTTTGGAAGGTTGGAGATTGGGTACATATTCAGAACCCCAATGATGTCACAAAGCCCATTGTCGCGCAAATCTACCGCACCTGGCAAGATTCAGAGGGCGAGAAATGGGTAAATGCCTGCTGGTATTACCGGCCTGAGCAAACTGTTCATCATTTCGAGAAGCACTTCTATCCTAACGAGGTGGTCAAGACCGGCCAGTATCGCGATCATCGCGTCGAAGAGATCGTCGACCGGTGCTTTGTGATGTTCTTCACCCGCTACAACCGTGGACGACCCAGAGATCTCCCTCCCGAGAAAGATGTTTATGTGTGTGAGGCTCGCTATAATGAGGAGAAGCACAAACTGAACAAGATTAAAACCTGGGCTAGTTGCCTGCCGGATGAGGTCCGGGAGAAAGATTATGAAATGGATCTGTTTGATGTCCCCCGAAGGATTAAGAAAATCCCCAGTCCCATAAAACACCTGCTCAAAAGCGATGCCAAAGAGACAGACGATCTACCCAAACCAACTTGGGGAGCGGAAAACGCGCCGCCTATTGTGGGAGCTGTTCACCGTCGTCCTCGGGATGAAAATGTAAGTTCGTTCTTTCTTGTGGTTCGCTCGACCCTGTTGTACTCACTGTATTTTTGCCAGGAATCCCCACCCCCAGAGCCAACACCCTCACCTCCTCCTATCATCCCTCAACCAGTTCTACCCCCAGCTCCTCGACATGCATCGATTAGCCAGGCACCTCCTCGGCCAGTTGTGGATGGTCAACCCAATACTCTCCTTCCCGGAACCAGCCCGGCTCCAGTGCGTTCGCCCGCCGCACCAGTCGGGGCCGTTCAACATTCGCCAGTCCCGGTTGCTCCTGTGGCGTATCAACAACCCCAAGTCGCGCCCGCCCAAGTCTACCAACCCGGACTACAAAGACGTCCTAGCGGCTATGTTCCCCAGAGTCCCGTCCCTGGAGCCTATAAAGCGACCCCTACTCCCCATACGTACGCTGTTCCCCAGCCGTCCGCATACTCTGCCTACCCTGGTGGCCGCATGCCAGCACCCGCAGCGACCGCATACAACCCTAATGCTCCTCGACCAGTTGAAGTATTTCACCTGAGCGACGCTGCCAACGCCGCGATTCCAGCGGATATCCGGGAGCAGTTCCATTGCGACGACCAGGGCCATGTGCTTTTCTTCTCCTGCCCGCCCCTGGACATTGGACCATCAGCCCAGCAGAAACTTGGGCATTCACTCAAGTACCTAGCTGCCAAAGAGGAACGTCGGAAGCTGGTCGAGGCCAAGAAACGCAAGGAGAGTCTTGAACAAGAGGAACGGGGGAGAGATGCCAAGCGCCAGCGAGCTGACGAGCAGACGGCCCTGGCAGCTCAAGTAGAAGCGGTGACAGCGGAAGCTCTTGACGCCATGACGAGCGGAATTATAAGTGGTACGGATCAGATCTACAAAGCGTTGTATGGGGAGAAGGCCGACGTAGCCCTGCAAGCAGACACCAAGGTACGCGAGCAACGAATCCAGGCAGAGCGCATCACCCAGGCAAAGACGGTACAAATTCAAGCGCAGTCAAAAAAGGCGAGTTTTGTGAGCCTTAAGGGCGGTTCTTTGTATATGGATGATATTGATCCTACCGTTTGAGGTGGTAAAGGTACCTTTCTTATTGCATCTCTTGTGTGGGGTTTGCCTTTGCAGTTATTAAATCGTCCAAAAAGTCGACATCTGATAGAAAAAGGAGGATTCTTTCCATGCTGTTTAATCGGTTACGGCGCATTTCCTAGGCCTTTTTTTTTCTTTTTAAACTTTTTGTATTTTATTTTATTTTATTATTTTATTTATTTATTTTCCAGGGATGAAACCTGCCGAGTCCTTTATATACTGGATCTGTATAGTTGCGTGTATCTCATAATCAAATGCATGAATTTCACCAGAATCACCCTGATCCTAATATTCCCAGGGTCTAGAGCATTTTATACGAGATTACTCCAAGATCACGATCTAAAAATAAGAGGGGCTTAGTGGTGAGGCCATCTGCACAGCCTTTTGTACTATTTACTCTCTTAACTTTCTAGTCTATCCTACCATCCAAAACCATTCCTCTATTTCCCGACATTAGGCACCTTTGGACTATCAAAATTGAGTGCCTGCTGAAGGATGAAAACTACAGAGTATGTTATAATTAATCTCCTGGATATCCCCCTTTTTTTTTAAGCCCCTGTGCCCCTAGATAGGATGCTAATGGTCGTCTAGGAGTAGAGTCAGTCTCCCTCCTCTACCTACATGGCAGGATTCACCCCCAACCCCTTCTTCCTGCAAGTCTCGAGCCTCGCAGCTACGATTGGAAAGCAAGAAATGGATTAAGATTGGCCCCAATTCTAGCCTCAAATCCGCCGAGGCTTATCACCCTCCGTGCAGCCAATAACCATCCGATGGAAGGAAAACTTCAACCCGCTAAGCATCTATGAGTCAATCAGACTACGGAGTACACGCTTAGCTACCTCCACCTAGACGGAAATATTAATGTCTGGGTAAGAAATTATGGGGACGGAGAATTCACAGATTGGCTGCGCCATGTATCTCTCGTATCTTGTGAAGGCACTAGTGCTGCAAAAAGGACACTAAATCTAGGCCCAGCGGGATTCCTGAAAATAACACACTGCAGTCTGGGGGCCAGGAACATGAAATAGGAATATTATAGCAGAGGCAAATTAGTCCGAGTGGCTTGGGCTCTGGCCCATTTGCTATTTAAGCCTCCTCTCCTGACCCTGACCCTGACCCTGATCCCTGATCCCCCATTTTTTTTTTTACGAAGTTCCATCCAACTATTTTCCACTCGTTCAGGTACATACATTGATCTCTCAAGTCTCTCTCTACATCTCAAACCGTCACAATGCAGTACAAGCTCCTCGCTACTCTCCTCTTCGCGGCTACCACCCTAGCCACCCAGACGGACACCACAACCGCAACTGCTACCAGTGTTGGCACCACCAGCACCGATGACTCCAGCACTGATGACTCTAGCTCCGACGACCTTAGCTCTGAACTGCTCGCTGATGTTCCTGTGTCCATTCTGACTGCGATTGAGTCGGCCATCCCAACCAGCTGGATCAACGAGATGATGACCCCGGCTTCTGAGTCTGCTTTCATCAGCCAGCTCGAAGCCGGCACCTACCCAGCCTGGTACAGCAGTCTCCCCTCCAGCGTCCTCGCCTGGGCCAGCCAATCCGGTGCCAGCTTTATCGCCGACTTGGCTGGTGCTACCGCAACCGCAACTGCAACCGCTTCAAGCGATGCATCGGAAGATGATACTAACACCTCTGCCTTCGTGACGAGCACCGTTGGCAGCCCGGTGTCTGCTACCTCGTCTGCGGTCTCTGGCACCGCCGCCGCCTCCTCTTCCGCCTCCTCCGCCCAGAAGTCTTCTCCCTCATCCTCCACCTCGACTGGTGGTGTCCCTGCTGCCACTGGTCCCGTTGCTATGAGTCTTGCTGGTGCGGCTGGTCTGCTGGGCTTGGTGATTGCTCTCTAGAGTGATATATATACTAGGGTTGGTTTCGGGGTTGCCGTGGGGGAGGGGTTGTTAACACGCTTCAATGTATTTGTATATACTTATTCATGGGGTAGGCCTCTATTTATAATTGAGCATTTCGGAGAGATCGCGAGATTCTTATCAATTCATTGACCGATCTAGTACGTATTTAATTAATCCCTAAGATCTTGTACCGCACACTCATACTCATGGTTCTGATGTCCAGCAGAGGCAATGTCTTTTTAGATTAAATAGTGTTGGACCGTAGGTACTCACCCAGTATCAGTTGCGACCTAATAAGTGTATTCATTTTCTTTTATGAAAGATGCAAGGAGCAGGGCAAAGGGTTTTTATATGTTTGTTTGGTTGAGGGAATCCATGGATCAAAACTATACCACTTTGTCAACCCAGCAAATCAACAACTTCACTTTCAAGGCCACTGACCTCAACACTTGACGTTACAAATCAAGATTAAAAACCTCTTCATTTTTTTTTATGCTCGAGATCTCAGACCTTTGGCAGCCAAATTCATTCCTTTGTGATGGGTAGCGTGGAAAAATACGGTTATACTGCCTCACGACATCGTGCAGTACACGCATAAAATGCTGAAGAAATTGCGGACAGGTTATTTGGGTCGTCGGCCCTCATCAGGGCCTCGAGTGACAGGTAAGGATCAGCCAGGGTAAGTGCCAATCCACTTGACGTGAACTGTCGACTCATAACTTCTCAGTCTGTGGTGGTTGACGGCAGCAGGCTACCCGGTGACGAGCGTGCGTATGCCTTCTCCGGTCCGGTTTCGTACCCGCTGATGATGCTGCATAGGGTGCATTGGGTTCAATAGCGCTTTCGTTCGAAATCTGCGGCATTACGCAGGCTGCGTTGGAGTCATATACTACCGATGGAGGAGCAGATATCCTGGGCATCTCTGATCCAGCATGGTCTGTTTGCTTCCTGTCATTAGCTCTCTCTTCCTATAGCTGATACCGTCACAGGGGAGTTGTTCTAAAAGCGTTCGCTATCGTATTTTCAATCGGAGCTTGGCTGACGATGGTATACACCATGGTATCGCCTCGCAGCACCCCAAGAGGATTCGTACCTGCTACAATCAGCTGGTTTTCCTCGGCTGTAATCCTTCTCATCTATATAGGCGTTATGGCACCTCGGGAAAATATCGGTCATTCGAACCGAAGCATCCAGTTTACACAGGGCTTCTTCTATACTACCTTTGCAGCGGGCATATGTCTCTTGATTGCGGTCTTTCTATCCGTCTATATATGCACTTCGTGGAAGCTGCATCTCGAGAGGGAGGATAGATATTCCATCGAGAACCCAGTGCTAATGGTACGAGTAATGATTTTCCAAGCCCACGTGCTGGCTGGAGCCGCCGTATTTAGTGCAGTTGAAGGATGGACGTTTATGAACGCAGTATACTGGGCGGACTACACGGTCCTTACTATTGGAATCGGGAACATCGTTCCAAAGACTCACCTAGGACGAAGTCTTCTTTTTCCGTACGCGACTCTCGGGATCATATTCCTTGGCCTGATAATTGGCGCGCTACAGTCCTATATCACTTCGCTAAGAACGATCAAACTGAGGTTGAAAACACAGAAAGTTTACCTTCAATATATACAGCAGCATCATCATTCTCATAGAAATACCCCACAACCCTTTTTTACTGGAAGCCCAGGGACATTTCCGCTCCCCAGGGAAGAAGACTTTAAGAGGTTACATCACCTTCAATCCCGATATACCTATCGCACGCGGTGGCACATCTTTCTCTTATCTACCATTACGCTGTTCTTCCTATGGTTTCTTAGTGCAGCCATCTTCCGCCGTTCCGAAGAAGGGGCGCATTGGACATATTTCGAGGCGTTGTATTTCACATATACTTCACTGACTACAATTGGATATGGTGATTTCTACCCTACAAGCAATTTCGGGACTTCCTTTTTTGTCTTTTGGTCGCTGCTTGCAGTGCCTGTCCTTACGTTTTTAATCAGTGAGATGGGAAATACCTTGCTGTCGGCTTTGAGGAAATATACGAACAGATTGATCTACTCTAAACGGCTACCGTTTCGCCGATTTTTGCGTCGCGAAAACGAGAACCACAACGCGCTCGATCCTGAAAAACAGCATCAAAGTGCTCACCTACGAGACGACGTACACTACGGCGAACATGATTCATCGACTCTCGACAGTCATCTCAGATACGATCTCACTAAAATTAGGCATAAGCCGATTGCCTATGCATTCTTACTGGCTCAAGAGGTTCACGCATTGGCGGAAACATTAAAGAGGCACCCGAAGAGACGGTACACGTACAAGGAATGGACAGAGGTGTTTGCATTACTAAACCATGACGCCTATGGAAAACCACATGGGAATGCACCTGCACCGCAGCAAACGAACACTTCTTCCGATCCCCTGGTTCCTAATCAGCTACGGCATGCCCATAATCCCGTGCTTTCTGGAACCAACGAGACTCTGTGGATCTTGGAGCATTTTGCAAGGAAGCTGGCTCTAGTGCTAGAGGAGAGGTTTGATACCGAAGATGAAAACAGCAGAAGCAGCAATGTCGAATAATAGCATCGCATAGATATCGAGTTTTATGCTCCATAGAAGCCCAGATTGGACCAAGCATACGGATCAAGTATACCGACCGCCTCCATGCATACCGAGCTGTATGGATCCGAACAAGGCTGAATACCATGCCACAAATACCTAAACAGAACAGATTACTCGGGATTAAATAATAACTGTTTTGGATGATATCTGGCTGTGATCTCCGTCGGTTGAGTAGGCTAAACCACGAATACTGTTCAGCGAGATAGCAGGATCTATGTTTTCTAGCATACCTAGTTTAAAGATATTAATTTAGGCTGTGTGAGTGTTAATATACCATTGATAATAAGTATAGGGCTACAGTTATACAGTATGTCTACTATTGATCAAGTACTGGAGTATTGAAGTGATAGTTATCCTCGGCACATAATTTCTAAGCTCGGTCCCGAAACATCCACTAGTTATATGCACTCCGGCCTCAAGTTCAAGTTCAAGCATAAGTTAATGGTTAGTATTCTTCCTTCCCATCTTCTACAACCTATCCCCCTACATTGAACTACAGAAAAAAAAAAAAAAAAAAAAAAAGAAAAAGAAAAAGAAAAAGAAAAAGCCCGTCACTGACCCACTTACCACTCTAGACGCCTCACCCCGCTTCCAACAAGCCAACAACAACATGACTACCCTCTCGCGCAAAACATACGCTATCGCAGGAATCCAGACTACGGTTTTCGGCCTCGATGAGCTCCCGCCCCAGGCCGCGGAGGTCGCGTGTCTCTGGCTGCTGCATCCGCGGCTCGCCACGCTGGAACGCATGACTGCCATTGCGACGGCGGTTATCGTCGACTGGAACAAGCGCATCCAGGAGGGTCGAGCGGGGCCAGGCCCATTGCCAAAGGGACTGATTGCCGTGGCGTTTGACCAGAGGAATCATGGGACGAGATTAATCGACCCCGTGTGTAATGAGTCCTGGAGGGATGGGAACCCGCGCCATGCCCAGGATATGTTTGCTATTTTTCGTAAGTTGATTGCTGTGCGAGAGAGAGAGAGAGAGAGAGAGAGAGTGTGTGTGTGTGTGTGTGTGAACTAATAAACCCCAAGAGGGCACCGCTCGTGACGTCTCCCTCTTAATAGACTACCTCCCCTCCTACATCTTCCCCCAACCCAACCGCCGCGTTAGCGAGAACCTCGTGCTGGGGATTTCCCTCGGCGGCCATGCAGCCTGGAGCTGCATTCTGCACGAGCCCCGCATCACCACGGGAGTCGTGATCATCGGCTGCCCCGACTATGTAAATCTCATGGCGGACCGGGCGCGCCTATCCAAGCTCTCCACATGGACCACCCCCGCGGGCGCGGGCGCGGGCGCGACGTTCCTCGGCTCGCAGGACTTCCCGGCCTCGCTCCTGGAGACCGTCGCGCGCTACGACCCCGCGAGTCTCTTCCTGAGCTACCTCGACCTGGGGGGGCCCGAGGCGCAACCCATCCGCGCTACCGACGCGCTTCCCGAGCCCACGGAGGCCCAGAAGGCGGCGCTGCGTCCCTTGTTCGCGCGCTGTCTGGCGGGGAAGAAGATCCTGAATTTGTCGGGGGGGCTAGATAAGCTGGTTCCGTACCATAAGGGGGAAGCCTTCCTGGAGTGGCTGAAGCGCGCGGTTGCGCCGGGCGAGGGGTGGTTTGCGGATTGCGCGGTTACGTTTGAGGATATCATTGATCGGGATGCGGGACACGAGGTCACGCCGGAGATGTTTGATGAGGTAGTGCGGTTTATTGGGGATACGCTTGCGGTTGGGGAGGAGGGGAACAAGGCCTATGTGAGGGAATCGAAGATTTAGATTTATCTTAGTAGATGTAGACTCATATATATATATATATATATATATACACATACATACATGTAAATGTACGTATACACATATACTCTGTAGGTATATATGTATCATACAGCAGGATATATACTACGGGATGTGATACCAAGACTAGGAACTAAATCACCTACGCAGCAAAGAGGAAAAAGCAAAGAGGAAAAAGCAAAGAAAAAGAAATCCCTCCTTTATGGTATTTTATTTAAATCAAGTGAGGTCGTTAAGGGCGTCCGGAGGCCAAACATAAATAAAACCCTTTGGTTGTAGATACACGGATCCCATGCGCCCGATCCGCATCGCCCACAGATGGAAGCTCGATCTTTCTCCTTAAAAAAAAATCAAAACAAAAAGGGAGAAAAAGTCGAGAATTCCCTCTCACGCCAGCCTTGTAGTCAGCTCAGCGTAGCACCTCTGCTCCGCTCCACGTCCTCCCAAGACATAAAAAAAAAAAAACGTGCTTTTTTTTTTTTTTTTAATTCTCTAGGTACTTCATTTAAGCAACCAACTCAATGACACCACCGGCCTCCTTGATCTTCTGCTCAGCATCCCGGCTGACGTATCTGGCGCGCACGACGAGAGGAACCTCAGGGAGACGGCCCTTGCCCAGGACCTTGGAGTAGCCGAGGGAGAGGAGGTCAATGACGGGGGCAGTGTCGGTCTTCTGGCCGCTCAGGTAGGCGTCACGGGTCTCAGAGGGGACGAGGGACCAGAGCTATACAAGCAGAAGTTAGCTTTTTTTTTTTTTGTTTTTTCCCCCCTTTTCCCACCATATTGTATCCGGTTTTAATTCCATTCCAACTAACAACCAACTCCATTCACTCAGTTTGCATATAAACGTACCTTGTCGACGTTGATGGTGGGCTTCCAGAACTGCTGGTTGGTCTTGTGGAAGTACCTCATACCAACCTTACCGAAGTAACCAGGGTGGTACTTGTCCATGTTGGTGCGGTGGTGGTGCTGACCACCGGCCATACCACGACCACCGGGGTGCTTACGGTGCTTGCCAATGCGACCGTAACCGGCGGACACATGACCGCGGCTAAAAGAAAAAAAAAAAAACACAAGTCAGTCTCAAGTCTCAAGTTTCAAATTCCGCGGGGTTTAATTGTATAGTGGTGGTGGTGGTGGTGGTGGGTTTATTTCTTCTATTCTTTCTCGTGCATGTGCATTTGGGTCCACTGTACAAAGTGAAGTGTAGGAACGATTGTGGTCGGCCGGAGAGCAGATTCCATTCAATTTCGACTTCGATATCGATATCGAACATCTTTGCAAAAACTCGAGTCTTTCTCTCTTTTTTTCTCTTGCCTTCCGACTCTCCGGCTCTCCGACAATTCGACTCCGACAGCGACGACTCCGACAACGACAACGACGATGTAGAAGGAAAGAAAAAAAAGGGAGCTCGTGCGACTCACTGTTTCCTTGTCTTCGAGAAACGGGTAGGCATCTTGTCGACGGTGCTGGTGCTCGACAAGACCGGTGGTTGTTTGGCGATAGGGATGCGGTCGTGGGTGCTGCTCGAACTCGGGAGGTTGAAATCAAGGGCTGCGGGACGGCTAGAGTGTGCGCTAACGGGGGTTCGCTTGCCCTAGATTAGGGCAAGGGTTTGGCCCTCTTGAAATGTCTTGGCATCGGTACCTTCTTGGTCAGGTGTCATTATTCCGAATTAGGAAGTCTTCCTTAGTGACCCAAGTCCTACAGGAACATTGTAATTCCGATATCATCGACGAGGTTGCTCGAGGTGAATTATTTTAAAGAGTTCTCGATATAGATCCATGATACATCCGTGTTATGTTTTCGAGGCAAAGAATCTCCCAAGCCTCTCCACTATCGCTCCAGTTGGTAATGCCAACGTCCCATCCATCCCCTGTTTAATCCACCCCGGGAGTTTGGCTTGGATGTTCGGTTTCCCATACCGCTTATCAATAAGAACAATCGCAGCATAATCATTGCGATGCCGTATAGCCCGTCCGATGCACTGATTGACCGCGCGCATACAGGAGTTTTCATAAAACTCTCTGCCGGCCGCCTTGGCAGCCGCCCTTCGATTCTCTTCAGAACCAGCGGCCGAAGCGGACCTCTCCCTTGCATACGCCTTTTGTTCGATATACTGGATCTTGGCCTGCCACACGGCACTCTTGATATTCGGAAAAGGCAGCCCAATGATGAGCACGCCTCTACCGAGTTTATCTGAGAAATTGATCCCCTCTGATAACTTTCCGCCGACGACGGATAGAAGGAGTGCTCCCTTTCCGTTGCGGTCGGATTCAATCACGTTGGTGTACTGTTGGAGAAGCTCGTCCGTGGTGGTTTTCATTTCTCGGGATTCGTAGAGAATCGGTTTCTCGTCCTCCATGAGACTGTAGAGGGTTTGGCTCTTCTGGTCTCCTGCGACGGCCTTTTTCCAGACGTTTAGGACTCGTCCTAGGTATTCGTAGCTGGGGAAGAACGCGACGACGCCGTCTGGGATTGTACGGCATAGTCTCGCGATGGTGCGACCGAGGTCTAGTATCTACGGTTCAAATGAGAAACAACAGAACAGGGAAACTTGACAGGTAGAAAGGGAAATGGCCAGGAGAGATTGCTTACGGTCTTTTCGGAATCTCGACCCTCAAAGGTAAAGTCGAAATCCGAACCAAGAATACCCCGTGAGAGCGTATGCGCGGTTAGATTCTCCCGGGGAATGACATGGCCATAGCTAAAGGTTCTCAGACGGTCCTCGGGGATATAGGAGAAAAGGTGGTTCATATAATCAGACATCTGCAGCTGGTCAGAGAAACAAACCCAAAAAAAAAAAAAAAATATTACACCAGACAAATAGGTATTCGTACGGGAGACATGGTTCCGCCGGCTAATATGACTGCTCTTGCATCCTCAACGATCTCGCGGAAATGATTTGTTGGGTCGAGAAGCATGTAGTTCAGCTGGATGTCCCCTTGGCTCTTCATATAAAATAGTTGACCTTCGGCAGAGGGATTCATCAACGGCAGCAAAAAACTTTGTATATGGAATAAAACCGGCACCGTGGCTTTTGGGTTTGTTTGAGGATTGTCTTTTTTCTGAGAAAACTCCACGTAGCCATCCACCTTTCTGGCTAGTTTGCTTTCCTGTAGGTAACGGGATAGTTTGTAAGGATTGATCTGGTCAACTCCCTTCCCGGACATCAGGCCAGAGGGAAGAACAGAGCCTTCAGGACCTTGCTTTCCATTCAGAATAGACTGAAGGTGGTCCGCAATGGAACTGACAAGCCGAATAACCTGAGCAACATAACTGCGATTCTTTCCTTTTAGGCGTGCCTTGAACTTTCGAGCATACGTTGTGAGCTGGAAAATCGAGGTTCGGAGTTGAGCTAGTGTGACCGTGACCGAATGAATGCTGGATATTGCATCCATGAGGTTATGGGCTTCGTCGATAATGACGATGTGGTTTTTCACGGAGAGATTCAAGGCTTCCCGAGCCGATCGTTGAAGGAGCAGAGGGTATGGCAGGGTTACAATCTGGCGCATTAGCAACGATCTTTCAGAAGTTGAGTGACAACCTACTTCACTATTGTTGATGGCCGGACGAGAAGCATAGTAGGGACATATTCCAATCTTTTTGCCAAGTTTGCCCAAATCCTCAATGTCCTTGACTGATGCCAGCGCATGATCTCGGAACAGCGAGACTTTGGCTTCATCTTCTTTTGATGGTAGGAAGGGACATTTTTGCTGTGCCGCGGTGCTTGGTTGCTGGAGGTCCAAGCAGCGTTCGTTGATCGCGGTGGCATTGCCCAACGCAGCGACGCGAGGGTTAATGCACAAGTTTTTTCGAGACCCAAGAGATAAATGTTTGATTCGCTCCCCTAGGTCGTCGTCCGCGGAAGAATTGAGGTTTAACTCGTCGGGGATGCTCGACGGGAGAGTGATACGTCTTAATTCGCCTGCGAATTGCATCAGTTGTGAATGCGTTCTCGAGCAATAGAAGATCCGCGTATCATCTTCTTCGTCCGCGTCTGATGTAGCCTTTGCCGAGCCGTGTCCTTTGAGGCGTTGGAGTAACTCGAGCGTGCTAGAGGAAAGTCCGCTTGAGGCAGCAGAGTTATTCACGGCTGCATTCGGTTCGTCGCCCTCACTTTCGTAGTCATCGAGGGCGAACTGGTCATCATCTTCAACTGCTCCACCTGTTAGAGTAGTGATTTTCTAGAGACCGAAGAGTCAGCATTGCGTGCCTCGGGAAATCTCGAAAACCCCCAATACCTGTCGTTTCCTCGGACCTTCCTCGAGCGCCGCTCGTTGCTTTTCTTCTTCCCTCTTTATCCGTGCGAGTCGCTGTTCCAGCTCCTTTCTTTTGTCCGTGATGTTGCGGCTTGCTTCCCGTTTTGCGAATTCGACCATCCATTCCGGTTCATCATCGTCACCTACAACGGTCAACAATATAGACAGGTTGGAGGAAGCGATAGCATACAAGTGGCATGGTTGACTGTTTCTAGCAGTGATTTGCGCTTGTGATCACGTAGCCACGTCAAAGAGCCACATATAAGGCTGAGAGATTTCCCCTATGTAAATCAGCAGGTGAAAGAAAAGCCATCACGAGATGGTTACTTACAGTGCCTAAGGCCATGCATGACATGACATATTAGATTAGGTAGGCTTTATCGAATGAGCTTGGACAATGGCTGGCTTACCAGTCGGAGACTCGAAGATGGCGACTTTGCCTTCTTCTAGACAGGTATACAAGGAGTGCATGAATTGGAGTTGAATGTCATATGGGGAGTAAGGATGGTGGAATTTCTCATTGGAGGGTTCCATGTTGTTCAGTTTCCACTTTTTAAGTATCTAGGGTCCTATATCGCGTTTAGTGACTAGATTCCCACTTCCTGAGCATGACAGTCTCATTGTTTAAAGAGCTACGCCAGGATATGTATTGGACAGGAGGGTGTTTAACCTTAGATAGTGTAGTTAGGATAAAATGTAGCTATACAGGACTCTGCCAGGGGTTCCTGTCCCAGCTGCCGCCGCTTTTAGATTTCAGCACGCAGAGTGGAGTCATGTGAGATGATTGCTGCTTACTAATTGCTTAGTAACTACTATGTAGTTATAGTTCCGCCGATGTACGGAGTATTGAACAGCTAATATGAGCCCTCTCATGCCCTGCGGATATCGCTCTGCTACTGAATTCTGCTTCGACTCTCTTAACTAGTATCATAGGGTAGTCTCCCATGGACTGAATCTTTTCTGCGCCTTATTACGAACACGAATTGCTCTCGATATCACTCTACTACGGACTCTTGCCTCCGTCCGCAAGCGGTTCCACATGACTAGAACTGAATTAGGCCAACTAAGGTCGTTCAAGTCCTTGCCTGGAATATCCTCGATGAATGAATCTAGACAAAATTCCCGTATTGCAATTGTTTCTCTTCATCAGGCTACTTTAGCTTGTAGACGGCAATCACACGCACTCCTGCAAGTTCAACCCGGGAGCTTTAACCAAAAATTCAACTTTATGGGGTCTATCATAAACAAACTGGTCGTAAATTTCACCTCCGCGTCTTGCCAGATGCCTCGAGCAGTAATTGTTCGAGTTTTACCAATACCTTGCTGCAACCACAAGTATACTGGATATACTTTAACTCGCCCATTTTGACCTAGAAGGTAAAGTCCATCAGGCTGAGATATGGGGATATTCGTCTCCTTGCGGTTTTGTGAACCAAGCAAAATTCACCTGTTTTAAGTAACCGCTGTTCCTAGGTATCCATGGATATTACTCCGTACTCGTCAGTCAAATATCTCATCGTATCTCCTAAAACTTTTGATGGAGACGCGAACCGATATACCTTGCTTGTCACGGAAAAGGGGGTCGAACTCTCCAGGAGAATGTTAGCCCCGAATCAATGCACAAGAGTGTGTATGGAACTGATGGAGAATTCAGGCCTCCTTGACTGGATGAATGGAAAGTGCGCTAATTTACATTCTGATATCAATTAACGAATACGTGGAAATATATTCTTAAAAAGGAGATCTTTCTATGAAGCATGATTTCAAGATTTAACTGTGGCTGAGGTTAACAGGACTCTAGTCATTCATATCGATCGAAGTCATTAAACTAGGTACGAGTAGTATAGGAGTATTCTTTCCCCCATCATGCAATAATTCATCTCTATTTCCTCTGAAATACCACCTTTTAACTATTTATATACTTGATAGTTAGAGTACTGCGCCCTGTTTAACTATTCCACTGAATTGGTGCGGGGTTTTCGGAATAACGTCTTTCTCAAACCACAGACCAATTCATTCCGCTCTTTTTTACTCGAGTATCATCTTCATCTTCTTCTCTTCATTAGCATCATCCGCATCATCATCAGCTTCTTCTTCTTCTTCTTCTTCTTCTTCTTCTTCTTCATCTTTATCTCCTTCATCTTTATCTCCTTCTTCCCTCCTTTCCCTAAATGCCCTCGAATCGAACCTAAATCCTCCATAGCTCGAGTCAGCCTCCGGAGACAAACAGATTATTGGCAGAAAAAAAAGATATTAATACACTAATAACAATTCCAATAAAACCAAAACCCCCTGAGGAAACAGAAAAGAGTTAAGTAGGAGAATTCGAACAATGAATCAACCACCACCACAGGGCCGTGGTCAGCCACGGCTGGGGGCTACATGGTATCCAGGGGGTCAAGATGACTTTTACATGCCTGAAGTCATCTCCCCCTCCCCCCAAAGGTGCGTCCGCTTTCTTACTTGTTAAAAGGGTCTGGCCCCTCATCGTGTCTTAATTTCATCTATCCCGTCAACAAATTCTCCCGGAGAAAAAAAAAAAGGAGGAATACAAAAATAAAATCCCCCCCCCCCCCCTCCCCCCTCCCCAAAAAACACTAAAAAAAATCCCTAGCGTGTTGGGCTGGATGTATTGCTAATTGAAGAAACAAACAATAATAATTACCTACTAGCAGGGTTATGCCCGAAGTCCCGGAGAATATGCAGGACAATATCGCTCATCTGGAACATGAGGCCCGCACCCCCCATCGCGTCCAGCAAGGCCCCGTTCAGTATGATCGCTCGCATTTCCCCGAGCGAACTTCTTCGGTGTCTGTAGTTCAGAGTCAACCTCTTCACTCCGGCTACGAAGCTACTCACTACGAACAGTCCGCTGCCGTGTACGACGACGCCATGGACTCTCCCAACTTCTCGCCCTTCCCTGTCTTACGGAACCCGCCCCCAAATGTCCCTCCTACTGATCAACAACGAGAGGCGAATTTGGAGAAGGCGCGTCTGCCGGTCTTGTCCTCCAACGACCCGGAGATGCAGCTCGCCTGGGCTCAGGATACCCTCGCGTACGTCGAGGTGGCCATGCAGAATGAGGCTCGTTTGTCCTTGATCCAACCCCCGCGCCCGCAGACTCCTCGGGTCGAGCGGCAGCTGAGAAATGATGCGATGAACGTCGTGAACTTCCTGGCCGACCAGTACCACCCCAAGGCTGAATTCATCAAGGGTATGTGGTTGGAATTTGGCAAGTTCGGATACCGGGTGGATAAGAAGGGGGCCTTCCGCGCTTATTCGAGAGCTGCGGAGAAGGGCTATGCAAGGGCGGAATATCGCATCGGCATGCAGTTTGAAAGCTCTGGGGAGCCGGACAAGGCCATCAGACACTATGAAAAGGGGGTTGCTCTGGCAGATTCCGCGTCCTATTATGTAAGTTCTCCCCCGTCTTTTTTCCTCACGCCAGGTAGATCTCGCATGCTGATGTTCATTCGCTATAGCGCTTGGGTATGATGATTCTCCTTGGTCAGCATGGCCAGCGCCAGGATTATCGGACCGGTCTCGAATATATCAGTCTCGCGGCGCAATCCTGCGATGAAAATGCGCCCCAAGGAGCTTACGTACATGACCTTTTTTTTTTTTTTTTTTTTTTTTTTTTTGCCGCATCCCCCCCTCGATATTTTTTATTCGCATTACTAACAATGGCATAGGTTTACGGCATGCTTCTGGCACGCGAACTCCCCCAAGTCAGTGTCCCCGAAAGCTATCTCCCTCTCGATCTCAACGCCGCTCGCGTGAACATTGAAAAAGCCGCGTATCACGGGTTCGCCAAGGCACAGGTTAAGATGGGGGCGGCATATGAGCTGTGCCAGCTTGGCTGTGACTTCAATCCCGCGCTGTCCCTGCATTACAATGCGCTTGCGGCACGTCAGGGCGAGCCCGAGGCCGAGATGGCTATCAGTAAATGGTTCCTTTGCGGCCACGAAGGAGTCTTCGAGAAGAATGACGAATTCGCCTTCATTTACGCGCAGCGCGCCGCCCAGAGTGGGTTCCCTACGGCCGAGTTCGCCCTGGGATACTTCTACGAAGTCGGAATCTTTGTCCCAACCGACATCAAAGAGGCCAAGAGCTGGTACGCGAAAGCAGCCGCCAGCGGAAATAAGGATGCCACGAGCCGAATCGACAGCATCTCCCGTTCAAAGACGCTATCCCGCAGAGACCACGAGCAGGTGGCGATTGCACGGATCAAGTCCCGGTATGGATCCCACCAAGGAGGCGAACCCGACGCAATGTCACCCGTTCAAGAGAACCTGGAGATGCCGGACCCCTCGAGGATCAGCCTCTCAGACAACCCCCAATCGGCCGCTCCATACCCTGACCGACAACCAATGCCCCACGGCCGGCCTGGGTACCCCCCGTCGGGTTACGGAATGCCCGAGCATCGTCCCAGCTCGGCCTTTGGCATTAATCCGAACATTCGCTCTGATGCCCCTCAATACAACCGTGCGGCGTCTTATGGACCCGGACAGATGGGTTACCGTCCCGGCCCAGGAGGTCCTCCGGGAGGTCCTCCCGGCGGGCCCCCAACCAGCGGTCCACCACACTCCGCACCAGGCACGCCCAAACTCGACATTGGATACTCTGCGCCTCTTGACCCCCAGAAGGACATGCGGAGACGCCCCCAGCGCCTTGAAAATGTTCCAGACCGAAAGCCCGCCCGCACCCCGGTTGGCGGCCATCCTCATGGCAGCGGCGGCGGCGGCCCGGTGGGCTCCCCCCGACATTCCCCTCAGTCAGCCAATTTCCCCCCGCGCAGTGAATCTATTCCATCTTCCAGTGCATCGTCGACGACCCCGAAACCCTCTGCACCCTCCACGGCGCCTGCTGCGGCTCAGAAGCCCGCCGCTGCCGCGAAGCCCGGCTTACCAGGCAAGGGTCCTAAGACCTTTGAGGAGATGGGAGTTCCAGCTGCCCAGAAGGACAGTGATTGCGTACGTTTTGTCCTTTTTCTTCTGTTCTCTTTGACAAAAATCTAACTAACGTCTTCTAGATTGTCATGTGATACCCTGCGCATTATCTTTTTGTCTTTCTTTTCTTTTCTTTTTTTTTTTTTTGCATGTGCATTACTATTTCTTCGTTTCTTGTTTGTAAAAAACCGAAATTAACCAGACTGGTCTCTTCATACTTCGTAACATGGGTAATTAATTTCCCCGATGAAGATCATCCTACGGGAGATGGGTTTGGACTGGTGGAGAATGGACTTGTTCGAGCTCTTCTTCTTCTTGCAAGCTTTGTATAGACAGCAGCATTTTTGAGCAGCGCATTTATTGACATGTTCACGTGATAATTCTCGTCCTGTCTCATCGACTGGAGCCACCTACTTTAATCCACCATTCATTCATCCCATCATCATACTCGAATACCCGCATATCCATTATGGTACCGAAAAAGACCCGTACGCTTGCAGATGGTACCGCAATGATTCTCGACTACCTTCGTGAGTATGCCCGTCAATATTGCAGTCCCATCAACCTGACGCGTGGAGAACTAGGGAAGCAGAAGTATGTCCCACTCGTCAATCCTGCATCATTGTCTTCTTAACCAACAACGATCGATGATAATATAGCCGTCCTTACTCGGTGGGGTCCTCTGCAGTCTGCCAAACTTCTTAATCCAATACGTTCCTAGGCCATTGATATCTCAGCCAATCTGCATAAAAAAGTCACCAAGGGCGAGTGTGCACTCACCCCCTAACCCACCCCCCAGTCTAACCGATAAAAAGCATACGCCATCAAAGCGCTTCGGGAACTGCACCAGAACAAAGAGATCGAATGTCGTGTCGCCGGTAAGCCCGTCGAACCTCTACACAGCCTCACTGGACTAGAACCAGGTTAATACCCGAACCAGGAAAACAAACCGTCTATCACGCTCTCCAAGAAGCACCTGACGAAACCACGGCCTCGACGGCGGCGGCCATGGACAAAGAAATCCAACGCCTCCAAGAAGAGCTGCGGTCCCTGAAAGAAAGAGAAAAGAAAGCACAGGCGGAGTTGGCGCTCCTGTGCGCTACCCCTCTACTCTCTGAGCTGCGGAGCGAGGTACTCAGCCTGGAAGAAGAAACCGGGACACTTTCTGCATCCGTGGCCCAGGCGCAGGGGGAGGATTCGGTGCAGGTGTCCGCGCAAGAAAAGGCCGAGGTGATTAGGGACTGGAAGTTCTGGCAGAGACAGGCGAGCGTCCGTGGTGAGATCTGTCGGGATCTGTGGCGGAAGTGTTCGGAGACGCTGCCGGAGGATATGACTCGGGAGGAGCTTTGGGTAATATGTTCTTTCACAGGTGATAGTTAGTTAACTAGGGCTGTGCTGACGGGTTCTAGGAGCATTTAGGTCTGGAGGGGCCTTTTCTGAATTGATGTTGCATTTTTCCTGTCTGTATACGGAGTCTGCTGTCTTGAAGAAGCGGAACCAATCTGTATTGAAAAGATTCCCAGCAATCATTACCCTCGTTTCCTTCTCCCCCTCTTTTCTCATCTTCCACCCTTCATAAACCCTTACCTACCACCCTCCAAACTACCTAGATACCGTTGCACCCAAGCCCAATCCAAGACACATAGAGAGTTCTCCGGCCACAATCCGCGAGAAGGAGTTCAGGGAGGAGACCCGGTGTTTCAAGGCCTTTGAATTCTGCATCCTGAAAGAGAGAAAAGAGAGAAAGATATAAATGTATAAATAGAGGGGGGTAACATCACGAATCTACGAAGCCACGAAGCCACGAGTACGAGTTCATCCAGGAAGTGAGTAGTAGGTAACGATATTACTCTGCGTACTAGATATTATCTTGAATATATGTAAGGATAGGCAGTCTTGAGTCTTGGATTGGATTATTTGATTATACTTGGCATTCATTGGTACGAAGTAAGATATAAAATAATGTATTTATACCTAGTTCGTTGTTAATTGAATACAAATTGATTTGATCTGTATGTATATACTCATAGTATACAGGGTATTAACTTGACCAGAGCCTCCAACTAGCAAGCAAGCAAGCAAGTAAGCAAGTAAGGAAGAGAAGAGAAGAGAAGAAAATTATCGCGTTCGCTTCGTATCCCCCCCCCGGGAACAAGTCGCCGTCGCAGGCCGTTTCTGCCCCAAGATACTCATCGACGACGCAGACTCGGCGGCGCGAACCAGCGCCGCCAACTTGAGGATATAAGCTCGCGGCGCCCGGTTCACCTCGTTCTTATGCAGAAGGGCGCGCAGCTTCTCGCGGAACTGGTGCAGATCCGAGCCCGCCAGGTGCTCCAGCGCATCCAGAACAAAGCACTCCTCGTCGTCGTGCGTCGTCTTGCCGACTAGCTGCTGGTACAGGTTGCGCTGGTCCTCGTCTTCTTCTTCTTCTTCTTCTTCTCTCTCGCCGGGGAAGCTGGCCCGGCCCCAGCGGGTGCTGCCGCCGTCCAGGGCGTCCTTGTTGCGGCGGCAGATCTCCTCGAGTAGCGTGACGAGGGCCTTCGCGGCGCCCTCCATGCCGTGCGGGGCCCGCAGCGCCAGGTTGCGCTGGATGCGCGCGACGTTCTCTTGGAGTTGCGTGGCGAGGGCGCTGGTCATGGCCTCGATCTTCCGTGGCGTGGGCGGAGGAGGAGGAGGAGGAGGAGAAGGAGCGGCGGCTGGGTGGCAGGACCGGTCGAAATCCAGGAGCAGCTTGCGTGACTGCTGCTGCACTTTGTCAAAGTAGATCGCGGCGCAGGCTCCCGCGGGCATGGCCTTGCAGAGGCTGGCGAACACGTTGACGTCGTGCACGGCCAGTCGGAACATCGTTGCTTCGAAGTCGCCCTGCACCACGCATTGCTCGGGGGTCCGTGGTGGATGATGAGGGTGTCCTGTGCTGCTGCTGCTGCGGTCGTCGTCGTCGTCGTCGTCGATGAGGTCCGGACGGAACTCCTCGGGGAGGATGGACGTGCTAAAGGCAGACATGATGTCGCGGACTTTCTGCGCACGGCTCATGCCGCCCTCGAACTCGGAGCGCACATACGGCCAGTTGAGCTGCACGGCGACGGTTTCGAGCTGGCCCGCGAGGAGACGTTCGATGCGAGTCAGGGTGCACGGGTGTCCGTCACTGGAGAGGAGGAAGCCGGAGGGAAGAGGAAGAGGTAGAGAGATGAATTGGCCATGGAGTTGATCAAGCAGCCACTGTTCATTAGCTTGCTTTCTTTTCTTTTTGACGCACACACACACACACACAAAACTGGCAAACAAACTTACAAAAATATGAGGACAAGCCACGTCCGATCTGCTCTGAAAGGTCGAGCAGGTGCAGGTGTAGGAATCCGAGTCGAGATGCACTCGAGGCCCTTCTGAAAAGACAAACTCATACCCTGTCCGGGACACACTGCAGCTGAGGACCTCGAATCTCGTCGTGAGTCCAACCAACGCGCGCGCCTCTGCGGACGCATCCAGCTGGGAAAGATCATAGCTGATGCCAGACTTGCCGTGAACCACGGTCCGTGGTCCAGTTGAGTCCCTCTCTTCACTGGTTGTCTGCATCAGTTTTCCGTCTCTGTCTCTGTCTCTGTCTCTGTCTCCGTCTCCGTCTCCTTCTCCTTCTTCTTCTTTTTCTTCTTCTTCTCTTGTGGTGTGGCCGGGTCGTCGTGATGGCTCTCGTCCAGAGCGAGAATCAAGCATATCGCCACCGATAGAGAGCCTGCGAAACTGTCTCATTAAACACGAAACAAAATTCGCCCTAGGTCCAGTTCTAGGGCAGGCAAATGTTTTTTTTTTTTGACAGGTTGACAGGGACTCAAATCTGTATAGAGTTTGCTCCCGAACCACGGGAAGAGAGAGAAAAAAGGGCGGGTACCCCAACCCCGACAAGTCAGGAAGTCAGTCTTCTTTGTCTCCTTACTTTGTGGGTGCCGTCATCAAGAGGTATAACTATCCTAGCTGATCGACAGCTGGGACTGATATCTAGGGTTGATGGGGGTTAAATTCGTGAGTAGTTGGGCTATATATCCTTGTATTGGTGGGTATACTTATTGTATATAGATACATAGATACAGGACGATCTTCTTGCACATTAATCAATTAAAAAATAATAATAATAATTACAAGGGTATTAATCTCAAGTAAAAGGTTACTATACTACCCTTCACTAGCTGGCAACGGCAACGATAATGAACTGTTCTTTGCGGCGTTCCGCTTCTTTGCATCCGCCAGCGCCCTGCGCAGTCGCTCCCGGTGCACCGCGTCATCAGTAACTACTACCTTCCTGCCGCCTGTGCCCACGGTGCTTGCTGGTCGAGGCCCCGGCACTGAAACATCATATGCCTGGCTGGCGGGGATGTCATCCGACGGCACGGGTGGCTCGGGGGGAGGCGTTTTGCCCAAGGATCGGAGCGCCGCGTTGACGGTGGCCGTGATTTTGGCCGGCCCAACGCGCACGCTCTGCAGTTTGGTGCGCAGGTTGTCCTGGATCTTGCCGTCTTCTTTCTTCTTCTCCGCCTCCAGTTGGCGGAAGACCTCTGGCTCGGCGTTTGAGTAGCGCGCCTCCGAGACCGAGACGCTGTAGTCCGCGTTGTTGAGCGCCGAGTCGGCAATGCCAAAGCTATGCAGGATTGACTCGGAGTCCTGGCGGAGCGATTCGACCAGCGTAGACACGGAGGTGAGCACCTGCTCAATCTCGATCTCGGGGAGACTCGACGCGCCGATGGCCGTCTCGTCGACGGGGCCCACTTTGGCAACGAGTTCGTCGAGATGCGTCTGGTTCTCGCCGAGACCACGCAGGATCGCGTCGTCGAAAGCGTCCATGAGCCGGTTGGCTCTCTCATCGCGGCCGCGCGCCGCTTCCAGGATATTTTGTTTCTCCATCTGATCAAAGTCGTGGTCCAGTTTCTTCAGAGCCGCGGAGTCGCCCATGAAGACGAGGGGACGTCTCTCGGCCTTCTTGCGTCGACGTTCCCGGTCAAGAGCAATCTCCAGGCGTTTGTGGTATCGCATCTCCAGGCGGTGGTGGATCTCATTCACAATCTTCATGGTGTGCGAGATGCTCGGCTTGTCTGCGCTGGATTCCGCGTGGCTATTCTCACGGCCGAGCTGGCCCAGTGCAGACTCATAGTGGACTCCGAGGGCGGAAATCTCGTCTTCCAGGCGCTTATCGAGGGGCGTGAAAACATTCGCGATGAAGCTGTCTAATTCCCGGCGCTCCTCCCCAAGCTGGGTCCGTGCTTCCGTCTGCCGGAACTCTTCCTCCAAGATGTTAATATCCGCGTAGCCGATCTCCTTGCCGTTGAACAAATCATCGATATGGCTCTCTGATTCCTCTTGACGTTTGACCCGCTCTCTCTCCAAGTTCTCTCGGCGAAGCTTGTTGGCCGATTCCCAGGGTTTGAATACCTCCAAGATAAAGCCAAAATCGTTGGCATACCTTTCCAAATCCTTTCTCGCCGTGGTATGCCACAAGCTCTCGGATTTCTTGCTCGTGGACGATGAAATAATAGACCGTAGCTCTTCAATGGCACCCGGCACCTTTCCTTGTCGGCGAAGAGCCGCGGGCAGCGGCGGTACTGGTGATGATGATGATGATGATGCTTTGCGAGACCTTTTCCGGTAAGCAACACTTTTCTCTCGGATCAAGCCGACAAATGTTTCGTCTTGATCAGTATTCTTAGACGCTACCGAGCTCGACCGGTCCCGGTCACCCGTAGGTGGCGCATCTGACATCACTCGCCCGCTTTCCGCAGACGCCTGGCGCAAAGCAGAGTAAGCTTGATATGCCGGACGATCAAATACAAGTTCATCAGAGCCCCGTTGAGGTCCCTCCGTATAACGGAACGGGGTGTAAATTCGCTGTGGAGGGTTTGTGGTAAGAGGAGACAAGGCTCGGTGGACCTCGTCCATGGAAGGAGGCACCGATGCGGCACGCAAAGTGTGCGACGGGGTCGATAATTCCGGGCCATATTTCTGGCTTGCCGGGTTGGACGCAGATCGATGGAGAGATGGAGGTTGAGGGGTGTGAAGTCTTGGGAGTATGGGACGTCCTCCTGGACTATAGCTTCCATCTTCCACCCCACCGGAACTAACCACGGACATAGGGTATTCCATCTCCGAATCAACCGGTATCAAACCGGACTCAACCGCTGGTGTGTTGCTATCAGGCTCCTTGGCCGGAGGCTGAACCGTCACGGAGGACTGACGCGGGGTAGAATCCCCGTCGCTCTTGGGTTCATGCTCAATGTTGTAAAGGATCTCGCGAAGCTTACTCTCCTTGGCCATAAATGCCGTGAAGAGTTTGAATCGTTCCTCGTCCGAGTCAGCCACCGCTTCCTTTCGTAGCATGGCCACGTAACGTTCCAAAGAAGACTTCGCCCAAGGATCCATATCCTCGTAGGGATCTACCGGCTTAATCTGTGGGGCCGGCTCACTGATTACGACTTTCACACGATCCACCACAGCGTTGGGTGCGGTCTCTTTGACGGAGAGGGGTGGCTCGTGTTTCGCGGGAATATCAAGCGGGCTAGGGCTTTGGTGAGGGGACACCGGCTGCGGCTCGAAATCGGGGGTTCGTTGCTCTGTCGGAGGTTTGCTCTGTGGCGCAAGGGGTCGATTCCATGCTTCAATGACCCCGTCAATGCTCTCTGGAGTTTCCAGAGCAGACACCGCGCTATAATCGGATTCCGTGCTATTCATTCGCGCGGGACGAGGCGGCGCATGGAAATCATGAGAGCCGCCCAGGCTATCAGGAGAATCCCTCCAAGGAGGCGGAGCATCTGGGCTCACCATCTGGTTTTGAATACTGGGAGGAAGCGGAGGAGGAGGGACCGGCTGGCTCGGGGCCAACTCATGTAGGACATTGTTTAGAGGGATAGTGTCCCGTTTAGGCTTGAAAATGTCCACATCATCAACATCTCCCGGGACGGGGGATAAATGTTCCCAATCAGATGGGCCCCCGGATCCCAGCGCTGAAGGACCGGCAGGAATGACTAGAGGACTCATTTTGGGGGGCACGGGAGGGGCTACTACCGGAAGGATTTGCGGCGCAGGAGAGTGTGTCGCTGGTCTTTCAGGTGGAGGCGAGCTGACGAGCTGGGGATACGGTTGCTGGGAGAATCCTGTTGGGGGCAGGTGAACCGGCGGGGGAGAGCTGACGGTGCTAGGTACAGCAGGAGCAGTCGGACTAGGATGATATTGGCCAAGTTGGATGTTGGAATAGGACGGAGGTGGCTGCTGGTGCCATGTCTGCTGTGTCGGTGCCGACGCGGGGGCCTGATAATGAGGGTTTGTTGCTGGGGGAGGCGGGGGCGACAACGATGTAACAGGTGGTTGAGGAGCGTAAGAAGGATGCGATGTCCATTGCTGGGAGTAGTCCCCTGAAGAAATTTGACCCCCGTAGCTTGGGGCAGTCGCCGGAGAGCTGACGATCGGGGAGTGCACATTCTGGAGATGACCCGTTGCGCTTGCGGGTCGAGGCTACGACACTCTTAATAAATACGCCTAGATCAATTGTGAAGCTCATCACTTACTGGTAAAGGTGGAGGTGTTGGTATATAGTTCTGCCTATTATAGTTGACCCCCCATGACGTCGTATTGGCCCCGGCCGCGCTGATCACACCAGACGCAGGAGATGCACTCACGCCAGGATTAGGGGGAGGATGGCCATAACTAGATCCATGAGCAGTACCTGGACTGTAGGACTGGGACGGCTGCGGAGGAGGAGGAGGAGGAGGAGGAGGAGGAGGATGCCGCTGCGGCGTCGCCGTGGCCGAAAGCCGCCATTCTGGTGCTGGAGGATTGGAGGTTGGTGGGCGAAGAGGGTTATTGTAATTATGTGACCCGTGCATAGTATCTAAAACGATGCTGTCAGTACCTGGACAACCTTTTGAGGCCGGCATACATTCTCGGGAGGATTTACAGGTGTCTCTCGTTCGTTCTATGCAGGCAAAAGACCAAGAGAGAAGAAGGCTTTGTTGTTTATTTCTGGGAGAAACCCAATGCGCTGAACATGATACAGCCCTCCGCAAGTCTGAAGATGTTGAATGAACAGGAGAAGAGACGACGACGACGAAGAAGGCTGAGCCACCAAACGTGCCGAACTAGCGCTCTCTGAAGTCTCGGATTCTCCAGTGCTCCACCAGGAAAAGCAATCAGCTTCAACCGTCGTGTCTTTTGCTGGCTCCTGGGAATATGGAATACGGGGATGTGGACTTTATTCGAGGTTCTAGAAGAGAGAGTGCTGAAAGAAAGAAAGAAAAAAAAACCCCCCCCCCTCCATGAGTGCGTTCTCACCAACATGTGACGAATGCAAGTCATCCTCCATAAATGATCGCTGCATCGGATGTTCAACAGTCTTCAAGGAGGGTCGGATGACAGTATTTAATTCAGCTGCCCAATCTATTATGGAGTTTTGAAACCGCCAATAATCGTATTCCTCGCTTGGTTGATATAAATACAATGTACATACTCTCAATACTAAAATACAGCTTAAACCCGTACGGAACCGTGATCGGAAAGAAAACAACCCATAGACAGATAGACAGGACAGGAAAACAAAAGAGAACTAAACAAGACCAGAAATTCATGCTTGATGCCATCAAGCGCATGCATGCCCTCTAAGCAGCCACTCTCAGGCGGCGGCCCAACTTCTCAAGCTCGCCGATCACGCCGCCACCAGCCAATGTCCACTTCTCACCAACCCATTCGTCGTTGATGGTTTCGCGGAGCAGACCGCTCTGCGCAAAGTACTCCAGGAAGCCGCGGGCTTCGCTGCGGGTCAGTCCGCCGAGGGTCTGAAGCTCCAGCATACCTTCCCGGGTAGCAGTAGGCTTGGATGACGCGAGGGCCTCGAGCACTCTGGGGTCGGGCTTGCTGTAAGGCTCAACCTGGGGGAATTCGGGAGCCGAGGGGTCCACGCCAGCGTGGCGGGCTTCAACCTGTTTCAGAGCGACGTCCAAGCTGTAGATACCGGGGCTGTTGGAAGCAGAGGTAGCGTAGAGGAGTGCTCCGCCGTTGGGGAGCGTGGGCTTGCCCTGGCCAGGCTGCAACAGAGAAAGGAAGTGCCGCACAAAGACAAGGTCGTGGGTGTGGACAGGCTTGAAGTCGGCCGTGCGATACTCGGAGTTCTTCATCCAGTGGGCAAGGCCATCAACAGTCACCAGTATGGGCGGACGGGGAATGAAGTTCTTTTCCAGACCTGGAGCCGCGACCGTAGCTGTGAGTTCAGTCCACAGGGCCTGGAAAACAGCCCAGGAGCTGGCAGGATCCTGGATGCCGATCTGAGCCAGGTCGTGCAGTGTCGTGTTAGGCTTGACCACGGACTTGAGGGCCGGATGTTGCTGAGAGATCTTCAGGCCGGTCAAGACCTCCTTGTTGGCAGTAATAGTGCGGGACAGCAGCGCAGCAGTGCTCTCGTTTTGGACATACAGATCCGGAACTTCATCGGAAAGAGGAGCATAGCTGGTGTGAGCGGTGACTAGTTCCTGGGCTAATTATTGCGTCAGCATGTTCTTTTCTTGCCTTCAACAAGGCATATATATATATTAACCAAAGAAAAGCTTCTCATGGGATGTCGTAACTTACCATCGGGGACCGTGAAAACAACCCACTTCTTCGTAAACGCCATTGCCATGGCCTGGAGCAGATGGACACTCTTTCCAGACCCTCTGGGCCCGGTGACAATCTTCTTCACCACACTACCTTGATCTTTACCCTCGCCAGAAATCGAATCAAACAATCTACCCATCTCCAATGTTTCCCGCCTCATCACCGTTCCCGGCCGGCGGAAGATCGACCAACCCTGCTTCGGCTTGAAGGCCTGGACCGCCCGCAGCTGATCCAGCATCGGGACGGGGAGAGCAAGAACGGTTCCCCGAAGACGAGAGTCCAGCATTGTCTCCGCCGACAGCTCCTGCATCCCGTCAACCTCGAGAGCGTTAGGGTTACTCAGGACAATACGCTTGCGGAGCGCCTTGCGCTCTCCGACGGGGGGGGGACGCGGCCGGTCCGTAGGGCGCTTCTTCTTCATCTTGGCGGATTTGGCCTGACGATATCTGGCGGGGCCTTCCTGGCTCGCTTTCTTCTTCATGGGCATCGCATAGCGGGCGGTGGATGTATGGAAGGCCGGTCCTCGAGACAATGCGGTCGGAGACGGTAAAACGCTGCGAGGTGTCTGGCGAAGCCGCGTGAGGCAGCTCCAGCAAAAGGAAGAAACCATGGCAATGCGGCACACCGGCACAACGGCCAGTGTTTCAAAGGGTCAATGGAAACTATAATGGAATTGAGGCCGCGGAGAGGCTGCGACGGGAGGGATCCGAGGCGGCGGGTTGGGGGGGGGGGGGGGGGAGGAAGAGAACTGCAGAGACTCAAAGAGACACAATTTTGGCGCCGGACCTCAAAATCCTCAGATTGCCGTTTCAGGTTTAGTTCCATCGCCGTTCTTACAAGGCGGTGTATTCGCAGAATGAATCTTAAAGCGGCTCCAGGTATTTTTTTTTTTTTTTTAGTTTTCCAGAATCCCATCTACATTTTCCCCCCCTTCCTTTAGAATCAAAATCAACTCCATCTCAACCACTTTCCCGACCAGATAAAACCATGGCCAATTCCGCATCTGGGGCCGTTGCCTCGAAATCCAAGCCTGAAAGACTGTACGTTGCCTTGACCTCAACCTCAACCTCCCATGTACATATATTTATATAATCAATTATAACAATATATATACGCTGAAAAAAAAAAAAAAAACATATTACTAACGTACAAAAGCCCCATCACAGTCTCCAAACCAACCCCTTACACATTCGACCTGGGCCACCTCCTCGCAAACGACCCTAACCCTCTGGACGGCGTGGCAACCTCGCAACGACGCAACGACGCCCTCAAGGCCACCGCCCGCGACGGCATCCAAAGCCTCCTCAACCAACTTCTCACCACCTGCCCGATCACCTCGTCCCCACAGGGCGTGCTCCTTACGCTGCCGGCCCCGGCAACGCTGCTCCCGCGGCACAAGCCCCTGCCCACGCCCAAAGCACCCACGAAATGGGAGCTCTTCGCCCGCAAGAAGGGCATCGGAAAGTACAGCGCGAAGCCGGGAGCGGCGCTGGCCGACAAGGAGCGACGCAAGAAGCTCGTCTACGATGAGGAGAAGGGCGAGTGGGTTCCTCGGTGGGGCTACAAGGGGAAGAATAAGAGTGAGGATGAGTGGCTGGTGGAGGTGAAGGAGAAGGACTGGAAGAAGGAGGAAGAGGCGGCGGCCCAGGGCAGCTCGATCCGTGGAATGTCGCGTGCGGAGCGCAAGGACAGGATCCGTCGGAATGAGAGGAAGATGAGGTCGAATGATCGCGCATCGAGGAAGTCTGGCAGTGGTGGTGCTTGAGGAGGAGGAGGAGGAGGGGGGACGACGACGATATATTCTGATTGATCCCTTTTTTTGTTTTCGTTTTGTTTTTGTTTTTTTTCTTCCAATATTTGGGATACTGGGCTTATCTGGGCGTCTGGAGTGGAGTTGCAGGTTTTGTCCGGCAGTTACAATCCTGAAAAGCAATGTTCTTCTATTTGTATAGATCACTCAGAAATGTGTGCATACTACTATGTAGATACCAGGTCTACAGATTGCAATGTAATGAAGATAAATGAAAGAGATCTTGCTAAGAGAAAAAAAAAAAAAAAAAGGTCATAGTCCTATGTTACAGTTATGTACCAGCGAAGCAGCCCTGCAAATTGAGGAAATCGGAACCAAGGGTAGTAAATAAAGAAAGAAAAAAAAACCAACATAAAATAGAAGGAAGGTAGACTTGCAATCCAAGTGAAAATGCTGAAACAAAGCTCCAACGGGGAATCAATGGATAGACTGGCATGTAGAAGAAGGCTTCAGAAACACATGTATGCGGTCATAGAAAAAAGTCTTTGAGGGGGTAGAGATATCGCCCAAAAAAAGGCTAATAGCTGGGAATAGGACAAAAGGCCAAAAGAAAGGGAGAATTAAAGGAAAATAAGGCAATTTATACAACGGGGAAGATTGAGTTCAGAAAAAAAAAAAAAAAAAAAAAACCAACAGGACGAACCGACTCCAAAGGCGCCAGATATGCAGTTTGAGAGGAAGGGAAGGGGGGAGGGGAAGAAGGCCAAGGGAGTTAACGATCAGCGTCAAGAACAGGTGCAAGATTGGAACTAATGCGAGAAAAGACCGAGTTGCTGCTGGGAAAAGAGGAGAGCGAACGTCGGAAATGCAAATGGCAAAGAAATTGTGCTGGAAACAATGTACAATCTCGATCATAGTGCGAGACCTGATATCTGGCGCAATTAGAACGTTAAGGAAGCAAGTAGGTGAGGGATAGGCCAGCCTATTCAGAGGGGAGGTGGGCAATCTGTAGGGTTGATATTTCTCGCCCGATGGAAAGTGATTCCAGGAGCTTGTTCATGACACTTGAAGTTGAGGGGAAGATGATCCAAGGGTTTTTTTATATTTGGATAGGGGAGAGAGGAGGTCCAAGTTCAGGGAGCTGGGAAATACTCCTGCTGTGCGAGGTTTCGATGTTCTTGGGCTTTTTCTTGCTGTGTTTGGGCGTCACAGGGCGGGACGAGTGGTCGTCAGTACTAGGCTGGCTACTCCCGGAAGAAACAGCTCTTTCGTTAGCACAGTCTTCTTTTACCTGAGCTGCTCGTTCCTTCTCATCCATTTCCTTTTCTCGTCGAAGGTACTCCTTTTCGGTCCAGCAACCTTGCCAGCAATTTTTCCAATCACAGACAAGGAAATTGAAGCAGAAGGCGTCGATTTTCATGCATGGTTGGAAGCAAATACAGAGGTTGCGATAATCCATCTTGTTTTGATCGACGTAAGAATGGAGAAGATTGAGGTGACAGGTGATAGCGAAGAGAAGGTAGTAATTGTACGGCGGTAATTTCGAGAGTTCATCTTTGAGCATCTGCGGAGCGGTTGTAGCGCCCTCGCACTTTTCCGCGATCATGGCCTGGACCTGCTTGGGGAAGAGCTCGTCGGGCAATTCACGGAGCCAGGCTTTAAACATGGACCCGATGGTATTGATGTCATAGAGATCCTGCTCATCGAAAAGGTTGATGTCAAGTTCTGGAGGGGTTTCTTAGTACATGTCCGGATTAGGAAAGCCTTCCGAGACCTACCAGTATCAAACCGTCTCTGCCAGTGCTTCACTTCTCGGCCACTACCTGGAACGCGATAGAGGCCTTCTTCCTCGCATCCCTTGAAATTGAGATAGCTAATTATTGAAGTCAGCATATGGTATCTTGTAGGTACCAAGATGTAACTTACTCTATGCAACGATACGGCAATGCAGGCATCCAAAACTCGGTCTTATCACGACAATCTTGGAGGTGCTTGGCAATGCGTGTTCGACGGGCTTGCTCGACCAAAGGCAAGTTTATTACGGAACAAACATAATTGTCATCAGTCATAAACTCGCGCTCGTTGGTACTACCGCTCCTCGTGATCTTTCCAAAAAAGCCCTTTCCAGCCTTTCCTAATCGATCTGCCGCACCACTCGAGGATTGTTTGAGGTTATTGAAGAGAGCCGCTGAGGCGCCAGAGACCTGGCTCAGCGAACCTGAAGGGACCATTGATCCGGCGTGCGACCTTTCCTTCCGGGTTGAGGTACTGGTGAATTCTGTAGCGCGGTCCGTAGTATAGCAGCGAGCTGTACCGTTCCCGTTGCTCTTAACACCACGATCCTGACGACACGTTGACTCCACGCACTCTTCCCGTTCTCCTTTACTAATCTCCTCAAGTCTCATAAGACTGGTGGACGGACGCCTATTCGCCGACCTGCCCACGGACGAATCGTTCACCCTGATCGACCGCGAACGCGATAGGAGGTTGGCAAAACGTGGTTTGTTCCGCTTGAGGGAATTGAAGGCATCCGAGTCCGTGCCGACCTTCTTGAGCTCTGACGGTTGCGGCTGCAAATTTCTCTCCTCAGAGGCGGCGTGATCTACACCGAAAAAAAAAAAAAAAAAAGAGTTAGTGGGGGAGGGAGCTAAGGCTAAAAAAGGATCAGGGACTTCAGGGACTCCTTACGATTTTCCTGCTGCGCTGCACGTTCGATAGTTCCTGGAAGATCCGGTGTCGACTCATACAGTTTCGAGGAAATCTGTGCTCTGCGGTCCCTGGAACTACCGCGACTCTTGGGCTTATCTGCTGAGTTGCCCAAGCTATCGGACCGGTGTGTCTTCTGAGAATGTTTGGGCGCCTTGAGACTGGAGAAGAATGAACGGGACGGGTCACGCGTGTGTTTAGGAGATTCTCTCGGGGATGGGGGATACGGAGGAATGGCAGTCAAGCCCGGAGTAGGTGGTTCTGCCGCAAGACTGGAGCCAGAGAAGGTAGGGCTATGCGATGTAATATTGGAGTCTTGTGTGACAGGGCGGATTGTGGCTCCCTTGAAGAACGGTGAGCTAGAAGAATTTGGGGAACGAGGTGTCAGGGGGCTGAGCCCATCGGAACTTTGGGCACCAGGGGTCAGGGGAGACGAGATCTTCGCAGTCGCCTGAAGTGTGGAGGAGCTTAGATCTAAATTGGGAACCGTGGATTGTCTTGAAGGCATCCTGAGCGACAGCCCTGCGCAGGATGGGGAAGAAGGCGATGTATCGAATGTCGATTGGAGAATCAAGCTTCAGAGAAGTGGGTATGCAAAATTGACCTATTTTTGCAAAGAAGGTGGATTAGCAACCCACGGCACGATAAGGAGGGAGGGAGAGATATTTTTAGGATGGAAAAGACGACTGACTGACCACAATTCCTTGGATCTGTTTCTCGAACTGAGCCCTCCTTTTTGCCGCCCCTTGTGACATAAATATCTGGACTCCTCCAACTAATTAATAAGACGAACCTCGAATTCGGCGGAAACAACAATGTGAGATCGCCGCAACAAAGGAGATTGGACTGGAGCCAGCCTTGCCAATCGAGGTTGAAAGCCTTGTGAGATGCGCTGTTTTATCGCGTGCAGGGTATATTCCAGAGGGATTTTAGATCTACGAGACCAGTTGATTGATGGTCAGTGAAACAGCTTCAAAGACTCGAGGAACGCATCCAGATATAAGGAAAAAAAAAAAAAAAAAGAAGAAGAAGACGAAGGAGGTGTGGATGTAGGTAGGGATTCAACGAGACAAAAAGAAGGATGACGTTGGAAACCCAGCAGACCACGATATCGATTCGCCCCTTGGTATGTATGCATCCCCATGCATAAAAGGACGAAAGCGAGACGCAGACGCGGATGAACCTTTTCAGAAAACAATGGGCGATTGACTCAAAACTGAGCCTCCAGGATAATCAATGATAATCAATAGGCATCACAACATACCAAGCCGCGCCCCTCATATTAAGAGCAGAGATCCTCTGTGTGTGTGTGTGTGTGTGTGTGTGTCTCTCACAGTCTCACTCTCTTTCTCTCTCCGTCCAACGATCCACCTTTTGTTTCCACCGCAATAATATTTGTCCAACGATAATGGCACCCCCGAGTATGGTCTGGCAGGAACTCAGACCTTTTTTTTTTTTCTCTCTCTCTCTCTTTCTCTCTCTCTCTCTCTGTGGATGGGGAATTAATAGAGGGCGGTCGGGGAGAGAGGGAGGTGGCAAGGAGATTGGCAGCGCTAGTGTCGTTGCTGATGAAAGACAAAAAAGAAAGGTAGGAGAAAAAGGTTTACAGTGGAGGAAATTCCCAGAGGATGAAGAACACCAAAAATTAAAAACCCTCCCAAGGAACAGAGCCAAGAATAGGAAAGAAAACGAGTGCGAGCAGAGGAGAGAGAGAGAGAGAAAGGGAAAGCCGCACGGTTCTGAGGGTGTTCAAATGTCGCAGCGACAACGACACATTTCCTTGATAGTGCTATGCAAGCGCGTGTGTGTGTCAGACTAAAAAGACTCCATTCGTTTAAAGGGGGGAGTGGACTAGAGAATAGTACAGAGTATAGTTTAGAGATTACGGGCTTCTATCTCGAAGTTAATCATATAATAATATTAGAAGATGAATATTATAGAAAATGCACAGGAACCTCCAAGAGTCTTCTACTGGAGATAGATGCTCATCCTTCTCATTTCCTAATTAAGAAAGGGAGGGGGATGAATCCAGGTTCCAAGTCTCATACCAGTAATTAATCCCAGTAACCAAAGAACCCAAGGATGATGTCTGCCATTGTCTGGTAGCCCACAGGATTTTAGTCGAGGGGCAATTCCAGGCACCCGAACGAATCATCACGACGGAAGCAACACGAGTTGATTTAGATATCTAACCCTCTTCTTTCTTCCTTCTTTTATTCTCTCTCTCTCTCTCTCCCCGTCTTTTTTTGTTTGTTCTATCCTAGTAAAAACCTGATGGTGTTTAACCATGGAACCTAAAGAGCCTTTGATACAACTGGTGGGGTTAAACCCAGGTTGAAATTGAAGATTCAATAAGCTGGAATTCGGTCCCCCCTTAGATAAAAATAACCCTATTATTAGTATAGACTGACCGAACTATACCAGACACGTACCTGGTCATGTCATGGGTAAGATCTCTGAACAACAGGGGATACTGATACTTACTTACACGTGGGATTCATCTTTCCCCTGCTCTGGGAAGCTCCTACTAATAGCAGCTGCAAATCATACTGCTCTCATTACATTTTCGGGGATGTTGACAATCAGAATTCTGGCATCTCAGCCGATCATCATCTTACTCTTGAGCAAGTAGAACCATCCCTATTGGCGCCAATGGGTGCTCAGGGGAATGTAGCGTAAACGCCAGCCTGAAACACAAGGCCCACTTTTAGATCCAAGCTCCCAGTCGGCGCTAAGTCACGTGGACACTAGCCCGCTTTCGTTGCCTGGAGAATGAGCTCTCCTCACACACATTACATTCTCTCCCTCAATCACTAGCCACATACCTACACACTGTTGAAGGAAATTCACCACCAGCCCTTCCTCCAAGAATGTCTTTAGTTTCAGGCCCTGGTAGGGCCGCTGGAGCTGAATCCGACCCCAAGCTATGCGCCCAGAAACATATTGAATATATCAAGAAATTGGATAGCGTGCGTCTCTCTTATTCCTGCCATGTCACTTCTCTTTATGCAGAGATGGTTGACAGCTGATGGTAGAGGAAAGATGAGCTGGAATATTGGCTCACGGAACACCTTCGACTGAATGGAGTTTACTGGGGGTTGACGGCTCTTCACCTGCTTGGATGCCCCGAGGGTCTGCCGCGTGACGAAGCTATTAACTTTGTGCTGTCCTGCCAACGGGAGAATGGCGGGTTTGGCGCAGCTCCAGGTCACGATGCCCACATGCTGTATACCGTATCCGCTGTTCAGATTCTTGTCACCCTGGACGCCGTGGACGAGCTGGACAAGCGTGGGCGGGGGGGTAAAGGAAAAGTTGGCTCCTGTACGAAATGATTCTTAGAATCCCGTGTTTAGAACGACCGGCTAAAATGGCTCTCAGTCATCGCAGGACTCCAAGATCCCCAAACCGGCTGTTTTACGGGCGATGAATGGGGAGAGTTGGACACGAGGTTCCTGTACGGCGCCCTCAACGCATTGTCCCTTCTACGCCTTCTTCATCTAGTGGATGTCGAAAAGGCAGTATCTTACGTTCAGAGGTGCGAGAACCTGGATGGAGGATATGGAATCTGTCCTGGGGCCGAATCTCATGCGGGCCAAGTCTTTACTTGTGTCGGAGCATTGACCATCGCTGGACGAACAGACTTGATTAACAAAGACCGTTTGGGCGCTTGGCTCAGCGCAAGGCAAGTAGAAAAAGGCGGTTTAAATGGCCGCCCAGAGAAACTAGAAGATTCCTGCTACAGTTGGTGGGTGGGGGCAAGCCTGGCCATGATTGACAGACTTCATTGGATTGATGGCGCCAAGCTTGCGGCCTTCATCCTGCACTGTCAGGTCAGTTCGAGCGAGTCCAGTATAACACCTTCATTTTTGGCTAACAGATTGTAGGATCCTGAGGCTGGTGGCTTCGCAGATCGTCCTGGCCATATGGTTGACGTTTTCCATACGCACTTTGCCATTGCTGGCCTGAGTCTGCTCAAGTTTGAGGGACTAGATGAGGTAGATCCTGTTTAGTAAGTGGCTTGTTGTCAAGTTGACTTGAGATAGGGCCAATAACTAATTATTTTCAGTTGTATTTCAAAGTCCATCACAAGAAAGGTGTTGTCCGCTTAGCAAGCCGCCATTCCATCGAGTATAGGCTTTTAGTCGGCCTCTAATGTCCTCGTAGCTCGTGCGTGAGTAACCTCCTGCAATCTAATACCCCGTTTTTTTTTTTTCTTTTTCTCCATGAATTCTGGGATACAAGGCAGGAGAAGATTGACCTCCAGACACAGCGACTTATTCTGCTTCATCCCATCACAATGGCCTGGATGTTGGCCGTTAAGTAAGACACGCTGTCGCACACACACACACACACACACCAGTAGAAGAGATTCTAGGATGTAATACAATAGCTAATGTTTGAGAAATCTATCATGAATATAGGTAATAACATTATCCTCGATGTTCCATTAGTTATTTTATCCCACCTCTCTACCATTCTTGAATGCTACAGCCGGTTCTTGCAGTCTCCAACTTCCCTGCCCTCTTTTTGCTGGTTGTTCCTTCTCAAAATGTCACACCTCTTACTTAATTGAGCAAGGAACCTCCTACCTAAGGTATCTTCCTTCCTTATCCTACCTTCCACCTGAGTGGCCATGGCACGGGTAGACTTCCAGGGCAAGTCCCCCGGCCTCTTCATGGCCTTCCTCCATCTCATCTCTTCTTTGACTCTAGGGAGCCGTCTTTTAAACTCCCAGGGAATAACCTTTCTCTATATTGGATTTTTGTCTTTTGTTTTGTTCTTCCCCTCTTATGAAAGTGGCGACCTGTAACCTGTTGCTCCCTTGACCTTCGCTCTTGCATTCCATCCTGCATCAAAATTGGGAGTTATCTTCGGCCTGGGGTCGTTAATCATGGACGCAACAGCCCTCCTGTGCAACATCTGCCCGAAGCGTCCAAAGTTTAGCGATGTGTCCCACTTGCTAACTCATATTGCCTCCAAGGCCCATCTCTCCCATTACTTCAAGCTCCAAGTACGCAGCCACCAGGAGTCTCAGGCCGGGACCCTCCTTGACGAATATAATCATTGGTACAAGGCCAATAATTTGGCGAAGCTGCTGTCAGATCGTCTATCTTCGAAGGACACCCGCAAGAAGAAATCACAGGGCAAGCCATCGGCCCAGGGTAAAAATGTCTATAGGGGCACAAAGGACGCCTACAAGGCTACTACTCCGTTGTCCAGCTACAACCACCACAGCACGTTTTCCGACTGCATTGACCCACGTCTTGCGGATCCCTTTGTGAGCCAGGGCTCTAGGACAGGTAAGAAAGCGCTCCTGTATCCCATCAAATACTCCCTTACCCTAACTTGTAACACCATGTTTTTCACAGAGCATACCCAGCTTCCGGTAGCCACCGCGAATGACCGGCCAACGGTATCTACCCTCCATCAATGGAAACATGAAAACATGCCCGACTCCGAAGATGAAGGGACATCCCTGATGCACACTACGCCATGCTGGCCCAGGACTTTTCGAACCAAAGCAGCCCCAAAAGTTCAGCTATCAGACAGACCATTCGGTTACGATCCTTTCGTTGACGACAACGATAGCCCGGAATGTCCGCACTCGGGCGAAATGGACAAAGTGAGGGCAGATGAAATGGCGAGACTCAAGGGAGTTCTATGGCCAGGGATGGACATCTTTGACTCTGCTACGGAACAGATGAAACGAAAACGTAACCAGAAGAAGGACGAGAACATTTTGAAGATGATGGAAAGGACCTCGATGCGAGTCGAGCCCACAGAGCTTGTATTCTCCCCTACCGGTGTTTTGCGGAAACAGCGTGTGATATCTGGTAACGTTGAGGACAGCAGCCCTCTGAAGGGCGAGACCCCCATTCCAAAGAAGCGGGCTACTCGCTCAAAAAGAGTCCTCGCGCAAGTGGATCCAAACACCCGACGTGTGCCGGAGCAGAAAAGGGCCCGGAAGGGTGTCAAAGAAGGAATGTATGTCTATGATGATGAGACAGGCGAGAGAGGGCTGCACACTCCACGAGGTGTCCTCTTTCACGGACAAGGCCCACTCGGGAGCCGCACCTCTTGCGGAGATGATATGGACGAATTCATGTTATCCTTCCGCAACCAAGATATAAAACCCCGGAATAAGGTTGCTGTTTTTCGTGATATTCCAGAGGTTGGCGAACCAAAGTTGGACGAACATCACCATGGTGTAGAGAGATTGCTCTCCAGAGAACCAGCCATCTCTCAATCAGGTCTCCTGCGGCGCGAAATGACAGCTTCTAGCGGCTTATTTTCCCCGCAGATGTCCACCAATTTCCCATCGTTCTTCGAGAAAGGCCCACATGTTGCCACGGATAAAGAGAACGTGGAAGCCCTTCTGGATGTTTACGGCCGACTTGATCCCTTCGCACACTGGCACTCACCTGTGACGAAAAGGCATACGAACTCTGACGCGGGGCTGCAACCACATTTGTTATTCGGAGATGCGCAGTGCCTTGGGTTCAATCCATTTGAAACCCACGACAGCCCAACCGGCTACTCCTTCAACCCGTTATCCTCGTCACTGTCGAGAATGTTGACGGACGAAAATCCTATTTACGCGAGCGACACTAGTCGCACCTTGAAAGCCCCCTCGACCACCCGTGCGAACTCCCCGGATGCCACGATCTCCGAGGTTGAGGACGATGATTTTGGGCGTCTGTACTTGGATGGAAGCTCTTAGCCCTTCAAAGCAAAAATTCACTCCCATTTGCTGCCCACCGATCTTCCTCTAGCCGTCTTTTTATTGCATTTTCTAGAAGCCAAGACTCACCGTTTATTAAGTTCAGTATCGATCTTGGGCCATCGATCATTATTTTTCCATACCCGGGGATTGTCCCGAAATCTTTATATAGCTGGCACCACCGTTATACTCATACATACTGACGGGTTAGGGTTTCTGCCTGGTCAGTACTTGAACTGTTGATTATTTGTTACTGGGGTTTTGCGCGAGTACCGTATACATCAGACGAGATGAAATGATATTATTTGCCTCATTAGCGATACACTGTGGTGGTGACCACTCAAGTAGTTAACTGCCTCTATGTAATTAGATAAGCCAATTTCCGACACGGGTAACTAACGCGCTCTCCCCACGCGTCAAGCTCCGAACTACGATAACGGACTGGAAGCTTGTCCTATTGCCCCATCCTGCTTCATGGGAATATTTTGGGACCTTTGCCATACATACGTATGAGGGGATTTTTTGATTTTTCTGTCGGATTCAGAAAGGCTCGGAATGAAACATTGCTTATTGGGAACCTCCTAGCTCTCACCTGGATACTCGGCACATTTCACGATAGAGCGATTTTCTATCACGGAATCTACAAAGCGAAGCAATGCCTCTCCGTTCATCCCAGCCATCAGTCTCGTCTTCTCCAAGCTTAAAACGAAAACAGCCTACCATCGCCAGTTTCTTCACCAAGAAACCGCAGGTGGCGCAACCATCCTTGTCGAACGACGCCGAAAGACCGGACACCAAAGCGGCGGGACATAAAGACGATCATGAAATAGCGGAAGAAGAAGAAGATGATGATGATATTGTTGGCCCAGCGTCGAAAAGGGCCAAGATTAATGGATTTCACGCCGAACCCAAGTCACAAAGCCCAACAGCGGAGGCGAAGTTAACTTCCCCGTCAACATCAGCGCCAAATCCAAAAGCTAAGCCAAAGCCAAAGTCTCTGTCCTCGTCTCGAACAGATGAACCCGTACAACCGGCAGGTAGTCAAAGAACGGAGCTATCCAAGTTTGCGAGCTCTCCTGGGGCAGCGCAGGGAAGCGATAGAGCCGTTGAGCTGGATGGGTTGGACGAAGAGGAAGCTAGTCGACGGCAGAATGAAAGAGAGAAGCTGCACCAGAAGTTTGTTCGGAAATTAGGCGGAGCGGACTGTCTTATTGGAATCGGACGAAGTAGTAGATTCAATGACGCTGTTGTGCCGGTTGACGAGGGTGCGGAGGGCGAGGACGATGAAGAGGCGGCGCCTGCGCCTCCTGCTCCGACGAAAGGAAGGGGAGGGAAAAAAGCCACTGGGAAACTCACACCGATGGAGAGGCAAATCATCGATATAAAGCGGAAACACATGGATACAGTTTTACTGGTTGAAGTAGGGTATAAGTTTCGGTTTTTTGGCGAGGATGCGCGAATTGCAGCCAAGGAGTTGAGTATTGTTTGCATTCCGGGGAAGATGAGATATGATGAACGTGAGTTTTCTCCAAGATGATATTATTATTATTATTATTATTATTATTATTATTATTATTTTTTCCCCCCACCCTACTGTTGGATTTGGCTAAAGTTTGTTCTTGTGTCTAGATCCTTCCGAAGCGCATCTTGATCGGTTTGCCTCTGCGAGTATACCGACTCAGAGACTCCATGTTCATGTGAAGCGCCTCGTTACTGCGGGTTACAAAGTGGGTGTTGTTAGGCAGCTCGAGACTGCGGCGTTGAAAGCGGCTGGCGATAACCGCAATGCCCCATTTGTCCGCAAACTCACCAATGTGTACACGAAGGGGACGTATATTGATGATGTTGAGGGTCTGGACGGATCTACGGCTGCGGCTTCTGGGGGCGCCTCCGCGACGGGTTATATCCTATGCATCACGGAGGTGAATGCCAAAGGCTGGGGTAATGACGAGAAGGTACACGTTGGAGTTGTCGCTGTCCAACCAACCACCGGGGACATTGTCTACGACGAATTCGATGACGGGTTTATGAGAAGCGAGATTGAGACGCGGTTACTCCATATTGCACCTTGTGAGCTTCTTATCGTCGGTGAACTGTCGAGAGCCACAGAGAAGCTAGTTGAACATCTCTCCGGGAGCCAGACAAATGTCTTTGGTGATAAAATTCGTGTGGAGAGAGCCCCGAAGACGACAACCGCCGCAGCTGAATCACATAGCCATGTGTCGTCTTTTTACGCCGCAAAAATGAAATCGGTGAACGCTGCAGATGACGAGGTGGCTAGTAGCTTGCTCCAAAAAGTGCTGAATCTGCCAGACCAGGTCACGATCTGTCTTTCGGCTATGATCAGGCATATGACCGAGTATGGGTTGGAACATGTTCTGGAGTTGACCAAATACTTCCAGCACTTCTCCTCTCGCTCGCACATGCTTCTCAATGGAAACACTCTTACCAGCCTTGAGATTTATCAGAATCAAACGGACTACTCGTCTAAGGGCAGTCTCTTCTGGACCTTAGATCGAACCCAGACACGTTTCGGGCAGCGATTACTTCGGAAATGGGTTGGACGACCTCTGCTAGATAAGCACCAGCTGGAAGAAAGAGTCAACGCTGTCGAGGAGTTGAACCATCCAGATAACACCACATCAGTTGAGCGAGTCAAGGCTCTACTTGCGCGAGTGAAGCATGACCTCGAGAAGGGATTGATTCGGATATACTATGGAAAGGTGAGTAACCCTCAGTGCTTTGTGCGGGCCAGGGCTAACATTTGCAGTGCACCCGACCTGAGCTCCTCACCATGCTTCAGACAATGCAGATGATAGCGCAAGAGTTTGTGGATGTCAAGGCTCCTGAAGACACCGGCTTTTCTTCGCGCGCTATCAGTCAAGCCATGGCATCTCTCCCGGCGATAATGGACGACGTGGTATTCTTTCTCAACAAAATTAACATGCATGCGGCTAAAAGTGATGATAAATATGCGTTTTTTAGGGACGCAGAAGAGACGGAAGAGATTAGTGAGCAGAAGTTGGGGATTGCGGCCGTTGAGCATGAGCTAGAGGAGCATCGCTCTGAAGCCGGGGACGCTCTCACCAAGAAGACCGTGAACTATGTATCTGTGGCCGGCATTGACTACCTGATCGAGGTGGAGAATAACTCGCCCTCGATCAAACGCGTGCCCGCATCCTGGGTGAAAGTCAGCGGCACCAAGAAAGTGTCGAGATTCCATACTCCTGAAGTTATCAAAATGATCCGGCAACGAGACCAGCACAAGGAAGCGCTCGCCGCAGCGTGTGACAAAGCCTTCTTGGCCCTTCAAGCCGAAATCGCAACCAACTACCAAAATCTCCGAGACTGCGTGCAGTCCCTGGCGACGCTTGACTGTTTGATATCGCTGGCTACCATCGCCCGCCAGCCGGGGTACGTGAAACCCGAATACACGGAAGAGACACGCATCCATGTGCAACAGGGACGTCACCCGATGGTTGAGCAACTGTTGCTCGACAGCTACGTGCCCAATGACATTGACCTGGACAGCGACCAGACGCGCGCGCTCTTAGTCACAGGGCCCAACATGGGCGGCAAATCCAGCTACGTACGGCAGGTCGCGCTCATTGCCATCATGGGCCAGATTGGATCCTACGTTCCAGCTCAATCAGCAAAACTAGGCATGCTCGACGCAGTATTCACCCGGATGGGCGCCTTTGACAACATGCTAGCCGGTGAGTCTACATTCATGGTGGAACTTTCCGAGACGGCAGATATCCTCAAGCAGGCGACCCCACGTTCGCTGGTGATTTTGGACGAATTAGGACGAGGAACGTCCACACACGACGGCGTGGCCATTGCCCAGGCGGTTTTGGATTACATGGTCCGGTCCATCCGCAGTCTGACCCTTTTTATCACGCATTACCAGCATCTCGCGTCCATGGTGTCCGCCTTTCCCGACCACGAGCTACGAAACGTGCACATGCGTTTTAGTGAGTCCGGGACTGGGGCGGGATCGGGCGCTGCGGCTGACGAGGAGATTACATTTCTGTATGAGGTTGGCGAAGGCGTTGCGCATCGTAGCTACGGGTTGAACGTGGCTCGATTGGCGAATCTCCCAGCACCATTACTGGAGCTGGCGAAGCAAAAGAGTGCAGAGCTGGAAGACAAAATCCGGCGTCGTCGACTTGCGGGACTCATGGCGGCGGTTGGGGAGATGATCAAGAGGGATTCGACTGAGGGAGCGATTGAACGATTGATCACCAGTGTGGTGGAGTTATAATGATTCATTACTGTAACTAGATATCTAGCTACAATCTCTCTCTGTTAAAAATTAGGAGGAATCCTCAAAAGTACCCTAGGTTGGATGGATGCCTGAAAAGTCAGGAACGTTCGGAGGTGCGCACTGACACCTGAGAACCCAGGCATCTCCGATACCCCTCCGCCTCCGCCCAACAAAGTCGAAGCCATTCATTCATTTACCATCCATCATCTTTCAAGCTTTTCGCATACCCAGTGCAACGCGCCACCTTGTTCATACAGGATTAGACCTCTTTCATCCGTCAATTCCCCGCTACAGAGCAGACCGACGTTTCCGATTACATTAATTGCTTGTCATTATCCTTTCGTTTGAAATTCAAGAATCTGGACTCCTACCCCGCGCCGAAATCAAGATGGATCTCGTTAACCAGTGAGTCAATTGCATTCCAGCGCTTAGTTAAATTATTTCGATCTCTGACCGTTTCCCTCCAGCCTAGAAGGAAGACTCCTCTTCGCTGTTCCTAAGAGCAAGTTCCTCCCAATGACTCACCTTTCTCATGGAATCGAGAGAGAGAGAGAGAGAGAGAGAGAGAGAGACTAACAGGAAGAAACAGAGGGCCGCCTCCAACAAGCCACCCTTGACCTGCTCGCTGGCTGTGACATCCAATTCCGCCGCGAAAACCGTCTCGACATCGCCCTCGTCAAGAACCTCCCCATCGCGCTAATCTTCCTCCCCGCGGCCGACATCCCAACCTTTGTCGGCGAAGGCCGCGTCGACATTGGTATCACGGGCCGCGATCAAGTCGCTGAACACGATGCGCAACTACCCTCGGGAGAAACCTCCATGGTTGAGGAGATCATGGATTTGGGATTTGGAGGGTGTAAACTGCAAGTCCAGGTTCCGGAGAAGGGCGACGTCACGGAAGCGAAGCAGTTGATTGGACGGAATATCGTGACGAGCTTTACGGCGCTGAGCGCGGCGTTCTTTGCAAAGCTGGAGGGCGTAAGCGATTTGAAGGAGATGAGCACGAAGATCAAGTATGTTGGTGGAAGTGTGGAGGCGGCTTGCGCATTGGGAGTGGCCGATGGCATTGTGGATCTTGTTGGTGAGTTTTCTTCTCTTTTTTTTTTTTTTTCCTTATACGGGAGTAGTACTAATAGGTGGGTAGAATCCGGTGAAACCATGAGAGCCGCCGGCCTTACGGCCATCGACACCGTTGTCGAGAGTACCTCGGTGCTGGTGAAATCCAAGAACACGCAAAACCCTCTGGTGGAGTTGATTTCCTCTCGTATCCGTGGTGTTATTAGTACGTCTCTTCTTTTCCGAATCTTAAGAACAGAACTGACGCATATATGTAAAAATAGCCGCCCAAAAGTTTGTCCTGTGCCAGTACAACATCCACCGCAACAGCCTCGTTACCGCATGCAGCATCACCCCGGGCAAGCGCGCGCCCACCGTCACAGCCCTAGAAGAGGACGGCTGGGTGGCTGTGAGCTCGATGGTCGAGAAGAAGAAGATTGCAACCGTGATGGACGAGTTGACCAAGGTTGGCGCGACAGATATCCTAGTGCTAAGCATTACCAATTCACGAACGGACTAAATTTTTTTTCTTTCCTTCTTTCCTTCTTTCTTTTCTCTCTTTATTATTGTTAGTTAAATCTTTTTTTTTTTTTGCTCGTCTTTCAATATATACATACATACATACATACATACATACATACATATACATATATATATGTACATGTTCGGGTTGGGTTGGTTGGGTTGGTTGGTTCGGTAAAAGTTGAGAGGAGGTTAGATAAAACCCCGACTGCAATGAAAGCAGATATACACTACACTACAACAATAAATCTATAAATATAAATAAATATACACCTAAATCTCATAACGTTTGTACGTACGTACATACATACAATTCCCAAGTATTTCTCTTCTCTGCTACTCTATCTAATAACGATACGAGTGCGAGTGCGAGGACAGTACTTGTATGATACGATAATATATATATATATATATATGGTATGTATGATCAATATAGACATTTCTTTCCCTGTGCAAACTATAATGATATAATACTAGAGATAGAGATAGATAGAGAGAATAGTGGAGGAAGAAAGGTTAATAATGTATTCTGAGGCGGGAAGTCTTTTATCATTTATGCATTTGGGGACCGTTATCGTTAGGAGGATAGGTAGGGAGGTAGGGTATACGTGTGTGTGTGTATGTATATATATATATATAGGAATAAGTATGTAGGGTGAGGGTATCAATATCATGAATGCCAAAAAAAAAAACCCCATTCAATAGAACAAAAGGGGGGGGGGGGGGGGGGGGAGTCAAAAAGGGTTCAAGGCGCAATAACCCCAACTCCTACGCCCTCGCGTCTCCCCCGGACCAATGCGCGCAAACACTGCCCCACGCCCTCCAGATCACCCATTAAGCCAACATGGCCGCGCTCGGTCTTGACCAGGCCGTCCTTGATGATCCGATACCCCGCGGGCAGCATGGCGGCCGACGCAAGACAGACGCCGTCGCCCGCGGCAAAGGCCAGGTCGTCGTAGGCGCTGGTGTACTTGATGTGGTCGCGCGAGGCCACGCGCGCGCCGTACACGGTCGGGAGGGCTTTGCTGTACAGCACGGCGAAAGGCGGGTACTGGTTGAGCGATTGGTGCGTGGGGTTGAAGACGAGGTCGTCTTTGAAGCGGCGGACTTCGGAGAGCGTGCGGGTGAGGTAAGCCAGGGCGTCGGCGCGCGGGATAGTGCAGGATGATGATGATGATGATGGCGGCGGCGGCGCGGAGGTGGCGCTGGGGCTGGTGCTGGAGCCTGCGCTCTGGGGGGCCACCAAGTGGGACGGTTTCAGGGGCATGGAAGGGGATTGCGCGGGGTCGGCGGTAGTAGCCTCGCTGCCCAGGACGGCAGAGAAGCGCTTGCCGAGGAGAGGGAGATTATCCTTCAAGCCGCGGGAGGTGGGTGCGGGCAGCGCCGGGCTGATACAAGGCGAGAGCCGGTATTCATCCCAAGTCTGCGGGTCGAAGAAGTCGACCAGGTATTCCGCCTTGGTGCGCTTGTCGATGAAACAGTGCCCCCGTTCGGGAAGTAGGGCAAAGCTGGTCCGGAAGGTAAAGTTGACTTGAGCGGTGAGGACTCGTGAGCTGAGCAGCACATCGTCGCCGTTGCGCAGAGGGCCGAGGATATTGACGCAATGCTGGGGGACCCCCGCGTAGAGAACGCCCGCAAAGAGATCGGGCCGTTGGTTCACGGCGTGACGGGTGATCAAGCCGCCCAAGCTGTGGGCGATGACATAGGCCCCTCTCTTGTTGCGGGGCACGTCTGGCGCGTTGCAAGGCAGTCCCTCCAGGTAGCGGATCAGCCGGCGCGAGAGAAGATGTGGGCTGAGGCGCCAGTCGTAGCCGTAGTTCCAGACGCGGAGGTCACCCCGAACCGCGTTGTCGCACTTGTGGAGTCGCTTCAGCAGCCGCCGACAGATGTCCACGGGTCCAATGTGGGACAAAACCCCCGACGGAATGATGGACTCTTCCATCCGTTCCTCGTCCTCGTGCGTCAGCCCGACCTCGAGGTCGACCTTGCGGAGATTCAAGCCGACCTTCATCGGCACCCACAGCTGGCGCTGCGGCGGTTTGGCCGAGCGCAAGATCGATCCCCTGTAACCACCCATGACCACCACGTCCCCCGTCATCTCGCCCAAGGCCTCGGTGAGAAGAGGGTAGGTGGAGGCGGCGGTGCTCGAATTGAGCCGGGGTGACTGGGCGTGGGGGAACGGCGATGCCGACTGCTCGCGGAATGCCTCTGAGGATGACGATAGCGGTGGTGGTGGTGGTGGTGGCGGCGGTGCTGGTGCTGGTGCTGGTGCTGGTGCTGGTGCTGGTGCTGGTGCTAGTGTTGGCGATCCGGATGCCGATGGGAGGTTCTCAGCCGTGCTCTGGCTCTGCGTTCTTCGGTGACTCGGGTCCATGAGAAACTGTTTATACCCCCACTCGCCACGCAAGTCCTGGAGGTGTAGTAGGGTCGGCATGCTCAAGAGGCGACTGCTCGAGTCCTGCAGGCTGTCTTTGATCGCCTTGAATCGGCTGTTGATCTGGGAATGAACATGCTCGTACTGGGGGCGATGCTCGAGGGACGATGCGGTGGACGACGCGCGCAGATAGAGCGATTGGTCGGACGAGGAGCGTCGCAAGGCGGGGGGGATTGAGCCGGACGGGGTGGCACTCGGTCGCCGAGAGAACGAATACTTGCCTGGAGCGGTAGCCGCCGGTGGTTCCAAGGACGGGAGATCGCCAATGGGTTCCTCGGCGGCGGCGGCGGCGGCAGGAGCCCCGGGACTGCAACTGGAGCGCCTCGGAGAAGTAGCAGGATGGGACACGGTCTCCTGGTCCAGATTGAGGCGGGAGGAGGCGGATTTCCAGGTGAGGCTGCGCGAGCGACGCTGCGACGAGCTGGTGGGGAGGAGGGCGAGCGAGGAGCGTTTGGCCAAGGAGCCCAGATCGGGGAAGAACTTTTTGAAGCCGCGCGAGCTGGTGTGGCTGTCCCCGGACCAGGCGCGGGGTCGTAGGGGCAACCCGGACCTCAGAATGGAACGGGTGAAGCTGGATCGGGCGGAGGAGGAGGATGCAGGCGCTGGCGGGGGTTTCTCCTCCGCGAGACTTTCGGGTTCATCGGTGAGCTCGGGGGTAAACAGGCTGTGGTCCTCCAAGTCGCCCCCATTGCGTTCCATGATGCGGGACTTCTCCTCGATCGGGGTGGCCCGAGCCTTGAGACGACTTTGAGCCAGGCCAATGCTCACCCCGACCATCTCGTTAGCCTCATCCTCGCGAGCGGCATCGACTGGATGGAGGACGGGGGGGTCGTCATCGGAGGAGCTCATGAGAGAATGAGCCATGATGGGGAGTTAGGAAGAGAGAGAGAGAGAAAGAAAGGAAAAGAAATGAGTTCATGGAAGAATAAGCACAGAAAAAAAAAAACGCATCCTCGGGAGAGTCGGAAGAGGAGGAACCAGAGATTGAGAGAAATCCGTCTCTTCTTAAGATATATTTATCTATATATATATATAATATATATATATTCTTACGAATACGACTACGACTACGACGATACAGCTGGGAGTGAGGCTGTGATGCGGCTGACTGGGGATTTACTGCTTACGGGGAGATGTAGTGAGGATCCAACTTGATCTTCGACAGGATAAGAATAGAAGTAGAAGATTATAATCTTTAACCGAGTTGAAGAAGATTGAATTGATTGAAGTTGAATTGATTGAATTGAATTGAATTTAAAGAAAAAGACAAGATTTGCATGTGACCAGAGATGGTCATGTGATGCACTGTCATCATGACGTCATCCTGCTGAGTCACTGCTGAGTCATCACACTAAGCCAAACTGAGTAATCAATCATGATTGAATAACACACATTTAGTTATGCATCAAGAGATCTTTATCAGACCCCCAACTTCCCTGGGAATATCTATCTCACGAAACAGAGAATCAACGCCAGATCTGATTTCTCATCCACGACCCCGTCGTGCGTCCTTTCAAGAAAAACGGTACCGGAGTCGCCGAGGTAACTATGTTCAATCGAAACGAATGTATAAACGAGTTTGACGGGAAGAGACAGGCAAACGAAAAAAAAAAAAAAAAAAAAAAAAAAAGAAGAAGAAGGTCCTTATGCGGCAGGCCGTACTTTACCGGCCTCCCTTACTTCATTCATGAAACCATCCTCATCGCCAGCGGAGGTCAGGACCCAATAGTCTCCCACGCCCGCATTGGCCAGCTGACCACCGCCGAAGCCCGTCAGAGTTGCGGGCGGCGCACTGTGGCGCTCCTTGGGTTTCGTTCCGACATCTCGCGGGCCCCACGCCAGGATGTTTCGAACCGCCAGACGACTCTGGTCATCCGGCTTGGTGAATCCAAACAGCTGCGCCTGCAGGCTGCCCAGCACCGCGACCGCCGCACGGATCATAATCCGATCGCCCTCAAACACCCAGCAATCCCACACGCGACTGATCCGCTCGAGGTCCAGGCCGTTCGAGAGCAGGGATCGGAACATGCTGTCCCAGATCTCCTCATCGCTCAGGCGGAGCGTGTCATAGAGATGCGTAGCCAACCGGGGAAATTTGTAGCGGAGCGTTGTAGAAGCGAGGGAATAAGTACGGCTGATAGCACCGCAGTCCATAGTCATAAACGCAACTGGTAACGGACGGTTGAGCGCATTGGCCATGGCGAGAAACGCGGATGCCGGCGTGGGAAATTGGAGCACAAGAAGCGCGGCAATGGTCTGCAAATAGTGAGTTTCCGGGTTGTGAAACCTCTTTAGGCCGGGGGGGGGGGGGGGGGGGAAACAAACATGAAGACCGGTCGTGTATCCAACATCACTTCGATACATCGAGTACGCTTCGAGTACATCAACCAACGTATCACGCAGAGGCCCGCCTTCCTGAAAGAGGTTCAGGTCGGCAAATGCGTTGGACACGTCGCTTTGAATGGCGTCAAACCACTCCATCACTCGGCTGTTACTACTTTCCCCGGCATCACTAGACTTGGCCCGGACATCTTTGGCCCGCTGGAGCGCCTTGTTGTACGTCTCCTCGGACAAAGCCAGCTCATTGCCGATGGCACGCTGCCAAGTCGATCCGCGAATTCGGGAAGGAATGCCTCGCCACCACAGCTCCCGGGTACGGGTTTCACTCACAGCCTGGTCCCAATTGGGGTAGACGTAATCGTCCCAGATCTGCTGCAAGGTATCTCTGGTGTTGTCTCGCTCACATTTGGCAGAGGCGGCCTTTGCGGCTCTACGTTTGTCTAGTCCGTGTGAGTCTATCCAGGCCCTAAGAAAGGAAAGAAAAGAAAAGAAAGAAAAAAAAAAAAAAAAACTAACCTGCTTCGCGAGACTGGGCCATCATTTTCTGATACTCCTTCAAATGTTTGCGTTCCTCTTTTTGGTCCTTTGGAGGGAGCCAGCTAGGTCGGGTTCGGGAAAGAACCTTCTCCTTTTCCTTGCTAATAGGCAATGGGTCAATCATGACATTGGATTTTTGCAGGGGTGGTAGCTCAACAGTCTTGTTGGAGCCCCGTTTTGACTCGGTGCTGGACCGCAGTGAAGACAGTCCGCTCTGCAGGTCATCGCCGCGTTTCCGGTCGTTTTCGTCCGCATGGAACTCTAGCGCTTGCGTGATGTTCTTGGCTTCTTCAGAGAGATCCAACATCATACTATTATAGGAGTAGATGCGCGGGTTACGAGGGGAGATCTGGCCACGTTCCGGACCGGCGGAGCTGGATCGGACCATTGGTCGGGTTGCTCGAGGCACGCCCGGAGACCGGAGTGCCGGGGACGAGGCTATCGAGGCCTCCGAAACGGAATGAGAAAGAGGGAAAGGACGCGGACCGGGGCTCCGTCCACTGGGGCTGTGATCTCTGGAGGGGGCACGGTCTTCCATGGGCCGGGGCGAAATGGGGACATTCCAGAGGCTGGCGTCTTCCGGTAGCTCTTCATCCGAGTCATGGTATTCATCTTCCAGCTCCTTGAGCGATTTGCGACTGGGTTGCCAGGACTGTTTTCGGTTGAGCGTGCGGGCACTGGACGGGGACGGGGACGGAGCGAGGGTCTGGGCCGAGGGCGACGTGAGAGAGGAAGACGACGGTCGCAGAGGCGACGTGGAGCGATTCCGATGAGACCGGGACTGGGGTCGTGGCGCTTGCAAATCGCGCGAGCCCGTCATCAGCTTGGGACCCGAGCGTCCCTTCGGCGGCAATCCATTGGGGTGGTGTCGGGAGGGATTGGAGGCGGTAAGATCGCGGGTGGTGGTCATGGGGGACTTGCCGATGATTCTGGCCGTCGGGGCCCGGCCATAGGGGGCCGCAGAGGCTTGCATATAGGACAGATCGGCGTCGTCTCCCAGGCCGATATCTTCAAAGTTGGAGACGTCGGTGAACCCGTCGGGACTGGAAGGGCGTGAGGAAGAGCGAAACGACGAGGATTTGGAGGACTTGGAGCCGGAGAGCTCGGGGGGGGAATTAGGCGCAGGGTAAACGGCCGTCATGGTCAAGTCGCGTTGGAACGGGGTATCAGGCCGGGAATGATTCAGTAGGGCGAAGAAGAGAAACGAAAGACTGGGCCCGACGCTAATTGTATTAATATTTCAAGGCCACCGCCATTAAAACCACGATTTATGATCAAGGGGAGGAAAGGCCGTTGAGAGGAGGTTGGATTCCACCAGGGATCAGGAGAGAAGAGGTCGAGGGCGGGAAAAGAAATAAAAAAAAGGGGATGTAGACCGACAGACACAAGGAAAGGGAGGAGCGAATGGGGGGGGAGGGAGACCTGGGAGAGCGAGAGGGATGAAGCAAGCGAAGGACAAGAGAAACGAGTGGAATGAGTGAAAAGGGAAGAAGAAGAAGAAGAAGAAGAAGAAGAAGAAGAAGAAGCAAATGAAAGTAATGAAAGTGATGAAAGGAGGAGGAGATATGAAGAAGAAGAGAAGAAGAAGAGAGAGAGAGAGATTAACTGCATTCGGCGTGTTTAGAGCCAATCCAATGAATGAATGCAGAGTCATGAATGCCCCAATCCCACACAGCCATGGATAGATTCTTGTACTGGGTTATTTGATTCTATTTATCTTGTTAGATTGATTCTATTCAGTCTATATAATAATATCAAGAGATAATTAATCACACATGCAATCCAGATCAATAAATAGAAAATGGAATCTCCATACTGTACGTACGGTACGTACGGTACTATACCATACCATACCATACCATACCATCCCATCCCATCCCATCCAATCCAGAGACCACCCTAAAGATTCAAGATACTATCCTACTTCTCGAATCTTGGAAGAAGTAGTTATGATATAGATCCCCCTTTCTCTCCCTTGGTTCCTTAGCGACCCCCAGCCAACCATGGTACATTTGGACCGTCAGGAATCTCCCATCCTTGACAGTCCCTTGGGTACCATGGAGTAGTTCAAAACCGCCAACTACTATACGTCAGGTTCCCCGTCCGCACCACCTCCCCCAGGAATCCCGTGGCTGCATGCCCGGCACCGCCTGCTCGTATCACCGCTCCCAACCAGCGGACCACCCTCACATATCGCGTTTGCTTACGGCTGAGCACAAAGTGGAATGCGGCACATCCCAAGTACTGCATCTCAGAATAGCTCACGTGGCAGAAAACCGAGGCAGGGGGGGAAGAGGAGGAAGGAGATCCCCCCCCATGTCGGCCCCGGATCAGTCGGTGTCCAAGTTGGATCACATCGCGGATCGTTCGCATCACCAATTCCGCGCTGGGATGGCCGCCCAAGGACCGCGCGTATCGGTACATCTTCATCGCCGACGTGATGAACGTCGAGTACAGGTTGGAAAGCACCGCCGCCCCCGAGTTGTGCCCCCGGTCCAGGTACATCGGGTGCAGGGAAAGCTTGAACCACCCCAGGATCTTGCGGTGAAACGCCCGCCCCGGCCGCCGCGTGGATTCGATCGTGAGCGAGTCCGACAGCGCCGCCCTGACGGACTCGGCGCCGTCCAGAATCCGGTCTGGGTCCTTGAAAAGCTCCAGCGTCTGCGTGTCGATGAGACTGCCGCAGTAAGGGAATAACGTCGTATCGATGAGTCGCGGGATCTGGGCGCCCTCGACCGATGCCGCGAAATTCACCAGGCTTTTCGCCGGGTTGACGGAGATTCCGTACCGGGGCTGTCCCGGGATCATCACCCGCAGAAAGCGCATCGCGAGATCCGGGTCCAGCGTGACCAGGAGAAAGTCGTCCACCAGACGCAGGAGCAGCGCCGCGTCCGAGTCCACAAACCCGAGCACTTCTCGTTCCATCTCCGCGTAGAACAAATTGCACAGAATACTGGACAGTACCGAGCCTTGCGGGATTCCGTTCCGTTGACGGAAGTATTTCTTTCCAATCTTGACCCGGTTGTGTCGCACATGCTCATCGAGCAGATCCAGCAGATACTCGCAGCTGTAGGCCTTCTGTGTGGTCGTATCCACAAACACCGTGTTTCTTCTGGCCGCCACCCCTCCGTTGGCGAGTGCCTGGGTCAAATGCTCTGGCTTCCTCATCGGTCCGATCCTGCCGGCGAATCTCCGTCGGGCTCTCACCGGCTCAGAGGCTCGTTGCGGCGGCCACATGCTATGAAATTCATTTCCCGGTCGCATTTCCACGTATTTGGTATAATGATACGCCTCCTCCGAGACCAGGTTCTCGATGAGCCGCACCAGGCTCCGCTGCGGGATCGTATCAAAGCAGGACTGTATATCAAGCTTGACAAAATAAAGTGGCGTTGGCGGCTGGTTGTGGCCTTGCCGGGACAACAGCGACTTCTTGAATTCTTTCAATCGCAAATGGATGTCCCCCACCGAGCACACCCCAGACCCCAGAAGGTCGGTCTTTTGCGCTTTCTCGTAGTTCAGCATGCTGAGAATAGGCGCCAGAGCCGAATTGACACTCTGGCCCCAGCTCTGCCGAGTTTGTCCCGCCCAGCGGGTTTCCACCAACATTCGCCGTCGAAGATTAAGGATCGGCCGGATTCCTGTGGTTTTGGGAAGGAGTCGGAGAGAGCCATAGCCTAGCAGTCTCCCACCCGGCGCCCTCTGGCTTGCCTCCGCATTCAGCTCTTCAAACATGGAAGACCTCAACTTCGCCAGCGGCTGCAGCGTGAGTCGACGCCAGACATCGTGTCGGAAATAGAACAACCGATTCCGATGCACCTGTGACTCGGTGACATAGAAATTTCCCCGGATGAGAGGTATCAGGATCGAATCAAATACGTAGTATATAAACTCGTGAAATAACTCTTTTCGTTTCTGCAAATCAGACGCGGAAAGCTTGCCTTGTGTACGCAGAGTCTGAGGTGCAAGCCACGGGATCCGACTGATCTATGCTTGTTAGTACTACCGTCTCTGATGCCAATTTCGAGAGTTGTTCGAACCTTTACCCCTTTACAGATCTCCTGCAGGCTCAGACTCTCAAACCGACGCATTCGTACAAATTTATCGACATGACCAAGGATGATTTTCTGGTGATCAGTTCCGTCTTGACCAGTCCCCAAAAAGGCCAGAGGGATCAAGTTTCGGATAACTGCTCGACAGAACGCTGAAACTGATGAGACTGGAGCCGCGTGATCGGTGAAGTTAACCTTGGGTTTCGCGGGCTTTGATCTAACCCCTGTCACTGTCTCCGTAGATGGGCTTGGTGCATCATCTTGATTGAGCACCGAAGGCTGAGTCGCTAAGGGTAACAAGGCTGATGATGCCAGTTCCCCGGCTTGTGTAGACTGAGCACTGCCAGGACCGAATGTCCACGGACCAGAATCCTAATCTGTCAACGCAAGCCCCAGAATCACAAACACTTTCTACATACCTCTGTAGGACAGTAATAATTCAAGAGCCTCCCATAGGAACAGCGCTTGTTTCGGTTCTGCAGCTGGCGAACCAACTCTACCGCCGTTCCTCGGAGCCGTTTCGGTATTTTGATCGGTGCGTCGCACTCGACAAGACCAGTGGTAGTCCTAGAAGCTCGTCGAAGATACCGTGCCCGTTTCATCTGTTCTTGCTTTGCGATTTCTTCTTCCCGCGAGGAATAGTTCTTGAATAGAGCGCTATCCCAGCCGTTCAAATCGCTGGTGAACACATTATGCAGACCAAACTGTCTAGGAAAGACATATTTCAACACGTGTTCAGTCTGCCGCATCGAATTGGAAGGGAAACGATGGAGAACATCTCCCGAGGGTTAGTTAGCAACCCTTTTCATTGACCCAGACATGCAGAGTACTCACGATTCGGCAACCCAAACTCAATCCTTCCACCCGAGTCCAGATGAGGGCGCGCATATCGCAGACGTTGGCGGCAAAAAACGATGGCGTTTGGTCCTCGTTCCGTATTTTCTTTCCCTTTCCTCGCAGTCTTGGCGGCTATACTTCTGTTCGCATCGATAGGCGGCGCAGAAAGTGGGTGGGCGGGGAGAGCGGTTTCTTGCGCGCCCACTGCTCCGTCTTCTGGTGGGTTTTGGATAGGCTCAAGCGCTGACAGAGGAATACCTAGTCCTGTTAGCTCCTGTATCGATACCATAGCAAACCGGGGCAAGCTCACCACTTATTTGACAATAAATGTCTTTCTTTGGATCCACGGCGACAAACAATCCGCAGTCAAGTAGGAGGCTCAACATTATATCATCGCCATTGCTCCCCAGCACAGCCAAAACATCGGTCCAAGGTGCGGCCTTGAGCATCTCGACATTTTTATTGGGGAGCTTCGCTACAACGCCAGGAATGCTGCAGGGAAGTTGGTGGGTGTCGAATCCACTCGCACGCTGGAATCCATGGCTGAGTAGGTGCTGGGGACGCTGGTACGACAAACCCGAGTAATTGAATAGAGTGGAAATGGCAAAGTGAAGAATCTATAAGCAGGTTGAGTTCGACGCGATCGATGCACGAAAGCCACAGTAGCAGCCAGAAAGCCAATCTTACCTCCGATTGTGGGCATTGCGGCCCAGTATCAGTCCCGTTGATGTACTGAGATTGCCTTGACGTAATCAAACTCTTTCGTCGTTCGTGAGTACTCGTTGGAGAGATCTCCTTCCACACGCCGACCAAAGTCGTATCCAGAAGATTTGCAAGGTCTCGTTCTTTTTCTTGACCTTCACGACCATGTGCATCTGCCCCGTGCAGATTTTCGCCCCGCACCGCTGCAATTCTTCGCCGGCGTGACTTGGAGGACCTCGGTATGCGCTGCAAGATGTACTGTCTCAAGGACACGACCTGACGATAATATAAAGAGATGACAGGATGAGAGATTTCGGCTGCATCGAAGCACTGGCCACCGCTAGATTTGGCCGCCAAATCATCGGATGTATCTATCCGATTCCGGTTTGGAGAGTGGTGTTGAGTCCGGGGGTCATGGAGAGTCAAGTTCTTGCTTGGTCTCTTCCGTTTCGTGCCCATGAGGTTGGCAAATAGATAAGATTGTATGGCAATGTGATAGGAAATTCAAATGAGAAATATCATGGTATATTGAGTACTCCGTAATAAAGACATTCAATCATTAAGGTGATATATAGTGAAGGGGATCGTGCCGAAACGGGTGACGCGCCACAAAATAACGCGCAACACGCGATGTAATGGGCTGAGGATAGATAGATCGGGTCCTACAGACTCCTCCAACACTACTTGTACCATCACAATAGGTAGTACACAAGTTTATGATCAGCAGAAGCCACTAACTGAGATAATTTTATATGCTATATTTATATGTTTATTTTCTTTCTCATTTCCATTCTATGACATTTAATATCGCTTTGGTGGTCATTAACGGGATTTAGGATGTATACAAACAACTATAAATAAGAACCCGAGCGCCGGTGCATATAAGTACTACTATGATCCTGGCCTTTATATAATGAGAGTGGAAATACTCCGTACAGTCAAAAGAGACCAAGAAATGAAGCGCTATATATATTCTTGTCCAGAGGTTGCCTAGGTCCTAGGTAGTGATCCATTCATTCCCACTAACTCCGATTAGGGGAAGGATATTGAACATGTCAGGCGTCAAACTCGGGCTTCCTGAATGAGTCAATAGTTCGTGTCTTCTGCCAGGCAACGATTAGGTCCCTATCGCCTAAATCCATTGAATTGGTAGCCACTGCTGTTTGACGCGGCGATAGATGAGATATCAGGCGTGAATTCCTGCCTGACTGGCTGGCCTCCGTGAATGATCGATTGCCACGAGAATACTCATGAGTTGTCCCTTGATTTGCTTTCCATTGATTTAATTAATATGAACAACGAACATCTGGAGTATTTCCCCCTTCGCTTAGGGGCTGTGTCGATGTACGAGTATGTACGTCATATTCTGACACAGAAACTGCACTCTGTCAGGGACAGAAGTCTTTTCTTTCTTTCTTTCTTTCTTTTTTTTTTTTGGCTAGTACTTGTCAACTATGAAGAATGTGTTGAGAGAGAGACTCGCCTTGAAACTCGGAGCGCAAGGCTGAACATTCTTCATGACTCCTTACTCTGAGCACTATCCCAAGGCTTAGGACAGTACGTAAGGAACAGTGGAGTGAGTAGGAAGTGAAGATGAAGCTGACAATGCATCCATCACTTCGCCATGACGGCAAGGGACGAGAGATCCTTTTCTTTCCTATGTAAGTAGTGTTGGACCGTCAGACGGATCATACGGTACCGTAGACATGGACTTCGAACGTTTCTACCAATGCAGATGCAGGAAGGAGACTTCCGCCGGGCCGCGGACTGACCCTTGAAGGTTATTTGACTGGGTTCACGGACCCGATGTCAGCACAAGGGAACAACTTGACGAGGTGATTTGTTTGGATGTATCAAGTGGGGATAGAAAGAAACTTGACTGGTGCGGATACTCTGGGTATGGCGGTCGGAGGTATATTAGATTGTTGGTGAGGCTTTTCGTACCTTTTTTTGCCTGCAGGGAAATCTGTTGATCAATCAGCGGTGTACCTTATCAAGTCTCTCTTCACCAACGCTGAGGGATTCTTTGATGTCAATAGATAGATAGAGTCTACTACTCTTCGTTGCTAGTCCAGTGAGAGCCCTACACGTGTGATGGCGCTAGGGTACGCTGCTAGTGGAATTGATTCGGTATTCTATAGGTAGTGACAACCTTAGTTGATTGAGGGTGCATTTGAACAGGAGATGAATATGGAGTGGAGTAAATGAGATCGAGAAGCAATTTATACTAATTACCCACTAGGATAGATCTACTGGACACCGGCAGTGCCATGCATCATCGAGGTAGATAGGGCCCTGTACGCTTTAGGCGCTTCTGAATAGCTTCAAACTTGATCGAAATTCGATATAAAAATATTTAATCGCTTTGTAATGCCCTGCGAGCGGAAAACAATACTGGCTCCTCTGTAGCAATATTATGAGGTTAAGAAGAGGAACTCAGTATTTATCAATATATGGCGCGATCTTGATGAATGCCATTTAGTAGAGGACAACAGTTCCCTTGCCTGGGGCAGCTCGACATGATGTTACAGACAAGATTCAGTACACCTCTTGATACTGTGTGTCAATTGGTTTTGGCTGTGTACCACTTGGTATATTTTCTTCCTCCAAAACCTTCGCGAGGAGGGTTGCAACTTCTGTGGTGAGCAAAACGCCCTGGGGCAGGGAACGTAATCTTAGCTCATGAGCCCGCGTGTTTCAAGCTCGACCACGTATTCCTTAGTTATGACCGATAACCCACGGATAGGAGAACTGCGAAGGAAAGAGCTGCAAAACAGCTTGGAAAGATGTGCGGGGGTAAGTTGTGTTACATCACATGTTTTGACAGTATATAAAAATCAGATTTATATGTACTCAGGACCTGGAATACCTCAAAATTATTTGCTCTGTTTGTTTTGTTTGTCTCGGTCGTTGTTTATGTAATCCGGAACTCGCCTATTCCTCTTCCGGCTTAAAATTCTATTTAAGACTTACGAATTGAATCCAAACTTTGCCTATGGCTAGAAAGTAATTTAGAACGTAGAGGTAGGAATGGTAAAGGAACGATTGGAATTACAGCTTTGGATTTGACATATGATGCAGCGTGAGATTAAGGCCAGAAAGTTATGCAGGAGCTTGTTCTGTGACCCAACTTGGGCTCTCTCCCTCCCTCCCTCCCTTGCGGCTAAAATTCCAGGAATGTGGGAGACTTCTGGAAGAACAGAACCAAGTCCGTAAATCATCCCCTACCTAGGCCTTTCAACCGACTCCGTGGGTAGTATGAGTAGGGTGATCAACGATGGCGGATCTTTCATGGAGACCCCCGAAGAGGAGTCAAATTTTATGGGAGTGGACATTCATGTGTCGATCACATCATCCTATATGTATACTGGTTAGTTGGCATGACTAGCTATAGTTATATATATCAATTATTATATTATTTTAGAGTTAGATTACTCTTTAATAGTAGTTATAGTTATTTAATAAATAATTACGAAAGAACCGCCAGGTCCAGGCTGCGGAACCATCCATGGATCGATCGTCCATCAAATTTTCCCTCAGGTATGTCATTTCTCGACCTTGTCCAACCCTGTCCAATCATTCTGGGGTTCCAGAACTCCTGTTTTTAATAGAGTGGAATCTGCAATTAGGGAGGGTTGGCGACATAAGCAAGCGAATTTTAGAGCCTTGTACATAAACTCTGGGTTCATGAAGCTCTTGTATTGTCGATCATCGATCTACTACTAAGTAGTTACTAGTATCTAGTACTTTGTTCCCCGTATTCATCGACAGTCCGTGTCAATGAGTTTGGTCACCTCCGAGTCTGTGACCAACAAAGAATCTACCCGAACCCTTTGACTGCCACTTTGTTGAACCTTTGAGATAAATTTCGTATCCGTCCAACTTGAATTCCGCCCATACGTAAGGTAAGAATCCGGTTGGGACCTGGCCTTGACTACGGGTCTCAGTTCTTTGGTAGACACCCCCATTGGATCGTGGGGGATTTTACCCTGGGTTTTTGCTCTTCAATTTAATTTAATTTTGTTATTATCTACGGAGTACTATTGAATAATGTCATCAGCGGGCGGAGACAGGAGCCGATAATAATATAAAAATAAAAAGTAGCGGGTTTGTGCCTGTGACTGATCGATCATTACTGTCCACCCGATGCGAGTGACGATGATGAGCCTGAGGGATTAGGTACTAGTAAATAATACTCTTCTTACTGGTATTCGAGAGTCTCTTTCTCTCTTCTCTCTCTCTCTCTCTCTTCTCTATCATTCCTCACTTCACTTACTCTCGTCAAATCTCTCAATATTCCTCTTCTATTCTTATCGTTATTATTGTTCCCAGCCCCCCATCTCTCTCTCTCTCTCTCTCTCTCTCGGCCCACTTCTGACAATCCTCCCCCTCCCCCTGCTGGACGCTGTGCAAACGTATTGTCCCGCCTTTTCATCACTGCACTGTCTCAGCGCCTCAGCGTCTTAGTCTCGTCTCTGGCCGACACTCGACAACCCCCAGTGTCATCGTCATTGTCTCCTCATCTTCGCTCCTCTTCCTCGTCCATCCATCCTTCATCCAACGTCTTCTTCCTCTCTAACGGACTACCGCTCAACCACTCTAAAGCCTCCGGTTCCTGAGGCCAAAATCCTCAGGATCACCCGGCGATCTTAGTGGTCTTCTCGCATCTCAAATATGACGCCGTATTTAGGTAGTACTACCCGGTGACGATTGCCTTGTAGTTCTGGCTGGTCAATCTGCAACACCTTCTGTGGCCTACCAGCTGTGAACAACGCATCGCAGACCTACCTAGCACCAGCAGCACCTTGAACAGGAAGGATCTCCACCAACCATTCTGTTTGGTGCATCTTTTCAAGGCCAAAGAAAAAAAACAAAAACAACAACAAACCAAAACCAAAACAAAAAAAGAAAAAAAAAAAAAAAAAACCCAAGGGGAAATAGTCAAAAGTTCGGAAATCCATCCTGCCGCTGATTGTCCCCTAAAGTATGAAAAAATGTCCGGTAGCAATGTCGAACACGTTTCTGCCTTTGTTGATGGCAACCCTCCCCCATTTCGGCGTCTATCTTCATCCAGCACCAACGACGACTGCTTTTACGACGCTCTTTCCAATGGCTCTCACGACCCCTCGTTGACTCTTCCGTCCTCTCCTCCGATTTCGTCCCGCCCAGGTTCCCCATATACTACCCAGTCGGGTTTCTCAAATCCACAACCCCTCACCTTACCCACCGCTGTTACGCCGGCTGTTACGCCGAACGGTTATACCAACGGTTACTACCAACGGTCCTCTCCCGATCCTGACGACTACTACCGACCACATCAGCCCACTTCGTTTCCGGAGATTGACTCCGGTCCTGGCCCTGAGCGGGCTTCGTTATCGGGAACCACAACAAACTTTGCTGCGGAAACACGCCCTGTACATACTTGCCAACGTGTGTCCTCGGTACCGGCACATTTGCCAGAAGCGTCGGAAGTGATTCTAGGGCCCTATCGTTCAGTCTCCGACACGTCCACCCGGACAGAGCCCGGATTCGCAAGTGCAGCCCCAGCACAAACATCGAACGTGCGCTCGAGACAAACGTCATTCAAAGACCTGATCAACAAATTCAACACCAACGTCGACCAAGTCCTCCCTCGGCCATCTGCCTCCCACGAACAAGCGGGGGCCCCCAGCCCAGTAGACGTTCCTCCTATACGCTCCAGAGCGTCGTCCCGCAGACGAGACACCTCTAGTTCGGCATCACATAGACAGTCGTCAGTCTCCAGGTGGAACTCTGCGAGACTTCCGGCGCAGGACTCTCCATCGCACTTTGCTCCGCCGGTGTTTCAAACAGCAGACTTGAATCCTAAATTGCGCAAAGATCTGACCCCGTCGAATTCGGCTCCGCGGCGCCGTCTGTTCGGCGAGTTGCTCAGGGTTGATACCGGTCTTCATGTATCGGGATATGGAATCCCATCACACCTGCGACGTCGAGGTTCTGAAGGAAGCATCCCAAGTCCGAACCCTGCGTTTTTAGACCATCTGGACCCGTCATCGCACCCGACTCCGTTGACGCCCACGGCTTGGTACCTCGGCCGTACTCCCTTTCTGGAAGCAGTGAGCACGGGTGAGAACCTAAATCATCACCGAAGAACGAGGAGCGATATCCCTGGCAATTCGCCCGTGGGTGCTGACACGCACCCTTCCGATTCCCACATGGCGGTGTCTAGCCCCTTGCAGCTGGGTTCGCAAACGTACTTGGAAAGCCCGCATTCCAAGTCTCGCATTCCTATCGCTTCCCGCCGCCTTAATTCCCCTTCCGCTTCGGAAGATTCTTCCCCTTCTCCCAAAGCTGAATCGCCCTTTGCTCGTTTTTACACCCAAACTCCTCTGCCGCCGAAAGGTCTCAGCCGTCTCCCCAAGCCATCCCCTAAATCTCCACGAGACGTGGTCGGCCATGGCCAGTCCGCATTTTTACCCACTTCTCCTAATTCTACTCCGGCCACTTCGACAGCACCCCGTGGACGGCGAGAAATGAGCTATGGTCGCCCCCACAACAAGCTTGCGGACAAGAGCCATCTTCTGGAGGCATACATCGCTGCACCTCCGCCGAAAAAATCCCCCCCTCTTCGCAGCTCCCGACCCCGTCAACCAGTTTCGCACACTACTTCACCATCATCCCGATCCAGGGTCGGAGAGACGGTTTCGAACTTTCAGAGACAGATCAACCGTGATCGTGAACCCAGAAGCTCTAGACTGCGAGACCGGCGGCTGCCAGAGTTGGGTAACGTGGATTTTGCAACCCGACGCCAGAAAATCCAACAGGCCTTTAATCGCACAGTCAAAGAAAATGAAAGAAAACAAGAACATGCAGCAGAGCTTCGACGTCGTGAAGCCGAAGCGCTTGCGAATCAGCGTGAAAAGAGCCCATCACCTGAACCGGAGATGCTTGAGCATCAGCCAGTTCAAGACCAGTTACCCCCCCAAGCAGATGATACAGCTACTGTTATTGAAGAGTCTGCGGATATCTGTGAGGATGAAACGCCTACCAACGAGGGGATTTACGGCCCCCCGCAGCTCCATCTGGATACCCAAAATCTTACTGACACCACTGGAGCATCCCATCCGATAACGATGGATTCGCCTACTCTAGGACGGCCAAATATTGTAGTGCAGGAAGAAGAATTTGGGTTGAAGTCCTCCGATACACCACCCGCCTCAACTGTGACTTCCTGTTCCAATGAGTCGCCTGTGACTACGTTCGATCCAGAACCGCAGCTTGAAATTTCCCGTCAGGATTTGCATACTTCTCACCGGACTTTGCTAAGTGAGATAATGCGCATTCGTGAATCCAGCCCGAGCAGCTCTTCGTGTGATGAGCAAGAGTATAGCTTCTCCGACAACGACGATAAAGAAACAATTCCGATTGTTTTGCGAGATAAGCTAGGATACGACGATTTGATGCACAGCACTGTCCGTCCGGGCCCGCAGGATCTCTACAGAGAGCTAAATCAAACCAATGGCGATTTATCGAACAGGTGGAGTATGAGTTCTTGGTCATCGTCTCTTCGCAACCAACACTCGCTCGATGGTCAATGCCAAGGTAGCGGAGATGATCTCTCTCAGTTGCGCCGAACTCCTGATGACAGTGAGCTGGTGACTCACTCGTGCTCTGCATCGTCTAGCTCGCCATCTATCACCAATAACCACATATCGAACCCCATACCAGGCGAGTGTGCCGTGGATTCCGAGCCGAAAGCGGAGGATGGAACCCAGCGGAAAGCCTATGGGCATTCGAAGACTCCCAGTCTGGCAAAACTGGGCGGTTGGGACACGAAACGCGTCACCCAGCTTTATATGGAAGAACTGGCTCGTGGCAGGGATTATAGCCTTCCAATACAGGACATTCGCGCATCTCCAGAACCACGGCCACCCCGTTCTGATATCGACCTCAGAGCAGATGGAAGGACTGACAGCCTGACTGATGACCCCGTCTTCGTATCCAAGATTGATGACTTTGCCATGTCAGACCGGCTTGCTCACACGGCCAGCTTAGTTCTGCAGGATGACTGGAAACACGCGTCCCCCTCGATCATGGACTGGATGCAAGTTGCAGCGGAGGACCCATCGGGACAGTTGGATGCGCAGTGTGAGGACGGCCCGCAAAATGACGGAGCGCCGACGCCAAGGTTACTTACCACTAGTCCTCAAGTGCCCTACCCTGAAGGTGTTAACGAAGGCCTGGGTCTGGCCATCAATATTCAATCGCCTAGGGACTCTGAATCTCAAGAACCTGGTGTGCTTCTCCTTCCACCGCACGAACGCCTGTCTCTACCGGGGGATATGCAAGAAGAAGATAGCGACATGGTCCAGGAATCAATAGAGCCCATTCCCGGTGCACACGGTCTTCAACCGCTTGGGAATCCTTTCACCGCTGCCACATTTGCACCTCTCAAGACTGTTCCTAGCATTGGCAGCAGCGAAGATTCCCTCAGACGTCTTGGGCCATCGCCATCTCTCCGGGCAGTAGACTCCTCTGCAACTTCGCTCGTGCCTTCGAGCCTGGAGCAGCCACGTACAACCACCTCCTCTCCATCTCCGGATCAGCGGCGTCTTAAGAAACGACGACATGTGATCAAGGAACTCGTTGATACGGAGTATACCTTTGGCAGAGATATGAAAGTGGTAGACGATATCTACAAAGGAACCTCGAGCTCATGCTTGGACCTCTCTCCTGAGGATGTCAAGGTGCTTTTCGCCAATTCCGACCAAGTTGTGCAATTCTCAATGGCTTTCCAAGACGTACTAAAGGACGCTGCCAAGAGCGTATATGTTATGCCCAAGTCACAAAGGTGGAGCAGCAAACGAAACAGACAGAACCTACACCCCCCGCAAAATGACCCGGAATCTCCAGACGGAGGTCTGACAGCATCGGAAAAGGACAATGCGACCTTCATTGGAGAGGCTTTTCTGACCCACATGGCCTATATGGAAAAGGTTTATGCTGAATATTTGAAAAACCACGATGCGGCCAATAAAAAGCTGCAGGCTTTGCAGCGGAGTCCAAAAGTGGCTATTTGGCTGAAAGAGTGTAGGGACTGGGCGTCAGATTTGACAACTGCCTGGGACTTGGATTCTCTGCTCGTCAAGCCGGTGCAACGGATTTTGAAGTACCCTTTGCTACTCTCCGAACTTTTGGATTCGACACCGGGTGACCACCCGGACCACGGCTCCCTTGCGAAGGCTCTAGAAGAGGTCACTAATATTTCTGTCCGTATTAACGAGATGAAGCGGCGGGCAGATTTAGTGGGACAGGTCGTTGGCAGAAAGAGGAAAGACTCCGATGTCAGAACAGGCTTGTCCAAGGCTTTTGGTCGTCGCACAGAAAAATTAAGGCAGCAAGTCGGAATGTCTGACATGGTTGCTGACAAGGAATATGATGCCTTGTCCCAACGATTTAGCGACAACTTTTGCCAGCTGCAGGTCGTCATGCGTGACGCCGACATGTATACTCGGGAGACTCAAGGCTCGATGGATCGTTTCCTCGAATTCGTCAACGCAATCGAAGCCTTCATCGATGTTGCTCAATCCAACTATCCTGAACTGGAAGGAAAGTGGCGGGTCTTTAAGATATCTGTGGAGGATATTATGGCAGCGACTCTACCCGAGCATGTGAGTACTGATGATCCCCAAGGTAATATCTTAGCTAGTCTTTGCATATTCCTAACTTGGATAATAGCTTGATGTGGTAAGGAAGAGTGTGATTAACCCAATGATTACATTGATTAAACTATACGACGGTCCGCAACGAGTGATGAAGAAGCGGGATAAACGCTTGATGGACTATGCTCGCTTCAAAAGTATCAAGGAGAAGGGTGATAAACCGGACAAGAAGACCGCTGAGCAAGGGGAACAATTCGTGGCTCTTAACGAGACCCTCAAGGATGAGCTTCCCAAGCTTTATTCGCTGACAGCTAAATTGATGGAGGCGTGCCTAAAGAACTTCGTCCAAATTCAGACCACTTGGTACAGTCTCTTGCAAAGAAAACTCGGACCCTTGATCGACTCCTTTCCCGAGGATGTGCAGAAAATTATGGATGACTGGACCTCACGCTTTAATTTCTCCGAGGCACAGGTGTTAACCCTTGGGATCTGCAACGGGTCATTGCTTGCAGATACGGTTAACCTGGTCAATTTCAATACCCCTTCAACCGGGGTAGGTGTCAGCTCTCCTCGTCGGCCCTCGACTGTACACAGTTCTAGCACTCGCGCCGTGGAGGATTCTCCTAAAATCTCCCATGATTTTAGCATTAGCAACCAATCTTTCCAGTCCCCAAGTTTTGATAGTCAATCGCACATATCTCTCGGACGCAACCGTGCCGATTCGACTTTGTCTGGTCGTCCTGCACCTGACACACCAGAGCTGCCTAGAAGTCAAATCCTACAACAGATCACCGGTGCCTCGTCGGGGTCCATTGCTCCATCCCACTCCCTTCCGGAATCGTTCCCCAGGCTTCCTAGATTGAGCCTCGACTCTCCATTCCTAGCGGATGTTATTCGTTCATCGACTAATGGCGGTACGGGAGATGAGGAGAACCCAAGCTCTCCTAGTGGTCGGTATTCGGGATTCTTTTCTTCGGCAATGCCCATGTCCGATAGCCCGCCGGAAAACGCACCCGCAGCAAATAGCGCCACAAAAGAACCCGCCGTCCTGTTCCTGGCAGCAAGCATTTATGAGTTTAATATAGATCGTGCCCGCCGCGAGGCTGGATACCCCTATCTGACCTACGTTGCTGGTGAGATCTTCGATGTCATCGCCGAGAAAGGGGAGCTTTGGCTTGCCCGGAATCAAGATGACCCGACTCACCAGGTTGGTTGGATATGGAATAAGCACTTTGCTAAGCTTTCCACTTAGTGTGGTAGCTTGTCCGTCTTGTACACGTTTTGTCCCGATTTCCCCGTGTCCCGGTTTGAACCGGGGCTTGTATTATGCTTTTCTTCTCCCTTGCATGCAGATGCAGGGTCTCGGAAGTCCCAAAGGAGGGGGGGCATCCAGAACCCTGGACTTACCTCGTCGCATTAAAGGGGGACTTTCCATCGAGAACCTCTGACTGGTTCTACTTATGCCTGTGATGAACTTGTTTTGTTGTTTATTCTCCAATAGGATGGGGCGTTTTCCTTGCTCTTTTCATTTCCCCTCTTACAGGGACTGATTACAATGTCTATTGGCAAAATGTTGGTCATATCCCTGTGTGCTGTTTCCTTTTCGAGTTCGACACAGGTGGAAGAACGATATTTTGTCTTCTATTCAACAGCGCTGGTGTTTCTTATTCGGCCATTTTGATGAAAAATTACTGCATTTTCAAGAGGACGGCCGTTGAAATGTATATTTAGATACCCCTTGATAACCATAAGAATTGATTTACCGCACTGGAGTAGTGTATATCTCGGTAGGTTCGTGATGATTGATTTTTGGCCGAGGATATTTTTCAGCCTCAATATTTTGCGCCACATGTGACGTGATGGGATGTCGTCGAGACCGAGCCACATCCATCTGCCCCGGATGGGAGCCGATCGTCACCACCAACGTCTTCCATGGTTGTAGAGACCTTCGAACCACGATCTGTGAAGCATCCTGTCGTTAAGAGGAAGAAAAGCAAGCTCCATCATCGCCTTTTCTCTCTCGATCGTGCACCTTTCCCATCGAATCATCTCCGCGTGGTCCTCGAGACTACAGGAGATCGTTTCAGCAAGCCCGAGTTCTCTTCGTTCCGAGAGCTCGCCCACTCACGGAACTCCACGGAGCCAAGCGGACAAATCCAACTCTCAAGACGTTGTCTCGTTCAATCACCCGCACCAGCCACATATGCCTTTCGCATCCTGACCGCGGAATAACGCCTTCTCATCCTTTTGAACGGGCTCGATTTGGGCGGGGTAGGATCGTGACTTCTGCGACCCCTCACAGGACCGAGGAATTTCGCGATAGGAAGGACTAGTGGACAAGATGCGGGATAGTGGGTTAGGCCGGCTGCATAAGCGGATGAGGCGGTTTGGAGATACTGTACGTTCTGCTGTTTTGTCTGCCTTGTTTCTTCTCCCCGGGTTCCTGGGGATAGAATGCTGAATGTCGGGACGTTACACAGCTCAACCCGGATGATGCATATCTTAGCTGTGAGTTGAATAATCAATTCCCCGGACTGATTGATCCCCTTGGAGTGCGTGGGCTCGCAGAATTCTAACTCGATTGGAGCTCATAGATCATGACGTTAGGTGTATGTCGAACCTGAGCAAAGCCTTTCATACCGTTCTGGTGCAGAGAGAGGGTTTAACTTGTTTACTTGATAGTGACTCGAGGGGACTTGCAGTCTCTCAAGGATGACTGGCTTACGGACAATGTTAGTGTGCAAGGTGTTGTTATACTCTGAGTGCGAAGTGCTAACTCTATAGGTTATCTCTTTCTGGGAGGAGTAAGTTTGGACTGGGCCTGGCTGTTCGCCGCCACACACACAAAAACCAAAAAAAAAAACCAAAAAAAAAACTGATTTATTCAGGTATTTGGAACGTGAGTTCCTTGCTCAGTACAAAACGTCCAATATCGTCCTCCTTCGGCCGAGCATGTCCTTTATGATCTTCCAGAACCCTAACCCTCCATCCTTGCGCGAGGTACTGCCGGATTTCACACTCACAACGCATGTCTTCCTTCCGATCAATGACTGTCGGAATGTTACGGAGGCCGAGGGCGGTACGCATTGGTCTCTCTTACTCATATCGATAGTAGACGGAATCGCTTTCCACTATGATTCCCTGCCTCCTGGAAACTATTGGGAAGCGCAAACGGTCACCAAGAAGTTCTCGCATCTGCTAGGTCGCCCAATTCGGTACCTCCACCTGGAGGACTCTCCCGTGCAAGAAAATGGCAGCGACTGTGGTGTCTTTGTCTGCCTAAGCATGCGACACCTACTGCTGAAGCGATTACTTACCGCGAACTCGAACGAGAAGGTGAGCATGAGTTTAGGGGGAAGGAAAGTAGATGCGCGCTCGGGTAGAAAGGAGATTGCCAAAATTATCGAGGGATTCCGAAAGGAAGGCGAGAGGCGAAGATCGTACGTCCATTTTTGTTTTTTTTTTTTTTTTTTTCCCCTCTTCCTCAGGCTTTTCGCACTCAGGAATGGGTACTAACTACCACCAAAAAGGGCCAGCTCAAGCCCACTGGGTAAGAAACCCAGGAGTCCGCCGCGGATTGAGTAGCAGCCGACTCCGGGTCTTTTCTATCTAACTTGTGGCGCACATGGATGGGATGGCTGGTTGCACGCACGGGGCGTCACGAGTTATAGGGTTTACCATTTCGGAGTGGATATTGATAATGACCAGCTACTTGATGTACATGATGATATGACTGGGTGTCGTAGTGGATTCGTTCCGTTACTGGCGTTTATTACCTGCCCACTTCTTGACCTTGTTGGTATAACAGATACTGGTGCTGATACCTTTTGCTTACATGTTCTGTTCTGTTATATTATTCTTATTCTCATTCTTCCTCGTGTTCCCCTTTGTTATTACTACTGTGAATGTCCACAGCGTTGCCCTGCATTACATTACTTATCTTATGTTAATCCAATCAGCGAGTGAGTTGGCAATCCAGTGCTTGAATATTCTCCTGCATATGAAGTCCTCAACTTTAGAAGTCGCTTTTTCTCCATTCCTCTGCGGCTGTTGGTTGGTTCCTCTTTAACGTGAACACTAATAATAAATCATTATCATCATTCACCTGTACTGTAGTATGGATTGCTGTGTTGCATATGTATTTGCTGGATTTTGATATCAGCCTCTCAACAGTCTATATCCTCTTTCCTCTAGCTCGTGTGTTCCTTCCAGATGTTCTGGTTGTTGTTGCCGTCATTTCGGGCTTATTATGGCAACAAGGGTCTCACAGTGAGCTATTATGCTCTCGTTCTTGCTGTTTTGAATCTGATATTCACTGAGTCCTGGTTGCCTCGAGACGGCTCTCCAGCAACGGGCATCTTCTCTCTCTTATATTTACTTATCCTCCTCCCCTTCTCTCTCTTTTTTTCTCCTCCTCAACACCATATGGTCGTTTGATGCTAGTATTGTGATTGCTCACCTTACGTTTTCTCATTCCCCATTTGGCGTTTAGCTTGCTTGCCTCTGCCTCTGCTTCTTTTTCGAGTCCCCTCTATCTCTTTTTTTTTTGACCAGGCTTTGCTCAATGGCCCGCCTCTGCATTCCTGGGGTTCGTTTTTCGAAGGGATCAGAAGCCTGTAGGTTCAAGACACATCCTGCCTTTCGCCCATTCCCCCGGCAGGTCGCCTACCGCGCCAACCCTGAGACCCCTTGCCGTTCGTTTTCGCCAGGTTCGATTCCTCGAGTCGGTGTCCGCTCCTTTGATGAGTCCCGAAAGGGTTCTCGTCTCCCCATTCGTTCCCCAAGCCCAACCCCTAGTCCTTCCTTTCGAGTTTCCTCTCACCTTGAGGAAAGAAGGGCGGCAAGGCAGGCGCGACCTAGACCTTGGGCTCGGCCCAGGTCTCCTGTGACAAGCAGGTCAACCCCGCCCTCTGTCGACCCCCCCAAGCCCTCCAAGCCCTCGATCCCAGCTACGCACACGATGCGTGCTCTGAAGTCGCCTGCTCGAGCCGATGCAGTTGTTGCCAAGCCAGTGAAGACTTCGGTCCGAGGTGAACGTAAGGCCAAGTCGGTGATGAAGAGCGTCCGCTTTGGGGAGACCACCGTCGTTTCTGTTTCTCGCTGGATAGAGAGGAAAGAGCATGTGTTCCCCGCTCCGCCAATGGCCATGGGCTATTTGCAGGGTTGGTCGGTCGCTGCTCTAAAGGAGCCCGATGAAGATGGCGAGGTCGACAAGTACACTACATACTGGGGCTCTGACTCGTATGTCATGCTTACCTCGAACCATGCCGAGGGGCCTTGTAACCGTGAGGGCTGCGCGTGGAATTCCTTAGCCAGGATCCAGGCTAGGCGTCCCATGTGGAGTCCGGAGACGGTTTTCAAGGCGTGGCTCAAAAAAAGAGCGATGATTCGGGAAAGAGGAGGATTCGCTCTTTGAATGCCCCTTCCCCTTCCCATGTCTTTCTTTCATCCATTGCGCTTGCCCCCCTTTTGTTCCCTGTAGCCTTTGACCTCATGTCTTTCCTTGGCCTTTCTTCGGATACCCGACCGTTTTGTTTTGGGTTAAGTCTGTCAAGACTGCCCAAGTTCGGCTTACGGGTTATAGATCGGGCTGGTGTACGTCCTGCTGAAGAATTGATGGCGCGATTGCGTCCGCGGAAAGGTAAGAACCTCCCTCTCCTTTTTTGTTTTTTTTTTTTTTTTTTCTCTTTTTGCGTCCGATACATGAGGCTCACAGTCTCCTGAACCAGAGGACATCCAGGAAGACGGTGCCTTATTTACAAGGGTAATGGCGCACACCCGTACGCGGGATTTAAGTCGTAAGCCCGTCACTGAAGCCCCAGCACGCCCTGCCACCGCTGGCCGCCCGCCCCGCGGAGGGTTATGGTGGATAGACTGGAGGACGATGGGGGTAAGCTTGGTTCCCTGCCTGGTAGCTTGGAAAAATGCTGATTCCAGCAGTTGGTTGGGGGGAAACCTCGTCCGCCATCGGGTCACCTGGAGAGAGTGGTCGAGGTAAGCATCGCGTGAAGTCTTTTGAGAAGAAGACTAATTCCAATCATGGTGAAGGCATAGTCGACAGATGGAGGTTGGTGTTGATCCGTATGTCCTTCTTTCACCAATATACCGGTTGCCTCGAGATCTGACCATTTGGATTCCCCCGAGTGAGGGCAGTTTTTTTTTTTCAGTATGGGCTGGGATGCAGATGCGCAGGTGGCTTCGGGATGCATGTACAAAGTATCGGATCTATAATACCAGGCAAATTTTCGTCTCTTTTGTTCCAGGTCGAAATTAGAGCTTTGAATATCCTGTTCGTAACTCGGCTCAAGTTGTCTTGTATACACTGGGAGCCGTAATCGAGACAGATAACGCCATATAAGCCACCCGCCGCCAATGTGGGGGGACACAAGTATGTAAAGTTCAACGGCGGGCTAACAGTGCGAGTCAGTTCATGTGGCTGATTTTATATATCCGCCCGCATCCAAGACACAGAAACAGCCAAAAAAAAAGAGGCAAGATCGGATTCTTTTCTCAGGGTACCAGGGTCAAATTACAAACATAAAAAATGTGAGGAGGACCAGAAACTATCCGGTGTCATTGTCGGGAACGACTGGAATCCGACAGACGGTGCAGACAGAGTACACGACGAGAAAAAGAAAGAAAGACAGAAAGAAAGAAAGAAAGGAACACCCGAGAACGCCGACCAATGGTGAGATGATGCAGAGAGGATACCGAGGTGGTAGGACAAGATTGTGCTCCGGGGGAGAGAGAATGACTGACTGGCTGAAGTCACCGACAACAAGAGATATAAGCAGAACCGAAACCAAGGCCATACCAACGTGCGGACAACTAGTGAGGTAGTCTATAGAAGAAAACAGGCAGAGGGTGAGGGAGAGAGCCCAAGGAAGGGTAAAAAAAAAAAAAAAAAAAAAAAAAAAAAAAAAGCCCGAGTAGTTAGAACACACGAATGGACAGATCAAAAATCACATCTCACGGATCTGATTCCTGTCCAGAAGGAAGGAAGAGGAATAGAAATACTAATGGTATTGGACCGTATCTCTACGCCCAGACCTAGGAGTGCCAAGCCTTGCAAGGGCACATTAGTTATATATACTCGTGGAAATAATCTAAACTCCACTATAGAACTGCTCATAATCATAGACGCGCTGCGGATGACGTCTAAGGTGGCGTGGGGGTTTGGCGGACTTCCGGCTGCTCAGGTTGGCGCTTCTCGCGCGAGCGCATATACATCCCGTCCGATTCGGATTCCCGCGTCGTGGGAGCATTCCCCGATCCAGGCACACCTAGTAGGGGTGGCTGCTGCTGCTGCTGCTGCTGTTGTAGCGTTATAATCTCCCTCGCGTAGAATTCCACTAGCATAGTCCCGTATGCTTCTAGCTCTTCGACAGGAATAGACAGACGAAAGTCATTCAACATGAGAAACTGGAGCTCCAGATGATTTAACTCCGGGAGCGGAAGTCCCCCAACCTATATGGCAAAAGGATTAGCCCATGCAAATGATGAGAAGCTGGGGGGAAATGTTTTTTTTTTTTTTTTGAGGAATTTACCTTGGCGTATCTTGAATTAGTATAGAAAACATCAGAGAAAAATTTACTCGCACAGGTTACACCGGCAATCACCAGCCGGTGAATATTGAAGCTATCGACAACGAAGAAATGAGAAAGTTGGTCTCCCTCGTGCTGGGGGTTTAGTGTCGGCGACATGGATGGAGGACTGGTTAGATCTTGGGCCGCAATACCGGTTGAGGATGGAGGTGTCACCAGAGGTGAATGATGCGCGGTAGGCAACCCAGACGACCCTGGTCGGGATGCAGCGTCAGCTTGCAGGACGCTGGCACGGTCTGCGCGACGGCGTAGGCGCTCTAATTGGCCTTTGTTTACCATTTCGGTCATGCGATCGAAATACACCAAGAGACTGAGGAAAACCTCGTATGTGGTAGGACAATATTTGTGGATCCGAGTCAGGTAGCTGAGAATGCTAATCGTGGGCACATTTTTGCCGTGAAACGCAAGCACCGAGTGTGCTTGGGCGCTAAGATTACCCGCATCGGGGGAAGGAATGTGTCGATGGACATACTCATGATGCGTATCATTGGTAGTTGTGATTTTGGTGAGGAGCCCCGCAACCATTTCGATGATATCCGTGACCGGCATGGAACTGATCTCGAACTGGCGCTCCTGAGCCCACTGTCCGGGGAGTTGGTTCCTTTGGGACTGTGCCAAGAACTCCTCGCTGGCGAAGCTCTGAATATGGGACAGATCCCGGATCTTGATTCGACTCGGGGAGCTCACCGCAGACCCTTGCAAGGACCGAAGGGATTGCAGAGTTGGTCTCAACTGCGGAGACGCCGGGGAAGACTGGCTTCGGGCATGGTGGTGCCCTCCAGGGGCAGTCGCCACAGCACCCAGTTGGCCACCATAGCCCGGGTCATGGGCAGAGTATACGGCAGGGTGAGACGCCGGGCCAGAATAAGGCGGGTGACCAACGACGGTCGCGTTCATTGATCCTGAGGAGTGGTGTACATATGTTGGTCGCTGGAAGGTTGATGAAGGTTGGGAGGAGGGTTGGGAGCTGGTATGCGAGGATCGGTTGATATAAGCGGGCACATCATGAGGAGGGCGGGCGGAAACTGCGGTGGATGCCGATAGCGGGGCAGCGGACGAGGTGGGGGTGGTATCAGACGAAGCAGACCTAGAATTAGCTGACTCGAGCTGGGACGAAGGCTGGGACGAGTGATGTGATGAGGGTCGATAGACAGATTCTGAGGAAGCTATGGCGCCTCCCAGCATGGTGTAGGAGCTATTACTGTGGTTCGATTGAGGAGGGTTGAGAATGACCGATCCCATATCCAAGCTGATGGGATAGTAGAACGACCACTAATTATGATTGAGCCACCGGGGAGGGGGGCTGATGAACAGAAATCAGCAACAGATCCGTCTGCGAATGGCATGAGATGAGGGGTTGGTTGGACTTGGGAGCTTAAAAGGGAAACAATGGGAGGAGACCCTAACGATGGAACGGATGAGGATGAGGATGGGGGGACGATGTAGTAGAGAGAGAGAGGAGAAAGAGCACGGGGATGAATACAATCAATCAATTCGTATCAATAGAAATCCTTGATTTCTCGACGTGGAGATGGTCGCGGTGAACACAGCAGCACCCCCGGACCTGGGCAGGTTTGAAGCGGGAAGAGAAATCACCAACGGTCAGCAGCGGCAATGGGAAGCTCCATTGCGATTAGAATGAATCAGGGATGAGATTGGATAAGAAAAAAAAAAAAAAAAAAAAAAAGAGAAGAGGTAAAGGGAAAAAAAAACTAAGGAGAAAGAGAGGGGAATGGAAGAAGTAGGGAGGAGGCTAGTGAGTGGCGGAGGGAATGAATGGGGTTCAAAAGACGACGAAGAGGAAGACGAAGATGAAGAAGAGGAAGAGAAGAAGAGAGGATGATGATGATAGTAGTTAATTGAGGTTCCACCGAATAGTCAGCAAATCGAACGTCCAGTAGTTAACCTACCTGTTAAGATGTACATAGTACATACTATTAGATCGAAGAGAAGTTGCCTATACAGAGTATTAGATGAGGTACGGTCGAGGTAAGAGATATACCAATGAAAACGCCGCTTATCAGCAGTTGCCCTTGGATTTCCCATGAATGTCGAGATGCGACCAGGATTATACCGACGGCAAAAGCCTCGAAAAGTCTCGAATGGGCGAATGGGGACCAAAAGGAAGCGCACCTGGTGATGATGGCGGGATGATTGGTGCTTGTCTCCGAACGGCGTGATGTTGAAATCCACCTTGACTGGATCTCCCTAACCTCATCCTTTCCTGGACGTATTTCTGACAGAACAAAATTATATTATATATCCTTCTCATCTCTCAACCCACTTGTCAAGTATATATATATAAAAAAAAAAAAAGAAAAAGAAAAAGAAAAAGAAACAGGAGATGTGGAATATTACTCGTCCTCAAGACTCCCGAGATCCTTGCATGATGGCTCACTTTTCTATGGATGCCGCTGATCTATATCATCACCTTCTATCCGGCCTGGGAAATTCCCCCACAGCCTTCGAGAAACCTCTCCAAGCAAGGGACTGGAGAACTGAAGAAAAAGAAAGAGGCATTCCATTGACAGCTAGCTTTCGATAAAAACAAATCATCATCCCTTTCATCGACACCACTCATCTAGCGGCGCCAGGTCCAGTGTAACCGTTGTCCGGCAGATACAGGTGTCGCTGCGCTCCCCGTTTGGTCAACACAACCATCCTAATCACTCCGCCCGAGCTGCCGTCCCATTTGATTGCCTCTTGTAGTGCGCTCCGTACGAAATTGACGCCGTCTTCTTCCGTCATGTTTTCCCTCCAGTTGGCGTCACAGTAACCATAGATGTAGGTTGAACCAGATCCGCCAATGGCGTAGGACTGCTTGTGCAGGGAGCCCCCGAGAGGTATCGAATAAACTTGGCCGCCGTGTCGGGGATCGTAGCCCGCAATGATGATTCCGGCACTGGGTCTGGTTAATGCTATCTGGTCTCCCAATTCCATAGGTCATCCTCCTACCTTAGCATATCCTTGTTTTCGTAGCACAGCTCCTGGAACAGCGATGCGGCAACCTGAGTACTAGGGGCCTCGTTGTTGACGATGGAATACATGTTGAGGTGGTACGAGACGATATCCGCCACAGCCTGTGTATCCGCTGCCGATCCGGATCGACAGCACCAGATCGTATCATGAACCTGTGTCAATTTGTCGGTGACTCGATTGGCAATGTATGCTCCGGTCGTCGTTCGACTGTCGGCACCCAGTATGACGCCATCTTTGAAGTTGATTGCCATGCTGAAAGATCCTAGGTTAATACCTCTGGGAAGGACCGTCGTCATCGTCAAAGTTAACTCACATTGATGTTCCTAGGCTGGAGGAGAGCAATGTTAGCAGGTGTCGACCCAAGACTCTGCGTGACCCGATCTGAGCACTTACTTGACCTCACCGCTCTTCAAATGATTCATATCGACGTGAATGCCATCTAACATCCAGGATCAGTGACTCTATAAAACTGAGCTTGGACCAAACCGAAGCAGCAACACTAACCTTCCCCGAGCATCCCCGTAAGACCGTGACCGACCATGTTGGCGAGTAGGAAGGAAGGAGGTTGGGGTCTGTCAAGATCTGAAAAGGCTGACAATTAAGGAGACGTCTATCTGAAAGACGGGAGGGACAAAGGGTAGAAAAGAGAGGATTTCACAGGGAAAGGAAGGATCAAGAGGATGGAGAGAAGAGGTAGCTTTGCTTTGACTATTGGAATTGAGCTCCAGGCAGGCGATCGCGTTACGTGGGCGAGCTGTGCTGGAGCTGATTCTGCCCAGCGGTGAGAGATTCCCGGATTCCTATTGGCGAGAATATTGTTCCTCTCTCTCTCCCCGCAAGCCTCCTGAATGTGTGTCTTTTAGAGAGAGAGAGAGAGTCGGAGACAGACAGACAGACAGACACTCATTAATTATTATCACTCTTCGGTTTAACCCCCTCCACACCCCCTGGCTCTAGTCCTGTTCACCCTTCTCATTTTCTCGGCTGCAATTTTGTTCCTCTCCTTCTTTTTATCCTTCGAATCTAATCCCCTACACCCCTTGCGATCCGCTCTCAACTAATTGCTCGTGCTCTATCATGTCCGAGTCGCCGACCCCCCCACCGTCATGGAGTATCACCAGTATGGCCAACAATGCTGTCCAGTTTCTACGTCTCCCAGTGTTGGCTTCTTCTGGTCTCGCCGTGGTTGCCAGTGGTCTGTTGTATTTTAAGCAGAAGTTTGTCCTCCCCAACAACGCCGAATTCCCGCATAGGCGCCGGTATATCTGGATGGAAACTGACCTCGTGCGTGGACAGCGAGCTGATCTACCCCCGAAATATCCCCGCGGATGCACGCACCAACGTCCCTAAACCCCGTCAATTTGGGATTACCGACTACGAAGAACTTCAGATTCCCACCCCAGACGGTGAATCGTTGCATGGCTTTTATCTCCGGCCCTCCACCAAGCGATTGGACCAGGATGTAACCGTGTTGATGTTCCACGGCAACGCAGGCAACATCGGCCACCGGATCCCCATTGCCAAAGTTTTACAAGATCACCTAGGCTGCCATGTCCTGATGCTCGAATATCGCGGCTACGGACTCTCTACCGGTGTCCCCGATGAGACGGGACTCAAAGTCGACGCCCAGACGGCTCTGGACTATATCCGACAAAGGGCGGAGACAGCGAAGTCTAAGATTGTCGTTTACGGGCAGAGTCTGGGAGGCGCCGTTGCGATTAACCTGGTCGCGACGAACGAAGACAGGGGAGATATCGCTGGATTGATCCTTGAGAATACATTTTTGAGCATTCGCAAGTTGATTCCAAGGTACGTATCCGGATCTCTCCGGTTGGTTCGCGCGTGCGCCTTACCTATTGTTGCTAACGGGCCTAGTGTCTTCCCTCCGGCTCGATATCTCGCTCGGTTCTGCCACCAAACATGGACGAGTGAGGATGTTCTCCCCAAGATTACCAAAGTCCCTATTCTCTTTCTGAGCGGACTGAAGGACGAAATCGTACCGTAAGTCTTGGAGTTGGTTTGTTTGCAATGGATCCCGAAACTAAATGCTCCATCATAGTCCGTCGCATATGATGCAGCTGTTCACTATCTGCAATTCCAGCCGTAAAGCATGGCGCACGCTTCCCAACGGTGCACATAACGACAGTGTCGCGGAGCCCGGCTACTTCGAACACATCCATTCCTTCGTCATGGAAGAAGTCCTGAAGGGCAACGACCGATGAAGCCTAATTCTTACATCCCACCTTCTGTCCTCATTCGTCACTATCTTGATCATCATGTCAGAACGCAGCAAAGCTTAGATCCAAGATACTATTCTCTCGACTAGCGATCCATATATCCCTCCCTCTCAAGCATCATATTACGTCCATAATATTACTCTTTCCCCCGCCTTTCTGTTTATTATGTTTGGTTTGGTTTCCTTCCCTGTGTACTTATTACAGCACCTTTTTTTTTTTTTTTTTTTTTTTTTTTTTTTTTTCGAGCCGTCTCCTGCGTCTCATTTCAGGGCTCTTGTTCTTTATTCTTTATGATGATGTCAATTGCACTTGCGGTACGTGGATTTCAATCAGGCGCTCTTCGGCTTCGCTTGGACTTTTGTTTTGTTTTTGTCGGGGTTTGTTTCGACAAGTTATGTATGGGTTGGTGTATGGGTTGGATTTCTGGATTTAGGCTTTCTATCCAAATCATACAACTTGTTGTTCTCCATCGATCTCGTGTATACATACGTACTAGTAGGTAGTACTACCTCGTAATGAACTTGGTTCAACTTTGATCCGATTTGAATCTTATCAGTACAACTGTAATAATATAGAAAATAAGATACATAAGATAAAGGTAAGTAATACTAGCCTGGGAAAGAAACAGGCATCTCTTTTTATCTCCCCATTCCATACCACCACGCAGATCATTGATCCAAAAAAAAAAAATTACACCTTTTCCGCTTCCTCCATCAACTCCTCAATCTTGAACCCCTCCACATCCCCCCTCGTAAACATACGCAGCAACTCGCCCTTTCGCCCACTCGCCTGGCCGCCGAAATCATAAAACCTCTGCACACAACTCACCAGCCAACTGGCCTCGGTTGCACTCACTCCCGCATCCGGCATGACCTGGCCGTGCATCAGCACGAGTCCCTGCTCCTCTGCGAGATCCAAGTGGTGCGTGATCGTTGTATGCGGCGGCGCAAACGAGCCGTGCAGTTTATACGCCGCCAACGAGGTGAAGATAATAGTTGAGGTGTGCGAGTTGACCTGCGTGGGCACGGATCCCGCAGCGGGCGGGTGGAAGGCCCACTGGAGGAAGTGAATATCTGCGCCGGGGTGATCTCCGGATTCGGATTCGGGTTCGGCCTGGGCGGCGGTCTCTGTGCGCGGGAGCGGGAGGATGAACTGCGGGTTTTGCCGCGCGGCGGAGACTATCCGCTGGTATGTCTCTAGGGGGATGACCGCGCAGACCGAGTGCGAGTTCCCGGCGTGTCGGAGGCGCCAGACGGTTTCGAGTTCCTTTGCTGGGAGCGTGCGCACTTTCTCTACGTCGAGGTAGGAGCTGAGCGGCTTGACGCCGGCCGATTTCGTCGCGGATGCAACTTGCGCGGCTTGTGCGGATTGGCGGGGGGGGGGGGAAGGAGGTGGTGGTGGTGGTGCGGTGGCGGAGGGTGCGGCTTCCGGGGTGATGGGAGTTGCGGCTTTGCGGCGGAGGTTGTCGATTTTATCTTTGTAGGCGTCTTTTAGGGAATCGACGGATTCATGGCCCTCCCTGGGTTAGTGAAGGTGAGTATAACTTGTGACTGGAGGGGGGGGATTTTGTTTTGGTGGTTGAACGGCGAGCACTCACTGTTGTGCCTTGTGGTTGAGCTTGGAACGGTATCTATCGAGGACCTGGTTAGGGTCGTGATGTGTCGCGAGGAAGCGAACATCGTGGACTTGGGCCCAGCGTCTCTGCTGAGACCGAATGAATGGAGTTCGGCCTCGGGATAGAGACTGGAAAGCCTGGGATCTGAGGGACGCCATGTTGTTGATGTCGGGGATGGTTGCGGAGTGGGCGAGACCCGGCCAGAAGAAAAGATGTCTGCATCATAGGGTTATGTAAGCATGGCTTGCATAAGTGAACTAGGATTCTGGAGTCCCCTGCACCTCTTGTACATGAGGGAGCTGGTAGAATGCTATCCTGAAAGTGAAATGCTATAATTTTCCATTAATTTAAACTCTGGTCTAACATTGATTTGGTGGTGGTGTTGTTAATATAGTTACTCTTTCCCTACCCGACTTGATCTGTATAGTTCGCTGCGGCCGTCTTAGGAGTGGAATTCATGAGAACACGAAGAAGTCTTTCAGATAGGTTATAAGATGTCATTTAGCTATCTAGATCTAGAGTAATAGATCTCTCCTGCGTCCTTGACTTCTTTTCTATACGGAATGAATAAAAACAAGAAATCCATAGTGCAATGACTAAGCACGGCATAACTCAATAGTTATGCACTCCACGTGGACTCTCGCGCCTCAGGCCATACATACGCAATGAAGTTGAATTGTGGCTTCATTTTGCGGCAATCCCCTTCGTCCTTCTTTACATCGAACAACGCCTCTATTTTTTATGTCTTGATGCTTTGATAGCTTTCCTTTATATGCTAACACCAGGCGAATCCGAATTCGTCGCCATATAGTTCCCCCCTACCCCGCGAACAGCTGCGACTGAGGTGATCCTTGATCTACTTCTTCGAGCATGGCGAATCGCCAGATCACGAGGCGCATACTAATTAGCGCTGCAATCCTTATATTTTTCATTTTTGTTCTTTTCATTCAACCTCATGGACCCCCGAGCCCTGCCGTACGAGCCCCCGGTCACCTGGGGAAGACCGCCCCCGTCAAGGATGACCTGATCAAAGGGGAGATTGTGATGCCCCGTCTAGGAAACGAAACGGCCAAGTACGTGGAGTGATGCTCCTGACCACAACTGCGGCTTGCTCGATGGATGCTGATAACCTGCGCAACCACTAGGGCGGAGCTGGGCCGCGCAACATGGAAGTACTTGCATACAATGCTTGCTAGATACCCCGAGGATCCCTCGGAGGAACAGCAAGACACCTTACGATCCTTCATCTACCTGTTTGCACGACTCTACCCATGGTATACTTGCCACCGCTAGCTTCCGTCTGCATTGGAGATGCAAAAAAAAAAAAAAATAAAATAAAACCAGAAAGACTAACCTACGAAATAGCGGTGAATGCGCATCTCACTTTCAAGGACACCTGAAGAAGTATCCGCCGCAGGTATCTTCACGTAACGCAGCTGCGGGATGGGGCTGCTTCATACACAACGAGGTCAATACGATGCTTAACAAGCCGCTATTTGACTGTAATAAGCTCGGCGATTTCTACGACTGTGGGTGCGCAGATGACGATGCAGAAGAAAGCAGCGATAGTGGGAATGACGGGCCTAATGCTAAGAGCAAGGCCACGGCCCATGAAAGCACTGCGGAAGACGAGGTCAAAATCCTGCCCATCGAGATCTCGAGAGAGCCGTCAGTGCACCATAACCCCCTTCCCTAGTCCCCCACCCTGGCAATCTTTGCTGATTGTGCGATTTTTATCTAGAGCCACTCGCGGTGGATAAAAAACATCTGGTTTATGCAGATTGAGTCGGTGCAGTCGTCTTTGAAACTCCTAGAATCCCTTCTTTACCCCATCAGCGCAGGATCGTTGAATGTACACTAGCCTCTATTCTTATACTTGTATTATCAACCCACAAGTAATGCAATCTACCATACGGGGCGGCCACCCCCAACCACTGCACTCGTACGAAATCCGACCCGAAAAGGTATGGTATGAGTGGAGCGAAGGGGTAAAAAAAGGATGTTGTGGCACGTTCTTGATACATTTAGGTCGATGATATGTGGTTGATCTGTAGAATGGAGGTGGCTCCGGATATGCACTTTCAGGGCGCATGACTGTGCGAAGCCTTTGTGACTGGCGCAGTTGACCCAAAGTTGAGGAAGGGTGTCTTCCACTGAAACCTGAATTATCCCGATTTCTTTATAACTTTGCATGGGGTTGAGGACTGGAAGAATGTCAAGCATTAGGAAGCCTATACAGCGGCTTCAGTGGGAAGGCTGCATATTCAATGGGCACGCACAAGAAGCGTGTCCATCGGTCAAAAATACTCTGAGTGGCTATAGCTTTCTGATCCTTACTCGGTTCATAGATACCAATGGCACAGATGTCTAGTGGATGCCATTGGATAGGCATGAATCACAGTACAGAAACAATATCAAGCGCACCACGCATGAAAACTGAGGTTATTATTAGCAAAGTGAGCCTCCACTTCCCATCTGCACTGAATAGTCAATGCTATTATCATGGATGCATTGAATTGCATCCACCGTCATCCTCCCTCCATAAGCGCCACTAATAGACCAAGCTGAGGGGCGGGTTGCACAAATGGCCCGTCATCTGTCTTTGGCTGTGCACCACAGCGAGTCTTCTGACAGGTTCACGCTTCTTGATCTCTGACCCCCTTCGGATTTGGGTGCGTTGATCATTGCTTTGGCTGCAATGGCTTGTTTCATGCTCGTGTTGAGGGCGGTGGTTGGATGGAGTTGAAGATGGTGGAACAGGTAGACATTGGGAGATGGTTCTTTTCTCATTATTTCTTCGAATGCCGGGCCATTTGATTTGAATATGGATTGAAAGATTGAAGATTGAAAGATGGAAGATTGAAATGCCAGCATTCTGAATTCCGAGGGAAGACAATGTGTGCTGCCTGGTTTATCAGGCCAAATATCCTGGTCTAAAACAGACTAGTGCATTCTTTAACCAACTTTTTTTTTCTGATATTTTTTTTCTGAACGCGCCAAAGAAAAAAAACCAACCAAATAGACAAAATATCGCCTGATCTTGAATTTAGCGCTGACTATATCCCTGGATCATTGCGCCAGTTTCTTGAATTTTTTGCTATTCGTTCTTCTTTCTCCTGTTTGCCTGCCTGCCTGCCTCTCGGCTTGACTTTGTTGTTCTGTCAACAAAGCCGATTTCCCACACGCTTCTTGACTCATCCTTCTATTACACGAACAAGACCCGGCTACGATTGCAGGGTGTGCGTCTGTTCCTGGCTGTCTTATTGCTGGGCGCTAGAGGGCTAATAGACGTAGCTTTGCGCGAGTCACGCCGTCATCCTATACGTGGGTTATATAGCGGGGTCCCGTCAATATGGTGTCGTTTTCATGCGAGGTGAGTTGGTCAGGATCTCTGCTGTCTTTGGACTCTGCCCTATGGGGGTTTTCTTTGCGAGCCTAATCGTCCTGCTTCTCTTAGAGCTGTGGTGATGTTCTCACCAAGAAGAAGCTTGACCCTCATCGCAACCAATGTCGCGGCGCAAACTTTACCTGCCTGGATTGCATGGTGAATTTCCAGGGAACTCAGTACAGGTCGCATACGGTATGGATGACACCCTCTTGATTTGTTGATGTCGCGCAAGGTTCACTTTAGCTTCAACTTGTGTCTACCGTTACTAACTTTCGGTGGTGGTTAGTCGTGTATAAGTGAGGATCAAAAATACCAAGGGGCGCTCTATAGGGAGAAACCTGGCAAAAATCAACGTAAAGGAAACAACAACAACAATAACTCAAAGCAGCCTGCGAGAGCGAAGAATGGTGGCCATCGTGCTCCCTATGTTGAAGATGCGCCTGATTCCCAAGTCAACCTACCACCTGTCGCACCCACTCCCCCACTACCCACCACCGAGACCAAGTCAAAGCCTACAAAAGAAAATACGAACCCTGTGAATGTCTTCGATTTCCTAGTCGCCGAGAATACTCCAAATGCGTCCAAGGTTTCCCTTGAGCGGCCCAAAGAACAGATGCGCATGGTTGACCACGCCCCTTCGGTATTTGAGCCTAGTCAGATGCTGTCGCGCGTTGATACGGATGGCGATGAGGAGAACAAGGAATATGATGTGGCATATGAGGAGAACGGATTTTCCTACGGTGCAGGCCCCATCCACCACCCGTACCCAAACAAGACCGCCGCTGTCTCTACGGAATTCATGACCCCTGCGCCGAAGAAAAAGAAGGACCGAACACGGCGACAGTCGCCGTCCAACGACCGCTCAGCCACGACCACAAGTGATAAGAAGAGGAAGCGCCACACCGAAGACCACGATATGGAGGATGTGGACACGCCTATGCTGGAGGCCCCGTCTAGTGTCGTGAACCACCCTGGTACCCCCATGCTCACCCACTCGGGTCTCACCGGGGGCCTGAATCGCATGCTTCGATCACCGTCTTTGGACGACGATGATAATGGTGGTGATGAGGGCTCCGACAGCCGTCGCCGACGCTACCAGGATCCTTCCTCCCCTCTTAAGCGTACTCGGCGTGACGAGAAGGACGGCCACGGCGATTCCGGACTGGGAATTTCCATCAAGAACCGTGCCGAGCGTCTGGTCTCCTCGATGTTTGGAGGCTCTAGCGTTTCCGGCAGCAGTGCAGCTGGCAATGAAGCCTCTGCAAAGAACCTCGCCCGCACACGCCGCCACAGCTCTTCCGACGATGAGCATGCGCCACCGCAGATTGAAGTTCGCAAGTCCAAGAAGACTCACCGAGTTCGCAACGCATCGAACGGCCATGCCGTGCCGGAGGATCCCCGCAAAACCAAGCGGAAGAGCAGTGCGCAAACCGACGGGGACCGCCCGTCGCGACGCCTCAAGCAACTCGAGTACCCCGACCGCCCATTCTCCCCCCGCGACGAGGATGGCCAAATGGTTGTCTATCGACAAGAGAACATCCCCGACGAGCTCCAGCGCCAGATGGCGACCCATTTCTTATCGCTGGTGACCAAGGGCCCGGAGAGTGCTCGCGGCTTCTCCATCAACAAAGTCCTCAAACGCTTCCATCGCGATTTCACCGACGAGTTCGATGGAGACCGAGGTCGTGGTCAGGGCCGGAGCCGTGCTGATCGCGAGCGCCGGGTGGATGACGAGAAGGATCTGTTCCGGACATTACGGCTGAAACAGAATGACCGTGGTGAGATTGTGGTATTTTTCTAGTTCATCACCAGATAGTTGCATCACTGTTTTTATTTTTATTTTTATTTATTTTTTTTTGCATGGAATGGAGAGATTGGATCTGGATACTGGTGTTTCTTTCCCCTTCTTTAGGAACCGCATAGCGACGATGTTAGGAATGAATAGCTTCTTATTTTCCTCTCTTTCCTTCTCTCTTTTTCTGGATTAATTTGATATCGTTCATTTCCTTCATATGAAATGGTTCCACTATGAGTAAGAATGACTCGACGCGAGGAAGACTCAAAAAAGCTCTATGAGTCACAATTGCACCGCACTGGAGGATCTCGATGAGGACCAACTCAGCTTCATTTCCTGCGCACATGTTTTTTCCCTTTTTTTTTTTTTCAAGAAGGAAATAATGATAAATATTAAACCCTGGATCACTGTAAAGAATAAAAAAGGGCCGTAGAATTAAGATTCATTCTCGGGACTGCAGTCGCCACAGGAACAACAACAACGGAAACTTCGAAAACTCCTCCTCCGCCTTGACTGCGAATTGATTCCTGCGGCTTTTCCATCGACTTCTTTCGCCTCTTCGCAGACGCGCTTCCTGTCCTGAACGGCGCGCCATATTAAGTTCTCTCGCCGTCCATCCCTCTCCAGCTAAATCGGAGCTTTGGTCTTCTGTTACTTCCATTAGAACCAACCCAGTGCATGAGTGTGCTGGGTCGAATTTCTCCGAACATGTCGGGCTCGAACACGCCGAACGCCGGAGACGGATCCAGTACCCCGCGTCCTGCAAGGTCCTCGAGACGGGGAGGTCGAGGTCGAGGTCGAGGCCGTGGCGGCCGCGGTCATTCTCACCAACAGGCACCGGTCTCGTCTGCAAATAACGCACCGCAGACGGAGCAGACTCGCTCTGGACTGGCCCCGCCTCCACAGATACAACTGCAGCCGCAACCGCAGAATGAGGCGGCGATTCCGAATACAACCCCGTCGAGTGGTCAGCAATCTCGTCGAGGACCTAGGGGAGGGAGACGAAGTGGACGCGGTGGAAGCGCACAACAAGAGGCCAGCCAGCGACCGGCTCGCACACGAGCTGCTGGAGGGCGGGCGTTTCAGGGACGGTTGACACGGCCACCACATTCCTCAGAGGATGGCCTACTGGACGGACAGGAGGATACAGCCGCTGACCTGGGGTTGAGGGCGGATGCGCCGGCCTTTGTGCCTGGAGTGTCGCAGCCGAATGGCAGTGTCTCTGCAGAGCCTTCCTCTGTTCTGCCGTCTGCTGCTGCTGCGCCGCACAAAGGGAAAGGCAAAGCGAAGAATGCTCGATCACGGCCAGCAAAGGTTACGACGAAATCGGAGGCCGAGGATATCGTCACGCGGATACACGAGGATATTTCGAATAATCTTTACGAGTGCCCCATTTGCACCATTGAGATTGGGCGCAAGTCGCGCGTGTGGTCTTGTCGTCTCTGCTGGACGGTCTTCCACCTGAGCTGTGTGAAGAAATGGTCGAAGAATGAAGGCGCTGCGGCGCAGGATGCTTCTCGTCGAGCCGGGGAAGAAGGGGATGCCAGCACACCTCGTGCCTGGAGATGTCCTGGTTGTAATCTTGCACAGGAGGTGTTTCCTTCGAGTTACGCCTGCTGGTGTGAGAAGGAAATCGACCCACGCCCGTTCCCTGGTATCCCTCCGCACTCCTGCGGGCAGACATGTTCCCGCTCGAGAAAAGGATGCCCGCACCCTTGCGACGCGACCTGCCACGCTGGACCTTGTGCTTCTTGTACTGCGATGGGACCGACTCAGGATTGCTTTTGTGGCAGGAACTCCTCTACGAAACGCTGCCAGGACACCGACTACGACAATGGATGGAGCTGCGGAGAGATATGTGGTGATTTACTACCATGCGGCGAACATACGTGCCCCCGACCATGTCATGAGGGACTATGTGGCGCTTGCGAGGTGAAGATTGAGGCGCGTTGCTACTGCGGGAAAGTAGAAACGGAAATGCTCTGTAGCTCAAAAGATGAAGAGCTAGAAAGCCAGATGCTTCATGATGGCCAGGATCCTGAGGATCTTGAGGAGTGGACGGGATGTTTCAGCTGTGGAGACCAATGCAATCGGCCCTTTGATTGCGGCGTTCACTTTTGCGAAAGGAGTTGCCATCCCCAAGATGCGGAGATGGCCCATTGCCCGAGATCCCCGGATGTGGTATCACACTGTCCTTGCGGAAAGACTCGACTCCCGAGTATACCGGGATACGCTCCTCGAACGTCCTGTGAAGACCCAATTCCAAACTGCTTGGAAGCCTGTGGTAAGATTTTGCGCTGTGGACACCCGTGTCAAAAGATTTGCCACACAGGTTCTTGTGGTCCTTGCATGCAAACAGTCGCGATAGAGTGTCGCTGTGGACGTAACTCTTTCATGAGTATGTGCCACCAGGGCACCATTGAGCCTCCTCAGTGTTTCAGGGTTTGCAAGGCCGGCTTGCACTGTGGGAGACACGCCTGCAGTGAGAGATGCTGTCCCGGGGAACAGAAAGCAGTCGAACGCCAGGCCTTGCGGCGGAAGCTCAAGTCACATCTCCGCCCCAGCGATGAAGACGTAGAGGCTGAGCATATTTGCACCCGGGTGTGTGGCCGTATGCTGAAATGCGGGCGGCATACATGCCCGGAAATCTGCCACAAGGGACCATGCAACACCTGCAGAGAGGCGATTTTTGAGGAAGTTTCCTGCAATTGCGGCCAATCCATCTTGTACCCACCGCTGCCTTGTGGGACGCAGCCTCCCCCATGCTCGCGCCCTTGTGAACGTCCTAAACCATGTGGTCATCCCCAAACCCCACATAACTGCCATACAGACGACGAATCCTGCCCCAAGTGCCCTTATCTTACGGAGAAGACGTGTCTTTGCAGCAAGCGCGCGTTGAAAAACCAACCCTGCTGGCTTACAGACGTGCGCTGCGGCCAGATTTGCGGCCAATCGCTCAAATGCGGTTCTCATTCGTGTCAAAAGAATTGCCACCGGCCAGGCGAGTGCGAGGACGCTTCCCGGCCCTGCCAACAGGCCTGTGGCAAGACCAAGACGCTTTGTGGCCATCCATGCACGGAGCCTTGCCATGCCCCATACCCATGCCCCGAAAGGACCCCCTGTTCGTCGACAATCATGGTCACATGTGGCTGTGGCCGTCTGCGGCAGGAACGTCGATGCAATGCGGCGAAAGCCGTCGTCGCGTCCAAGGGCCAGCTGCAGCAGCCGCAGAGGCTCCCCGCGATCACCCCGCTGACCTGCGACGAGGAATGCGCGCGCCTAGAGCGGAATCGCTCTCTGGCTGCAGCCCTGGGAGTCGACATTAACCCGTCCACGACCGTCGCGCAAAGCCTCTCATCTACAAACCTCCCCTACTCCTCCGAAACCCTGGACATGTACATCCAGCTCTCATCCGCCTCTCCACTTTCCACCCTACAATCCTACGAGTCCACTCTACACTCCCTCGCCACCGGCACCGAACAGCGCTCCGTCCGAACGCAACCCGCCAAATCAGCGATCCGCGCCTTCATCCACTCCCTTGCAGCCGATTATGGCTTTGCAAGCGAGAGCTTCGACCCGGAACCCCACCGCCATGTCTTCGTCCTTAAGCCTACCTCCTGGACCGCACCCGTCTTCGGCGTCGCTAACGGCGTCGGCATTGGCGGTATGAGCGTAAGCGAATGCGTGAAGCTCCGCGACCGCCACAGACTGAAAGAACGCGAAGCCCAGCGCGTCGCAGCCGCCGAGGCCAAAGCCCAGCGTGAAGCGGCTAAACTGTCGGGCGCGGGGTCCAGCGAGACCGGGGGCGGCTGGGCGCAGGTCGCGGCCTCGAAACGAAGCAGCAACGGTGTCATAATGGGTAGTGCGAGGGCCACGGCCCCACCGGGGCTGGCTTCACGGGCGCCCAGTGGGTTCTCTACCTCGATATATGCAGCTTTAGCCGGGCACGATGGCAGTGCTCCTGTGAAGGAGAAACTGGTCTTGCGGTCGGGCATTGGCGCGGGGAGACCAATCCGGACTCCGCCTACGCCTGCAGAGGTCGCTGATGATTGGGAGGAGGAGGAAGAAAAGGAAGAGGAGAAGGAGCAGCAACGACGTGCGCAGGAGCTTGGGGAAGACCAAATCCAGCATGAACATGAACATGAACATGAACATGAACATGAACATGAACATGAGAGTGAGCCATCTGACTCGACAAATACCGATCCCGATATCCAGGAAGATCCTTCTATTCCTGATCGATCTGCAACTCCCTTGGAGTGTGAGCGTGGGAGTGGGAGTAGGAGTATACAGGAAGCCCTGCCATGATAATGTTACGACATCTGACTTTTCTCGCTATTTCTTCTTTCTTTCTTGTGGACTACCGCAATCTATCAGCATCCAGCGTGTCATTATGCTCTGCTCTGCATAACAAGGTGATTAATTGCCTTATACCACAATCCGGTCTAGAAAAGTTTCCCTTAGTTTAGTTATGATAGAAGTCCTTCGAATACATGCCTGCATGCATAACTAGCACTAATTATTCAATTCATTAGATTGAAACTGGGGTTTCCTCAAGGCGCCTATAAAAGAGATATTGCCATACACCTTATACCTACAAATCGTAAGCTAGGAAGCCACCAGTCTTTATGTAACTACCTCGTAAAGGAAACTATTAGGATACGAGAGGCAAACTAGTTGGATGTCAATGAACACCCGGATGCGAGCGCGCTGCAGGCGATTGGGTCTTGGTATCCCCATGTTCCGTTGAGGGTACTTTGGCTGGAAGAATCCCACGAACCCAGTGTCTGTGCCGCTGATGATAGAGGGCTGGTCGGCTTTGAATAGATTCTTCCAATTGCTGGCCCGAGAGAGGTATGTAGTGTACATAGTCATCGGAGTGACGGCCCCTTCCCACTGTTGATAAGCAGAAGTCATTATACGAGTACTCTCCACCGTGCGTGATATACTGCGAGAATTTGTGCCAAACCCTAAGTAGTCAAAATCAAGGGACGGGATGTAGTGCAAGCGTTTCCAACTTGGCAGCCCTCCGCGGCCTTCGTATGACCATTCAAGAGGTTCATTCTCCGCGTCGTTGACCATCGCTTTGTACGCGAGAGCCCAGTCGATTCCAGTCACATTTTTGACATACGCATCGGCGTTTGACCCGCCTGGTGTCCACCCTTTGCAAAGACTCATGCGGCAATCTGGAAGCCAACCTTCGTGCTTATACGTATCAAGAAGACACTGCGCACCATCCTTGACTGCGCATGAGGGTCAATAATCGTGAGCAGCGGATGCTGCGCTCTAAACGAATCCCAAATACTGCCATTTGTGAGCGGGAGCTTCATCGGTGTCTGGGCCAGAAATCATTCACTCACCCATAAAACACTCGTCCACAGTGGATTCTCACCCGTGAGATCCTGCGGGTCTAGCATCGTTCTGTAAACACCACTCCAAACCATCGTCTGTAAAGCCTCATCCGCACCGCCAGATGTAACAGATACTGGATTCAGCTGCTCCCTCCACGTGTCTTCTGCACTCTTCCGGATCTGCTCAAAATCCTCCCAGGGCTTGGGGAACCTCTCTCTCTCTCTCTCTCTCCGCATTCTCACAAGCCCTCTCACTGCCGATATAACTCACCCCAACCCTCACACTCACCACGCCATCGTCGGGTCTCTGGAACCGCACAAATCCACCAGCCTGCAGATAAAACAGATTAAACCCCCTTGTGACAAACAACTGTTTTGGCTCCGTGCCCGCCCGATCATTCACCCAAACCCCCCCCCCCCCCCGCAAAATCCACACAAACATAAGACCGGTACGACCCAGTCCCGAAACTCGGCAAGAAAGTTCCCATTCGCCATGATCCTCCTCCTCCTCTTCCTCCCATCCATCTCAGCATCGACAGTCATCGACGCATTCTGTCGACTATCCCAGAGATCCGTCAAATCGAGCAAAACCAACGGACTCAGCACCTGCCCATCTGACCCTTTCGCAGCAGGGAACCCAAACCGATATAACGCCGCATGTCCCCCCCCCCCCCCCCCGGTGGGGCCGATTAGGGGGTCGATGTATTGGAGGATGTCAATGTCATAATCAGAATGGGTTGTTGGGTTTGCCTGTGCAGTGTATCTCGGGTAAGCTAGGAGGAAAAGCAAGTAAGTATCTTGGGATGCACATAGTTGCTAGCGAATCAGACCATGGGCATCACAAGTCCGGCTGCGAGTAGATGGAAGGTGATCTTGAATTCCAAGGGTATTATATGATCTGTATTCAATTGTACGTGACTACCTCCAATGGAATAGAAGCCCTGGGGTGAGATTGGACATTGCGAGATGCTGGAAATGCAAGGGTGACGAAGGAATGAGGAGAAACGGTGCGTGCAGAAAGGGACTGTCGTCAGTTTGGGTTGGTTGCGTTCTGATCAGCATCACAATATAGGGCAGGGTAAAATTACTATAAATTCTATGCGGGAGTTGATTAATTGAGTTGGTTGATGTTGGCCAAAAATAATACTGGATAGACACTTTTTTTTTTTTTTTTTTTTTAGCTGAATGGTCAAGTTTTGACATTTTATGGTAAGGCAGTAAGAAAAGGATCTCTCTCTCACATATTGGTAAACATTGTGTGTATCATTGCATTAGCATCGTACGATATTATAAATTCTATTATACAACTCGGGTATGTATCTTGTAGAGCAAACGTAGTGCGGAATATATGCCCTCTAAATCATCACACCCTTGTTCTGTTTCTTGTCCACGTTGTAATTCTTCCATACCGCGATAGCAGGGAATCCCAACACCAGCAGAGCCGTAGCGGCGATTGATCCATACATCTGGCTGCGGCCCCAGGCAAAATTGATAGCATCTCGAGCGGGGCTGCCCACAGCATACTTCTGTTGACCCAGGTATCCCGACAGGGAAATTGCATCAGCCTGCGACTTGAGATCTTCGGGGAGACGCGAGCGGAGAACTTCAGTGAAGGTATTGTTGTAGATCGCAGCGGATACGGCGTAGCCAATAGCACCGCCTAAGCTGGAGAAAAGACCGATGAGGGACAGCATCATAGGCACGCCTTCTCTGTCGGCGGAAGCCATAACAGCCATGTCTTGACCAATGACAATCGTGCCACCTCCAAACGCGATAAAAATCTGACACATGATAATGTAGCCAATGTCGTCAGTTTCACCACGGAAGTGGATCATTAGGCCAGCTCCGAGAACCAGCAGTGGGAGTCCGAAGAAGAGACAGGTGTACTTGAAATGCTTTGTGTAACGAATCCACACCCCGAATACAACGCCCCAGAAGCAGGAGCCGACGTTATAGATCTGAATCATGTAGCCTGCCATCGACGGGTCGAGGTTGTAAACGACACTACAGAAATTGTAGAAGTAAAGGTCCCAGCAGTAGAAGGCGAAGAATGCCAGAGCAGCCATGCAGCAGGCACCTAACACGGTACGCTGCTTCAAAAGCTCATAACTAATGAACTGGACCCGAGCACCCCACTTCTCCCATGCGGCAAAGACGAAGAGAAGGCAGAACCCAACCACAATCTGCGCAATGAACTTGGCGTCGTGATATTGGGCCCGACCGTAGCTCGCTAAGCTGAATGGAAGGAGGAGAAGAATCCATGCAGCCATCAGGAGCAAAGCACCAATAACTAAAAAAGTGGTTAGCATGCGACCTGAAATGGAGGCGAGAGCAGTTCCCAACATACTATCGAACTCGTGAATGTAGTGGATGATAGACTGTATTACGGTACGCCCACTTGGTTCCCGCTTATACAATCCCATCTTCTCAGCTTTCTTCTGGTAGAATTTGAAGACAATCGCCAGGGGAGCCATGGCGATGGGCATGATGATAGCAAAGGCACCATAGGCCCAACGCCATGTCGCCACCTCCAGGAAAGACTGACCGGCCAGCGATCCGGTAAAGGCAGTGCATATAAAAGGGGTGCTGGCGAAAGCAAAGGTAAACGCACGATTGCGCATACCTGAGGTATCTGCAATGAAGACATCCATGATGAGGTAGAGAGCAAGGTAACCAACCCAGTAGAAGACGTAACCAGCGGCATAGGCGTTGGGATTTTTGCATGCAGCCAAGATGATCAACCCCATAGTGTATATTGCCAGGAAGACCAGAAACCCTTCAGCACGACCCCAGATGTTAAGTGTTTTGGCAATGGGCAGCTTGAGCACACCACCGATGATACTATACAGGATGTTCGCTGTACTGATCTGAGGGGCAGCTTGAAAGTGGGCGTAGGCATTATTGATAACGGTAGAGCCGATGGCAGAGTGAAGGGCTAGCAAGAAGAAACAAACCCAGATCCTGTTATTTGCAATCCCATCGTTAGAGGATGCGGGGGAAACAATATATAGCTATATATATATATATATTCTGGGTTGCTCACCAGGCATAGGTCGCATAAACGGCCTTTTTACTCCAGACCATGGCCGAGGCTTCGGCTTTCTGCACACCGACATGGGCATCTGCAGTGACTTGGTCTGGATGTTCTTGGACTTCCTTCTCATTTCGAGCGAATAGACTGAGATCCGACAAGTCGCCATCCTGGGTGACTTGGTTCAAGTCCTCCGGGTTTCCCTTTGTAAAGGACTCAATTTTGTCCAAAATCGCCATGATCAGAGAGAAGGATGCGGGACTGAGATTCCCCTCAACGGCGAAAACAAAAAAGTTTAAGAAAAGAGGGGGAGTTGCGTGCAGGACACGCAATAAGCAAAGCTGGTGAGATGAAGAGGAAGAGAGGGGGAAAGGACCACCACACCTCCGGTAGAAAGAGGAATACAACAGAGAAGAAGAAAAGCAGACGGGACTACAAGGGAAAAAAGCGCGTTGATATAAGTTTTTTTTTTTTGTCAAATACATAAACTATGGGGCAAATGTGTCCGTTATTTTCTCGTTATTATTTCCCACCCTTCTACCCTCTCTCCACCTTCGTCCCTTGCCTGAGCTCGACTTGACTACGGAGCAACCCTTCGCACTCCTAGACTGTTATTCCTCGTGTGGGTTTCGGAGGGGAGTGAGCACCCGCAATCCAATTAAAGACACGGATCAGATAACTAACACGATGGGGTTGTCCGGGCTCAAGATCAGATAACTTGTAACTCGCTAACCACCGCTAACGAGACCCTCTGTCGTCCCACGGTTGTATCGTCCTGGCTAGCCCGAGATTCCGTTATTGGTTGACCTTCATGGCTCGTGGCTCTCGTTCAGTTTTATCCGAATCTTGTTCTCGAGTCGTGGGAGAAAAAATTTTCGGGATTCCCGAGGTGGATACAGGTCATACAATGATATAATTCATTCGTCTCCCGGATAGATAATCAGAGAGACTTGAGAAGGTTGAGCAGGATTCATAATATTCTCCCAATATCATGACACACGAGAGATTGAGCCGGAATACCTTTTCCTAGGATGGGATTCAGCGTTCAGGGAACCCGGGTCAGTGGGCGAGAGAGAGGCCCTTTTTGCCGGTCCCTCTCGGGCCTCTCCAGACTTTGCCTGCGTGTGTGGGCCCGGCATGCACGGGAATTGGGCAGGGAAAAATCAGATAAATCAGCCGATAGCGATGCACGATGACAGCGCTAAACACTGCCGTTTAGTGCCGTTCACTCCCTCGCGCCTGCGTATTTGATCGGGCGAGTCTTCCAACATATCCCAAGCCACTGGGCCGTCTGACTGCAGCCGGTGAGCTTGTTTCTGCTGTGCATCCACTTTCGGAGGACAATGTCTTCGGGAGGCAGAGGATAGAGAAGTGACAAAAATTTTCATAGTCCTTAGAATGCATTCAAGTTCTACGAACAAAGCTGACTGCTGTATCAAATTTGATTAATGTTAAGGGCCATGGAACATTGACCCAAGGATTCGTAGCGGCTGGAGGGATGCGCCAAAGGCTACTTCAACTAGACAGACGGAGATCTCCGAAGACATTCATATCACTGTGTCTACGGAGTACCATAGAACGGATCCCCTCGAAGAGGAATAACCTTATGCGCTTTCGAATTCCAGGTATTGCCACCTTGCGTTACAGAGTATATTCTGGGTTAATGAAACCTTCTGCATATTGACTTTCTCCCGTATCCTTGGAACCGGCGTTTTATAATCTGATAAAATGATCTAATCTGATCTGATTATTGTTCGTGTTTTTCTCATGAAAATCTACGGCGACCTGCTCATGTCTTATTATTGCCACATTAGTCCCTTTTACCCTTCTTCTTAATCATAAAAGCTACTGCCAAGCGGAAAGGCACGGTGTTCCCGAAAAAGTGGAGATATGTATCTTGATGGCCCCAAGTTAGGTACGTAATTTCCCAATGTGTATGCGGTACTAGTAGTCTGCTCAAGTAAACCAAACTAGTGCGAAATATAGAAAGATTTGTTTGGCTTCCTTGCTACAGAAAAAGAGGAGAAGGAGAAAAAAGAGCGTGAAAATAAAGAGAGAATTGGAGCTTGTGTTGGAAACATGCAAACCCCAACACTGACTGTAGGTAAATCTTTGTCCGGAGTACCTACCTTATTGGAGACATTTTTCCAGAATTTTCAATTTTTTTTTTCATTTGTTCCTGGATGAACCACTTGGATAAACCAGGAATACATAGGTATTAATACTGTGAACTTCTCTGCCTCGCCAACTATATATTGTAGGTACTCAGTATGATCATGGATACTTGAGGGCTCGATTAGCCATTTGTAACAGGAATGAATCTGCCTGAGGCAGCCATGAAGTGATGGTTAGTCATCCACTATATTCAACGTAATCCACCAGTGATCCGACCACCCCCCAAATTTTCACGCGTTTAATTACACGCCACTATTCAAACTAGTACCATACCACCAAAAGCGCGTTGATTGTCTCGAAACTTGGTGAAGCAAGAGGGCAGGATCTAGCTTGCTGTACAAGGCTTCAAAAATGGTAAAGTTCCAAGTGCTTGTCGTGCAGTAACTATGTATAATGTGCCTCGATCTACCCTCTTTGATCGCCTACAGGGCCAGCAATATCAACCTCCAACTATCTCAAATTCAGGAAGATACTTTATTGGAATAGATTATATCTTAGGATGAGTGTAGAGTTGCTCCTCGGCTAATATAAGTGGCGGAAATGGCCTATATCTTACTCTAATCAGGCAGTTCAAATGAGTCTGCTGGCCAAAGTAGTGACCCAGCGTTGGTTGCAATACCACCTTTAGACGGGTGAAAACATGCTCTACCAACATGCTCCAATTATAATATTCAGGACCATACTAGAACTAGATGTCTTACACGTCTAAATAATTAGATTTAGTGAAATCACACGTGTTTTAGTAGTTAGGGATAGCTTCAAAGTTTCCAAACGTGGTTAAAATAGGTGGGGGTGTCTGGCTGACTGGTGGATTACATTACATAGTTAACTACGGAGTACCCTATCAAAACCACAATCTTCCCGAAATCCTCCCGCGTCGGCTTCGGCTGGTAAAGAATCGTATCACCCTCCGCAAGGCCAGTCAGTAGGCAGACAGACAGCCTTGTTTCATCACGAACAGGTCATGACTGCAATCCCAGTTCTTCAAGCTCTCCCCAGTATGCCACTCCTATCAGCCTTGCCGCGTCTTTAAATCCAGCCGTCTCTGTTAGTTCCATGATTTGACGCCATTCTGTCGTCGCCTTCCAATAAGATTCGTTTTCCATCTCTCTCCATTCTCCACGTTCCCCAGGGACCGAGGCTCGGGTTTACTTTTTGCTCCTTCACTCTTCCTTGGGTGCATACTGTTGCGCCTGTTTACCCTGAATGCCATCGCGCCGCAGCCACACGAAGTCCCGCAAGGGTTGTCTCCAATGTAAACGAAGACATGTCAAGGTGGGTCATTCCGTTCGTTTGATGACTTCCTGTACATACATTGCATATCGTCCATACTCCATAGTAACGGTTTCGCTTTGGCTCCACTTTTATTTATTTATTTAACCCTAATTGATGAATCACGGACAGTGCGATGAAGGGCTTCCCAGATGTGGCTTGTGTAGTAAACGGAAGTTGGACTGCACTTATCCGTCGCCCAGTGAGCCGGAGAGTCAATATCCTCTCACTCCACAAGATGCCATTGATATAGGATCAGGATCGGAGGGATGGCCATTACATACGCGAATGCTGGAGATGAAGCTCTTTCATCACTTCCTCATCGATGCTTCTATTACGCTGCGGCAGGATGTCCTCGAAGCTGGTCACTTCCAGGTGGCTGTCCCACGCCTTGCAACCTCGAATCCCTTTTTATTGGATATCATCCTGGCATTTTCGTCATTACACTTGGCCTTTCTTGAGCAGGGCGACAGCAAATGGCTCGAGATTGCCCTAAAATACCAGAACCGCGCATTTACGGCCTTCAATAGAGTGCTGGCCGAGCTTACCCCCGAGAACTCGGGACCGGCCTTTATTTGCTCGATTTTCATTATGCTTTGCGCTTTTGCGTACCCTTGTATTTCACAGGACAGAGACACCTTCGATCCCATATCTCAGGTTTTGGAAATCCACCGCCTACTGGTTGGCTGCGCTTTTCTCTTCCAACAGCTCGATCGCATGGAGGAGCCGGGGGAGATGAAGGCATGGTTGGTGTATAAACGCCCGGAAGTCTTCAAGGAGAGCGGAATGGTCGAAGGGTAAGCCCTCGTGTTAATCGTTCTGACCGACATTGTGAAGTAACCCCCTGTTTTAGAGGCCACGACGACAACTCAAAACTCGAACATCTGCGCCGGTATGTTCACACCTCTTTGGCACAATTGGAGAGACCGCTAACGCGCTCCCAGGGAACTATTGGAATCTTTGGAGAAGTTCCAGACTGTGATAGATTCTAAGCGGGGGCCGCATCAAAAGATGTATAAGCAAATATGGGAAGTGCTGCAGGAAATGATTATGGAGTGGCCCATGGGGAAAGCGAAAGGTGGAATTCTAGCATTTCCCATCCATATCAGCGAGGAGTTTATGTCTTTATTAAAAAGGGGGGAGTGGGTAGCCCGGATCCTATTTCTGTATTATGGCGTTGGGATGCATCTTCTCTCCGAGAAATGGTACGTTGGAGTTTGGGGCCGTCGTCTGGTTACGGCCGTGCTGGAAAATCTGGAAGAGATCCCTCCTGCTTGGAAGGAGACTGTGACATGGGCGAGACAGGCAGTGGATTCGACAGCATCATAGGGGGTTAGGGAGCAGTATGACTAGAGAACTAACTAGTAGGTAACGCATGTTGACAGAGACAAGGAATCAACCCCGAACCTATTGACATAAGAAGGCCTTGCGAGGATATTTGACTGACAACCTCTTTATTTCTGTGGGAAATCAAGAGCAAGACTCAGAAAAGAAAAGAAAAGAAAATCCTTCCCCGTTCTAACAAGCAGCAGCGCTTCGAATGTTTCCATAATCTAGCAATAGTTATCCCATAGACAGGTCTAAGCAACTATGATCTAGAGTATGGCGGGAAGCTGGCTAAGCCCATGTTGAATTTCCTGCATTATTAGCCGGAGATATTTCGCGATCTGTTCATCATCGTGGTAGACGCTGTTGTAGGACACCCGAATGAAAAGCCTATTGCGAAAGGTCTGGATACCCAGGTAGACCCTTTCATCTGTAGGAATAACAAGTGCCCAGAACTCTCGAATCCCGAACGCGCCATATCTATCAGAAACTTTGTCTGAAAAGTTTCCGATAAAACTGGGGAGGATTCCCTGGTAGTAGTGCCGCTCGCCGAGGACGCGCATGGACTCCCTGAAATACGGCACCATGGCGGAAATGGCTGTCCGTTTGTGCTGCGCAAGATTCACATATTCCTCCCTGAGCGCCGACGCTGTTCGAGATAGATTATCTGCTATTTCGACCTGCACTGGCCAGTAACCTATGCGCAGTGCTACGGCCCTCGACGTGCCGTTGAGAGGCAACCCAGCACACTGGTCACGGAGATTGAAGATGAGAAATGTTGAATGCGTTGTGCTTTCCCCGCTGGGGTTGCGGCTGGCGCTCATCTTCTGCCCGGCGTGAAGGAATGCAGCGTGCAGGAAAGGTGTGAGCCCAAGGCGGGCCCTTTTGGCGGTAGCAAGAAGGTCTCGAGTTTGCTCCTCGGAGAGTCCAAGGCACTGCACCCTGGAGACTCCAGGGTCGAGCGCACCGTTTGCGGACGGGATTTCGACCGCCTCTCTAGTTGATTGAACCTGCGGGATGGAGCGCGCGAGATTTTCAGACCAGGTTCTGTTGCTCTCTCCTCCTAGGTCGTCGATCATCGCGGCTTTCATTGCACCAGGGGGTAGGTACTGAACCTCCTCGCGCCTTGGGTCATTCTGCAACTTGCCGCCGCCATCCAAGCGCTCCATTTCCCGGAAGAAGTCCTGAAATAGAATGGCCATTCCGTGGCCATCCATGAACATGTGGTCCGCTCGAAACACGAACCGTTGCTCGGCGGGGAAGTAGTACAAAATCGGGCCTGGGGTCGGCGGAACGACGTCCAGATCTTGAACCTCTCCCGTGCACAAGCTGGTCTCCGAATCTCTGACAATGAAGGTCTCGTCGAGCCATTCGTGCAAAGTTGATGGATCACTGACTGCGGTGTATTGGAATTCATCTCCTTGAACTTTGGCGCCGATCAAAGGGTGGAGAAGGCGCATTCGAATCCATGCCTTTTTGGCCAGCTCCACGACATTCTCTGGCTTCTTGTCTGTTTCGATCAAAATATTGACAAAGACATCCAGACTCCGGAAGCCTGGTCGTAATGGGTCACGGCAAAAGGAATGAAAGAGTTTTTCAAACCCATCGAAAGGCCGAACATATTGAGTCTGGTCCTTCTGATGCCAGTCCTCCGGTGCTGGGCAAATGGTCTGGTGAAGATCAGCTTGAACCTTACCAGGGCCATTTCTAGCTGGGGGTTCCAATCTGGCTCTGCTGATGCTGAAGCTGCGAAAGGGGGGGTTAATTTGCCTCACTCTACTTACCAATGGAGCCCCCGAATTTGAAAAGCAAGCCATGATTATGTGGAAAGTCGACGTCCTAGTAGCTAGAAAGATAGGAAGATTTGAAAGAGAAGTGTAATCGCATTCATCAGTGTGTATATAAAGCGGCTCAAAGCATAGATTCCGCGGGCTTCTCGTCCTTAAATGCGTAGACAGCTAGCTACGAGAAGGAACCAGACTGACCTGTTTGGCAAGCCCTGCAGGTCAATTGATGGCTTTGCTCTTGGATGGATTTGGGTTTCCACTACAGTTACCACCATGCATATCATTCGGCTGACGGTGGTGCACACAATGATGGAGCAGGAGTATAGATATTTACAAGTATACCCTACTAGAATCAGATTTCCTCTTCGAGTCGAGTACAGTACATCTCCACCACGAACCGCTGCTCTTCCGGAGTCGATGTTGCAGAAGAAACCCGCGGATATGGAATACTGCATCTCTTGGACTTGATTTAGATATAGGTATAGACACAGATCGGTAATCGTGAGTTGGTTTCGTCTCATATAATTGCTAGTTCACTCTTACTCCCTATCTTAGAATCATGCATTTTTGCACCCTCCACCATGCTAATGCAACTGTACGAGCGCGGATTCACCTACATCAAGATGCAACCTATGTCCGATTAACTGCGATGGAATCATATTCAATTCCAGAAGCCGAGGTCGCCCGTCTGTCAGCATATCCTTCAACTCGTCATTATACAGGAGACTTGCGCCATCCCTTCTACTCCAGGATGAAGATGCTGCAGATTTCCAAGTTTTTCTAAAAGCCTCCCTTACTTAAATTCATTTCCCTATATTAAATGTAAAATCCCGGTGTCTTACATGCATATATACCCGCTAGGCAGAAAGTCCCTATCTGTAAAGAGCTGCGTGCCGGGACGGGACAGGTGAGAAATATTCGAAGAGGAAACCTCAGATGGATAAGATCAAGTCGGAATTTCATTCATTCACCAGATACGAGATAGAAAAACAATAACCGATGCGATTTCCCGTACATCAACGAGAGATGGAGTGAGTGGAGGTCCATGCTGTAATCGTGAGATCTCACTCCGCATCCCTGGAAAGCATCTTCGGGTCTTCGGCACCCTGCTGATGAAAAGACGCAGAAAATGTAATGATGCATGAGATCGAGGCTAGCAAGGATATCCTTTACTTTAGCATGTATATCTCTAACCCTGTTTTATCTGGAAATCCATACGTCAAATAGCGGGTGAGAGATGTTGAATGGGGTCCACCACCAATGACCAAAAAAAAAAACAAAAAAAAAAAAAAATCCAATAAGGTACCCTCCTTGCGGTGAAGATAACGGGTTAATCAATTGTTTCTAACTCTTTATTCAACTTGATGCAGGATCGAGTAACATCGATAGGTAAAGCCAGAAAGGGCTACTGCAGGGCGCTCGAATGGAAGAACAACACCTTTTCTACGGGAATCTACAGCATCAATACTGCCACTAGTACTAGTAGTACTATGTATGTATCTCAAACCGATTTCGGTTGAGTTCCAATATACTTGACATCAAATATACAGTTCTGGGGAGTTGATACTCCGACGGGGGAAATTATGTGCTTCCCTGTATCAAGCCAATAGCTGTTGACTACAGCACTAGACTCTTGTATCATCAACTACAGGTTTCTGTCTACTTTATCACCTTTACTTTCCAAAGGTATATAAATCCAGATGCTCACCTGCAAAGATGATCCCTTGAAAGAGTAAATAGGGGGGGAAACACCTAGAGAGCTTAGAGATCAGATCACAAGATTTTCTATCAAGTTTTCTATCATCTTACCATCTAATTTCCTGTGTTGGATTTGAACGATTGCCCCAAAATGGCAGTGCTTGACATCGGAGTTGAGCAAAGCGCCAAAGCACAACGCAAGGTGGATATTCCATTGATGCAGTGGGCACAAAGTTATGAGGATACCGGTTCAGGTAAACGGGTTCCGTTTCCAAGTTGCGAGCTTGCCATCTCGTGCACTGCTAAAGATAATCAGCTTTGGAGTACAAGGCCATTCCTGTGCCGGAGATCGCGCCTCATGAAGTTCTGGTCCAGATCAAATTCTCTGGCGTCTGTCACACAGACCTGCACGCTTGGAAAGGTTGAACTTGAGTAACTAACGCCTGGGTTCGAACTGCCGCACTAACTATTCCCAGGGGACTGGCCGATCAAGACGAAGAAGAATCTCGTTGGTGGGTCGTACATCCGAATTTGAGAAGCAAGTTTTTTTACTCATGAATATTTGTGTCCATCAGGTGGCCATGAAGGAGCTGGAGTGGTAGTTAAAAGAGGGAGTAAGGTCACTTCAGTATCAATTGGAGATCGCGTTGGGGTTCAGGTAAATAAGTCCTCCTCTGTTAAACCCATAATCCATCAGTGCTAACAAGTCCATGACGGTACAGTGGATGAATAGCACTTGCGGAGAGTGCGAATTCTGTTGCAATGGTGATGGGCCCCTGTGCCTCACGGCCAAATGCTCTGGGTACCATGTCGACGGTACCTTTCAGCAATTCTGTGTTTGCAAGGCAGCAAATGTTGTACGAATTCCAGATGATATTCCCTTGGAAGTAGCAGCGCCTGTTAGTATCACTTCCTCTTTTCGATATACTAGGACCCGCGCCCTGTATTCTTATTAACTACTGCGGGGCTTAGATTCTATGTGCGGGTGTCACTGTTTACAAGGCTCTTAAGGAGCTTAGACTAAAGCCAGGCCAAATAGTCGGTAAGGCATGAGCTCTACACAGCGTTGGTCTCTATTTTAACGCTCAATAGCCATTGCAGGGGCTGGTGGAGGTAGTGGATCGCTTGCTTGCCAGTACGCAAAGGCTCTTGGATACCGTGTTCTAGCGCTTTCAGCAGGGCCAATCAAAAAGGCGATGTTGACAGAAGAGCTCCAGGTTGACTTTTTTGTTGACTACGCCATTTCTGAAGACCTGGTTCTAGAAGTTCAGCAACTTACCGCTGGCGGTCCTCATGCTAGCCTAGTAGTTGCTTCGGTCGAGGCCCCCCTTAACCAGGCAATCCAGGTGAGCATATTTAGAGATCTCGGAATCATTGCGAGTTATATTCTGATTTGTCTCTCGAAGTACGTGAGGTCAGGCGGAACCGTTGTGGCTATCGGGTTGCCTAAAGGGGCTTTGATCAAGGCCGATGTAATCTCAACGGCAATGAGAAAGATAACCATAAAAGGCGCTTATGTTGGTACGGCCGCGGAGACTGAAGAGGCACTCGAGGTCTACGCCCAAAAACGATTCGATGTGAAGTATCGGGTTTGTGCCCTAAAGGAGCTTCCCACAGTTTTTGAGTCGATGGAACAGGGTAATATAACAGGGCGAGTAGTCCTGGAAATGCCCACGATCCATCAAGACGCAAATGGTCAAAAAGCTCAAAAAGCTCAAAATGGCCTAAATGGCCTAAATGGCACTCACTCTCAACTCGCTACACGATCAATGTTCACGCAAAGCCAATATAATCTTGGTACATTTCTGGCCTACCGGCTAGAAGAACTTGGGGTGAACGATTATTTTGTAGTTCCCGGTCAGCCCTTTCCTGAACAGCCAGATGAGGCAATATAAGATACTAACATGTGGGGAAATAGGTGACTATAATTTATCCCTGCTTGATCAGATACTGAAGAATCCCAATCTTAAAATGGTTGGCTGTTGCAATGAATTGAACGCGGGATACGCAGCCGATGGCTACGCTCGGTCGTCCCCTGCCAAAGTCGCTGTCGTGTTTGTTACATTCATGGTTGGCGGTCTCTCTCTCCTTAACGCCATTGCAGGAGCATATTCAGACCGACTACGAGTCATCGTGGTATCTGGTGCGCCACCAGAAGGGTCTGGGCAAGACGCGATTTTCCATCACACCATCGGACTGACGAATAAAGACCAAGCAATGCGAATGTTTGAACAAGTCACCACATTCTCTGTGCGTCTGGATGGGAAATCAGATCCTGCCTCTCTCATAGACAGGGCATTTGTTCGATGCTTAGAGGACTCTCTCCCTGTTTACATAGAGATGCCCAGTGATCTCGTGGAGTATAAATGTAATCCTCCAACACCACTGACATTGACAAGCTGCCAACGATCCCCAGAAAGCCAGCTGTTAACGGCATTCAACAAGATCAGAAATGTTTGGAGCACGGCCCAAAAACCAGTCATTCTTATTGGCGCCCTTGCACGGCATTTTTTACCCGCAAATATCCTTCTTTCTTTGGTTGAGAAGCTCGGATGCCCCGTATATTGTCAACCCGACGCCAAGTCACTACTACCTGAGTCACATCCCCAGTTTAGAGGTACATACTGGGGAGTGGCTTCGGACCCGGCATGCCTGGAGACTATGATGGGATCAGACCTATGGATGGTTCTTGGAGGCCGCTGGAGCGATTATCACACTCTGAAGGGACCAAGTCTCAAGGGCTCCAACCAGATTTTGGATCTACAAGCAGATCGTGTCCGGGTACCTGATGGGAGCCTTATAGAATCTGTTACAATGGCTGAAATCGCAGTCATAATGATCGAGTCTAACCTTCGCCGTCGCAGTGTGGAGATAGGTGGCCACGTTAGCGACACCCATCCGCAGATAGATGCATTAAAGTTGCAGAACATGACCAACACGCCACTCACCGTCACGGATATCTTGGCTGGGATTCAATCCTTGCTAAGACCTGGTGACACTCTAATTGCTGAGACCGGAGACAGTTGGTTCAATGCTCAGAAAATCCTCCTGCCCGATGGCGCAGATTACCAGATGCAAATGATGTATGGTTCAATCGGATGGAGTCTCCCTGCCACACTCGGGTGCCAACTTGCTCGCCCCGAAGGCCGCGCAGTTCTTATGATCGGGGACGGTAGCTTCCAGATGACGGCACAAGAGTTAAGCACGATGATTCGTCTCCGGACAACCCCCATTATTGTCATCTTCAATAATCTGGGATATCGAATTGAGGTAAATGCTCCGTTGGCGAATCCTTTCCTAGATTGACCAACTGACATGATGTCGGAATACCCAGACCGCGATCCACGACGGCCCCTACAACTACATTAGCAACTGGAATTACTCCCTCTTTGCAAGTACGATGTGCAGCGTAACACACAGTGTAGATAATGGCAACGTCTATTTAACAGCACAGGAGAAACGAGAACAGGACAGCCCGTCCATCTTCGCAATGCGCATCAAGACCCAGACTGAGCTCGCAGTTGCGATCGACCGACTCCAGGAGGAACCAGAAAAACTGGCGATTCTCGAGTGCTGCATCCATCCTTCGGATATTAGCGATAATCTCTTCCGATTTGGCCAGGTTGTCAGTCAGCAACCAGCGAATCACGCTTCCTAAGCAGAGCAGAGCAATTCGGACCCAGCTTCTCTCTCGGCTGATGGACTGATGTGGAAATATATGGGACAAAATATTCAATATTAAAACCAACTGGGATCATCTTCCGGGATCTCCTTTTCATATCGTTGTTTTATCTCAGTTTCACTTTGAGTAACTTAGACTGTTTTCTCTGTTTCTCTACTATCTAGGTCGATAAATAGAAACTTTATAGAAGATTCCTTCATACTTGATTGTTCCACACTCTAACAATTTACATTATGGGGGAATGCCACAGTTTCAAGAGCAACTTCATATTGAGATTGAATTACCGTGCTATGAACTACTTCTACCTCTCTATGTATGTTCTACTATATATGTACATTGGTCTGCGGAGATCCACCCGGACACTTCACCACACCTAATAAATGCGGGGAAGAATGGGTCCCTGAATGGAGACTTGGTTAGTCTAGTAAATTTTGGGTAAATTTTAGTATAAAGTATTAGCAAGTGATGCAGACAAGTTGTGTTAGTACACCACTAGTTACGGAGTAACTACCGAGTAGTCCTTATGGAAGTTGTGTATATTAGTCAGAGAGGCAGTACATAACTAGAAGCTACCTTGGGGAAAATTCTACTCTCAGAAATGAGAACAGAATTCTACAATCTATAAAGATACACACCACTTTCCCAACACAAGTGACCAAGAATGAGATGAGTGAATGAACAAGAGGCTACAGGCCTCCTCCTCCTTACCTCCTAGGTACTCTGTATGTGTGACTGGTAGTGAGTTAACTAGCGGATGATGCTTATCGACCACTCATGTTCTCTTGCTGGAACTCTGCTGATAAATACCGTTTTTTCAAGATCTCCTGCTTATCGCTTCCTAGTTTCCCTTGGGTCCGGGGGTATCCCAAGTTCTCTCCTTCAGCGTTGTAGGACCCTGATCCCCTTCTCTTTTCCTCGTTTTGGTTGGGTTCTCCTACCCCTTGGCAAAATGCAGGGGTATTCCGCCCAGGATGTGGAGAAACAGGTAGTATATCCATTCCCTCGTCGTCATTCAAAACCTGCCCTGAATCTAGAGCCTGGTAGCTGATGGTGTGCTCCGCCTCGTTTCCTAGCCACTCTTGCGGTCTCCCACTCCTAGCGCGTCTAGGAGGCCTTCTCATTCCACATCGTCACGCCACGAGCCGCCGTCCACTCGGAGGATGTTTCGCGTATTGAGGCTCTCGCTGCTGACGACCTTGGTTTTGGGGTTGCTGGTCGTTCATCTTCCATCGGTATTTACGGCTCCGCTACACACATCAAATCGCCATTTGGAGCAGAATGGAGGTTCGCACAGCCTGGGAAAGGGTCAGACCGGTGCGGTTGCGAGTGAGAGTGCTATTTGTAGTCGGCATGGCACGGATATAATTATGAGGGGTGGCAATGCTGCGGACGCAGTAAGTTGTGGCCTTGTTGTATGTGACAGGTTGTGATACTAAGTGGTTGTGGTTGTTGTTGTTATTGTCGTGTAGATGGTTGCGACGATGCTTTGTGTCGGAGTGATTGGTATCCTATCCTCCCCTCCTTCCTCCCCGGGGCCTTCTTCTGGTGACCAACAGACTGATCAAATAAAGGAATGTACCATAGTGGTATTGGAGGTGGTGGCTTTATGCTTATCAGGTCGCCAGAGGGCGTTTTCGAGTTTGTCGATTTTCGCGAACCCGCTCCTGCTGCAGCTTTTGAAGAGATGTTCAACAACAATACTAATGCTGCAGTTTACGGCGGTTTGGCAAGGTATGATGAACCTGTAGTCCCCAGACTGAGACGGCCATATTCTAACCTTCTTTCAGTGGGGTACCAGGTGAACTGCGCGGTTTGGAATACTTACATGCAAAGTACGGTTCGCTTCCGTGGTCAGTGGTTGTCCAGCCTGCCATCCAGACGGCCCGATATGGATTCCCTGTGGGTGCAGATTTAGTTCACTACATGGATTCTGCCGTTGGAAGCGGCGAGGATTTCTTAGTCGAGGATCCATCATGGGCGATCGATTTTGCTCCCCATGGTACTCGAGTTAAACAGGGGGATATCATGACCAGGAAACGTTACGCCAATACCCTTGAAGCTATTGCAAATAATGGTGCCGATGCCTTCTACGAGGGACACATTGCAGAAACGATGATTCAAGCTCTTCGAGCGGCGAATGGCACAATGACGCTGGAGGATCTTCGCAACTATACGGTTGCTATCAGGGAGGTTGCACAAATCGATTACCGCGGGTTTCAAGTCGCAAGCAGCACTGCTCCATCCAGCGGGGTTATTGCTTTGAATATTTTGAAGGTCTTGGATACATATGATCCCCTTTTTACTGCGGATAATGTCAATCTTAGCACTCATCGAATGGATGAGGCGATTCGCTTTGGATACGGTCTGGTGGGTAACTCGCCTCATGTTCTGGTTATCGCTGTTACTGAAGTCAAGGACCTAGCGAACAAACCTAGGTGACCCTCTCTTCGTCAAAGGAATGGATGAGTATCAGAAGAAGATCCTCGAGATGTCAACCATCAGCGAAATTCGTGCAAAGATTTCAGACCTAACAACACAGAACGTGTCTGTATACGACCCGGCTGGAATTGAAAGTCTAGAAACGTGAGTTCCTTGGTCTCTTGTCGCCCCCCTTGAGCCGTGTATAACCATGTGTCTCCAGCCCAGGAACCTCGCACATTACAACCATCGATCATTCAGGTCTTGCAGTCTCTGCTATCACCACGATAAACCTCCTCTTTGGGAACCAAATCATGGTTCCTGAAACTGGAATCATTATGAATAACGAAATGGACGGTGAGTAAACCTTGAATATTGCTAATATTTACAATCTTTCTAACTCTCCGCCAGACTTCTCCATTCCCGGCTCCTCTAACTCCTTTGGATACGTTCCCTCAGAGGCAAACTTCATCCGACCCGGAAAACGGCCGCTGTCGTCGTGTACACCAGCAATGGTCACCCATCCCAATGGAACTGTCTTCTTCGTGACAGGGTCCGCCGGCGGAAGTCGAATCATCACCGCCACGGTCCAGAACATCATTCACGCCGTGGATGAAGGTTTATCCGCCGCTGAAATCCTCGCCAAGCCACGTCTACACGATCAATTGATTCCCAATCAGGTCGCTTTCGAGTACGCCTACGATAATTCGACAGTGGCATTTATGAAATCCCGCGGCCACAATGTCACCTGGATGGAACCGGGAACTAGCACCGCTCAGGCGATTCGCGTTTTGCCCAATGGGACCTTTGATGCAGCTGGAGAACCCAGGCAGCTAGACTCTGGAGGTTTCTCGGTTTAACGTCCTGCTTTACAAGCTCTTTTTTTTTTTTTTCCAATTTATACATCCACGGGTTAGAGGTAGATTTTAGGATCTTCGAAGACCCTAGAGGTAAGATATATATATATATATATTCATGGATATAGGTAGATAGATAAATAATGATAAAACATGATATTTATGAACGCTAGTTAGGTCTGCTAATGTTGTCCCCAGGAACTACGTAGGGCCGGCAAGAATGGAATACGCGAACCATCCTCGAGCCTGGTCCGTGCGTTGCTCCTGAAATCGCGTGAAATAAATTTCCTGGCAAGCTGGATGTTCTTCCAGTCACTACCCACCTTCTTAAAGTCAATCTTGTTCATTTTCTCTTGGATCTTGGAATAATCTGCTGACCTTGTACAGCTGAAATTGCTTCATCTAATTTCTTTAAATTGGAATATGTCTTTCTACCCTTGGACTTGACTCCACACCTGATGTAGCTTGACCTGTCACAAAGCTACTGGGGGAGAGGAGTTTTGGATCTAAGGTACTTGCGTGTTTCTCTTGTGAGTGAATATCTTAGTGACAAACAACAATAATAATAACAATGGACTGCCACTGATGTACTTGCTCGGTGTGTTAGTCCATAAGCCCTATGTTTTTGGGGGGTTCCTTTTTTGCCTTTTTTTTTTTTTTTTTTTGCTTTTAAGCAATGACTTTCCACAACACCTTCAAATTTCCCCTGGACCACAAGAGCTCACTCAGCATACCCACCAACCATCAAAGTCTCTGGGGCTCACAACCAAGGAGAGAAACATCTGCCTGGCAGACAATTTCGCCCTAGCGATAATCTGGAACAGAATGGACTCTGACTCCGCTTCTGTTGTCTTGCCTTCGCTTTCCGTTGCCCGGAATGTCTACCACACCTTTGATGAGGAGCTGTACCAGCGCACCGTGGACGAGATACTCTCCGACGAGACTAGTTTCGATACTAGCTTTGACGAATACAGCGGATACCAGACAATGGATGGCTCTGCGGACGCGAGGTCGCGCGAGAAGGACGAATATGCTGCTGCCTCTTGGAAGGGCTCCTGGCATACAAAGAAATCGCCTTATTTCTCGACAGCATCCCCGGCATCCTCCTCCTTTGCTTCTGCGTTGAAACCCAAGAAATCCGTGAAGAAGCCGTCTGCCATGACGAAGAGGTACATCACGAAGGTCGAGACCACTGATGACGATGAAGCGGAAGATCGATCCTTTCTTCTGACCAAGAAAAACCCCTCCGCTTCTGCACTGACAATCAGTGACCCTGCTCTGGCCTTCGCTTATGACCATGAATATATGAAGAATGTTGTCGAGGAAGATATCGTGTTTGGTTCTGTTGATCCAGATAAACGAGACCAATTGCTCCAGTTCATTGCAGCACACTCTTTCATGCGCAAACACAAGTACCCTGTGAAGCGTTCTACGCGGCGCAAGTTCATCCAAGACCTGAACAGGGAGGCTACGTCGAGTGGGTTGGATCAGGCTACTCTTGATAGATTGAGACAGCATGTCAAGAAGACTTATCTTGAGCTCTTTGGGACCAATGCTGTTTATCGCGAAGGGTCGGAGTTTGGTGATGAGATCGACGGTACCTCCAAGCGTAAGGCGAAGTTCGAGAAGTGCAAGGAAAGCCCGAAGGACAAGCAACCTAACATCAAGGAGATGACCAAGTCGTTAGCCAAAAACATGAAAAATGTCTCCGATCTAGCCATGCCAAAGCCTGACAATGAACTAAGCAGCGCTTCGAAGGGCAAAGGCAAGAGCAAGCTCCTGGAACCTAGGAACGCGCTGAAGCGGAAGCAAGGCAATGATCAAGAACCGAGGAAGAAGTCTCGCAATCTCCATGGTAAGTGGGATTCATGTTCAATGCTTATCACTACCCCCTGCAGACTTATTATGATGAAATATTTCGGATGTAAACTCACAGACCTGTTCCGAATTGCGCATTTCAATCGTGTGGATATTTCCGTTGCCTTCCTTCTGAACCATCTCTACCCCGTTCTTTCTACATATTTCCTAAAATTAGAGTTGGACAATGGCTAACTTGGAGTAGTGGGCCTGAAGGCTGTTTCTAAGCCTGACAGCCATGCAAGCAAAGATGTCATTGACCTTGATTACGAAAGCCCTCCTCGCCAATATTTCCTCTCCGGTCGTGGTCATCCCAGCACGCCTGTTATTGATTTGTCTATCGAGCATGGGAAGGACAAAAGCTCATCGGCTTCCTTGAATGACAAATCAGTAGCTGCTGACCCAAAAAAAAGACAAAAGAAAAACTTCCAAAAAAGGCGAAGGAAGAAACGAGGCCAAAATAACCTCCCAACACAGGCAACGAATGCAAAGCGCCTGAGCGAAAACGGAATGGCTTCTTCCAATCCCATTCTGTTGGATTTTTAACAGCCAATGATTCGCCGAGTTCAACCACCAGCGATGAGGCGAATTCAAAATATTTTATCGATTCTAGTGGTATCAAGTCAATTAAACTGCCGAACAAGGCAGTGGTTCGTGACGATAATGCAACCGATGACTTTACCCTGCCCTCAACCCCTGGAGCATCCAATATAACAGGGCAGACGGGGCTATCCAACTTCTCTTCCGATTCGACTTTGACTGATGTCGTCAACTCAGAAGCTTTTCGTAACACTAAAAATCCTGAAAAGATAGCAGAAAGCTTAGGTTATAAAGTTAGTCAGTTTGATCATAAGTCTCTTCATACGAAAGCACACACTCCACCTCCGCTTGGGATTTCCTCGAGTCGACCGGCGGCTACTGCTCAAAAAAGATCTCGTCTTACTTTCCCCAAAATATCTCCCTACTTTCCAGAACCCCTGGTTGATCCTAATTCATGTCTCCCCTTCCCGCCAATCGATGTCCCCAGTTTCGGGTTGGTCCAGGAGCAGCTTGCACACGATCCATTTCGCCTACTTCTTGCTACCATCTTCCTCAACCGTACACGCGGTGGCGTTGCCCTGCCAGTTTTATTTCAAGTTTTCGATCGCTTCCCAACAATCGAGGATATGGCCGCAGCCAACCCACCAGAGCTAGTATCTATGATCCACTGTCTAGGTTTCCAAAATCAACGCGCGAAAAAATGCATCACCCTGGCGCAGACCTGGCTAGCCCGTACCCCCGCATGCGGGAAGCGGTACCGCAAACTCAATTACCCAAACAAATACGACGGCAGGGATGTCAAACCAGGAGAATGCATCGGCGATAATGATCCGCGCGTAGCCTGGGAAATCGGCCATCTTCCTGGCGTCGGCGCTTACTCGTTGGACAGCTGGCGGATTTTCTGTCGCGATGAGTTGCGGGGTTTAGCAAAGGATTGGAAAGCGGGTGGTGCCACGACGGCTGCAGAATCTGCTGGGTTTGTTCCCGAGTGGAAGTCTGTGCTGCCGCAAGATAAGGAACTCAGAGCTTATCTGACGTGGATGTGGCTCAAGGAAGGTTGGATCTGGGATCGACATACGGGGGAGAGGACAAGGGCGAGCGAGAAAATGATGCGGGCTGCGCGACGTGGAGCAATTGCTCACATCGAGGAAGGCAATTGGGTGTTGGAAACGTCACCAGTGAAGCGGGCTATTTAGCTGCCTTGCAACAATTACATTGACCAGTTGGCTTGATATGGAGTTATACTGCACTTCTAATCCTGTTAACTGCCCTTTTCTGGTTGTGTTGTCACGCTATGCACAATCAATATCATCCACGGGAGTTTATCACTATACGCTAGATCATCCTGAGAGCTGCAAATTCAGCATACTGTTCCTGTACCGAGGTAGCAATAGCATCAGGTCAATTGAAGCCCTACTACAGTTATGGACCACAACCCCTATTCCAACATTCCAATCTTAATGGTATCTACAGTTGCCCGCCTTTGTTGTGGTAACCTTGGAAAAGATCTTATATAGATAGGTACTTTGATCAGATTCTTCTTCAGAATATCCTATTTCTTTCAAGTTATTAGCCCCTTTTTCATGGTATAGTAATGAAAGCACTTGAAAAACGTTCGGGGAAGCTATTTTATATATACCTTACACAGTCACGTGCGAGAGTTCTATCTCACATGACCATCGTAGCGTTTTACTCCCTAAAATCAGGCAACTCAGTCTCGACCAAGTCCAACTTCACGACCAGCATCATCCAAATCCTGTCTTTCAATTCGTTTCGTATTCCATCTTAAAATCTTCTTTAACCCCATCCGACTCGAGTCTTTCCCCAAGTCCTTTTGGTCGGGTTTCCATGCAGCACCACGTCACCCCACTAGTCGCCCTTATCCTCGTTGGAGTAAACCTCACTATTTTCGACTAAACGGGTCCCAGCGGGGGTTCGCCTCGTCCCTCTCCTACCGCAAAAATCCTTCGTCTATTCGACGACCCATCCATCGCTCCCGATGCACAGTTCCTGAATCCTCCACCTCTTTGACCCTTCAGTGATTGCCTTTTCGATCCTTTATCAGCCGCCTCTCTCCCTCCACTGTCCTCGCCCTGCCCTCGCCCCGTCACGGGATGTCGCATGACTCTAAACATAGTTATTGGTGGATTGATATAAGCGCCTAGCTGTGAATTGGACCAGTGAGAACTGCGGTCTTTGACCTCCTCTAAGCGCCAGCCGAGAACAAGCATACCTCGAACACGATACACACCACTCGGAGTATCGGCTCAAATCGTTCATCGACTTTCCAACTCCCCTTCCCGCTGTGGCACAACTCTCCTCTCGATGAGGTCTTTTAGCGGCTGCCTTGGCGGGTTTTATCGTTAAAATCTACGAGGTAACTAGACGGATACACACAAAAATCGAACCGAAAACAGGGAAGAAGGGCCTGAAAAGGAAGAAAGACAACAATTCATTTGTCGTCTTCTCTCACTTCTATCCCATCGACCTCATTTCGAGCCCATTCCACAAGTCATGTTTCTACCCTTGAGACTAAATGACCGAGATCGTAACAGGGACCGGAACAGAAAAATCTCCTCATCCTCATCTACTTCTTCAAAAACAAAGCATCGTCACCACCGCTCATCTATAGGACGACCCAGCCAGCCCTCGACCAAGGAACCAGACGATTTCGACCCCCCCTCGGCCCGTTCCTCCACCCTTTCCGCCTCCGCTTCCAAGTCCCGTAAGCAACGTCGGTCCTCCATGCCGGGCGTCGACAGCGCCAGCCGGCCCGTTACGGCATCCTTCCTCGAGTCGCGAACCAGTCTACCGTACCCTACGTTTTCTAAGGCTCATAGCAGAGAGGCTGTTACCAAACCAGGCATCCCTACACCCGATCCAACCGACCTGACCGAGAAACCCCAGGAGGACGAGACCAAGTCCGAGACCCAGCACCAGTCCTCCGATACCCAAAATGCGCCCCCCAGCCCCCCATTGACAAGCGTGGATCAGCATTCGCGCAAGGGAAGCACGGTCGGGGATAAAGAAGAAAAGTCCACCGAGAAGCCAAAGGATGGGAAAACTAAAATTCGTATCAAGGCAGAAATAAATCGGTCATCGTCAAGCCTGCGTTCGAAAAGGGACGATTCCAGCAAGACAAGCAAAGCTGTACGACCAGAAACCCCTAAATCAAAACGCTCAAGTTATGAAAAGGACACGCCATCGCGCACCACCAGTCACAAAGCCTCCAAATCAAAGCTGGATGATAGCACTGTTCATCGTAAGCGGTCGCCTACGAGTGCCGCAGTATCCCCACCTCGGTCTCCTGCAACGGTTCGCGATGCTGGCTTAGAATCCACTAACGGCTCTGACGCAACCATCGCAGCTCCCCACCAGTCGACCACTTCTAGAAGAGTCAGGAGCCCAGAAAAACCTCCATCTCGCAACCAAACACGCTCATCTACGTCTCATCGCCATGTTTCTGGAAGTCGAACGCCCCTCGAGATTGCGATGGAATATGGCCGGCCACCGACTGTAGGCTCTGCATATGGTACACCCCCACCGCCGCCGCCTCCACCAGAGATGCCTCTTTCTATTCCCCGTGTCGACTACCTACTCCAGAATGGAGGGCTAGAGCAGCAAGTACCAAAAGCTCTTCTCTTGGGCGCCGGGTTAGCTGATACGCAGCCTCATCTCCCATTCCAGCCTCATCTTGCCGCGGGCAAGGTGTTTGAGCCATTCAATCACCTTCTTGACAAGTACCAGAGTGTTATGAATAAGAACGGATCCTTAGCCGTCGCGACGGGGTATCGATCTGTAGCTCGCCGCCTCCTCGACCGGTTGGAAGCGGTTTTCGCCCGCGACATTTCATCCGAGTCATGCAATTGTTTGATGTGTGAGAGTGAGCATTTTGAGGATCTTCCGTCCGGGGTGAGCTGGGGTGAAGTATTGGAGTTGGTATCCGGTCGTCGCGAGCTTCCTCGGTGGCCACCTTTCATTTTAACAACCGCCGTCAATGATGTGGACCTGTCCGGTGATGAGCACATCCCCATGCAAAAGATGGACATCGACGTCCCAGAAGAGTATCGCGAGCACTTTCTTCGACAGTCGCGCAAGACAAAAGTTGCTGTTGACAGGTGGTTAAACGAGCAGGTGGATCAACCCACAAGTGCACCAGAGGAGGTGGATGATGAGACTTTAACCTTTGCTATGCTAACACACCTTGGCACGGAACAAAGACCTCTCTTCTGTTCGTTGTTGGGTATTTCGTCAACATCACCAACCCCACGTCCAGATGGAGAGCCTCGACCACGACCCCCTGCGCTCGTCTCGTCATCATTCGCTATCCAACGGCTTTATCGGCTTGGATCTACTCCTCGAGATCCCGAGACAACAATGTATATGCTCAGCAACCCAGGAATTCATCATGTTCTGGCCACTCTCGCAGCTATTAGTGACGATGAGTGGGACATTTTGATTTCGGGTCGCTTTGACGGGTTCCTTCGCAGCGGCGCAGAGGACGCTTTTGCCGCCAATGGCCCAGCACCGACGCGCTGGGGTAGTAGCCGCTCAACTACTCCCTATAGCCCTGGAAGAATGTCTCGCGGCCCAACTCCGAACGCTATGGATCCAAATTACAGACCGACAAGCCAACCGTTCGGCGGGACAGGGTCCCCGGCATCTTTTGGTGGACCGATTGCCCTCGATGAGGAGATGGAAATTGCGGCTCTAGCAGAGGTCGAGAGAGACATATACGCCGGCATGGAAGCGCTAGAGGACGCCTTCGAGGCGCTCCATCTCAAAGCAGAAGCTGTGCGTTTAGCCCTCCGAGAACGCGGTGCTGGATTGTCAATTGCAAACCAAAACCGCCGGGGATCATTCGTAGAGGCTCGACTGGGTACTCCTGCATCCCAGTATCCATGGGAAAGTGGCACCGACGACGATTTCCTGGATGACACTCAATCTCTCGCTCCGGATGACTCAGCCAGCAACATCAGCTCGAACCGACGACGTCGACCGAAACGACGCACCGAACGTCGAACTCCAGCCCCTGTTGAAGAAGAAGACGAAGATGAGGACGGCTCCCACGCCGGCCGACGAGACGGTCGCGGGTCGCGGAGGAGGTAAAATCAATATCATTTAATCCAGCGTATTTGCCGCTAGGATAATTTGATTATTTTTCTCATTGTCTTGTTAAACAATCATATCACTATATTCCTGGGGTTATCCTCTTTTTCTTTTCTTTTCTTTTCTTTTCTTCGGATCTTTCTTTTTTTCTGTCTCATTTTGTTTCTTTCCATCTCTCCTGTTCAGCATTAACGACGCTTAACGAACGAATTGAACCATGAACGGCATGAAATAAGACCCTAAGCACATATCTCCTCCCTCCTTATTGAATAATACGACTAGAGCTGGTTTGGTTTGTACATGAGTAGATTGGCATCATATCACCACTGTGCACATTCTGTGTTATTAATGTCATTTCACCATTGCCATAAATATACCATATCTTCTTGCTTAGCCTGCAGGTTAATTTTCCAGCTTTCTGCGTGTTTCCTTGCAAGTTGCTGTACATTTTGTTCAGTGTAGTTCTTCAAGCGGGCTTGGATGGCACTGATATCAGCTCTGGACTCCAGGCTCCAGGCTCTAAGTTACAATCACAGGTTATGGCTTTGCACTTGCTAGGGGGAGGTACTGATTTCTCTGTAAGATATTCCTGGCTATAGACTAAAAGGGGTACTTGAGGGCTGTAGATGTAGGAATAACATTATCGAGAGGACAGTCCTGTATGTTGCGTATACTCTACAACCAGTCTTTGTGAAATGGTGGGCGATGCGCGTGGTTTACCTCAACAATCAAAGGCAGTGCAAAATCAGCTATACCTTCGACTCGTGTATATATGAAACTCGCCAGGATTGCTACTCCTTGAGTCAGTTGTTAGATGGAATGATCCATTCAAGGCTGTCTACTACTCTACCACTAGTGCTAGTAATGTAGTATGATCACATATATATCTGTATATATATATATATATATATATATGTAGAACTCAACCAATCAGCTTGTTCGGAGTCCTCCGAGTCAATTAATTAACTAAAGACATTCATAGTAGTTAGCACTACCCTACTTACCTACACTAATGCACTTACACTACTGTATGGACTACGGGTAGCGGGTAGCTAAAGAAGAAAGAAAGAAAGAAAGAAAGAAAGAAAAATGGATAAAGCCAGCCCGGGGCAACTAAGTTTAGAATCTAGGACTCCTCCATCTGCACGAATAGATCTCGGAGTTTCATCCTTTCTACGCAGCACATACAGAGATGGAATTCCACTGGGTTAACTGTAGCAGGTCCCCTAGGTACTTAAGATAAGACAAGACGAGACAAGCAGGACTAGAAAGCTTCAGAGGTTCCGATTCGAATTCGAGTTCGAGTTCGTATCTCTTCTCTCGTATTAGCGGGTGACGTGACGTTTACTAGTACTCTGTAGGATGCGTAAAGAGCCTACCTACGGAGTAGGAAATCTAATTTAATGCCTACCATAGGTACTTTGTATTGGCAGGGCAGTGTTATCTGAAGGGATGTATTCCGGTATCACTGATTGCCTGGGGTGTGCTTGGTCTTCTTGGGGGAGGGACGGGGAGAAGATGAGATGGTATGACATACATGAAGAATCACGGAATTCATGTTGCAGAGGAGAAGAAACGACGACAGAGAAACGGTGGAACTTGAGACTCTGCACTCTTGAGTCTTGACTCAGGGAAAGAGTAGAAGAGGGCAGCTGCGAAACAAGACGAATCAATGGGGCCGTATTCTGCACTAAATGGACCAGGAAGTATATCGTTGTCAATATTGATTGCATTAATTCACTCGTTCTTCTTCTTCTCTGGGGCGGTTTATTTATATCTGGTCTTATTCGCTGCCTCGGAAAGCACCCATAAGAATGGAGGAATGAATGGTTCGGCTGGAAACTGATGGCCAAAAATTGCTAATGTATAGGAGTAGGATGCACTCCGCCGAAAGCTACGGCTCGCGACTGGGGGCCGATGGGACTTTGCACTTTACAGCGTAAATAGCTGATCCCTCTGCAGGGCCTTTACCCACTTTAGCTGTTAGCTAGCCTATGGCGTTTCAGCTTCCCAGGGGCAGAGTATTGGCATCTTGAAAAGTTCTCGCATTCCTGTACATACACCAGCTCACAAGAATAGCATCTTGCACGATCCAGCCCCTTGCTTGTCAGTGTGGAACAGGGGCGGAAACATTCGACCACAAACATGATTCGGATCAGGGCAAGATCTGAGGAGAATGAAAGTTCCAGAATTCTGACGCCGTAGCAAAACGGGCTGGGTTGTGGTCTGAATCGCAAAATCATATGCCGAGGGGGCTAAAATGGGACCCATCACCCTAGCCCTATCCAATAAGTCTGTGGAGATGTTGACTGTAAGGGAACCATAGCGCTAGTTCTATTCCGATGGCCAATCTGAAAGTGTTCTGGCCAAGGACTTCAATGGACCGACATATGGGCTTGAAAGCCTTGGATTCCAGGAATCATCAGTCGGCTTGCGAATGAAGGCGCAGATATGTGAACGTGAATTATGAGATTAGCCGGGCGAAGCCAAACCGAAGGCCTAAAGAAAGACGGTGATTCTCATGGTTCAGAGCTGTACCTGATTTGAAAAAGCTCTCTATTCGAAAGAATACTAGGATCAGAAAAGACGATGATCATGATTCATGTTGTTCAATGCTGTCGGCCTTCACTGATTTGATGAGGCTCTATCCTAAAGAGTACTAGAATCAGAAAAGACGATGGCCATGACTCATGTTGTTCGATACCGTAATAGCAGTTATGGCACGCCTTTATCCTAATGCGTGTTAAGGATCAGAGGAGACCACGGGAGAGTGGAAATTTCAACCGAGACACCAAGCTACCGGAGTGCCTGGGTTGAGTTTGTCTCATCCTGGCAGGGTTTCTGTCTTGCCTGCAATCATATCAAGTTGTCAACTCGGCAAAGTCAACGGCAAAGTCAACGGCAAAGGGGGTCTCAGGGTCCTATTTCACGTCCGCTGCTGTCCATTCCTCTTTGGTACTGTCGCGGAGATATCGACGGATCAAGATTGAGATTGAATTGGTAGTCCATCATCCTAACTTCCCGTGGGATGGTCATCATTCGATGATGGATAAGCCTGTAACCCAAGGGTAATAAATGACCATATGGCGAATAAAGGAGAATATGGCCGGGAAAACGGCAATGCCGAAATTTTGGTCGTACCTTGAGCAACTTGGGATATCACTTCTCAGTTCTCGAAGATCAACCGCTTCACAGTGGTTTGCTGGTTCATGATGGCGGTTGAGCAGTTCAAAAGCTTCTTCAATGAATCCAGATCAGGCAGATTACACCGGACTATTGCCGTCGTAATATTTTCCCAATCGGCTGGGTAAAGAAAGACCGCCTTTTTCTCCCTCGTGGTGTAAGCGTCTGTGCGAGGATCAACTGCAAAACCCACTAGGAGGAGCACTAAGAGAGAAAGGGAAAGTCTCCAAGGAGGACGGGCTATTTTCTCCTCCGTATAGTGTGGAGAATGCTAACGCGAGAACAATCAAATTCCAAAGCCTGGGAATAAAGCAACAGGATCTGCAGACTTATTTGGTCCAGGTTTGCCCACCCAAACTAACGGCATACCGGGAAACTGAATCAGGGGGGAATCCAAAGAGATGTCATGCTTGAATCTCTGGAAATTGTACCCAACTAAATCACCATGGATTCAGGTCGGGGCTGTTTTAAGAGAGCTTGATACAATCCTACATAGTTTTATGTATATCGTAAGACCCGTCCATCCATACCTAGCTACGCAGACCAAACATGGGTGGTTAAGCGGGGGTTACACGCGGAGGGCAGGGTGTGTACTACATAACTACGGAGTACTGCTACATAGGAAAACTCCGTTAAGCTAGATCGTGTTTTCCCTCGAATTTTTTTTTTTTTTGAGGGAGGCTTTTCATTGCTTTTCATTGGCGTATGCCGGGGATAAATCCCTACGTCGAGATCCCGTGTGGAACTCGAGGACGCGGATAACCTCCTTGACCGTTGACGGAAAGTAGTATGGATTGCTAGGAGGATGGCAATGTAGCCTGTTGACGTGGTAATGATATGGAAAGAACAAAGAACATCGTCAACGATCTGAGTCTTAGAGTTAAAATTATGATGAACAATGGTCTGGGAAATGGAGCTGACCTTTCAGGAGGAGTTATTGGAGTCCAAGTCAGCCGTTTCATTTGGACTGGGAGTCTGTTCTATTAGGATCTGGTTACCTAACTAACTAACTAACTGACAATCTGTTGCTTTTCCCTTATGCAGTAGTCGTTTTTATCAACGGAGGTATCAAGGTGGGCTTCAGTTAGGGCTAAGTCTGTCCTGTCAACGTCTACACTAACCAGACAGCATGGCAGAAAATTACCCACCTCTGCGAAGCAATCTGTCTCCTACCTACCCCCGGCTCAAATAGTAATGAATAACCCCTTCTTACATGCATGGGAAAAAGGTGCTCCCGTTCTCTCCCCTTTTTTTTTCCGGCAGCGCGGACTGGCACGGTGATGACCCGCTCCGTGTCCATCACAGAATGTGTCCGGCGGTTCATAGCGCACACAGAGATAGTAGAAGAATTTTTGAAGAAGGTAGGAGATTTTAGCCGGAACCTTATGGTGGGAGTTTTTCTGCTCTTCATATTTTTTACGGAATATAGAATCCTGTTCCTGAAGATGGGGACTTGAGAATTATCGCAACGACTTGTCCTAAAACAGGATATGATCCGGTCGGTACCTTTTACCTCAGAACTACTTGATCAGCAAGGAGGGTCTCAAAACCATAGTGGGCTTCTGGAATAACGGACCACTCTGATCTGGTGCTTCTGTGATTGGAGAACTTGTAGGTTCTACACTTGCGGGTGGTTATGTGCAACTGTGTGGCTCTCTGGAGACCCGAGACCACCAAGGCCCACGCAGTCAGCCAGCTGGAGGCAAGTTTTTGATCTGAGCCGTTGCTCATCCTACCTCCTCTCCATACGCACTATGCTCCCTTGCGAAGGCGCTCCAGCCGACGACGGGGTTTTTTTTCCTGTTCTAACAGAACCCCCCCAACCCCCCCCCCCCCTACCCATCATGACACTCGGAGATTGGGGCAACTGACTTCACCCCTGCAGTTTCCGCAGTTCATTCCCTGCCAGTTTGGCGTTATGTTATTTCTACACCGTAAACTAATGACAAGGATACTAATGGTCGACCTGAAATGGCAGGTTACGTGGGCGATGGACCCTCTGAACGGGGCAGGGACTAAACGCTTTTCTGGTGTCTCTTGCCACCTTTCCTTGCCTCGAGGATTTGATGAACGGTTGTTACTAGGCTAGAGACATTTCTGTCGAGAATCATTCATGTTGTACCCCAAAGAATTTTCCTTCCAAAAACTCCCCTTCGCCTTCTCAGGAGCCCGGGTTGGGATCGTCCCTCGGCTCTCTTGACTTCGGACATATCCTGTTACTGCTGGCTCGATCCACGGCACCTGGAATCTGGTATGCCTCGTGGTTTTATCGCCTTGGATATGAACCGGGCAAACTCAAAATCATTCCAGGTACAACCGTTGCGGCTATGATATATAGAACCCACTACTATTGCCTGTAGTCGTTCAATCCCTATCCTTTTCTGGTTAAGACCTCTCCCATCCAATAGACTAGATTTTTTCTTTTTCTTTTTTCTTAAAAAAAAAAAAATTTAAGATTTGCTTTGCCTGTTTTCTTCGCTAGCCCTTCGACAATCCGCTTTTTTCATTTATGATAGCTGCCGGTTCCTACCCACCACCCTTTTCCCAAAAAAAACCAGAGGTGAGGGGGCAAATTTGCTTTGCTCATTCAGCCTTGAAATTACCATTAGTCCCCTACTTTGAACTTGAATATTCAAGTTTTCAGAGACACTACATTGGGGTGCGTGGTCTTCATACTGACAGGGTAAGCCCTCTCGGATCATGGTTGCGGTGCCTGCAGGCTTTGTACGACACCGGAACTTTCGACAATGAACATTGTGCAGGGTTTCAGTTCCCGATGGGGTGAAGATGGTAAAAGTGATGCCCTCTCACCTCGAATGGCATATATGGATGGGGATACTGGGTCGCTTGATGTCAATCCACTCCCGGGGAACCACCGCAAAGGGCTCATCGCGGTCTTCATTATGGCCATCCTCTCGATAATTACTACTCTGGTGTTAATTTCCTTCATCACATACCGCCTGGTCTTCTGGCGCTCAAGCTACAAACGATACATCGGCTACAATCAATACGTCGTCCTCATCTTTAACCTTGTTCTTGCCGACTTTCAGCAGTCTCTAGCGTTCTTGATCTGTATCAAGTGGTATGCGGACAATAAAATCGAAGCATCGACATCAGCTTGCTTTCTCCAAGGATTTTGGCTGCAGATTGGAGACCCAGCGAGTGGAATCTTCGTCCTCGCCATCGCATTCCATACCTTCCTTATAGTTGCGTTGGGTCAGAAAATGAGCCATCGGGTGTTCGTTGCATTTGTGGTTGGTCTCTGGGCGTTTATTGCGGTCCTCGTCATCATTCCACTGGCGGCCCATGGACGATATGTCTTTGTTCCATCTGGTGCTTGGGTATGTCTCTGTGTGCCATTCCTCTTTCCCCCAGCCTGTGATGCTAAACCCTGCCCTTAGTGTTGGATCAGCGAAAAGTACGAACCCATACGCCTTTGGACACATTACCTGTGGATCTTCTTGGCCGAGTTTGGTACAGTGTGTCTATACGCAGTCCTGTGGTTCCAGCTCCGTCAACGCATCAAGCAGTCTGCTATCCTGGGAAGCAGCCATTTGGAAAGTTTAAAACGCCTCCGTCGGGTTGTTGGATACATGGTGATCTATCCCATCGCGTATATTATCCTGTCACTCCCTCTTGCAGCGGGTCGTATGGCAACAGCGCAAGGGAAAACGCCAAGTATAGTTTACTTTTGTATTGCCGGGGCATTGATCACAAGCTCCGGCCTGGTCGATGTTTTGCTTTATACCCTGACTCGAAAGAATCTGATCCTAGAATCAGAACCGAGCGCTGATCGCAGTTATAATCGATTCACCAGCGGCAACGGCAAGAATCGTGGAGCCGATACCCATCTGGCTACTATCACTGCGGATCCTAAACATTTGCGGACGGATATCAGCGTTCTCCAAACAAGGCAAGACGGTGATGAAGACGATTCACCGCACGGCTCGACAGACAACATTGTCCAAAACTCTGGCGGCATAGTGAATTCCATGGGCAAGGTGTACCAGCATACTACAATTGAGATTACCTCCGAGCCTGCATTTCCTTCTAGCCCGGGTGCCAGTGACCGATCGAGTCGAGACACGCTGCGGCCTAGGGGAAACAACTCTGGACCGGCAGTGGGCATGTGGGGGAGGTGACAATGTTCCCTGATGAATCTCTATTTTTTTTTTTTATGTTTAAATCTTTGGAAACTCACCACGCCTTTTTTTTTTTTTTTTTTTTCTTTTTTTTCCCCCTATCTTTTTGGGGGGAGCTCTGGCCTCCCCTCTCGCGGCCGATCCGCACCGCTTATGCTTGATTTCATTGAGATCATATATGTTTAATTGATGCCCCAAGCTCTGAAGCTTCTGATCATTCTTCAACGACTTCCTTTCACGTCTCGCTGGCTGATTGTTTAGGAGTTGGCAAGCAACAGAAATGGCTACAATGTATATATAACATGCACACTTTCTTTTCTTCCCCAACTCTTTGTGTCCATACAATACCCTATATTGATTTCACTGTCTCTCTCTTCTTCCCTTCCTTGTTAAACTACCAAGAAAGATACCCAACGCTGGCAATGAATTGTTTGAATGGGGATATTCCTCGTACTCCTGTGTTGAGGGAACTCGATTCCTCTTTTAGACGTCTTGTTTCCGTACTCAATATCTAGAACTATTATTATCTCATTTCTAAGTTTCCTTCTCTTTTGAGAGTTCTCTAGTTTTCTCTAGTTTCACCTTTCGACCTCATCAAACTCTCAAGGCTCCTCCTATACTCAATATACCAATTCATGAAAATAATGACTCTTATCCCCCCTTGCCTGTAGACCCCACTAGTGTGACCCAGCGTGAAGATTCTTGGAACCCAATACTGGGGAATCCCAGTCTGGCCACCGGTCATACTCCGTAGGTCCCACAGGTCGTCAGACTAAAGCGACGAGAGCGGAGAGCCTTAGAGGGAAACGTTGCGAAATGGGGGACCACACGGCAGATGGAAGAAACCCCCACACACCCACCCACCGGAGATCATTGCGCGGCAGTTGAAATTGACCCCTTCTCCCGAGGGTTTGAAAGGGGTCATTGTACTCCGTATTGAACAGTAGTATATATAGCGTCGATCAAGCAGTGGACAGGTCATATTATGTATGCGAGGGAACGCCTTGGACTCTCCGTGGACCTGACGGGCATACATACCTAATGGCACCGATGAATGCAATGGCCCAGGAAAGCGGGTGAAGCTTAATTCCAAAGGTTATCGATCGCTTGTCATGATTATTTGGATGTGATGTATCCGTTTTATTATTATTATCGGGGTTGTTAATGGGCATTGTGGCGGTCGTACCGTATCAAGGCTGATCCTTTTACTCGTCCAGGTACATACATACCTAGCTAGGTACAGGGACGAAATATAGACGGGATTTTGATCGAACTCAGGGCAGCTCCGCGACCCACCGTGCACTGCTTGTCAATAATATTGAACGGGATTCGCGTGTGTGCGGGATTTGATTTCAGCCCGCCACGCAAGCTTTTTAGGATCATCCCTTCTGTTCTGAAGCTGGTCGCGCTGTTTGTGATTTGCGCAATGGAATCAACCCATGTATCTGGGGTCCTGGAGAATGGGCCTCGCTAATCTTGGTAGATGAAGTCACACGAGCTAAAATTCTGCATGGTTAGAGTAGTCGAGATGTATAAAACATTCCGATATTCTGATGGTTTTTTTATCTAATTTTTGAGTGTCATTGATTACAATGAATGGATGATAAGTTTCAGCATTTAGTTACGGAGTACATTCACTTAGATATGTTAGGTCCTCTTTCATCCATCTTCTATTCCCGCTAGACTCTCTCTCTCTCTCTATCATACTCGAAAAGGACGCCCGCACCACTCAAAAGCATAACAAGATAAATACAGAGTATGAACCGCTCACAGTATCGAACCCATGTACTACTCTCTGTCTCTCCTAAAACCAAAACATCCCTCCATTCTGCTCGAAGAAGTAAATCATCTCTGTGCAGTTTGAACCTCCTGGTACATATCCAGCATCTGCTGCCTCACCGACCTCGCTAACGGCCAGACTTTCCCAAGCGCGTTCAACGCCCCAATGCCCAATTGAACCCTCACCTTAAGCGACTCGCGCTTTCCGGGGCCCGAAGCCACTAGTCCGGCGGCCGTGTGCACCACTACACATATAGCCAATGCGCAGGTGAAAAACGGCGACCGGAACTGGATGGAGCTAGGGAGCGTGGCGAGGCTAGAGAGCAGGTCTGCGGCCCGGAGGAGCTTGTGGGAGTGAAGATCGAAATTGGGATTGGCATTGGCATTTGGGGCCAGGGCTTCCGTAGCGTTAGGGGCTCTGGTATCTCGAGATGCTTTTAGACGCGTACAGGGGGGGGGTGTGCTGAAGGAGGCGAAACGGATACTGGAATGGGGGTGGTGGAGGTATATTAGTGCTCTAGTTATGTAGGTTAGTTTTGTTTTTTTTTTTTTTTTTGCTTCGTCATTGCTTTTGTTTCGGGTACATAAGAATATACAACTCACAAGTAAAGAGCCATCTGCGCTTGGAAAATCATTTCGTCATGGCTGCTGCTGTCGTATCCTTCTCCCTGGAGAGGCGGAAGTGTCATTAGTGAGGAAGCGAGACGGGCGTCGATAATCTCCCTTTGGGACTCGAGGTTCAATTCAAGTGAGCGGGTTGACTCGAGGGCCATGCCTAGATTGCGCACGGCATTGATTCGGTACGCAAATGAGGAGAATGACTGTCCTGTCGCTGTTGGTTCGAGGGTCCAGTCATTCAGCAGATCGTCCAGTGTTTGTCGGGTTGGTGAAACCTGTGATGTAGTTAGAATATCTTTCCCTGCCCCTCGTTTTCATTCTCGGCTTTCACAGTGAATGGCGCCCTTGTTGAATACCCACACTGTCACAGGAGTTGTACATCTTTTCTGCACACGGTAGCCTCACGTCAGCGCGCTGGTGGTAGAGTTGAAACAAATTTTGCTCGCGCGTAGCCGCGAACAGTCCATCGACGACATAAAGCTCCCAGTAGGTTCTGCGCCAGCTCTCTTCAAGTACTGTATAGCCGTGCGAATGCTCTCTGGCAAACCATGAGCGATTCATCTTTATATCCAGGGCTAAATTAACCGCCTCTTGGATCAACCGGTGGCCACTTTCCTCATGACAGTGGGAATGGTCGATGATGGCGAGTAGTAGCAACGCCTGGACTTTGAAGGGGTCCCGGGATGTCTGTTCAGAGAGTACGCCATATGCCTGCTGTCGGTATGTCTGTTTAAAGGCGGGCTCTGGGTAATAGTGAGCGCCGATGTAGCGCATGATGGCGAAAATATAAGGGGGAATCATTTGGCAGAGCGGCGAGCAGAGCGATTTCTTTGGTAATAGCAGTGGGTGTGATGGGTGAAAGTTCTGGTAATAGAGCTGAATCATTGGGTCGTACGCCATTTCTGATCTGATGCTGCCAGGAGTCGCAGTTGCAGTAAACTCCGGTTCGGTGAGGGTAATAAGGGCATCATCCCCCGGGATAGCCAAAGGGGGTATTTCCAATGTTGTCGGCACATCCAGTGGCTGGAACAGCGCTTGTGCTGCCTTTTCGGGTCAGTTCTTCTTTCTTGTCGGCGATCAACTCGCAGGGTAGGGTTCGGTCTACCTGTATATCTAAGTCCGACGGAAGAGTGCCGGGATTCAAATTCAACCACCCAGAAAAAAGATCGGTAGAGAACAAAGAGATATCGTCGTCTAATAGGTGAGACGATGCATGTCTTCCATGTTTCGACCGGAGTCCCCGTCTAGAACGAACGTATCGACATTCGGTATTGGTTGTTTGACAGCGAGTGCAGACAGGCATGATAGCATCGCACTTCAGATGGCGACGACGACAGGGAATACATGCTAGCGATGAGGGTCTAGAAGGTGATGTATTGTTTTCCTGCATCGTCTCTTTTCCTTTTTCCCTTTTCTCGTTTAATTAGTATCAATGAGTAGCCTAGCTTTGTGTTTTGATCTGGAAGACCAGAAGCTAATTCAAAGTCCAAGTCACCTTAGTCTCAGCCTGGTAGCAAGGCTCAGTTTTGTTGATACATGACTAGCATCCAAGTTAGCTTTCTTTTGGCTTGTATAGGGCCTTTGGTACTCACCCTAACCTGTTTTTTTTAGGTTTTTTTTTTCTTTCCCCTGAATCAAGAGAAATCCAGAATCATGAATATAAACATAACAGATCTTTGGTATAGAATCCGATTCCCAAATCCTTTTGTTCCCGAGATCCCCGAATCGCCGACCAAAGTACCCTAGATTGACCCAGTAGCCCTTAATAAGAAGGCCTCATCTCATATCTGTGTGCTCATTAACACTGTTCTTCTACACTAAAGAATCCTTCCCGCTCAAAAGGTTAATGGAGATACCGAAGGCACATACATACATCTCCACTCATTCCGACACGCTCTATCTAGTTCGTCGCCAGTAAATCGGGGACTTGAACAGGAACCCCGAACAGGACCGATCCACTACTCTGTAATATTCTCAAGCTTTCAAGGGCGTTTGACATCCATCTAGTCTTTGCGTACATACACCTGCAGCACTTGATGCAGAGCTTGGGCTCTGGTCTCTGCGCCTCAGCACTGCACAAACAAACTCGCTCTCGTCCCTCCCTCTTTTATTTCATGTGTAGTCTATCCCTCCAACTCAGAGTGATACCATCCGAAAAAAATAATAATAAATAAATTACTCATTTCATTGTATCCCAACATAATTCAATATAGCTGAGCTGGGAACCTACGGTTCCTGGTATTTACCCGACACTGAAAATTCCCGTGCCTTAGGTACGAAGAACCGATTAACTGCCGGAGTGCTAGAGTTAGTTCTACGTCGTCCCCATCCTCGGAAAGAAAGAGGATTACGTACCTAATGTCTCCTCCTCATTCTTTGGGCTTAGTGAACCCGGTGTTCAATATAGATATTCTGGTAAATCGGTTTTCACTGGGGCAACGGGCAGCGGGGAGCGGGGAGCGGGGAGCGGGTCCTGATAGCCTTGGCCCCATCGCTATGATTCTGGGTGGGGGGGAGGGTTTTCTATATGCCATCTAGACTCTACCGTGGTGGGATTATTAGCCTGCGCGTGGGCTTCCAGGAGCCCGAGTCATGATGGTTTGTGGCGCAAGACGAGGGCAAGCAGGGCATAGGCGGGTTGGATGCTGATTGTGGAGGATCGGCTGATAGGATCAAAGTGGACAACAGGGTTGAATTCATGTATTGATGTGGGTCAGGTCTTTTTTAATTATTCCTACCGGCCTACACTATACAGAGTAGGTAGACAGAATAGATGACTGGTTTCTCGGGGTGGTGGTCTATGCAGCTCATCAGTCGAGGTACTGCACAATTTGTAGGGTAGCCCAGGTGCTATGTATGTCTGTTTGTGGTTTAAGCTATAGTGGTTTAATTATGATGTTCCCTATAATGAGGCGTCTTGGTTCACGATATTGTGGTTAATCGCACATCATGAACCTTGCTTGCATTCCAGTTCCGAGTCTGTGAAGTCCTTAGGTATAGATAGTTAGGTATCCTCCACACGACCAATGACTCACACATTGGCCACATTCAAGGCAGAGGACGAGTATGAACTACTCGCTGTTGTCATCACGCCAGATATTTAGTAATAAGAAGAAAAAAAGCCTTAGTTAATGCACAGAATTAGAAATCATCGCAAGCCTCATGCACGTAGCATCGTTTGCCGTGATCTTTTCTGGCTTTTATAGGTTGCAAGTGGATGATCCCGATGTGGTCCCCGACACGATCCCGGCTTGGCGGGAATCATTTCCGGGTCTATCCAGTTGAATAAAACGCGGTTACAAACTGATTCTTATTTATGATTTACTCTTACAGTACAGAGTACGGAGTACGGAGTATCCGTACGAGGAGACTAATTCTTTGTTTAGTTGCGAGGGACATGGTGGCGGGGTTGTCGAGTGTTTTGTTTCCGGCCACCGCTGGGGTTTGTTTTACGAAAATATGAGAGGATCACTTTCAATCACACCATTGGATTTCTGTCGGGATAAATCGCGGACACAATTCTTACCTTTTGAAGGAATTGGAGGAGAAAAGGGGGAGGGGAATTATATGAAAAGTGTCTAGCACGGAGAATCTCGGTTAACTACTCCGTAAACCTCCACCAAAACCCCCACAAATCTCCGGGAAGAATGTGAGTCTCCAGTTGCAGTTCAGCCGAACAAACAATAAGCATTTCTGGCGAGGATGTGAGGTTTTCCCGGGGGATTAACTCTAGGGCCTTCCCTCGCGCCTTCTATTACTTTGTTTATTATCCCCCGCCAATTGACTCTATCCCATCGATCTCTCTTTATGATAAAGTAGCGGTGTGCCAGACAGAGCACGTAGCCTTACTCTAAATGCAAGAATCCAAGTCTTATCATACCTAGCGTGGTAAACTATAGGAACAGGTATACTCCGTAGCTGAGGATCTATCTCGTCTCAGATGGCCTTGAACGGCAAACGGAGAAGTGTATTATACCCCGCTAACCCGAGGACTGATCACTGACGTGGTACCTCTATTGAACTGTCTGGTATGGATTCTGATAACGATGTCAGACAACTCTGGACTGGATTGGCCCTTGGTTTACCATAGCCTGAGCTCCGTGCGAACTATCCATGATAATGTTAATGTTGAAGTCCATATTGGGGACGAAATCACACGAGCGTCGCTGCATTCGAGTAAAAGATACGGTTAAAATGAATCCTCCATCGAAACTTGTCAGATGCGGTGTTGTTGTTCTAGAATCAATGAACGGCCTAGCTATACCCTCAATACAGGGACAGGTACGGCTGCCTTCGCGTTTGGATTGGACTGATCCTTGGTTTCCAGCGTTTTCTCTGCTAAACGGCTCTACATACAGGTGTATATAGACCAATAGAGAAGACAAATGAGACCCAGGCATACCAAATATTTCCATTTTGTTCTAATATGCATCAAGATTTGAAAAGCATGAAATAATCAGGCGCTTGTCGGGCGCTTCAAAGGATCCTTTACCCAGCTTCCACAAATAGGAAACATCTTGAATCCATGCCCAGAATCACCAGAGAGCAAAACCACCAACGGCCAGGTATTGGCATATAATCAATAATAAACTCTGAGCCAGCAGACACCGCACCTGTAGCTCATCCTCGTAAGGCATAAAACTGCTCGTTGTTACAGACCAAGACATACAAGATACACCGGTGACCGGATCAGTATGGGTATACCCACCTCCCATCGCACACAGCTTCAGTAACTTCGTCCCTGGATCAGCAAATACGTCGCAAGGCAGACGCCTTATTCGTGAGCTGTAGGTGCAACAGACTTCTTCATTGAACAAGCGGTGGGTCGGTGATTGTGCTTGGTAGACTGTAGGGTTTATGGAGAATCAATAGAATCGCTGTAGGTACCACCAGCAAGTAGCTTCAGGGATGGATCCTTATTACTTACATCACTAATAGATTTAATCTTTTCAATTGATCTAGGGTGAATCACAAGACCCATCAAGACCTCTAAATCCTCATTGGGACCAATAGTAATTATCTCTAACCCCGGATTTTAGCAATGTCAAGAATTCCTCCGCACAAGATACCAGAATATAAACATGCGCAAATACCCAAAATAACTAGTATAGACTTTTGTTTGGGTTTCCAATGTATAGGATTTGTTGTGAATGTTCAAATTTAAGATAATAGGCTGATTCCGTGAAGTTATTCGGCAGGGTCTGTACATGGTTTCCGCGCAATAATCCAAAGAAAAGGAATTTCCAACTTCCTGTCTCCATCATCTTCCAAATCAACCACAACCTTATCCAGAACCAACCTACCTAAATCCAAGAGCTTCCAGCGCCCCATCCACTCCAATACATCGTTCCCTCTGTGCCCCCTAACCAAGTGGGGTCAGTGATCGCGGATATTTCTTCCACCGAAAAATTCATCAGTAGAAAGCCCCCCGGTTTAAGCCACTGAAACACCCGGTCCAGCATAACAGTCTGTTCATCCCTGGGCAAGTGGAAGATCGAATACATCGCTATAACTGCATCAAGTCCGGCCGAAGGAAACTGTAATTCCATCATATCGCCTTGAACCAGCTCCACGGACTCGGGTAGATGCGTTCTCGCCGTTGCGATCTGAGCTGCAGAGATGTCGTTCCCTATTACTTTGATCATATTGTGAGAAGCGAGGAATTGGGTGCATGGGGTTCCAGCGCCACAACCGCGCGCTAGTATCTGGATAATTGGTCCATTGTGGGTGGGTTCGTGTAAGCTGGGAAAATTAACGAGGAGTTTTTCAACGTAGGAGATCTGGAGTGCGTGCGTTGGCTGGGTCCATTAGTTGTATGTCGACGCAATGTTATTATACGCCTTTTCAACTCCTTCTTTTATAACCGAGTTGGGTGGCATATTGAAACCGTTGCGAGTCACAGAGAGGTTTACAGGATATAAGAGCGGGGTATATACCGGTTTTCGCTGTGGACTTGTACCATGGATGTAGTTCTTATAGGTTCCAAGTTTAGACTAATGATTACTAGAGTAGAATTAGTTTTAGTCTTCCCATCCATATACCTACTCTATACCACTGCAACTATACTCTAGATCATCGCATTTCGTCATCGTTTTCAAATCAGGAAATTCTTCATGTGCGGGTCTCGGTGAATCGCCTGATTTGGCGATTTGAGTGGTCCGGCTATTTTTTCCGTCATCCCCAGCCAATTTAGACCGCCTTAATCTTTGTCCATCTCGATCGTGTTGCTCATGTTCGATCTTGTGTCCCACATCCTACTACCAATGGACTACTAATTCTTTACCCTTTGGATCATGGAGAAATCAATCTCGGATCATAATCTAGCCAATGGGACTCCCAGGCAACTCCCAACCCCCTTGGACTCATCCCCCGGATCTCCATTTGCTGTGGCTACTCCCACTAATAGTCCTCCGGAAGTTGCAGTCGAAATCGCGGCCCCGCAGCCGCGAGTCCCTCGCAATTCTCGAAGTCTTCAACGCATTACCCATGCTTGTGTCTCCTGCCAAAAGAAAAAGACCAAATGTGACGGTGCGAAACCAACCTGTAAACTGTGTCAGCGGGCGGGCACGATCTGCATCTACGCCAGGTCAAGGCGTGAAAACCAGCGCTTACGGTTCCATTCGCTGGAGGAGAAGATTACCGTTTATGAATCGCTTCTACAAGAAATTATCTCTCAGAGCACCCCAGAAAACATCCACTCTATCCGGGATGCTATACATGTTTGTGATTCCAAAAGCGCAACTTGGGGTCAACACTGACCTTCGGCAGAGACACTTCCAGGTATCACCAGACTTCTTCTCGACCCTTCTCGCTTCAAAGTCGCTTTCCGATCAACACATTTCTCAGCCTAAGCCAGGACTTTCCTTGACCCGCATACACCTGACACGGGGCTCGACGAATTCCAAAGCTCCCGCTCTCGCGCAACAGCCCCCAATCCAGGTCAAATCGATCGAGAACTGGACCTGGCTCGTTGACAATGACGTCGCAAGTCACCTTCTTTCGCTTTACTTCACATGGGAGAATTCAACTTGGCACCTCGTCGACCAACACATGTTCATTCACGATCTCGAACGCGGGCGTCCCAGATTCTGTTCTTCCCTGCTGGTCCACACCCTTCTCTTTTTCGGCTGTGTATGATTCGACATCCACGCCTCGAAATGTATTTACGTAGTTGCTAACCACCCCTCTCAGAGCTTCTCATATAATCTAACCCGAATTACCGATCGACGAGAGGAGAAGGCTCTAGGCGAAAGATTGTATGCCGCGATCCAACAACAATGGACCGCAGAAAAGGACAGCCAAAATCTCCCAACCGTACAATCTAGTATCTTAATCGGCTTGCTTTGCTGTACGTTTGGCCTCGATAAGCTCGGTACCAATTACATATTGCATGGGGCAGAATTAAGCAACCGGTTCGATCTTAACAAGGCTAATTCCGCCTATTTCCTCTCCGGCGTCGAGGATGACCCCACTGCTGTCTCGAACTGCCAGAAACTAGTGGCGTGGGCTGTCTTTGATATTCAAGCGTAAGAAGCTTGTCCATGATTTATTTTTCTTTTCTCTTACTGGTTTCATCACAGGCTAGCTTGCCAGGTCTACAGGAAGAAACCTATCTGGAAGGAGCCACCTTCCATAGGATTCACCGAAGAAGAAGCATCGGCTCTAGACGAAGGCGGGGAGTGGCGCCCGTATCCTTTCCAAACTCCTGTTTCTCAACCTTATCTCTATACCGCCGCGTGGATTCGGAGTGAACTGGTCGCCATAGTACATGATATCGCCTGCTTTTCGCTCAAATTCCCCGGTGCCGTCTTAGGCGATAGCGACTGGGATTATGGTTACAGCTTATACCAAAGGCTACTGGGTTGGAGGGCAAGATTGCCATGGACTGTCTTGCCCAGGCACAACACAACTCCCCACGCCCTCTGCTTACAGTACACCATCTCCTCCCCATACAGGCGTTTGTACTAACGCTTCATCGTAGCTTCTATTATCAGGCAACCCTTGTCTCCTTGTGCGAAAATTTCCTCCTAAACTCATCCATGTCTCCTGATGGTTGCAGGTCTAGCCGATTCGACCCCTTGATAGTCAAGTCGCATGCTATGGACACCTTCGGATCCCTTGTCCTGCTCTTCAAACACTACCATGGGTGGAAGTCAATTCCCATTATCATGTTACACTACTTCTGTGTTGCAGGTGTTCACTCTGTATCTAAATTACACCCGCACGAACCGAAGTGGAGTCTTGTCTTAGAAAGCTCAGTTGTTGGCCTCTGGCACATGAGTCTGGGCTGGGGTCGATTTTGCAAGGCCTTCTTACGCACCATTGGTCTAGTCCTGAAAGCAACAAACCCCGATCCCTCGCTAGTTCCACCTAGGGCAACTGCTGTACTGGACCAGCTGAGTGGCAGTCTCTGGACTGGTGTGGATACCTCATCACTTGCTGCAGATTATGTGGTGCATCACATTCCAGACAGGTTCGGGCAAAATCTGGGCCCAGGCTCCGCTGAATACAAAGCTCACACGCTACAGAGTCTTCTCGTTACTATGGAAGGCCTGTCTATCACCGCAGGTAGTGCTAGGTGATATATGCATAGCCCACTTACCACCCCTTGTCTCAAAGCAGACAGCTACTGACACACAAGAGAGTATATATGGATTCTTAGGTCACAGTTTTTATCCATCAGCGACATGGTATTAAATTTAATAGCAGAACCAAGGGGGCAGAATAATAGTTGCCCATGTCTCTACATCATGATCCCAATATACACGCGGGATCGCTCACCCCCAGGAAATATCAGGCCCCAAAATAAACCAGGCTGCTGCCTGCAACCCACTCCAGGATAACAAGTTATTGCCATCTATGGGGCCCTTTATTCGGCACCGTTGCTGTACTGGATATCAGTATCATCAGATCACATATCTCAATGATATGGCCCCTTCCTTGTATAGGGAATTTCGGTGGAGTGACTTCTACGTCGCTCTGATTTTGTATTTATTGCTGCAAACACACTTATCTATTTTCGAGAGGAATATACGACCTCCTTTTGGTGCGAGATTTACAGAGCAGCAAACAGAACTTTAACCCCAGTTTGTGTGATGGTTTTCTAGGCCAGTTTGAAAATTATAACCAGTATACCAGTAGAGCATACGACGCTTTTATGCCCCGCTACGATGTCCCATGATTGAGTGCGCTGCTACTGTAAGGGTTTTATGGTCAGCTACTTTGATAATTCATGAGGGTCAGAAGCACCAACAAGTGACCGGATATATATATGCAAATCACATCTTCCCCGCAGCAAGCATCAGAAACAGTTCGTTTTCCCCCTACACCGCAAGGATCCGCTAGTAGTTACTTGCTCATGTAGTTAGGCAGCAGATACCAACTTAAACAGAGCAGAATAGATGGCAGAAAGGTGACAAGAAAAATGCTACTAGTTCTTCTTACATCCTTCATGGCATGGTTGCAAAAGGCACAGGGTGGGCTATATTCTAGTTATTCCATCAAATAACCAATCAAGTCTCCATAGTCTAGTGGTTAGGACGGCGGTCTCATATTACATGACAGTTCCCATCTAAAGGAGTTGCAATCCGCAAGCACGAGTTCGATTCTCGTTGGAGGCATTTGTTTTTTTTCAGCCCGCCATTTTTTTTTTACTATTCCCTAATAAAATTTCGCGTAATGGAGGAAAACAGTGAAAAAGAAAAGAGGGTGCTTACTGGAGTAATTTTTTTTGCTTCCAAATCAAATCCACTGCCTTGAAAGAAAGCAGCGTTAAACTAACGCCGACTCTCCTCTGATTGAACCTTCATTCAGCGTTTGGAGTATCGAGCTCAGTGGTTACTGAGTGAGGACTTAACCTTACCGCCCTGGGATCCCTGACGCACCCTTGGTTTTTTTGAAAGCAGGCCGTAACCATGCATTGGAGAAATCGTCACCGTCGAGACCAAGGAGTCGTGAGAGGGCAGGTAAAAACATAGAATAAAAAACTCAATAATTTACATGAACTCTCTCTCTCCCATTCTACTTACCTACTACGACCTACTACTAACTACTTATTATCATTTACTACTAAATTTAAGAAGAAAAAAATATATGCCTCCAACGAGAATCGAACTCGTGCTTGCGGATTGCAACTCCTTTAGATGGGAACTGTCATGTAATATGAGACCGCCGTCCTAACCACTAGACTATGGAGACTTGTGATGGAGGACGGGAAAGATATGATTAGATATACCAAGAAAATACTCAGTAATGGTTTCTCATCCTTGCTTTCTTACACCGCTGCAGTATTTGCTTTGGTTTGGAGGTCTAGATCTAGGCCTGTAAAATCAAAGAGCTCTCAGAGATGATAATAAATAATTCTGGACCTTTCTGTAACCATAAGCGGCCTGGTTTTCTGGTCCCTTTTGGTCCAGTGGTAGAATCCCTACCTGAACTGCACTCTCTTGTCTACTCTGTATGTATATTTGATGATCTATTTGCAGAAGCAAAATATCCATTATCCCAATATAATTATAAACCTGCGGAAAACTGATAATCAATCAGGCAACCATTGAATAAATACACGCGAACACAAACATCAGTGTTCAAAATTATCCACTATAGCTGATAAAGGTCGGAATCCCAAAAACACGACATATAATAGAGCTGTTATCCCAGTTTCCCATATTGCTTCTACCAACGACTAAAAAATTCCTCCTCCTTTGAAAGGTAACAATCCCCACATTTTGTGGATTGTCTCCTTACCTTTAAGCCTTGTTATAATAGGCAATTGTGATGTTATGGTCTTTGAACACATGCCTGGTTCCTGATTGACTAGGCCATGATCGAGAACTGGATAACTTTTAAACGCTGCTCATTAATTGAGACTCCATGGTAATCTTGGTACCACAATCAACAGCTAAAGCTTTGCAAAGCCTGAACATGTTTTGGATGCGATGGCCGTTGATATTCTGCATTATAAGCTCCGAATATTCCTCATCAATATTGCACAAGGCAGTTTCCATGTTGCCTACAGAGATCCTTTGGACTCCTGTAGATTCCAAGGTCTTCAATCCATGCTGTAGTTTTAGAAAGATGAGTAATTGGGTCAGTAGAGAAGAGCCTATGCTCACTAGTATTAGGATGATGTTATTCATGCATTAATATGCGCCTATAAGGGCCTAATCCCCCCTGGTATGGGTGAATTCTGCAACAATAATCCTCTGTTATAGGTAACATTACTAGCTTTTTCTGTGTGTGTCTATTTCAGGGTTAATTGAATTAAGGAGGAAATATAAGAGAGCGGCCAAGTTAGAAACAAGTTTGGAAGAAAAGTGCAAAGAAAACCATGGTCACACAACTCACACAATACACAATAGATGGTAGCAGTTGAATGTATATTAATACGATTTTTATTTATGCCTTTAGTTCGATAACCTATAGGACAATGAACAAGAAGCAGCAGGCAGCAAAATGAACTGACCAGGCAACTGCAGGCATCCTGCAGAGTATCTCGAGCATCCTTTAAACATGAGCCCGCATAGGGGTGTTACAATCACTCCACACTATTGGCTAGATGTACTGTGCCTAGTATAGAGGCATCCCGGAGTCCATGTATGGCCCGAGGAAACCTTGGGTTAATATTGATACTACTGCGATCAAGGGGATACTTGGGCAAAGTCTCTCTCACCCTCTCTTTCTTATATGCAATCAGAAATTGAAACTATGCTGCTTATTTCGGATTTTTTTCTAGGCAGATGATTTCAGAGTCACCAGGCTGTTAAACAGCCGCTACCTTCATTATTCTTTTAGGGGATATCAGAAGGCAATATAATACAGAGAATTTCAAGTGCAGGAGAATAAACATATCAAAATAAGAAAATTAGGGTACATGCCTTAGGTTTCTCTGGATTGGAATCTGATTCATTTCTCTGCAACTTTGCCTCGTGCTGCTTGCATAATTGCCAGAAAGATAGGTCATTTATGTTATTTATGCTATTTGCATATTTAAAATCAATCTGTGTAGACCTGTGGCTTTGTCTACCAGAGTAAAATCCGTCCTACTAGGAAGTCCCTAACTTCTCCCCAGTCACCCTTGAGTTTGTCTGCGCTAGGCTGCTCTGATGGCCCTAAAAGTTCGGGAGTGAAACATGTCAAAGAATACTGGGATAATGAAGCACCTTGACCCTCATCCTAGTCGTAGTGAAGCTGCCCCTCTTCAGCTATGGAGAAATTCCATTACCTTGCTGGTGTATCACTGGTGGGTTTCCGTTGGTTCATGAACTCATGTGAATGTGGCGGACAAAACATCCCGGGCGGTCTGCTCTGATATCATCTTCTACTTAATAAGAAAAAGGCCATTCCTTTATAGAATCAACTTATAGGACGGCGAACCTCGCTCCACACACACTATCTAGAATGTCAATAAATTCAGCACCAGATTCGTTCCCACTGGTAGGAAGATACGCAGAGAGAAATCGGCTGGACATCATCAACGGTCCTGGAGACTCACGCGTGACAGGGAGCCAAATCATTTACGATGAAGGCATTGTCGATGCTTGGCACGATAAAGCCGTGCTCATCACCGGGGTATCATCCGGTATTGGCATAGAGACTGTCAAGGCAATTGCGTTGACAGGGGCAACTGTCTTCGGAACTGCCCGAAATCTGGCGAAAGCAAAAGAGGCTTTGGGTTCTGTACTGGATAATGAACGTATACATCTTTTGTTCATGGACCAAACAGACCTATCGAGTGTTCGAGCTTGCGCCCAAGAGTTTCGCGAGCATAGTAGCACCCTCAATGTTATTATCAACAATACTGGGGTGAGTAAAGTCTGGAAATATGGTGGTTATGAGATAGTCTGACAGGGTATGCCGTTGTAGGTAATGAATACCCCGGAATACCGCACCAAGGACGGATTTGAGATGCAGTTTGGGACCAATCATTTGTCCCATTTCCTTCTTTTTTACCTCCTGAAGGATTTACTATTAGCGAGCTCGACTCCGGAATTCCATTCTCGGGTGGTGAATGTCTCTTCTGCTGGTCACCAACGTAGCCCAGTGCGTCTAGACAATGTCAACTTCGACGGCATTTATAACGGATGGCTCGCATACGCCTCAAGCAAGACAGCCAATATCCACATGACAAATCAGATAGAGAGGCTTTACGGATCTCGAGGGCTCCACGGTTACAGTCTACACCCCGGCTGCTTTGTGAGCCCGAATCTGCAAAAGTTTTCTCAAAAGGAGATGGACACGGTAACAGAAGATGAAGTTATGCGAAGGATGTTGACAAACCTTGAACAAGCCTGTGCGACGAGTGTGTACGGTGCTGTTTCGAAGGAGATTGAGGGCAAAGGTGGACTTTACTTGGAGGGAGCATCGGTTGCAGCAAAGCCAGCTCGGCGAGGTGGGAAGATAGGGATTGACTATGGCTATGCGCCTTTTGCTTACGACAAGGACAAGGAAGAGGCTTTATGGGAACTCAGCAAAACCCTAGCTGGAGTTGAATAAGTGACGAGAGCAGAAATATTTGATGTGTTTGGATATCATGTAGCAATCTTGATGAATACCCAGAATGACCCTAGTATAGTGTGTGTTATGCAGCAACAGCCAGGAGTTGAATCATAGTTTTTCAATTCTTTCTATACGAAATGCAATATCATAAAGCCATATCTATCGCCAAGTAGGGACACGTTGAATAGGGCATCCAGAATACTTCCTTCTTCATTCGCAGCTCAATTTCGCAGCATATAAATATGGCAGCCAAAGTGGTATTATTCTTTTATGCCACTTGTCTCTCTTCTCAATTCTGCCTGTTATATGACACGCACTCATTCTAGATAGAACATCCTATCTATTATCAACAGTGTCCAAGAATCTAGCGTACTAGCTTAGGATAGTATTCGGATGACTTCTGTTGCCTATCATGGCAGCTAAGAACTATCTTGTGTTCATATCATTTATAACCAAAGGCAACAGTACTGTAAAATAGGACTTTTTATTCACCAAATAACCATAACACATGATTGATGCTACAGTATCAAGGATATAATTAATCTCTACTAGCTCTCCTCAGACAGAGTCATAGCATTTATAACCTGGTGAAAGTACTATTCAATAATAACCTGGTGGGGAAAATATGACTCGATTCATAAGGGGAAAATTGGTTAAAAGTATTAACATATCCAGTGGTATTCCTCAAAGTCCAATAGTGCAAAGCTACAACTTACAGAAAGAGACTAGTTTATAGATATTCCTATATTTATCATCAGGATCTATTACCCCAACTGTTACCTACTCCCTGCACTGCTACCTAGTTCCTTACTATAACTTCAAATAAGTTCTAGGCACAGTTATCCAAATACAGTTCACCATACTTAAGGGGGGTCCTTTGTATTACTACCTCTTGCCTAAAGCTCTAACACAAGGTTATTAACAGAAGCTGTAGGCATTGTAACACAATATTACTACCCTTACATATATCCTGGTCATTAATCTAGTTGCCATTCTCATCATCAATCAAGTGAATTTCTCGGTCTTTGTGGGAAAGAGAAATGATATTACCGATATAGCCGAAATACCTTAAAAAACAATCTGCAAGAAAATGACAAATTTGCTGCTTTACCTACAATATTATATGAGGAAGTATCTTCATGCTCTTTACTTCTTCTCTTTTAGTTTTCAATTTCAAGCTTATCTCACACTATAATCACTGGCACTATTCATCATGCTCTCAGAAATACAGCTTGCTTTATCTTGCCTTATGGACAGCCTATCCAAAATGTCAGCTCCTCTTGTTCATACAAATGATTCAAGTTTCATTCTTCTAGGCTTGTATACCACATTTTTTTTCTATCACCTTGTCAATAGGGGTGTATCCTACAGAGGCCATCACAAAGGTATGTTTTATTAATTTTGGTGGATAAGTCCCTGATCTTAACTCTTACAGCACTTTCATGGCACATCCTAGGCGGGTCAATGGAGATAATCCTATATTATGGAGGATTCAACTGCTCTCTTCTTTCAATAGCTGGTACTCTGATGCACTCCGTGACCTCTTTAATCCTTGTCAAGAACCTTCCGAACGGGTATCCTCCTCACACTCGTAAGTCAGCTGTCCAGCAGGGGAAACTGGTGCTGATATCTTCAAATTGCTAACAGAACTTCTTCAGGCCCCGCATATCAGGCCGGCTCACTCATGCGCCCTGTGCAAATTATCCGAGCATACTACACGCAGAGCCCAGTTGACTATCACGATGCCATAATGCCTATCCACGCCTTTGTTTATGCTAGGGCAATCATATTTATTTTAGGAACCATGGGCCCCTCCAAGTCATTTCTCAGAAATGTCAACTCACGATTTGTCTACACACAGGCCATCTTTGGAGGTGCCCTCATTGCCATCGGTCACTGCAGTAGACCAGAAGCCATCTGCGTGTACGTGGTTATCATGCATACACTCGGAAAAATTGGGGTGTGGACAAGCACGAAGTATAATCATTACCGGTATTCCTGTTTGCATCTTACCCTTAATTATATAATGCTTACGTATGTGAACAGGAAGCAAGGACTTCGAATCCCTATCTTAGTCCACGTCCTGATGCTCATGGGGTTCTCTTCCCAGGGGGAATCCATAATGGATTACGGCAAAACAGACACAGACAAAGTTCCTGAAATCGGACATCTCCCAGTTGATTTAATTGGTCATCATTGGGCCCGGTTTAACTAATTAGCGGGGTTCTTTTTTTTTCTTTTTTTCCTGCAGAAAACATATTCAGTGGTTTGATGCTTCATAGCACTCTCAAAGTTACATATGCACTCACTAGCAGTCACATGATAGTAACATTTATGCCCATTTGGCCGTGATTTTCCTTCTGTCCAATGCCATACAGAGCTATAAGGAGGTTGTGTGGTAGCATTAGACTCAGTATTACTTCATGCTTAGCCTTATTCTACAAATTAGGAGGGAATTTGTTTCAAGCCCCAAGATTCTATTTTCTGTACGGAGGAGTAGTTACAAAACTCACCTCAGCAGTTCAAAAAAAGGAAGAAAGAAAGAAAATGTACTGGGAATTCCTATAAGATTTAGTTAGCTTTTATTCAGATTTGTAACCACTACGGGATCAATAGCCAAATTATAACCAGGATCTAGTCATTTAGTTACATGCAATAGTATGATTACACCAACTGTCCATGCAGTGATAAATCATTGGTGGATAGATACATAACTAGCACAATCCCACTCAGCTAGCTAAACTTAAAGCCTCCAATGATTTGCTTTTAGTGAGCGGCATGCGTGCAAGAATGAGAAAGAACCAGACTCCACCCTTGACTGTTTGCATATCATAGCCTATGTGAAAGGCATGTAGAGATCTTTAAGAGATTATATTTGTTATGAGAAATTAGAACAGACTTCTAATAGAAGGAGACCGAAACCCTTGGATTCCTTTGGCTCCGGGTTACTTGGACATGGATGGGTACACGGCATAAAATAGTGTATCCTAGCATGAGATGTCGCGCATAATTTCCCGGAAGACCTCAATAACTCCATTTGTCATAGGCTCATCGTAGTCGAGATTCTCACTTCATGCGCAGGCAAGGGACAATTAGGAATTTCAGCAGCAGAATAACCCATTTCGTCGTTTAAATTCACCTACTAGAGGAAAGGCATGGACTAAAGGTATGGAAGATAAGATATTTAGCTGGCCAGTTGTATTAAGTGGAAGGGTATATATTTCGCTTTATATATTGAATAATTGACCGTTTTTGAATATTGGATACCAATTTCAGTCGCCAGATCGTGGTTTGGAGGTTTGGGAGGGTCTTGAAGTTGCTCGGTAGGTTGTTATATGGATAGTTTTTGGAGACCGGGAGAGATGGGTTATAATTTAGGCTTGCTTCATGCCACCATCATGGAGATCTAGGATATAAAACCTTTCCAAAGGCTCAAGCTCATGATTATACACAATATTAGAAGGAATTGGAGCCAAAACTCGAGGATTTATGGTGTAATCATTTTTTGAAAAATGTCACTCGCGTTGACGCGAAAAAGTTGGGAGCACGAATCCGCAGACTTTTTGCAACCTATACGGACTACGGAGTAGTCCATATGTACTCCATCGTACTAGGCAAAAAGTTTAAAAAAAATGCGCTAGTACGCGCCCAACCACCCATACATTTCAAAAAATCAATCACCACACCATGGATAGACAAGTTTTGGCTTCAATGTCTCCAAATACTATTCGAAATCATGAACTAAAGCCTCCGGAAAGGTCGTATATTCTAGGTCTTCGTGAGGCGGGGTGGAAGGCACCCCAAATTACAGACCATTGTTCTCGACCCCAATACAATATCCAACAATCTACCGAGCAACTTCAAGACCCTTCCAACCCTCCAAATCACGATCTGGTGACTGAAATTGGTATCTGATATTCGAAAACGGTCAATTATTCAATATATAAAGCGAAATCTTTTTACTACTTACTATACGGTTCAATTCAACCTAGAACTCTCTATCTGCAGGCGAATCATATATACTATGATTCAGGGATCAAGATATGGCAAATGAAGGGCTTAAAGAAGGCTAGAAATAATACCAAGAGTAGCAAAACTTCGGCTGCAGTGGGCTTTCAAATATAAAGACTATACTATAGAGTCATAGGCCACAATCATGTAGTCAGATGAGTACTCGGTAGAGATAGGATCTGGCAAGCGATACTGGTATATTTTTAGGCTTAATTTGTATAGAGAAAAGTGGAAAAAGGAGCATATCCACCTATATAAGAGGGCAAGAATGCTAGAGTCATGGTTTGGGTAGCATTTCAGCGGTCTAATAGGTTCGAATTGGTCCGTTTAGAGCGAGACTTTAAAGTAAAGAAGCATGGCTACTCTGCAGGGTTATATCTTGCTTTATTGGAAGAATATGTGCCTACTATTATAATCTTAGCTTCACTTTCATGCAGGATAATGCTCCTATCTATACTACTTAAAAGGTCAAGCAATACTTTGAAAATGATAGTATAAGAGTCATGGATTGGCCACCCTATTTGCCTGATTTAAACCCAGTTGAATACCTCTGATTTCCGCTTAAAGAAGGTGTATACAACTATAACCCAGATATTAAAGAGGCAACTAGTTTGAATGAGGTAAAGGAGGACCGGACCGTCTTTGGGAAGTATTAGAGGTATCTTGGACCAATGTCTGTGAAGATATTCAAGCAAAGGTGTTAGCAAGCATGCCCTGCAGGGCGGAGGCAGTAATTGAGGCCAATAGGTGGTACACCAAGTATTAGAGCTAGTATAGAATTTATATGTGACATTTAGACTTCAATATCAATGTACTATTACATAGAAGTTTTTGGAATTATAATGCCTCCCGGTTGCGAAATATATATATTTCGGGTGATCAAACATGGTGGGGTTGCCGGAAACCAAAATCTGCAGACTATTTGCCTAGTACTATAGTTGTGTTATGAAATGACCTCAATAAATTGATTACACCGTGCCTGAACCCCCTACGGCAGCAGCTCCAGGTCCGGGTCCAGCGACTTTGGCGCCTTCCGTATTTACTGCCTGGTATGACGGGGGATTAATCTGGAACCTGATAAAGTGATTCGACCCAATCTCGATGGCTTTGAAGTACCGCTCCCCATTGTAGCTAGGGTGAATTAGAAAGGGCCGTGTAATGAATAAAGAGCCCACTTACCTCCAGTGAATAAGACCCATAAAGACATCCTTACATCCTTCAATGAATGCCCTAGATATTTGACGAGAGCTCTCATTTTTATCCTTCAGTAGACGGTTTGCATTGGCGTTGAAACCCTCAACCTCTTGTCTGCAGATGCGATAGCTAAGTTGCATAGCTTGGTTGCAATTAACACCTATATTTGCCATTAAAATGGGGATCATATTTTCGAGTTGGCCATTATTCTAGCATGTATTAGCCGTAAGTATTAGTTTCACAGGATTCAGAGTCATACGAATTCTTTTCGAAAGGAAAACATGTCGTTGGTTCTTCGGTTGATATCTTATGTTAACCAGAGTAATACTAAAGAGGTGAGGCCAAACCCACATGTGGACAATATACGATGCATGCTTCCATAAAAGCGCCATGTTCTTGTTGTCTAAGACTGACCTTGAAACATCAATCCCATACGCGAAGCTGCAGTTGGAGTTAGTATGGAATTATTCCTCGAAACAGTCTGCCATCAAATCTTACGGAATAGTTGCAATCACGCAGTGGACTGCTGCAGTATGTTCTCGTCGTTTCCAGTAGGTCTCTAGGTTAGGAATCTTTCCATCAGAGAAGAGACTATCTATAGTGTCCACACTGCCAACATATTCAAGCATGCGGTCCAGGAGCAGTTGGCAACAGTCTATAAAACGTCAGTGGTGCATGCTAGTATCTGAAAGTGTGAAGTGAATGACCTCTACTGCATTCTTGACAGATATGCTCTCCAACTTCATCCCAACAATGCAAAGCCTTTTGTAGCTCCGTTGAAAACATGGAAAGATCCGGGAAATCGCCGTCTCGCAGTAGGACGTGCCTGAAATACGCGAGACTAGCCTCTCTGTACCCACTCGCTGCTGAAGGGTTCAGCTGGAGAGTCCCACAATCGAAGACTGAATATTTGAGGGCTGTCAGTAATCAGCAACACAATAGGTACGACGCTGAAGACGTACTATCGTCCCAAACAAAATACTGGCATTAAAAAGAGTCAGAAAGCGCCTGCTTCGCAATAGGTTGCCAAAACGTACCCAGGCAAAGTACTTTGCTACTGTGCAAAGCTTCTCAAAGGAGGAATCATGGCATAGCACCGCAGCAAAAAGCGCAAAATTTGCTTTTTGCATTTTCTGGATCAATTTTTCATCTTCCATCCATCTACTTAAGTTAGTATCACCGTGAAAATGCTAAATTGGGTTGAGTCCAATGTCTGCACCGTCGAATCCAAGGGTTTAGGACTTTGTCTCGCATTCGCTCATAATCCTTATGTGTGCGAGGTTCCCATTCAGGAAGAAGTTGATACAAGTTTGCAATAGTGATGCGTTGACCCAAGATAGCCTGTTGCAGTTCGATAAACAGTGGATTTCTCATGACCTCGTATGCCATGGTGGACATGAAATTTCAGTATTTTGGACGGCCAGGTCCAATGTGTCTCTGAATTGCCGCATATGAATTATTTATATCAGAACCTGGATAGATGTCTCTAACCTTGTCGTTGTCGATCGCTCTAGTTGTTCGGAATTGGATATAGATTGAGATATAATGCTACAATATTATGACACAATTAGTGCGACACCCTAGCGCAGACGCTTCTACTTTAAGCCTAGATATAGTTGTACAAAAGTACACCAAAGGGAATTAATCCCTACTATACATGCTAGGGCCCAAGATATCAGATGGAGGTATTATAGAACCCATGAAATATACGTAGATATTCCTACATAAACTATGCAATATATAACCGAAATACCATTACAGTAGACTAGTCGAACTTTACAACCTTAAAGTAGAAAATGCAGAAAACCCTTGGTGATAATTTCAAACACCGGACCAAAAGGTTACTGTGAATGTGTTATTGTGACTAGACAGGTGGCCTAAATTATATCAGTAGAGTCACAGAGGCGCCGTGACAGTATGTAGAATAGGTATCTTTTTTTGGCTCATCTCAACCCAATTAACAATGCAATGGGTACTTATAACTAAAGGTAAGAACTTATTAGAAACATAGAATGAGAAAGCTCCCAACGCCTAATTCAGGAACCACCCCTTTCGTCTCCAATTGAGATACTAGATTTATTTCGGTACACAGTCCGGAGTACGGAGTAGAGAATTATGCACCTCAGATCCAGCCTATATTATATTATCCCCAACTATGAAGAAAATCCTATACTACGTAGGCAGGTAGTTAGTAGATAAGGGAATAATGGAAAATTTTCGGGAGAATTTTACCGTGTTAGGCCAACTTAGCATTTCTCAGCGGCCTTTTGTCATACCACTACTACATAGTTAGTTATATTCCGCAAGGATAAAGGTGGGGGGCATGTAATAAGAATAGTCTGGCTACCAATGTGCCTTATAACAAGGGAATTCGGGCCCGAGGTACTCTCCGTACCTGCAGGAATTTCTTCCAATCCATATTTTGGACCCGGCTTATATGGCCTGAGCGATCTCATAGAAGCTGCTAGCAAGGCTGGGTCTCTACTCCGTATAAACGAAGGTATTTAGCCGTGATAGTTGTTTTACGTGCACATAGTGAGACAAACTGCGGGGCAGTACCTTGCTAGAATAAGATACTTTCACCCTCTTACTCCGTATTTTTAGTATTTATTCATTAGTGCGCTTCGTATGACGTAGGGCTATGCCAGGCAACACTTTATACGTGCGATTCTCCAGGAAGGATTCGCATGGAGAGTTGTCGGTGGTGTCGATGTCTGACATGGGCAAGGACGGGGATATCGACCGCTTCGACTACCCGTCGGGGTAGGGATGGGGATCGATATCCTCGATAGCCATCGGCGACGACAGGAGGGTCAAATCGATTTCTTCGAGGGACCTAGTCCTCGAAGCCGTCGGTACGGCAAATGGAACCGTTATTCACATACGGATAGAGAAACTTTCTAAACCTGGTTGAACTATCGGTCCTTGCTCCTAAACACTTCATTTCTTGAACAGTCATATGTTGAACTATCCCCGGACGAACGGATATACTTAAACAGATAACACCTTGTTCTCGGCATCTCTTGTGGAACTAGTGCAGATCCCTTGTTTCATTCGTCTGATTAGTCCCTAATATGGGGAAACGGCATTTGTCGTTACGGGTGTCGCCATTTTGCCGCTCAGGAGCCCGAAAAAGGATATTGGTGCCATTCTAGGGTTGTGATCCTTTAACCCTCCCTGTAGGTATAATACTGTACGGAGTACTCCGTAGTTAGGTAGTTAATGGGACTTTGTAAAGCCTAATCCATTCCATCCCTATCAAGTTATGTAAAACCCACTAGGGAATTATTTTTGTTATCTATGGTGCAATACGGGATTTTTGTTCGACAATTGATAGCCATAGTCTCCGGGAGTGGAAATTGAATAGGATATTGAGAGCAAGGCAAATTTTTTAGCATCTAAAGACAAAGACTATTTTTGGAAATATTTTTCCGAGCTAGCTGTTCCCTGCCATGAAAAGATAAAAGATAAATAGGGTTTATAATGTTTTACCTCTGATGTCCATTGCATCATGATTAAGAGGTTAATTAGTGAGCAGGTCTCAACTCTCAGAACTCTTAATGCCATAGTGAAACAAAAAGTCCGCTTTGAGGCGTTGATGTTTTTGACTACCTCATAACCATTAGGATCTCATATTGCCGAGCAAATTGACAAATCACACCCGTGCTAGAGATTTGTAAAGGATAGAAATAGTCTGAATCAACCTCCACAAAGACAAAAGGAAAGAGCGCGGCAAAGACGTTACAACTTTCCTCCTGGAGGTAATGCAACTCAAACGGAACATGCCCTCAGTGCCGCTAAAACATAAGCCTCCTGGATGAATAAACTAGCATGCATAATCTTCCCAGTCCACACTCTATCTCGGGGGTCGGGTTGCTGCCACTTTGTAATGAATTGTTTTCCGAGATCAATGGTCGAATTGACTCGCTCATGGTTATTCAAGGGTCCCAGTTTAGCGAGCTTTGCCAATGCTATTACTGCATAAGCTGTCTCTTCGTACGAGCCCCTATCTCCCCAAGAGCCGTCCGTGTTTTGATTGTCAACTATGTAGCTGAGAACCTTTGGAAGAAGAGGGACAGTAAGGTCTATGAGCCTTTTCGAGGTACTCTGGTCGAAAATGTTTGTAGACAAAGTATCATGGAGACGAACTAAGCCGAGAGTTAAGTGTAGAATGGCGTAATATTCCGATATATTCTGGATGCGAAATATGTTAACTAGAGCAAATGGAATAAAGTACTTAGGTAGAACAATTAGCATACCCAGTGATCACTTATTTTTTCCCCATCTTTCCAACTATTGCAGAGAACTTGCGCACATTTCACGATCTGCAGTGTCAATTTCACTGCCTCTGGACTTAACAGTAACCCACTAAGGATATTTGCGTGGACGCTAACGCTTGGGATTACGCTAGGTATACGACCATTGAATGTTTGGAAATGGCTTTTCTTTTCGAATCTGTGGACTAAGGCCATTGGACTCGGAGTTCTGCCAGCGAGATACAAAGCAGTCAAGGTACGGCCACTATCGTCTGCATCAGGGGTCCAGCATGGAGCTGCAGATACTCAGACCAGGTTTTCAAATCACCGCAGAGGGGAAAGGAGATTTGACGTACATGCACTGCTTACCCCACCCCTCGAGTTGTGGTGATGTACTAGGAAGTCTACAATCGTTTCAACTCTTTGATATCCTAGATCAGACAGCGAAAATCCTCCGTCAAACAACGTAGTAAGAACCTAATAGCCTGTTAACCACAAAGAACCCAAACAACCTCCGGTACACTCACCCAGCAAGGTTCAAAGAGTGTCAGCGGCCAGATACCTGGGACTCCTCCTCTATCACTGCCTGCGGCGTGTTGGATACAGTTTTGGAGGTATTCCTCACATTCTGTACTCCATTCAGGACCATATATTAAGTATGCAGCCGTCGAGGCAGGTGATGCCCCAATTCCTTCAGTTGAAACCTGATGAGTGAGTCGTGTGAAGTCTAACTTAGCAAGCCAACCCTCAATTGAAAACAATGGAACCTCGTTCTTCTCTGTATATAACCACTCAACATCCATAGCCAATGCCAGCTTATGTAGGTCGTACAGAAGAGTTTTCCCTGGGAAATCAAAGACAACACCCTCAGAAGAGAGTAAACCCAGAGTAGTTGGGATTAGCAGCTGGAACTCGAAATGGGAGGTCTGCGAAACATTCCATCTTTCCAGTGTCTGCTGGGCATAAACTCGACCTCGTTCAATTCTCTCAGATATGTCTTCGGGAATAGTGCTCTCGACCTTATCCTTATCTCGCAAGTGCACACATAAAGCAAGTAAAGCAGCCAAGGTATGAACCAGTATATCCGGAATTACCACATGATCAGGATAAAAGTTGTGCGGGATAGGGTCTGTGAATGAACTCCACCCTCCGGCATTGTTTTGGCTCCGTAGTATAAATTCAAAGCATTCAGGGAAAGCCCATCGGGAACGCCTATTTTCTTGTTTGACTACCATAGACGCCCACGCAGTGTCGTAAATTGAGTAAGCCATGGATGAAACACCATGTTTGCTGCTGATGAATGGGGCAATTCGTTCTAGAAGAGCTTGAGCACGCTCTTCGAGGGATCTGGAGCCTATCATGATGGAATGGCAACTGGGATGCTGTTTGAAAGGAGTATTGCGAAGTATAAATGGATTTTGGGCAATATACACTGCCTGATTTGACTAGGAGACGTGTGATCAATTTTTTTCAGAGTTGTATTGCACCCTCGTAGCCACGTTTGTCATTAATCCGTTGATTTTTCTAGAAATATCGCCATATCACCCCGCAGCCAACAGCACTGAGGCAGGGCACTGACTGATTGGTGTTGCTAAATCCAGAATTCACTTGCCAAGGGCTTCCTTCATTACTCTGCTCCCAGTGGCCGCCGTCAACAGGCTGGGGCATGACATTAGGTTATACCGTTATATGCCGCATTATATCACCACAAGACACCCGGAAAGTGAGCTGGACCGAAAGTTTTCTTTGCAAATCTTAACTGTGCTAATGACGATGCTTGCAGGTATCGCCGCGCGATACATTCACTCGGGCTTACAGCTCGGCGTGGGTAGAAAAAAACTCGGCGTGGGTAGAACTAGCGCCAACAATTTTCTACCCATGCCGAGGTCCAGAGTTCATCATGGGTAGAGCTAGCGCGGTCCAACCTCATCATGGGTAGAAAATCAATCCTCTACCCATGATGAGCTTATCTCTTATCATTAGGGTATATACCTAATACAAATAAAATATTTATTACTTCTAATATGCTAGTAATAGGTATATACTTGGCAGGAATTAACTATAATAATAATAATTTTAATACTAGTATTATTTATTATTCCTTTTTTAGCTAGAAAAGGCTTTTTTTTAGCTAGAATTAGCCTTTGTGTTGATGGTACGGAGTATCCATGCCTTTCTGCCCACCCAAACCGCTACCCGCTTTAGGTGCGCCACGCATTCCTCGCAATCACATATTCTTCGCGATTTTTTTAATATTTGAAGCTATATAACAACAACAACACTAGTAATCAAAATAAAAAAACTCTCCAGCTTCTTCAGCACGTCTTGCATTATCAATTCCTCTTTGAATTGCTTCCTGGGTCATTTTTAGCTCCTCTAGCTTCTCTGCCTGATATTGAAAGAGTTTTGATATATTCCGCTTTGCCCGGTCAGATACCTTATCAAGTTCCTTTGTAACCTTTGCCTGATTCTTTAGAAGAGCCTCTATTGTTGCTGGAGGACTGTTTTCAACGCTGGAGGATAGTAATGGTGGTGGAGATGGGGTTCGACAAAGGTCAATTGATATATCTGGTATATCCATCTGATTCGCTAGTTTTTTAATGATTTCAGTGCCATCAACTGGCCAGATACCGCGTTCTTTAAAGGCATCTCGAATAATTCGCTGTAGAAAGGTCTGGTTGCGGATTGGCTGGATAATCTTCAAGAACTCTGCCTTCCCATATGGCTTACCCCCCCATTGAGATAGCTCATTATTCTTGAGGTAAAAATTAGTCTTATAAGCAAGAAAAGGTTTTCCATCAAGAGGTTGGCAGAGATGTGTTGAATGAGCTATAAAACCAAAGGGAATAATATCATTTTCCTTGCAGTATTGCAGAAATTCGAGCGTAAGGTGCGAGCCATGGCCATCAAATATTAGATATCGCTTCTCGCCTTGCTTAGTACGATCAGGATGCTTCGTTGCAGTATTAAATCGATGTAGCCAGGCAAGCGCAAGCTCATCAGTTATCCAACCATTTGAGGATATTGCTGTTGTTGTTTTAGGTGGTAGTTGTTCTGCATCATGATACCAGACCTCCATATAGTTGCCCGTTGCTTTGAAAATAAAAAATGGGTCCATTACCCAACCATCTGCAGCAATACATTCAACTGCAGTAATATTTTCACCTCGCTCACTTTCTGCAAGATTAGGACATTTAGGACCCCCAAAAACCTTCCTATCACGACCTTTGCCTGGTTGGAAGCCACATTCATCAAAGTTGTAGACAAGGCGAGCCGGGACCCCGCGGAGAAGTGATTTCAGAAGGTTATACCAGTGTTGAAGCAAGCCAGCATCCTCTGCTTGTATCCGCCTTAATTCCTTAGTCTTCTGCTTTACTGGAGCAAGTCCTAGATCTGCTGGTACACGCGATTCGAATCGATATGGCCACATCTTACTAACTTGCTTATCTGACCCCGCGCGAGCAAGTGTCTGATTTGCCCATGCTGCAATGACCGCAGGAGTTGGTGGGATGTTCCATTTCCGCATTTGTATGATCCAGTTGATTAAGGCCTTCTCCTGATATGGCTGTAGAAGGTTCTTATTCGTTGTTGTTGGTGTTACTAGTATCTTTGGTTTTTTGAGGCGCGTTCGGAGCGTAGAGTCAGACACATTAAATTCTCGTGCAATCTTCGCGATATTTGGTCTTTCTTGCTTTTTAACCATGGCAATAGCTTCAAGCAAGCGAGATTCATTGAAATCTGGAGATTTAGGCATGTTGTGTTGTAATAATAATAAAAATAAGTTGAAATATTAAAAATTGCAAAGAATGTGTGATCGCGAAGAATGTGTGGCGCACCTAAAGCGGGTAGCGGTTTGGGTGGGCAGAAAGGCATGGATAGTAGTTGAGACGGCCGTTCAATGCAACAAAATGAGGTTGTATTGGTGCTAACTACTCTAGAACTTTAAGCGTAAGGAGAAAAAAAGGAAAACAAGAAGTGTTGTGGGCGCTCGCTTGAAGAAAATGACAGGAAAGCAAACAAAACAAACATAGTCACATGATCTTAAACAGAGCCGCCGTCACAGTAGTAGTAAATTTTGGTGTGGTAGTACTAATTCTAAGCGAGACCCTATTATAGTTAGATAAATAGCTCATCGTGGGTAGAGCTAGCGTGGGCCAACCTCATCATAGGTAGAATCTCTACCCACACCGAGAGTTAATCCATTCCGGGGTTCTACCCACGTCCCACGCAGAGTTTTTTTCTACCCACGCCGAGCTGTATCCCCGGTTCAACCCCGACATTGGCACCTTTACAACATTCAGCGATCCGGGGGCACCTTTGAATAAGGGCCTAAATCGCTACAAAACTAGCTGATATATATATTTCTGACCTGCTATTATGCATTCTGCCCCTCCCCCCCTCCTCTGACTGTGTTTCGACGCGTGGCGAGCCGAGATGGAGGTGCTGACTCCCAACCGCCCGCCCGGAGGCATCGACACGGCCAACTTCACACAGCTACAAGAACCCCAATCCCCCACCAACCTGCACGCTGCTAAGAGACAACAAGGAAAGAGCATCCTACTCAACCACATGCCTCCTCCAATCTACAAAGGTGCTAGCTGAGCTGGCCACCATGGTGGCCAAGCTCATCGACACTCAAAAGAGCCAGGACAAGAGGGCCTACGCAGCAACAATCTGCAATAGATTCATCCAGTTTATTGCTATCAAGGAATACACCACCATGGATGACTACGTGCCCATGCGCGTACGCAGTCAGCCCACGACCATGACAGCATTAGCAACCTCAGGCAAGACCTCTAGCAAGTCCGTAGCCTGGGGGGCCGCGCAGACCCTAAAAAACTCAGGGGGAGGACCCGCGCCAGCCAGGGCATATAACACCGGGCGACCTATGCCTAATTTGGATAGGACCGCCCCTACCACCGCGACAAAGTCGGCCCGGAGTGGGTTGACCATGTCGACAAACGCCAGGGACGACCGCAGGGTCCTCATCACCCTACCCAGGTCATGCGCCCTGTCTGCATGTCTGGCCCATGCCTTGA